GCTCCTCCGCAATTTCAGGTCCTGAACAGAGGAACGGCAAGGCGTGCAAACAAGCGTGCGCCGGCAAAGATCCCCGATCAGATCTAGGAGGAATGTTCCTCGTCTCAACTGTTGCACGAAACAATTCGTCACTCTCGTCAGCAAGCCTCACGATCCTCCGTCCGGTATGGCGCTGGCGCAGTCTACACGCAACACATGCATGCGCATGCCTGGATAACGCACATCATGACTGTGATGTGATAATCCCGTATACTACTACTCCGCCGCCCGACGGCTGCGACATCTGGACCCAGACCAACACATCCGAATTTCTTACTATGCTACGATAGGTCGGGGGCGCTCAGCCTTTGGGGCCGGTAAGACAGCGCGTGATGTTTGAAGGGAACATTCAGGCGTCACAATGAGCTACAGGCAGCCTTCCATCGTGAGCATCGTCGTGTGACCCTCCTACCAGAGACAGATGTTGTCGTCCAGACGGAGTTGTCTCTGGCGCTTGAGTGCAATTCGAGAGAAGTCGTGTTTCACCTTGCGGCCGTCGGCCACTATGACCAAGCTTAATTTTTGCATCCGAGGAGCACCACCAATTGGTTGTTCCACGAACCAATGACACCGTTGAAGAGCTCATGACCGCCCCTTTGCGTATCGCCTGCAGTGCAGGCGCTTCGGCCGCCTGATTGGCTGCTTTCGAGCTTTGCTTGACTATGCCGTACTTCGTGTGGAGGAGTGCAAACCAGAAATAGAAATTCGGCAGCAACTCTCATCCACTGATTCTGCTCTATCCGCTGGCCGCTTCCCAGACGACCTGCTTGCCCGCCGGATGGCTGCAGATTAGTCCACGGGTGTATCCTCGTTGCTACCGAAGATGAGATCTGGCGATGCTGATTGCGTGTACCTGCGTCAACGAAAACACTACCCGCAAGTTGACAAGCCGCCGGGAAGGGATTGGGTATCGACAGCGGACTATGCTTGTCTGCTGGTGCCGGGCCAATAGCAAGACGACGACACGGCGGCTCTGGCAGGGGCCATCATATCACAACTACTGTCAAACACTATGTACTCCCGACTGATCAGATGCATAAGACCGGGTTATTTTGTTCAGATGAAATGCACCAGTGATCAGGCAAGCCAGGTATAATGACTTTGAGGCCGGGTAGTATACGTTCCTGGTGGGGTGTGCTGTCAGGTAGCTGCCCTCTGTGCACTCCTCAAAGTAAAGATCAACACAGGTGTGATGATTCAGATCATGTAGGATTGTATGCTGGATACGGCCTCAACCCAACGAACTGTACTTCGTCATTCGGGCAGTTACCGAGATGCAAGCATGAAGGTCGCCCAGGCTAGACGGCAAGATGATCGTCCGTGATGGAAGATCTGCTCTCTACCGGTTCCTGCCATTGCAGGTGCTGAAACACCGCTCACGATGGGATCGTTATCAGACAGCATTGTTGAAACAAAATCCCAACCCCATGTCAACGCACCTCACGAAGGCTCACCCACTGTAGCTCGACTCTGAAGCCTGCTCTCGGTCGTATCAGCGGACTCGGTTGCAAGGTACAATGGATCTATGTAGCAACGGCCAAGCAGCGGGTGCAGGCGCTCCCAATTGGTGTTCCTGAGATCGTTGCAGGATCCGGGGCGATGACCAGAAGGGCCGACCTGCATTTGCGCAGGGATATACTCACTCCAGCAACATAGCGCCGTTTCTTCGCAGGGACTCACCCGGGCGGAATTGATGACATTCTTTGCCTCGACAGCCGCAAAAGGGCACGTTCCCTCTCAGGTGGACGCGCTGGAGGACGTGCGCTGGAGCGAATGCTTGGCAGCCCACCCTCAGGGCGACCATGGCTTCATGGCGTCTTGTCTCATGTTCCTGGCTATGGCTATTCTGGGACTACTGAAACGTGCCGCAGGTTTTTCTGGCCCCCTTCCAGAAGAACGTCGTGATGTCAGCTCGACGGGCGATTCGTACGAAAGCTACCCAAGCCAATCCACAACAGCCAGCCCAGCCATGCTCCGCAACCGACCCAGTCACGCCTAGTCTCGAGCTGACCTCTATAGAGCTCCCCACAACCTGTTTTAGGTTATACCGAGAGCCCGCCAAAGAGAATCAAGGGTCCATCACATCTGCCTCAATGACTTCACCCCACGGCCTAGGTTCGGGCCCGGGGTTTGGAATAGATTGCTCGCTGGCCACTGGCGTGTGGTAGTGCCGGCGAGATCGTGGAGAGGACTCCCTCCCTACGAGGCTCGGCGGCAAGCAGCATAGCACGGTTCGGCTGCTAAATGAATTGCCCTCTGCGGCGGCGGCTCCGGCACAGGAAGCAGACTCGGCTCTGCTGGGCAGCGGGCTGTCTGGGGGCACAGCTGGGTAGGGTAGGGCCTGCCCGCCGCATTCGGCATTGAACATGGACTGCTGATTTATGCCAGCAATAGGAGCCTGGCGCCTGCAGCATGCCGGGGCAGCGTCTTCGCACATGCAAGCGCGGTGACGAGAGTGTGAACGGACAATGCATAGTTACACATCTTACCCAACCTAGCCACCGCCGGGCATGATCCAGCTTGATGCTACCAGACGGGTAAAATAGCCCGAACTCGTTGCCCATGTCGATGCTGGCGCTTGGCCAGTGCTCTGCGCTCTTCGTGTTTCACCTTGTCGGTACCGCCTACCATCACGAAGGGTCCTCTTGGCGTTGGCATCACAGGTCCCATTCGTTTGGTCCCCTCCGGTTGGAATTCCGCACCAGGCGCGCGCGCCCAGGAAACATGGCGTTGGAGGATGCCAGTTCGCTCACGCTCAAACATCCATCGTCGTCTAGCTTCTCGATCCCAAGTGGTGGGGCAGGTTGCGATCCGTATGTTTGGCCTGTTCGTGTTTGTTGAAGATGGATGGGCTATCTGAAACCATGACAGATGGGGGCTCTGCCGTTACAGCACGAGTCGCTTCCTCTCGCTGTTTGGCTGACGCGGACCTGCTCGCCGCTAGCTAGCCGACAAGACCGTAAGGACGCTGCTGGCACAAGCGTGTCAGCGATATGGGAATTTGGCGGTACACAGTATAGTCATCAAGATCCTGAACTGGATCACACGACGCTCACAGAAATCCTTTCCTCAGCTGTGTTGCCTCTGCTGAGGTGGGTTGCAGGTGAGCGTTCGCCTCCCAATCCTCCCGCCCCCCTCCCTCCCCTCGTGGCAACCCTCATGTCATACATCCACCTCGAGCTTCGTCTGCTACCTTCTCGAATCATGACAACAGGCCAGCCCACATTTCCATCCCAGTTCCTCGCGTCCAAGACCCAGATCTGCGTTGGCAGAAGCCCGCGTGAGCAGGGCTGGCCCTTCTACCGGAGAATATACCGGTCTCCACCGCCCGTCCAGAAGGGATCGGCTTCTGAAACCGCCAGGGGGTCCCTCCGCCGAGAGCTAGCAAGCTGGCGATAGTTCAGAGGTCCAAGGATGGTGCCTGTAGGGTGTGAGCTGCGGCATAAAGCCTAGAATCCGCAGAAGAAAGCCGGATGGATGGGCTGGGCGAATGGGTCTCCAGGGCACTAACTATAGATCCCTTGGCTTGGTCCACCGTGAGATGGTTCTGGCTCGTCGACGATCAGCGGATACTGGACAAGGAAACCAGTCCATGGTCGAGGAGTCCAAGTTGGACCCTTGGCAGAGGACTCGGTCGTCAGGGTCTTGTGTACCGCGCTTACTGTGGTGTGTGAAGTGTATGTCGACGTGGTAGTCTAGGTAGATCTTGCCCGATGTGCAAGTACCGCGTCTCGCTCTGTTCCTGAAGGGTCCGCTTTCGGTCTGGGAGACCAGGTTTCCGAGTGGCAAGAGCTCCATCCTGTGAATGGACATGTGTGATCCTGCGTCATGGACTACGAAATAGCTTCCAGAGCGCGAGTGCTGCTGATCTTGATGGGTCTGGCTTAAATCGATGAAAACAGTGCGGGTCATTTGTTTTGTGTATGGCGTTATTCTGGATATCTCTGGTCAGGATAATACCCAGATTTAACTTGGGAACGTAAATCGGGCGGCGCATCGGCCGTAGGTGTAGCTGTCGTCGCCTTATGACACATCTGGATATGAAGAATGTCTTGTATCTATACATCGATAAAGTCCCAGTTGCGGGTGATCTGATATGAATACCCAGGAGCAAAATAACTTGAATGGTTCCTAAAGTGGCCAACAAGGTAATATATGGTGGCACGTAATATCTACCAGTGCGCTGCAATTGTACACTTCCATTCCTCTGGTTGTGATATTCCCGCATGTAATAGTTCCGCTCATAGGATACTCAGTAAAATTGTGACCGCCAGTCACTCTAATTTCACGCATAATTAACTATAAGACGGAAGAAAAATTGGAGGATCGCATGTCAGCTTTATAAATCGGAAAAGTCTACACTACTAAGTCAACGCTTCCGAACGACTGAAATTATGAAGCTTGAAGACATGACCAGGCTGTCGGTGATGCCTTGAAGGATACAAACAAACAATGCGCATGCTGCTCTAGTTGAGCATCGTCACGAACTTGACCACACCGTTTATGCAGGCCGTTTCTGAAAGTTACATCTCTGGGACATAGAAGACATTTAAAATTTCATTATATCAGGTCTAGAGGTTTACGCTTGTACTGAAACGATGGTCAGGACGTTCCTGAAGTTGCTTGGCGAATCGATGGAAATGATTTGGTCAGACTTAACGATACTGAACGGTTACGTCCCGCAAAACATTCATAGTCATACGGTTTTATATGCATACAGAGCTTTCTGTTTGATATCATGCGAGCCAAACTCGTTCATGGATACTGATGGAGATTCCCGACTATTTTCAAGCCACTACCCCTGACCGTGGGCTGTACCTCTTTCGAAAGAAGCACAGAACTCCTCCTTTTCTTTTTCTTTTTGATTTTCGGGGTATTTAGTCAGTCTGTTTCATGAGGTATTCTCAGTCATTGTCCAAGTTCACTTTTTGACCTGCCCTACAACTACGCTTCAAACCCCATTAATCATCCTCGTCATCGTCGCTGCCGCTGGACCAACCCTCATTGTATCCTTCGGCAATCTCGGCTAGTTCGTTGCCAATGTCCTCCCTATCCTCAAGGCCGATCGATCGTACTACTGTCGCTCGCAGACCCTTCATGTTGTCCGTCACCGACGAGTCTGCCGAAAGCACGGTGCGTATCGACAACGGTTCTGTCAGACGATTTTCGTCGCTATCCCGGAAGATGCGTGGATAACTATCTAGCATTGGGAAAGACAGATTCGATTTGAACCTATCGTGGAGGTCAGCGCTGCGTACCCACAAGCATCCGAGAAGGTGTCGGATTCTCTTCTATAGGGGGGGGGAGGGAGGAACCCGACGACTCACCGGTGAGTCTTTGGCCGTTCACGGCCACGATCTTCATCGTCTACCTCATCTAGGTCATTAGCTTTCGAGGCTTCGTCCCCTCTCACCGTGGTCAGCTGAGAGAATAGGTATGGTTTTCTCCGCGGCCTGAAGCCCACCGGCGGAGGCATACCGCCATCCAGCGACGACAGGTTAACATCCAAGGAGGCAACACCACTCTGGGGCCCCTCGTCGGATTGGTCCTCATACTCCATGGCGTTGAGGCTATCGTAAAGTTCCCCTCTCCCAGTGGGAAACTCCATACCTCCATTGGTGCCATTGTGTGCAGGTTTGGGGGGGTCTACGGAGCTGAACTGGAGGTTCGCGATGGTCTGCTTGCCGAAGACATTGAGTAGGTCGGTGGCGGTGCCAAACGAGGTAGAGTTCACTTGGTCTGACGTCCTAATGCGGGTATATAACGACGTGCTCTCAATGGCTGCATTGAACAAAGCAGACACTTGCCATAGAGAAGACCGATCTAGGGAGATCTTCGAAGGTAGCCTCTGTGGGATAGATAGTGGGATAATGAGCGATGCCTGAGAATACATATCGGCAAGAGCTCTGGCTTTGTTTACAAGCCGGAGAAGACGTTTTTCCTGTGGGGAGTTAGCGGTGAAGTCGCTGATTGCAAGAAGGCCGGCTTACCCTTGGTAGGTTCATAACCGGTTCTTGGAGTCCCCAGACCCAGATGGGGATCTTCCCATACTCGTCTCTGAGTCGCTCCAAATACTTGGCGGCAAAACCGCCCCAGGCGTCGTCGATACCGGTCATGATCTGAAGTCCCTGCATATGATCCGCCTCTTCGGCGAATGGCCGCAAATCTCGGTCCACGATATCATGGTCCTTGTCAAGTGAGGAGAAAAGCTCCTCGCCCATGGCCCACTTTTCGAACGGCATCAGAGATGAGTTCAGCTCATACTCGTTCAGTTGGACAATGGACCTGGGATGGTAGTAGACACGACTGAAGTCGGACCAATACCGGACGCTACTTGACGTCAGCTCGGGAGCCGCGGTGCCAGCGTCGAGACTCTCTTGATAGGCACTTTGCCCAATAGGTTGTTGCCTTTGCACGACCGTTTGCCCGTTCCTTGTCCCGTTAGCAAGTACAACCCCTCTTCATAACGCCATGTCCATACCATAACGCAGTAGGTTCTCCATCTTCGGCCTCATAGAGCGCATTGATCTTCCGCATCGACCCGAACCCTCCTTTCAGATCGTATATCACCGTCCTTGGCATGTACGTCTCCGTCCCGTCGGCGCCAAGGCCAGGCCTGAAATGGACGTCATGGTCCACAGGCGACTCCTCCTCTTGGCCATACGTGAAGTAGGATTCCTGGGTATCTATCAGTGCCTGTCGGGTTCAGCTGCTTGAATGGCCGGCCTTACTTGAGTATTCCAGAAGTGGGTACCTAGGTAGTTGCTCTGCTGCCCAAGCTGCAGGGTGATGATTTCACGCATACTGGTTCACCAGCACTCATGCGTAAGCATGGGGGATAGAGGATAAAACGGATAGAATCCCAAGTAGCAGCTTATGATTTCTCTCAGGATCATGAACCAGGATCATCGGCGGAAACTCCTCTTGAAAATCGGCCTCGAAGTGGGTGGGTGTGGCGATCGAAGTTCCGGCGGCTGTCCACAATTGGCAGCCGCATCAGACCGGCGCCATCCAAAGCTTCACGCTCAAGCTCGACGTTATGCCGTCATTTCATTCAGCCCATTAACACCGAAGACGCCAAGAACAGCCCGCAAATCATATACTCGCATCCTTGAATCCACCTGAAGCCGTCGCCATCGCCATCGACAGCGACAGCAGCACAGCATGTCTGCCGCACAGGAATGGGACTCGTGGAAAACACCACCGCCCAAGGATGTGAAGCCGGCACCCAAGGCTGGCGAGAAGGCGCCCGTCAACGAGAATCTCACCCTTCCGTCTGATAAACCCACACTGATTGTATTTCTGCGGCACTGTGGCTGTCCCTGTAAGTTCACGTTTCGTTGCCATCCTCTTCTCTCGTCCCTTTCTGCCCATATCTCCTTTTACGCGCCACCTTGGGAAGGCGGGGACCCACCGAGGTTAAGCACCTGCAATCCATGCCACCAAGGTACAGTATGGCAACCAATTCCAAACGCGGGCTGCATATGACAGAGCGACGTATAGAGGGCCACGGTTCTTATCTGCTTCCGGAATGCTGTTTTTAGTCTTATCACAATGGTTAGATGGCATCACGAAAGCAGTGTTTTAATAATAGCTACACTCGGTGCATCAACAGACCTTGAAACAAGTGGACAGCTTCAATACAATACTATCCACGTGCTCCGGATACTGACATCCCCACGCAGTTGCAGAGAAGACTTTCAAGCAGCTCACAAACATCTCGGCCATCTACAAGGGCGACCTCAACTGCGTGGCGGTCTCGCACTCGTCGCAAGAGGCCACCGAGCGCTGGGTGATCCAGGTGGGCGGCAACTGGGACGTCACCATGGTGGTCGACCACGAGCGGGAGCTGTACGCGCAGTGGGGGCTGGGCATCTCCAACACCTGGCACGTCCTCAGCCCGGCCTCGCTCTACAAGGTCTTCCAGCTGGGCAAGTCGGAGCACATCTGGAACCGCCCGACCGAGAGCGGCAGCCGGTGGCAGGTCTCGGGCGCCTTCACCGTCGACAGGGACAGCTCCGTGCGCTGGGCCCAGGTCGCCGCCTCGGCTGACGATATGCCCAAGTTCGAAGAGGCCATCCTGTCGGTTGGGCTTGACCCCAAGAGGCTTCGGGTGGGAGACGGCGAGCTCAAGAAACTACGAGCGGGCGCGGATGGCATTAGAAGGGAGGGTCTTTCTGGGTAATGTACCAGAATCAGGGTTTTCTCTTTCATGTACGAAATACACAATCTCCCAAGCAGCCTTGATGAGGTCAACGAGCGAAGCAGCAGGGAACCCACGAGTATAGTCATTCAACTCATATCTTGATTCAGGTCTAGGAAGTTGCCTTTGCTTATATGTATTAACCATGGCACACCATACTTCTGAAAGGAGTAAGCTGATACCAACGTCGTTCAAATCAGAGCGAAATTACGTCCATCACTTGACACCGACCTTTTTCCAGCTCTTGAATTCTGTAGCCGTAGGACTTCTTGTCCCTGGGAGAACCAGTTGAGACACATGTTCCCTGAACCCTCTGTCTCCTCCTGTCCTGTGCGATAATAGTTTTCAAACGCGCTGACAGCGCGCGAAGGACAGATAGCGAACTCTAGCTGCGTCCTGGCCCCCGGGAGGGGAGGGGCTGGGGGTGGTGAGTGTCCGCTCTAGTGCTGAAGCTCGCGCACATTGCACACCGTTGACTCCGGCGTTGGCGCGCCGTGGATTTGGACTTTTGGCGATATTCGTGGGCTGCTTGTTTACCACCATTTTACCCTCCAGACAACCGTTCAACGTGACGGCGCAATCGAGGAGGAATAGATCGTCCCTGTACTTGAGCATGACTGTCGAGATGCTACGGAATATGGTCGCCCCCATCTCGATATCATATAAAGGCGTGTAAGAACGGAAGGGATTTTTCGTTTTATGCCGCAGGCTCCACGCCGGGGTTGTGCGTCTCGAGAGAGGGTGCTCCAACAATATGACAACGGCCTGCTGACGGACTAGGACGATAGAGCCGAATAGGCATGCCGCCTTGAGTTGAGTGTGTTGCTCGCCACTGGCTGGATCCATTTCCAGCAGGTACTCGAGTGAGACTGCTACAGATTTGCAGAGCTCACGAAGCCCACACGCTCTCCTCTCATCATTGACAAAGAGCAACCGGATGTGCCAGGAATGCTACACCTTCTTGGCCCGCTGGGTTGAAGACCACGAGCGTGGGGCTGATGGCGAGCTCCCAAATCTGCTGGCGCAGCTCGGCAGGCAGTCGGGGTGGTTTGTTTCTCAAAATCCGTCATGATGCTGGCGAAACGATGCCAATGCCTGAGACGTTGGTGGGTGACGGAGATCCGACGTAGTTTTTGGTTCTATGTGGAGGCTGATGCGAAGCTAAGAAACCCGGGCGGGAGTTAAGGTGAATGACACGGCACATTCATATCGAGCCCTTGACGATGAAGAATGTCTGAGAGCTTCACTGTGGGTGACCGTTTCTGAGGGCAGCCTGAAGCACCAAAGTCCTCTGCTCTGACTGGTCAACGCAAGAGCGTCGCCAGGTTGGAATCACAGCAGAACCCTCAAGATGCTTGGAAGGAGCTACAATGCGATTTGTTTGCGGTGTGTCGAGGAGTCAAGTATCTGAGGTAATAGTGCATCTAACATTGATTGACAATGCCCATGCGTGCACAATCAACAAGCAAGAGCAGACATTGGAAGAATTTCTGAATTGATGTATTATACTCCATACACAAGAGTGCCGGTCCAATAGGACCAAACGAAGCGACCGTGAAACTCCGCCGTCCATTATCCGAAGAAGAACAGAAAATAAAAGAACACGCAGCGCAGCTCCATCGCAACTTCCATCCACTCTCATCCTCACTCTCACTCTCATCTTCTGTTTCTCTCTCTCCCTTTCGCTTTCGCTCTCCTCTCCCCTCCGCCGCCGCCTCGAAAACAAAAAACGGTCTTGGTGAATTGTGTTGTGTATCAAGTATGGTGGAGTATGCCGTATCATGGAAAAAACAACTTTTTACTCTCCGATACTTGCGTATGCAAAATAAGGAAAAAAAAGACAAATATGTGACAGTTGTCGTGCTTCCCGTGGCCTGACAAGAAAGCACGGGGGTTTCCCAGGAGAAGGACCTGGTCGCCAATCTTCAAGTTGACGATGAAAAATGACTGGGCTCGTATCCGGTTTCGGAAGGCTGAAAGTACAAACGGGTACGCAGAGATATACTGGGGAAGGGGGTTGGGGGGAGCCAAAGAACGCCGCATGATCATGAGCTTCGTCCTGGAATCGTAGATCGTAGCCCGCCGATATCATACCGGGCGTAACATACTCGTAATCAAGCCATGGCCAGTCTGTGACAGGCACAGCCTGCTTAGATAATCATGCTCTTGGTCCTCGAATGCGTGCGCCGGCCCTCCGCCTTCTTCCGCATGGCCTCCTCCCGCTTAAGGATGAGCTCGCACCACTTCTTCCTTGTGCTACCGCTGCCGTCGTCGTCTTGACCGTCACGTCCGACAACCTCGTGGAAGACCTTCATCCAGCCCTCCTTATCTTCGGCAGTGTCGGCGTAGAAGTCGATAACTTCGCCGTTGTTGAATCTGATGCGGAAGCCCTCTTCAACGAACATGTAGCCTTCCTCTTCCTCTGCAAAAGCAGAGCGGCGGCGCTTGCCATCTCGGCCAGTGGTGTTTGGCTGTGTCAACTGCCGCCGGTCATCAATGATCCTCTTGGCATTAGAGAGGTTGATCGTGGCACGAGGCTGGCGAGTTGCTTCATGGTACGCAGTAAGCTTCGTACCAACGAGCTTGAAATAGCGACGACGCCAGTACTATCTCCATGTTAGTTTTCTGATCTATATGTTCTGAGAATGAGGGGTGAGAACTTACTGGGCAATCGCCACCCTGCTGACTGAGATGACCTTCCCAGCACTGGCTCAGCCGCTCCTCGGCCGCCTTGAGCTCGCGGATGCACGAGTTCATGCTCTTCGGCATGTCATCATCCGAGGAGCCCTTTGGCCTGGGGACGAACAAGAGCTGCATCTCGAGCTTGCCGATCTTGTAGGGTGCCTTACGAACAACCGAGGTACTAGTTCCGGCGCGCTTGCTCTTGACGCTGCTGGCAAAGCCAGCCTCCTCGGTGGCCCACTCATTGAACGCAGCAATCTCAACCATGTACGGGCGGCCGTAGCATCGTGATTCGTGCTCCTTAAGGCAAACGTAGGATCGGGCGAAGCTGCCGTCTTCGGCAGCCAATGGGGAGAGGAGATCCCATGCTGTGGGAGCGACGTTTCGTTGCTTAGCTGCCGCGTCCCGTTGAGCTTGAGCATATGCCTCTTCCTCTGCCTTGAAGCGAGCCTCCATCTCCTTCCGCTTCTTGGGACTGGCAAAAACACGGGAGAATGTTGATGTCTTGGGCTTTGTCATCTTACTTGGCGAAGCCGGGAGACGCTGGGGCTCGGGACGCTCAAGTTTGACATTCAAGGTCAATTGGAACTCGAGATCATTAGGCACGACGAGTTCAAATTCCTGACCGATTGGCGCATTGCGCGCCATTTCGAGCCAAGCAGTGGTAACGCAGTGCACGCCATTATCGAGAGTAAGGCTGAACCAGGTGCGTTCGTCTACTAGCGATTAGTTCGGTCTGACGGAAACATGTGGGTGCTGTATGAATTAACTCACTCTTTGGGATGGGGAGGTCAAGGTCCTTTACGCCCATGACCTTGACGAAGAGCCTTCCTCTTTCTCCGGCTTCCTCGGTCGCTGCTTCAGGCTGCGGCTCCTCTTCAGCCAGAGTGTTGAGGGCAGCGGCATTGCTCTCCTGTCCAGGCAGAGGGGGAACCGGACCGCTCATGCTGGGTCCGTGGCGGCCCCTAATGCTGCGCTGTCTCTGCTTACCGTTCCATGGTTCGACGGTCCAGGACCGCGGCCGGCCTGTCTGCTTCACGGGTGAGTTGCCTGCAGAACGAATGCCATCTCTCATGTTTTCGTCAGAGTGCTTGTCGTTGGCAGTGACAACTTTGGTGTTCTGACGCATGATATATCCGCGCTGTTTACGAGCAGTAATGTTAGCATTGAGATGTGCTTCGCGAGATCGTCGACGACTTGGGGTGCGACCGGGGGTTTTGTCAGTCGCCACGACTATTTCTTGAGTTCCAGACACTTGTCTTGTAGGGCTTTCACTTGCAGCCAGGAACTGTTTTTCAAAGGAGAGTTGTTGGAATGCCACCTTTTGCGCCTCGATGACCCTCTCAAAGTCCTGATCAAGGCTGAGACCCAAGTCAAGATCCAAAGTCAGGCTACGGTTCTTCAAGCTGGGTCGGCGGTCTACAGCGCTTTCGAGTTTTTCGGCGTCGAAATCACGAGAGATTCGGTTTCGGTGCCTCTCAGGGATCGTGGGGATAGCAGGGGCGATCTCACGGCTGACTTGCCGGCGTGCTTCCCGCATAGTTTCAAGGTCGGATGGGGTGGCGGACGGCCGTGTCTTGAGCTTGGATCCAGAGGCCTTGATGGTGGCGACACGTTCGGGAATGGCTGGTGACTCGAGCACTTCCTCCTCTTCTACAAACGACTCCTCTTCAATCTCCTCTTCAACTTCCTCTTCATCGTCAGAAACCGGGTGGTGAATGACGGATTCGGGAGTACCAGGCATATCTTCCTCATCTTCAGGCTCGCCCCATCCCGAGCCATCATACAAGCCCCTAGGTGGTGGCTGTTCTGGGGTATGAGGCCGCTGGAGGTACTCTTGTGCTTCAGCCATCTTAAGGCTCTCAACATGGGTGGTAGCATCCCCGTCCTTTGGCTTGGGAAGCATGTAAGTCTGGAAGCTGCGGGTGAACTCCGTGTCTTTAACACCGTTCTGCACTTGGGGTAGCGTAGCACTGAAGTTTATGATGCCTTCCGGGTGCACTGGTGAGGCTGCCCGAGGTGTAGTGACTGAGTCATCCTCGGGACTTCCCAGCTGTGCTTTTTGGGCCTCATCTGAGTAATGACTGTCAGTGTCATCATCCTGAACGTCCTGCTCCGCCTCCGACTGTTCGTCTTCGGATCGCTGGTAGAGATCCAAGACATCGCTCTCTTTATCATCCGCACCATTAAGAATGACGCTAGACTCACTCTGCTCCGTGATATCCTCAAGAACTGAGTCCTCGATGCTAGCGATGGGAACATCAGGGTCGTAGGGCAACTGGCGTTCAGGGCTTGATGGGGCAGGGGAAGAGTTGAAGGTGTAGTCAGACTCTCGCTCAAAGGCCTTGTTGCCATTGACGCGGCTCAGAATAGACTGCCGAGAGATGCTGGGAAGCTGGTAGTCCATCTCCAGGGCTGAGAGATCGCCCACAGTGTCATCTTCTTCACCGGCTTCAGACTCGGCGACCTCAGCTTCAGGTGTGGGGCTTCCGACTCTATCGCGAGGCCCAGCTCGTCTCATGCGGCGCTCTCGCTGCTGTTCTGCGAAAGACTTTGCCGACTGATCAGACGCCTTAGGGCTGGTCTCGTCGGAAAGCATCATGAGCTTCAGACGCTCTTCCAACGACATCTTGCCGTTTCCGATGTTCTGGATCTCAGATTTGCTGGCCGCTGCTGGAGGCGGTGAGGGCAGGCCTCGTTGAGATCCAAGCATGCGATCGGCTGTGGCAGACAAGCCATTGGAGGAGTTTGACTGTGTCCTCTGGTGACCCATTCCCGGCAATGGAGGAAGGGGGCGATGTTCGCCGGAAGAAGTAGACGAGTCAGTTCGTCCATGCTGAGGGCGAGCAGCAGCAGGTTGCGAAGGCGCAGCCTCAGGCATGGGGCTGCTCTCGTAGTGAGGCTCATTGTCTTGACGCCAGTCATCGGGGCCGACCACCGGGGTCTTGTCCGTGTCTTCTAGAGTGGCGTCAAAGCTATCCTCATGCAGGTCGGCGTCCTCAGGATGATAGAGGCCGTAGGCGTGCTCCTCGTCATCTTCCTCGGTGTCATAGCTGCCCTCGCGAGAGTTGGAGCTGATGGAGGAAATGTCAGGCGTAGCCATCTCATACTCATTGATCTGAGGTGGGGCATTGTCGAAGGTGACGCTCTTCATGTGGCGGTTGAGAGTCTTGCCCAGGGGAAGCTCGCGCTCGTCGAAGGAGGTGTCGAAGGACACGTCAAACTGAGAGTCGTGGCTGCTCTTGAAACGCGATGTCGACATGGATGACTTGATTGGCGAGCCCTGCTCTCTGCTGGGAGTCGCAGGCTGTGAGAAAATGGGCTTGGGGCTCGTCATGGTCCGCGATGGGCTATAGAGTGTTGGGATGCTGTTCTGACTCTCACTGCGAGCGTGGCCTCGGAAGCCAGCAATGCCAGTGCCGCCATAAGCATTGCCCTGGACCTTGGCGAGTGGTCGTTCGAGAGTGGGCACGCGTGTCGGGTCATATTCCTGCTTCTGCTCGCGGGCAAACATGGTGCTATTCTTGACGCGCGAGGCCTTCTGCAGGCGCTCGATCGATGTGCGCCGCGTTGGGGATGGCGACCCTGACCGGCCACCATACAGGTCGTTCTCACTCTGGGTAGGTCCATTACGACTCTGCCAGAAGAGGCGTGGTGAAGTGGTGCTGTCTAGGGGCGAAGACTGGAATGGGGAGGAGTCGGTGTTGAGGGCCATTTTCTAGATGTCGCACGCGTTAGACCAAGCTATCCTCGATGGCAGTGAATCATGGCGACGGGCTGGTTGGTAACTGACCTTGGTTGATTGGTTCCAGCTTGGCGAATTGCGCCTCTTCTCTGTCGCTGGAATCTCCGAGAGCGGGCGTGGAACGCCCGGCGAGGATGGTGTTTTGGAGATGCGCAGCGGCTGCGTGACCTATATGGGATGCGTCAATGAGATGTCCGTCCGATCCACGCCGGCGCGATCAGTCTGTACTTACCGGCTGCTCGGAAGCCATGTTGGTAGTTGATATGTCTGATCAGTTGTCGCAAAGCTGCCAGCTCATCTCAACTCGAGGAACACACAGAGCGGTGGCGCCAGTCGTGGTGGGACAGCTCTAGGCCGTGACGGTTGACCAACGGATGGACGCCGGGCCAAGCAAGACCGCCTGTTGGGTGCGATTCTGCAGTAAACAACTGCAACGTGGACAAATGCAATGCGATGGATGCTGTACAGGGCGAAGGCGCGGTGCTAGTAAGCTTGCGCTCGAGCAACACCGGCAGGTCAAGTCAAGCGGAAAGCAGATAGTAGGGAATAGACGGAGTAGGTCGCGATGCCCAGCTTGCAGAGGGGGGAAATCACACAACGCAACGAGGGGGTATATCGAAAATCGATATAACCACTTGCCAGAGAAATCCCTTGTGAGAAGGACGAACAGAAGGGTTGCGTTGGCGAGCTGGAGGTCTGCGAAGCGAGTCGACTATTATGAGCTCTATGTTTGTGGTTGCATGTCCGAGAGCTGTGAGACGTCGGCGGCGGCGGGCGCTGATTGGCCCGGGGGCTGCGACGTGTAAACAGACATGCAGGCCAGCCGCCGGTTTCGACAGCTTCCCCCGCTATTGTGCTTGATGCCGCCGTTGCCCCCTCAACCGACCAACTTTCAGCCCGCCCTGCCGCCATCCCATCCCATCCTATCATCCATATCCATGCTCTCTCTCCCTCTCTCTTATGCCTGCCGGGCACACCACTCTGCTGCCCAGGTGTTGAGTCTCTTGTTGCTGCTGCCATTGCCCGGCCCGGGCGCCTTGCCTCGTCTGCCCCCTCCCCCTTCGTTCGCTCGGCATTGACCTCGACACCACGCCTAGGTACACTGTAATTCTTGCCCTGGACAAGGCCGTAGAGAACCAATCCACTCCTTGACAGGGACATGCCACTATCCCAACGCCTGAAATGCTTGCGCGCAATCTTCTCGCCACGACAACGCATGTTTGTTTCCCATCCCGTAAGCGTCGATGAGATCGCAATTCGCAAAAGACGCATCGTCCCGTCCCAATTGCCATGGTCCATCAGCTAGCTCCGACTCCAGAAGGATAGAAGTCGACCTCCCGTTCGGAACATTTTCATGGGGCTAAAGGCGGGCGCTCCGTATCTGCTCGTCCCCCCAAAGCTGTGTGGAGCATTCGAGGCTTACTATGGACTGCCCAGCTCCGCAGGCCTGCAGTAGGCCATCTTTCTGAAGCAGCTAGCTACCCGGATCACCTCATTATGCGGTGTACACATGTAAGTAATAATAATATGCGCATCATCTCTTGTGTTGCACGTCCTTTGCTGTGGTAACCTGCCCGGCCGCACTCGAGTGACGAGCCTGCGCTGTGACGGCCCAATCGTTGTATATCCTCCAGGCGCATTGAGCCATAGGTAACCCACAACCTTTCTACCAAAAGTAAAAAATATGGGCATCCCCGTCCTCAACAACGCAATGCCACAAGCATGATTGGGCGACCTGATCCGGGGTTGGGCCTTGGCATAGGAATCCTTACTTTCTGTTGAAGATGGCGAGTAACTCAAGCTTGAACTGAGTAGGCTGCTCTGTCAGTATGAATGCCGTATCTTATGAGCTAGGTTGTGAGTAGTTTCGAAGTTGACTTGGGTTCTAAATTAGGAAAACTTGAACGGCGGCCTACGGGCCGCTTCAAGTCGCCTGCTTAACTAGTACAAGTCTACGCCGCTTTGAAGACTTTGACGCCACAACTCGAGTGATTCTCAGTGATCTGTGCCTTGTCTCTTAGTCCTAGAAATCAAAGCCTTGCCTCGCAAACTCCAGAACCTAAAAGCCAAGAGCGAGTTGTCTAGCCCAGTCTAATCGTTGTCACCATGTAAAGGGAATGTTTACCAGCGTTGCCATCTGGTGAGACCGCCCCACTTAATCGACAACCAGCATTATGCCTACCACCCGAGCTCGCGAAGACCAATCAACAACCTGCATAGGATCATGTCGCTTGTAGGAGTTCACTTTTCAGCGCTTCTCTGCGTTGAATAAGACCTCCATTCCTGGTAGCAATGCCGGCTGTTTACTAGTTCGAAGACTCTGTCTAAATAAGCGTAAAAAAAGTGAAACTAATCGTGTACAATCTTTCATAGCCTTCCCTGACAGTAATAGCGTAACCACAATACAAAGAAGTATGCAATGCTCGTTCAGAGCTGATGTGGGTTCTGACTTGATGTTAGGAGACTGCTTTCATGTGTGAGGAGCGTGCTATTCGGGCTGCAGAGTACCCAAAGCTTGTTCATGGCATGGTTCTGGGTTCTGGATATGTTTAGCATGGAGTCACAAAAGCATCACAGGGGCTGCAGTAGCTCGATAAATCTTAGAACCATGCCTTGGTTGACAGTTGATTACAGCGTCACGAATGATCACGTCGCCCATACCTGTATATATATCATTGCAGGTTGGGGCAGAGGCAGATTATCACAGGGCGTCTCTTGGAACGGCCAAACACAAATGCTCTTTTCCTGTCGACAACAAAACTATGTCGCGTAACCAACCAACGCCGTGTGCTTGCTTCGAGCAACCGGTCACATTCCATAGGTTGCCATGATATAGACTAATTTGAGTCATCGCCGAAGCGCAGTGGGAGCGCGTAGCCCCCGTGACAAACCCAATGCAGTCATCACAGCCCTGCACTGTACCAAAATGACACACCCTTATTCGTCGTCAGCATCCGCCATCTCCTCGTCCGCGTTATCGACGTCAGACTCGCCGCTACCGCTACCACTCGACTCGTGGGCCGAGTCGTACTCCTCGGCGACATCCGACTCGGAGTCTGCTCTGAAGTCCTCGTCCACACTCTCCTCATCCTCATCGGCAGAACCGCGGTCAGCGCGTGCGCCTACAACTTCGTCCTCACTATCAGACATGGCGTTATCACGTAGGGCAGCCGCAATCAGGTTGGCGTCTTCATCGATCTCGTTCTTAACCCGCAGACCCTTGTGCTTGAAGAAATCCTCGAGCGCCTTCAGATCCTCACGATTAATGTTGCTGAATTGGGTCGCAGCACTGCCGCCCTTCATGTGAACGGTGATATCGAATGTCGAAAGCGTCGAGACAGCACCTCCTACGCGAGAGAAGGTGACGCTGGCGGTCTGGTCATAGGAGATATATGTCGCAGGCTTGGGGACGAACATGAAGGCCTTCTCCAGGCAGTATAGGAAGCCCTCGCTCGCCTTGATAAAGCACTTGATACCCGTCTGCTGTCTGTGGGTCACAAAGTCCTTTGCGGGGGAGACGATCTTCTTGTTGGCCAGGCCCTTGAAACAGTAAGTGATAACCTGGTGCAGAGGCTGTTCGTAGTGTGACTGTAACTTGTCCTTGTAGCTGGCCTCCAGCTGCTCCTCGGTGAGGTTCAGGTCGATGGTGACCTCCTCGTCCTTCTTGCACTGCATGACCAAGAAGGGGTAGCGCGTCTGACCCTGGCGCAGGGGGGGATCCAAGCCGATGCAAAGCATGCAGTGCAGGTCGTCGGGCTTGGGCAGCACCATGAACTTCTTGATGTGGTCGTACTGGATCTTGTAGTCGTATGTCTTGCCGCGCAGGCGGAAGGAGCTCTCGTACATGTCGATGTCGAAACGACCTCTGGGGGTGAGGTGCAAGACCTCGAGGAAGGTGGCGATGGCGTCTCCGGCGGTCTCGCCAATCTCGGCCTTGTCGATGAGGGTTTCGTAGAACAGGGTGGCGGCGTTCTTCTCTTCGCCGCCCTCGGCGTCGCTACCGGCCTCCTCGCCCTCTGTCTCCTTGCGGGTGGTGACGCCGGGGACGTAGAAACGCATCTCGACGAGCTGGTCAGCGCCGGCGCCCGACTTCTTGCCCTTGCCGCGCGCGCCGCCGAGGTGACCGTTGGTGCCGGTGTCGGCCTCGTCCGAGGCGGCGAACTCGATGGCGACCTCGTTGCGGCCGGCCAAGTTTGTATTTGTGATTTCCGAGTAGGGGATCTCGAAGCCGGGGCGGTTCTGGACGTTGAAGACCAGCTCTGCCTTGGTGAACTCGGTCTTACCCCAGTTCCAGCCTCGCAGGGCGTGCTCCTTGGTCTCGAGGTTCACGCTGTACCAGTTCTTGAAGATCTTGCTGATGCGCGACAGGTCCTCCTCGAGGAAGCCATCGATCTGGACGATCTCGGAGGACCGCTTGATGATCTTGACCTCGTAGCCCTTGGCAGCGCGACTCCACTGGGCGTTGGCGATCTCGCCGCGCTCGAGGGTGAAGGTGTTGCCGCCGCCAGACGGCTTCCAGCCGAGGCCGTTCTCAGAAAACCGGCATTTCCCGCTGTCCTTGGAAAGGTCGAGGTAGATGTTGTCGAAACTCTCTCTGCCGGGAGCCATGGCGGTCAGCTGGGCTGTTGAGAGGTGCACGTACGGATGAATAGATGGATGGGGAGACAAGATGGAGAGAGTGCAACCTGGGATGGGGATCGGACACAAGGAGATTGGCAATTGCAACTGCCGAACTGGAAGCGTACTCACATGGCCGACATGTTGAATCTCTACACACCACCGAGGTGCCGGGTCGCAACGCTGTTGGCTGTTCCGGTGCCTGGGCGGGTTTGCGACGGGTGCCCCTTCCAGTCGCCGTCGGATGGAGCTGGGAGCTGTACCACGGCAGCTATTCGTACTGCAACGATGCGCAACTGCGGCCGACGACTGCGACAAGTGCCGGGACCAGAATCAGGATGGCGACGTGGAGGCCGCAGGAGATGGTGAAGGAGAGAATGAGGGAGTGAGTGGGTTGTGGTCGAGCTCCAGCTTTGGTGCAGCGATGTGCAAGGCTGGGCTCTCGATATGGACGAGGAAAAAGTTGGGTGTTGCCCGCCAACGCCCGCTGCCCGCCCGCCGGCCTCGCGCCTGCCAGCCTCCAACGACGCGCGACGTCCAAGCTTTTCGCGTTAATGGGCGGGCAGGCCACGCCGCACGTGATGGCTCATTGGGGGAGTGCCTACGGAGTAGTCAAGTGCCTAGTCAAGTGCCTAGTCAAGTGCCTAGTTAAGTGCCTTGAGAGCGTCAAGACTCCCAAGACTCACCCAATACCTACTCTAAACTAGGTACTTATGAACTTACGAACTTAAAGTACACTGCCTGTCCGCAAGCACTCAGAAACCTTTGATAGGCAGCCAAGTAGATTCTTACATACATCCATATAAAAATACATATATGTGTGTTACTGTCGCAATACGTCCCAGAGAGCTATGTTTTCCTAGATGCCCAGTCCATTCATGACTTACTATCAACCTGACTGCTGTTAATATACCTTGGAATATCCTCTCTCACCTCGCTGCACAACACCGTGCCGCACTGGCAAAGGTCGCCTACAGAGCTCATCCATCCTTGTATGCTTGCCTGTAACATGGAGATGTCAAATTGTTATGATCAATGAACTGTCATCTTGTTTTATGCCTCGGCGCTGCTCAAGGGACAATTCGCAGAGCCGAATGCGCATCTTGCAACGCTGGTCGCAATATAGAACCACCCACCAAGAAACCCACCTGGTTCATAAGTCATCTTATAACAGCATGGGAGAAATAAAAGGGGGGGGATGGGGGGTTTCGATATGGGACCTCGCGAGAAAGAAGAAAGAGGCTTAGCTCTGTCGGCGGCCTGGACTTGACCCCACTAGATTGACAGCTGGAAGAAGGCGCCCCATGGCCCAAGTTAACCCCCGAGTTACCTACAGCAAGTTCCCTAGCCCCCCACTGGGCATCCCTGATTCTGGGCCAAGCAGGACAAGCAGGACAAGTAGGACGAAAGCTGGTGTGCTTGGCTACGGGCTACGTTAGACTGCTCCCATTGAGCCATTGAGAAAGGGCTCGAGGCGCAGTTCGCCATCAGGTTTCACTTGACTTGACGTACGAAGTACCTCGTGAAGCTTTGCGCTCGCCTTTCGCATCCCCATCCCCATCCCCATCCCCATCCCCATCCCCATCCCCCATTCACACTTTGTTCCTCCCGTTTTTGCTTAGGCGTCTAGCTTCTGTTTCTTTTGTATGCCCGCAACCCCCCTTGGTTTTCTTGAATATCCCCTCTTTCTAGTATCATAGATCCCCCCCCCTCTTCAAGCCCGACCACATCAGCAAACATGTCTGGCCGATTTGTGCGGGCTTCCAAGTACCGTATGTTCCTCTGAGCCGTGATCGCCATGGCCAACTGCCTCCAAATGCTGACTCTGCCTCCTCCCCAGGCCACGTCTTTGGCAAGTCTACAAGGAAGGAGTCCTGCTACGACAACATCCGCATCAGTCGCAATGCCTGGGATACCAACCTGGTCAAGGTCAGCCGGATAGCCCCCCCAATCGCAATCGCAATCGCAATCGCAATCACCCCGTAGGCTATGCGCCGTGCTGTGCAGCTGCTGACACGAGAGTCGCAAAGGCCAACCCCGAGTACCTCTCCGTCAATTGGGAGGCCAGCGGCGGAGGCGCCTTCGCCGTCATCCCCCTGAACGAGAAGGGCAAGCTCCCCGACGTCATCCCCCTGTTCCGCGGGCACACGGCGACTGTCCTCGATACCGACTGGTGCGCACGCGACCTCGAACCCTCGTACACACTCCGTTGACCCCAAGTCTGACTCTGCTCAAGGAACCCCTTCAACGACCGCATCGTGGCCTCCGCCTCCGACGATGGCAAGGTCATGATCTGGGAGGTCCCCAAGGGCTTCACCCTCTACACCGACGCCGAGGAGCCCGCCGATGTCTCCCCCGTTGCCAAGTTCACCGGCCACTCGAGAAAGGTCGGCCAGGTCCTCTTCAACCCCGCCGCCGAGAACATCCTCGCCTCCGCCTCGGGCGATCTCACAATCAAGCTCTGGGATGTCGCCACCGGCCAGGCTGCCCTGTCCATGAAGCACCCCGACATCGTCCAGTCGCTGTCGTGGAATGCGAGCGGCAACATGATGGTCACAACCTCCAGGGACAAGAAGCTGCGCGTGTGGGATGTCAGGCAGGAGCGCCCCGCCTCGGAACACCAGGGACACGACGGTGCCAAGAACAGCCGTGCCGTATGGATGGGTGAACAGAACAGGATCGCCACGACAGGTTTCTCCCGCATGAGTGATCGCCAGCTGGCTCTGTGGGAGCCCGGCACCACCACGCCCATTGGCGGCTTCACCACGCTCGACAGCATCTCTGGCGTCTGCATGCCCTTCTGGGGTATGTTTATCACTTCTTCTCTCTCGGTGCTTGGAACAACTATACTAACGTCTGGATAGATGATGGCTGCAACTGCTTGTACCTGGCCGGAAAGGGGTAAGCACACCAGGAGTCCCACTGGCCATTGTCACGGTGCGCTAACATGCAGTATTAGTGATGGAAACATCCGCTACTTCGAGTACCAAAACGACAAGTTCGAGTTCTTATCCGAGTACAAGTCCGGCGAGCCCCAGAGAGGTCTGGCGTTCATGCCCAAGCGTGGTGTCAACGTACGCATCCCTATAAGACCGAAGAACCAAGCACCCGATATGTATCACTAACACCCCTGGCAGGTACACGAGAACGAGATCATGAGAGCATTCAAGACCGTCAACGACCAATACATTGAGCCCATCTCTTTCACCGTCCCTCGCCGCGCCGAAACCTTCCAGTCGGATATCTTCCCTCCGGCCGTAGGATCCAAGCCGGGACTGAGCGCGCAAGAATGGCTGTCTGGCAAGACCGCCCTCCCCTCCAAGATTGACTTTGAGAGCATCTACGAGGGCAACGCCCCGGTCGAAGTCCCGTCCGACTACAAGCCTCCTGCCGCTGCTCCGGCCCCGGCGCCCGTCTCGAAACCCACGCCCAAGAAGGAGCCCGAGCCCGCGCCAGCTGCCGTCAGATCGCCACCCCCCACGATGAAGGACCAAAAGCAGTCCATGGCCGCCCTGGCCTCCAAGTACGAGGACCATGAGGAAGAGGAGGACGACGACGATGACGAGTCGAGCTTCGAGGAGATCTCCAAGCCCGTCCAGCGCAGCGCCATGCCCGCCAAGGTCGAGACCCGGGCGCCTCCCCCGACCAAGACCACCTCCGCTCCTCCACCCAAGGCCGCATCTCCCATCAAATCACCCACGTACGCCCCCTCGCCCGTCGCCGCCGCGGCTGCCACGCAGTCCGCGCCCGCGACCAGCGCTTCCTCGGGCGGAGTAGAATCGACCCTCGACCAGATCAAGCAGCTGCTCGAGACGCAGACCAAGATGATCAGCTCGCAGGGCCAGCAGATCGCCAACCTGACGGGCGAGGTGGAGAACCTGAAGAAGCGCGTCGGCTCGGGCTCGCAGGACCAGAGCGAGCGCATCCGGCAGCTCGAGCTCGAGCTCGAGGCCCTGCGGTCCTAGAGATAGATCCTCCCCGAGATAAACGAGATTGGCGTGTCTACGTTCTCTTTGCAGGCAGGCGATAGGATACGGATGGCGAAAAGCTTCGTTGCCACGTTTGAAAATAGAGCTGGTCCGGGGGTTTTATATTGAAAGGAAGAACGGAAAGCAGACAATGGAATACCGGGCACCGGGGCCGTGAGCTAGATGACGCCCCAGCCGAGAAGGAAAAAAGAACAATGGATGGATGCATCATGAATCTTGACGAACGAGCGGGGGACACCCTCCCCGTCTTTGTAGCCTAGGCCGGTGAGGAGGTTAGCTGTTATACCAAAAAGTTTCGAAACCGCCCCTTAAGATCGTGTCTGTCGCGCCTGTGAAGCTATGAAGCCAGTAGTCTTGGCCGAGATGGAAAATGCTGACAGTGAGAGGCGTGAGGACAAGAGATGCAAAAAGTGGGTATCAAAAGATCGCTCCTATTTCCTACTCTGCTGCTGTGCTGCTGCTGCTGCTGCTGGTCTTTACTCTATTTCTTCGACCTCGGCCTGCCCCTCAGCGTCTTGAGGGGATTGGACTTGCGGCCACCGCCGGCCTTGCTGCCGCGTCCCTTGAACGACCTCCCCCTGCGCCCCTTTCCTTCGCGGTCCTTCCGGAAGGGCACGAAGCCCACCTCGTTGGCCGTCAGGGCCTTTTTGCCCTCAGCGGGCAGCAGATAATCTGGGACGCTGTTCCCCCCGTGAGGTTAGCATCGAGCTTCGTGGGTATAGGTGTTTAGGAACAAGAGGAAGAAGGGAGGGGTCTGGGGGCTTACTGCTTGAGATGGGCCTGGGTGCGGGCGGCGCGCAGCTCCGTGTCGTGGCGCACGAGGTGGGAGAGCTCCTGGGGGTTCTCCTCGAAGTGGCGCTTGAGCTTCTCGCTCTTGGCGAGCTCCTGGCGCAGCTCGCGGACGCGGGCCTCGCGGACGGCGACGGTGGTGACGGCGCGCAGGGCGTCGTTCATGCGGTAGCGGAAGCTGTTGACCTGCTTCATGTCGAAGGCGTACGGCTTGACCTCGCGGCCCTTCTTGGCCTGCTGCTTGGTGATCTTGGCGAGCACCTTCTCGTCGTGCTCGGCCGACTCGACCGACGTCGGCATGTGCTTGCGGTACTGGTCCTTGGGGATCACGAAGGACAGCGCCATGCCGTTCTGCGACGCCCTCGCCGTTCTGCCTATACGGTGTTCGTACGACTTTGCCGTCGTGGGTAGATCGAAGTTGATGACCTTTTGAGGAAGGTCAGACTTGGCACCGGCGTAGGAAAGAAGAAGAATGACAAAAGATATGACTTACACATGAGACATTCCGGAAATCTATGCCTCGCGACACACCGTACTCCTTATCCTTGGATGCCTTGCGCTTCTTCTTTGGGGGTGCGTTCTCGCCCTTCTTGGACTTTGCTGCGCCGTCTCCTTCCTCGGCCTGCTCGTCATCTCCGTCGCGGGGAGATTCCTCATCGGGAATCACCTCGTTCTCATCCGAGGCGATGATGATGTTGTACACGTTACGGTTGAACTCGGACACAACGTGCAGCCGCGAGTTGACGGGGAGTTCCGAGTTGAGGATACAGCTGCGGATGCCGAATTGCTCAAAGAACAGCTTCAGCCTGTAGCTGCGATCAACGCTCTGGACAAATATGATGGATTTCCCCTTGAACAGCTGGAGCTTGTAGGTGACATATGTGAGAAGAAACTTCTCGTCTTCAGCACACCTGGTGCGTGTCAGTGATGATATATTGCACAGAAAAATGTGGGCAGACTCACTTGACAACAAATTGTGTCAGCGTGTTGGTTGCAGTATCCTCATCTCCAAGGTCCAGCAGGGTCGGATTCCGGCAGAAGATGCCCTTCAGTGTGTCGACCTCGGCGGTCAGGGTGGCGCTCATGAGGATGGTCTGGATGCCCTTGGGTATGGTGCCGGCGATGCTCTGCAAATCATCGTCGTAACCGTAGCTCAGCACCAGGTCGGCCTCGTCCAGAACCAAGTGTGTGAGCTGCTCGACAGAGAGCGATGCGTTCTTGATGTTGTGCAGCGCGCGGGCCGGGGTGGCGACCACGATGTCGGGAGCGTTGGAGAGGAGGGCCTTGGAGACCTGGTCGGGCACGTTGTCCGACAGCTTGACGACCTGGATCTCCTTTGTGCAGTAGGCGGCCAGGGACTCGATGACCTTGGTGACCTGCTGAGCGAGCTCGCGGGTGGGCACCAGGATCAGGGCGGCCAGCCCGGGCGAGGCCGCCTTCTGGGACTTCTTCTTCAGGATGGACTGGAGGACGGGGAGCAGGTAGGCGGCCGTCTTGCCGGAGCCGGTGCGGGCCCTCGCGATGACATCCTTGCCGTCGAGGGCCAGGGGGATGGCCTTCTGCTGGATGGGGGTCGGGGCCTTGAAGCGCTGGCTGGCGACGGCCTGGAGCAGGCGCGGGTCGAGGTCGAAGTCTGCAAAGGTCGGCTCTTTCGTCTCGGAAGGGTTTGCCTTGGTGTCTGTTACCTCGACACTGGGAGCACTAGACCGGGTTAGCGGTGGGTTGGCTGCAGACGGGGCTGCACATGGTACGCACTCGTTCTCATCAAGCTTGCGTTTGCCCATCTTGAAACGTTGCGGGTCCCTGTGATGTATGGATGGCCGTGATGCGATGTGGTGGTGGTGGTGGTGGTTGCTGCTGCTCTGCGGCCACCCAAGTGTAGCGGCCTGCACTCATGAAATTTATTTCTTATCTTATCGCCATCGGCCTGGCGGGTCCCCTCCTGGGCAGTCCATTCCTCTGGTGGGGTCCAGTGAGGCCCGTCCAGTGCTGGAGGTCGTCTTGGAGATTTTTTGAGCCGCCCCCCTGTCCGGCCTAGGTACTGTGCCACAGCGCATACATACCTTACAGGTAGGTAGTTCGTTAGTGGGTTGCTTGCTTGCTTGGATGGAAACGAAACATCTTGCATGGGATGATGAGTGGCAGGAATTCGAAGACACTGGACCTTTGCCTTCTCGCCCATCCACCAGTCTCACAATTCTCGGGCACGGCTGCTGTTGGTAGCAGCAAGAGTCTCAACTTGGTCTACTTGCTTGCCAGCATCGGCCAATGGCCAGTGTGTGGTCTGGTTGCTATTTACAGCAGACCAATGAGTTGACCTGCTCTTGGATCACGGTCAACACCACGAGACGGTCACTTCTGACGTTCCAGTCCTGACGTTGATGGTGCGTTACTGGACTTGGACCACATCCACACGTGCCCAATGCAAGCCCGCAATTCAGTACTTTCAACCAATGCCCACTGCACTTCGGCTCCAGGTCCTGTCTCTGTAACCCGGCAGTTGAAGCTTTCAACCCCAGACTTTCCCATCTTTCCCCAGAGACACGTCCACAGCTGCCAAGAGCCTCGATTTCGAGGCCAAACCGCAGTGTCACCGGCATGATGCGCCTTGTTCTTGGCTTCGAGGCCGATCACTGCACCTCTGGGAGACTTGACAAGCAGGAGGGCCATCGCTCATAGGCCCTCCCCTCGTTTTGCGCCGCTTGGCTTTGCTGCGACTCGACGACTGTTTTGGCCAAGGCCGAGAGAGGAAGCGAGGCAAGTGCCGCGCCGGCCAGTCCCAGCTCAGTCCCAGCTCCCAGCCCTGCCAGCGTGCTCCGGGCGTGCCACAGACCCAAGGGCCGGCAGGGTCCAGTGGTCCACCGCCGCTAGCTCTGCCCGCTGGTGAGACAAGCTCTCAGTATCGCAAGCCTCCAAGGGTCACACTCGTTTGATCCCCTTCCCGTTTCATCAACCCGGGCGCAGACGCAGACCGCGCCCACAATGCCCACTCCACCCGAACGCCTATCTTCGCCCCCCATCTTTACCGTTGCCCGCCCAGCCATCCAGAGGGAGACAAAGATACGTAACTCGGCGGCTGTAGATGGGGGACGGCGACTGTAGCTTGCCATTCCGCAATCTCGACCAGTCTTCCGCCTGCCACGGCCGCCCGGGATCGGGCCTGGACAGAGGTCAGAGCGCTCGCGGGCTAATCCCAACACACACATCGGTTGCACATTCTCATACCCGCCCGCCCGCCGCAAGGCAACCCTACTTACCCATAGTAGGTAGCTATTCACATGGGGTGCGTATCCTCATGGGGGCCGGAGTTGTTTCTCTTGCACCCTGCGCAATGGAGCACCATGGTAATACTTGGAAAATCCTCGACAAGCCTCAACGCCCCGTGCAACTCGGGCGTACTCGGGTTGTCTGACCCTTGCGCCGCGAGCGAAGGGGGGCGATGAGTCCTGGGCTATCCTGGCGCCGGGCGGCGACACATGGCGATGGTGCCGTGAGCTCCTTGCTGTCAATCATTGCTTAGTTCCGAGAGCCCTTGAACTCGCTACGGCGGTACTACTCTGTGTCTACACCATGTTCCGCGAATAGGCACAGTATGCACTACTTGCACGCTGCTGCATTTTGGTTCCTATGCAGGCCAAGTCTCTGGTGAGAATCATTAAGCCTTCATGAGCGGCTTGGCAGTCCTGTCGCTGTTTCCGTTGCTGTCTGACCTATTTCTAGTATAGATGATCTGTATCTCCTTTGACCTAGCGCCGATGTGACTTGAGCTGGAGATCGTCCAAGTGGCCTTGTCCTCGCGCGCGTCTCGGACCGCTTGGCAGCCAAATGTGTTTCTGTAGTCGCACAGCGCCCTTCTGTTTCCGGACGAACAAAGTACTCTATACAACCTCTGATAGGCCGCTCCACGTTGCTGGCAAGTCTCTCGGCGGTCTAGCTTGGTCACGTGCCCCCCTTGAGCCGCCAATGGGGACTGTTTCAAGTCCCATCGATGCTGAAACTTCGACAGGGGCCGTTGTCTCTCTGGGGACTCACAACTCCCACGGACCCTTCGCTGTCTCTTCTCTTTCACCCCATTCGCCCAACGTGAGGCATTTTCAGATGTGCGGGACCGTTATCCGCCTTGCTATAGGGAAAAGTTGAGCGTAGCCAAAATAGTCCGCTCGAAACCGATCGACAAGTCGCATCGGGCTCCTTCATGTCAGAGCGACCCTGGGGTGTTGCTGGAAATCCAACCCTCTGATAGGCCAATTCATCTCATCTAACATCCCTACCGTGGACGGCAATCCTCAGTTCGTAATGGCAAGCTCCCGTAGCTTTGAGCCCTTCGAATGGAGAAAAAAAAATCCCTCCACCAAATCCTAGTCTTCTGTCTTCGCGGTGGACCTCTCCCCCTGCAGACCTCCAGTATACCTGGTTGCTTCATGGGAAACCGCCAAGCTCTTGGCCTGGGCGGTAACGATTTTGCCTTCGTAGACTGTAGCAATGATTCCCTATAAGTAATCTCAAATCCCATCCCGGGATGACGGGTTTGTTCTCTCTTCTCCTTCACCTCACTCCCCTTCTCCTCTTCTCTCCCTCTCCGCGGCCCGGCTCCCGGTGTTTGTTGTTTCCTTTCCTTTCCTTCTCTCTTCTTTTTTACAGCTGGTCTGTAGCGCGGGTCGTACTATGGCGCCAAACATTAAGAAGGTGAAGATGTTCAGGCAACACAGGGACGGGATGGGTGCCCCCGACTATCTCGGTCCCTCGATAGACGAGACTACCAACGCCGACCTGGAGTCTGGTAGCTTCTTGACTGAGAACCAAAGGAACAACAACATTGACAAGCCGGCTGGCGACAACAACCATGGCGACAACCCGTACTTGGACGAGTACAGAGCGTAAGTCTACTCCTCCCCCCCAATAATCATCCCATCTTCCCACGATGGGCTAGAAACGGTTCGGTCGTCTGATGATTGGCATAGTTTGGTTCGTTACGTCGACACCTACCGGGATCCGAACGCCGCGGCGGAATCAGGGGAGGAGGACTTCGCAGAACAGAGCAAGCCCCGGCCATGGTGGGCCTTCTGGAGGGGAGGCAAGGCTGGATACGCTTCGGCCTCGTCCAAGAGCGATTTCCAGACCCCAAGCGACTGGGTGAACACCGACCTCCGAGATGGGCTCAACGACTTGGAGGTGGAGCGGAGACGCAAATTCTCCGGATGGAACGAGCTCACCACGGAGAAGGAGAACATGTTGAAGAAGTTCATTGGTTTCTTCCAGGGACCTGTCCTATACGGTAAGACCATGTGCGGAACCCTGTGAAGATCTCCGTCTAACAGCCCCCTAGTCATGGAAGTTGCCGTCATTCTCGCTCTCGGTCTCCAGGATTGGCTTGATGCTGGTATCATTATTGGCATCTTGCTTCTCAACGCCATCGTCGGTTGGTACCAGGAGAAGCAGGCGGCCGACGTTGTGGCTAGCTTGAAGGGAGATATTGCTATGAAGGCTCGTGTCGTGCGAAATGGTCAAGAAAGAGATGTTTTTGCTAGAGAGCTTGTTCCCGGAGACATCGTAAGTCACACTCGACAATTCTGCCTGATATCTCATTCTAACAGCTGCAGATCATCATTGAGGAAGGCCACGTCGTCCCGGCTGATGCCAGACTCATCTGCGATTACGAAAACCCCCACGGCCAGGCCCAGTACAACGCTGAGCTGAACGCCCAGGATGTTACTTCCCCTCGCCGTGAAAAGTTCGAGGAGGAGGATGAGGAGGGCACCCCCCATGTTGGCCACGCCATTGTTGCTGTCGATCAGTCTGCCATGACCGGTGAATCCCTTGCTGTCGAGAAGTACATGACCGACACTGTCTACTACACCACTGGCTGCAAGCGTGGCAAGGCCTACTGTGTCGTGACCTCCGGTGCCCAGGCTTCCTTCGTTGGTAAGACTGCCTCGCTCGTCCAGGGCGCAAAGGACAGCGGTCACTTCAAGGCTATCATGAACTCGATCGGTGGCACGCTCTTGGTCCTCGTCGTTCTCTGGATTCTGATCGCCTGGATCGGTGGCTTCTACCGCAACATCCGCATTGCCTCCCCCCAGGAGAGCTCCCGCACACTCCTCCACTACGCCCTCATTCTCTTGATCATCGGCGTCCCCGTTGGTCTGCCAGTTGTTACTACCACCACTCTGGCTGTCGGCGCTGCCTACCTCGCCAAGGAGAAGGCCATTGTCCAGAAGCTGACTGCCATTGAGTCGCTTGCCGGTGTCGATATCCTCTGCTCCGATAAGACCGGAACTCTGACGGCCAACCAGCTGTCTGTGCGCGAGCCGTTTGTCATGGAGGGTGTCGACATCAACTGGATGATGGCCGTGGCCGCGCTGGCCTCGTCGCACAACATCAAGGCTCTTGACCCCATCGACAAGATCACCATCCTCACCCTCAAACGCTACCCCAAAGCCAAGGAGATGATCAGCGAAGGCTGGAAGACCGAGAAGTTCACGCCCTTCGACCCCGTCTCCAAGCGCATCACGGCCGTCGTCACACACCAGGGCGTGCGCTACACCTGTGCCAAGGGTGCCCCCAAGGCCGTCCTGGCCCTGACCAACCCGACCGAAGAGCAGGCTGCCCTGTTCCGCGAGAAGGCCGCTGAGCTCGCTCGCCGTGGTTTCCGATCTCTCGCCGTCGCCGTCCAGGAGGAGGATGGCCCCTGGGAGATGCTCGGCATGATCTCTCTCTTCGACCCGCCCCGTTCCGACACTGCTTCCACCATCGCTGAGGCTCAGGCTCTGGGTCTCCAGGTCAAGATGCTGACTGGTGATGCCATTGCTATCGCGAAGGAGACCTGCAAAATGCTGAACTTGGGCACGAAAGTGTTAGTATTCCTTCTTCATCAACGGCGCTTGGATTCGTAGACTAACTTGATCCAACAGGTACAACTCAGACAAGCTCCTTCACAGCGGCATGGTCGGTACCTCTATCCATGATCTCTGTGAGCGTGCCGACGGTTTCGCCGAAGTCTTCCCCGAGCACAAGTACCAGGTCGTCGAGATGCTGCAGCAGCGTGGCCATCTGACTGCCATGACTGGTGACGGTGTGAACGACGCTCCCTCCCTGAAGAAGTCGGACTGCGGTATCGCCGTCGAAGGTTCCACTGAGGCTGCCCAGGCCGCCGCCGACATCGTCTTCCTTGCCCCCGGTCTCAGCACCATTGTCTCGGCCATCAAGATCTCCCGCCAGATCTTCCAGCGCATGAAGGCCTACATCCAGTACCGTATTGCCCTGTGTCTCCACCTCGAGATCTACCTGGTCACCTCCATGGTCATCATCAACGAGACCATCCGCTCCGACCTGATCGTCTTCATTGCCCTCTTCGCCGATCTGGCCACCATCGCTGTCGCCTACGACAACGCCCACTACGAGAAGCGCCCGGTCGAATGGCAGCTCCCCAAGATCTGGATCATCTCCGTCGTCCTCGGTGTCTTGCTCGCCCTCGGAACCTGGATCCTGCGCGGAACCCTCTGGCTGCCCGACGGCGGTGTGATCCAGAACTACGGTGGCATCCAAGAGATTCTCTTCCTGCAGGTCGCACTCACCGAGAACTGGCTCATCTTCGTCACCCGTGGATTCGAGACCACGCCCTCGTGGCAGCTGGTCGGAGCCATCTTCGGCGTCGACATCCTGGCCTCCATCTTCGCCCTGTTCGGCTGGTTCAGCGGCGGCGGCCCGTCCGAGTCCATGGAGACGGCCGTCTCGGTGTCGTCCAAGCTGTCCGAGAACGGCGCCACCGACATCGTCACCATCGTCGTCATCTGGATCTACTCGATCGCCGTCGTCATCGTCATCGGCATCATCTACTACATGCTGACGGGCTGGTCGACGCTCGACAACCTGGGCCGCAAGAAGCGCAGCAAGCAGGACACCATGATGGAGAACATCCTGACCCACCTGAGCAAGGTCGCCGTCGAGCACGAGCAGGACGAGAAGGGTAGCGCGCGCTACTACATTGCGCAGAAGCAGATCGTCGAGGAGGAGGAATAGATGGCCCCCCCTCTCTCAAGGGAAAGAGGAGAGGTGAAATAGGAAAAGAGAAAAAGAAAAACCCAATACCTGCTACTACTACCGCTAGACAGACCTTTAGACGCATTACTATATTTTTCCTTGGAGTGCATTTACTTGTACACTACCATCTGATACCACGACGGTCATTACAGGTCTGCGAAGGCTGTGGGGAGAACAAATATATTCTTTATGTTCAATTTGCTGGTTCCAACTCCGGCCACGTGAACACTAGCAGTAAATCAAAACCCAATGAGAAATGCTAATTTGCAACTGAATCGCTGGATCAGACTTAACAACAGCAGCTGGGGGACAGTTCCCACGTTATTGGCTTAGTAAGACCCAGCCTCTCTCCAGTTTGCCGGACGTCGGTTGTAAGGCGTAGAATGAACGTCCGATAGTTTACAAATATTGCACACTCTCTGTGTTGTAGGCCGGCAGCGAAACCCCGTATGGCTTATGAGCCTTCCTCGAGGATGTGTATTTGGCCAAGCTGAATTTTTGATCATTGTAACTGACAGTCCATCAGTCAGTAGTATTTCATTTTTGACCCGCATCCATACTTGGCTGGGCCGGTGTCTCCTGTTAGGGGGTTGGCAATGATTAGGGGCGATCTAGCTTAGTTTCACTAAGGATTGTTTCTACGACATACGACGATCAAGTGGTCAAGAAATTAGTGTACATCAATCATGCAGTATATTAGCCTAATTTGATATCTCGATCTCGCGGTGATGAAAATGCGAGCACAGTGCCAGGATATAACACAATGAAGCCAAAGTACAAGCCAAAGCCCAACAACTGCCGGATAGCAAAACACGAGCCACGGCAGTGTAAAAAGAACTCCGGAACCCCAGTCCAAGCATCCCCTCGTCCCCCTATTTCCGTCCTCGCCCTTCGGGAAAAAAAAAAAAAACAGTAATCGTTACCCGTGCCTTCGTGCCCCCTTGCATCTACCGTGGCGCCTGGCCCTCGACAAAGTCCAGCGCCTGCTCCGTGGGCACGCAGCTGATGTTGCTGTTCTTGTTTCTGAAGGTGACACCGTAGCACTTGTCGGCAACGTGGACGATCTCGGGACGGAAGGTGGTGCAGATGAACTGCGTGCCCGCCTCCTTGGAGATGGATTCCAGAAGCCCGGCGACTGCGGTTCGATACTGGGCGTCGAGGTTGGCGTCAACCTCGTCGAAGATGACCATGGGGCTGGATTCTGTCTGCTGCAGGGCAAAGATCAGGCACAGCGCGCAAAGACCTAGGTTCTCATGTTAGTCTGCTCGTTGGTTGTGGCTGGCACAGAAGTGATTGGACTTACTCTTTTGACCGCCAGAAAGTTGCTGGATACGTTGTTGTTCATCGAATTGTTTCGAGTTGAAAGAAACGCTGATACCGACGCCTGTGTAGTTCTCAACAGATCCGCGCTGCTCCTCGTCTGACTCTTCAGGGTCCATGCGACGATCAGCCTTGCGTTGGATCACAAGTCGGCCGTGGCCAGCTGGTACAAGACGCTCAAAAATGGTTGCAAACTCCTTGGATACCTGCTTGAAGGTACGCTCGATAGCTTCGTCTTTGCGCTGGTCCAAGTGGTTGATGAGCTCCTGAATAGACTCCTGTGATTGGTCGAGTTCTTTGCGTCGTTTGAGAAGTTGGTCCTGCTGGTTGGTGAAGCTGTTGTACTGCTCAAAGGCCTTCTTGTTGACGTGCTTGTACTTCTTGAGCGCGTCGTTGACTTTCTTGAGCCTTGTAGCAATCTGTAGACCTTGTCAGTGAATCAGCACAATGGCAAGACCGGAAATGACTCACGTTCTTGGCTTCCAGCCTCTCATACTTCTCGAAAGCCTCTTCAGGTAACACACCAAGGTCACGGATGTTCTTGGCGCACTCTGTTGCCTTTGTCGTGAGAAGAGCCTTCTTCTGAATGCTTCTCTCCATCCTCTTCTGTTGCTTCTGAATGTCCCTGGCAAGGTCTTGTTGCTCGGCATCCTTGGTAGCCTTCTGCTTCTCGAGGGTTGAGATGGAGGATTCTGTGCTGTCAATTTGTTGCTCGTTTTCTTGCAACTTGGTCTCCACCGAAGTGACAGACGACTGGGCTCGCTTGAGCTCCCGCTTGGCCTCCTTCAGGGTTCCACTGTTGCCGCCAACAGACGTCTCGAAAGCTTGACTTGTCAACTCGTCCAGTTTGCGGCGGAGGTTGTCACGCAGCTCGACATCTAGGATCTGTTTCCGCCCTTCTATTTCACGCCTGCCTCTGCTGACTTCGGTCCACTGCTTCTGTAATTCCTGCACTGATTGACTCAAGCTCTCGAGTTGCTGCTCTTCGGCGGCCGACAGCGCCTTCTTGAAGTCCGAGGCCAGCTCTGCCTCGTGTGCGCCAACAGTGTCGGCAAAGTCCTTCATATTCTTGTCAACAGCATCGCGGCGCCTGATCGCCGCCTCGAGATGATCTTGTTCCCGGCCGATCTGGGCAGTCTTTGCGTTCAGCTCGGCCTTGAGGGGGCCGTAGCCATCTTCCATTTGGCGCAGCTTCTGCTCAAGCTTCCGAACTTCACCCAGGGCGCGTGTAATCTCCTGGTCCTTCTGCTCAATCTGCCTTCTGATGGCAGCGGCTTCAGCCTCTAGCTTCTCGTATTGATCGCGCCAGTTGGTGACATTGCGGACGGCTTGTAAGCGTGACTTTCCAGGATCAATGTAACCACCAGTCATGGCACCACGCTTATTCGTAGTATCACCATCAGGGGTGATGGCATCACAGTTGTGACTTCGGGAGTACTGACCAGCAACTGTCAGGTTGGGACAAACAATGGTCCGTCCGAAGACTTGCTGCATCGCAGACTCGTACATCGGATCGTACTCGATCTTGCTGATCAAAGGAACAGCATCGCCTGCGCGCGGCAGGTTGGCCTGGCGCGGACGAAGCTTGCTCAGCGGAGCGAAGGTGACACGTCCACCACGTTGTCTTTGGAGAGCATTCATGAAGTATGTCGCAGTCTCCTCGTTGTCCACGATGTAGTGGAATAGACTGGCACCGGCAACCTGCTCAACCGGCACGCGGTAGGCCTCGTTGACGTTGATGAGCTCTGCAAGAGTCCCGTAGGCACCAGGCATATTCCGCTCGCGCTTGAGGCGTCTGATGGTGGCAAGACCACGAGAAGTCTCGCCATCCATCGTGTGTGACAACTCGCGCTCGGCTTGGTCCCGTTCCCTTCTAGCGTTCATGATGATGGTATCGAACTTGTCGTCTTCTCTTCGAAGAAGTTTGCGCTCCTCATTCAGCTTGTCGAAGGCGTCCTTGGCCTCGGTAAGCTCGTCAGCGACGGAGATGCGGCTGTCTCCAAAGCCCTCGTTCTTGGTCCGTAGATCGGCAACGTCCTTTTCGAGCTGTTTGATAGAGGTTTGCACGGACTTGACCTCTTCATCGGCATCCAGACGGTTGGCCTTCTGTTGGCTCAGGGCCATGTTGAGCTCGTTGACCTCCTTCTTCAGGTATGCATCGCGCTCGCCCTTGTTTCGGAACTGGCTGCTTCTGTTCTGCTTGGTGAACAAGCGCTGACGGCTCGCTTCAGCCGTGTCGAGTTCTTGCCTGATCTCGTGCTCCTTTTTCTTCCTCTTCTCCAACTCCGGGGAAATCTTGGCCAACTCGGCCTCCTTGGTGGAGATGTCGGCCTTGACCCTGTTGAGTTGAGCATCGTGTTCTTGCCTGGCTTGCTCTTGGGACGACATGCTGTCGTTGAGGCGCTTCACAGTCAACTCGGCCTTGGCCCTGGACTTGGTGCTCTCCTTCCTGTCCTCGTCTAACTGGCGGCGGTCTAGGCGAAGAAGCTCCATTTGCTGCTGAAGCTTGTGTATTTCGGCATTTAGGTTGGCAATGATCTTCTCGCCGGCGGTATAGGCCTCGCGGTTCTCGTCTGTGTCGTCGATTCCGCCCTGGCGAAGCTCTTCCAGCTCCTCGAGCGCATCTTGAACAGCGACTTGCTCCTTGTGATAGTAGGCATACTCGAGACATCTGCGCTCACGGTCCTTGTCCTGGTAGCCGCGGAGCTCCTCCTTCTCCTCCTCGAGCTCGCTGAGACGTTCCTTGATGTAGTCGAGCAGCTCGTCGATCTTCCCTCTCTTGTTGTTCGTGTCGGCCATGATCTTCAACGACTCGGTGCGGCGGGCCTCGTACAGCTGCGTACCGGCAACCTCCTTCAGCAGAGCCAACCGGTCGCTCTCCTTCATGTTGGTCAGGGCTGTGACGCGGCCCTGGGGCACGATGTAGTAGGGGTTCGAGCGCGAGAAGCCAGCGGCCTCCAAGAGCTGGTTGACATCCTTGAGCTGGGTGACCTTCTTGTCAATCGAGTATTCGTCCTTCTTCAGGCTGATGGTGCGGCGCAGGACGACCTCCTTGTTGCCGGTGGGGAATCTGTCGTCGCTGTTGTCGAAGATGACCTCGACGTAGGCGGACATGACGGCCGAGCCCGACCCCTCGTGCAGGAGGCCCTGGCGCTGCTCGCGACTCAAGTGGGTGTAGTCATCGCTGAGAACGAAGCGGATGGCGGCGAAGAAGTTGCTCTTGCCCGAGCCGTTGCGGCCGACGACGACATTGGTTCCGGGAGAGAAGGGGTCGATGACGGTCTGGTCCTTGTAGCTGTGGGCAGTGTCAGCGCTGCAATGCGGTTTGCACGAGGGTCCCGGCGTCTGCGCACCTCTTGAAGCCCTGGATGATGATCTGCTTGATATACATGTTGCGCACGACGCTGCCAGACGGGCAGCCCGATCAATCGCAATAACACGGTGTCTGTCGCATACGGTGTCGCGAGGTCCCCTGCGGAAGTGAGGGCGATGCGACGCGGCGGTTGTCGCGATGGGGCACTTGGGGGATGGGGGATCGCGGACAATGTGCAGCACAAAATCACGAACAAACGCGTCGCGATCCAGAGCGACAAGGTGGGGAGTAGGTACCCCCGTGCTGGGCGCCCCCCTTCCAGGTTTGGGGGGAACATGGCACCAACTGGCGTGGCCTGGCGTCGGGATGGCAAGGCACGGCCGGGGGGGCACAGCCACACCAACTCAGGGCGGATAGATGCCACGCCCTGTGTACTCCGTACCATACATAATACCGTAGTAAGTATGGGACGCCTGGAAATTGCGGCTTGAATCTCGGGAGTACTCCAAACCTCACGGTCTAAGATACCTACCGTCCGTAGCCAAGGCCATCTTCCTGGGCAGGTGTGGCGCATCACAATAGATATAGGCAACGATGTGGATGCCCGAACGTGGACTCTCATGCTTTCTCCAAGCCGGAGAGAACTATGGTGATTTTTGACTTTGGGTCAGGGCTGCACATCCCTCGACTCTCGCTCGCCATCTCCAGAGATGGGCCTACCGTAGATTTACAGCAGCACCTGTGTATACATCCACCGGGGTTCTGAGGTGTGTCCAGCTTAATGGGTCCTTGTTTGTGAACAGTTACGGGGGGTGGGAGGGGCAGGGAGCTCGAACTCGGCATGGTAGCCAGCTGGTTCTGCTCCTTGCTCTGCTGACTGCTCGAGGCTCCCGGTTCGGTCGTCGTCGTCATGAGAAGTTTGATGCGCCCCGCCAGATAGCTACAGTAGTATAGGTATTTGCTCATTGGATGTTATCCAACGGCCCGCTTGAAGTTGCAACCACACCGATCCAAAGTATGGGCCACTAGGGAGACCCAGCCCCTAGCTACTGTCCTTCGACCCTGACATCCGTCCCCGATTGCCCAGATGCCGGAGGCGACGAGGACACAGGACGCGAGAGCTGTTCGGACCCTCGGAACCGGGTTTCTCAGCGGCGGTGGATACCCCAGCCGGACCTTCCGGTGCTTGGCATCACATGTGGAATCTTGAGAACGCATTCCAGAATGCATCCGTCAGAGGTGGCATCAATGCACTGGGCCGGCCGGCCTTGTTTGACATTTGTGTCGTGGGCGTGGAGCTGAGAGGTTGAAATCGCGGAACACTGGGATTTGCTAGACTGATCGACACGACGACCAGCCCGGTACGTGGCTGGCAGGGTGGGGAGAAATGGAGCTCTTCAATGCCGCGGAGAGCGCAAGGGCCCACGCGACCCGTGCTGAACTACCCGTTGCAATATCCGCTTGGCACATAATAAGACTAGCCATGGCACTTGCCGACAGTCCAATAGCCATGAGGCTGTATCGGTGATCTGTTTGTGCGCAATGTTGCACGCAGTGCCGCCATGCTTTTCTTTTCTGAGGACTCGTCTGTCCCGAGGTTAGAGTTACAGATCGCGTCAAGGTTGCAGATGCTTTTGTTCTTCAGTGGTTTAGATCTCCAGTAACGCGGTCCTTGGCTGCATCGCCTGGGATCGTAGGTCGAGCGAGAAGGGAGCCTCCTCGCAGCTGCGAACTCTATAATCCCGGGTCCCTACGCTGCATACCGCTTCTCTATACTACCGACCCTGTACTCCGCACACAGAAATTGCACAATATCGAAACACCGCCGTTCGCTGATGATCTCTATATACAGAGCTTGCTCACACCAGAGTGTACTTTGGTTCCCTGCAAGAAGGTATCAGGCAGCCCCCTTACAGGTTTAGCAGGGCACGTCGAACTGCACAATCGTTGACTGCGTTGCTATCTGTTGATGTGAAGACCATCCATGCGCATGGCAAGTGATGGAGAACAGATGGAGCACGCCGTATCTGAGGAAAGCACTCCGTTCGACGGTTAGAATCGAAGTTGCGTACCGGTAGCTCACAGGCACGAGGCTCGTTGGACTCAGCCGGGGTATCGGGATGGGAGCTTGGGGAAGCTGCAAGGGTTTCTCTGGCTCAAGCTTTCCTCGACAATGACGGGTCACGTAGCGTTGCAGGACAGGGTTTTCGAATCGAATGGTAAACTCCCAATCGGTCGAAGTGGGAGTTGCGGTCTTTTTGGACCGGAGTCGTCTGCCATCCTGTCAGGACCTGCCTGCAACAGGACGTCGTTTGCCCGCCAGCTCGGCCGTGCAAGTGACTGCACTGCGCTGGGCAGAAGAGAGAGGAAAGAAAAAAGACCAGATCATCAAAAACTGGAATCGTCATTCCAAGGATCCAACCCACCCCCGTCGAGCAAAAGACGCCTGGCAGCGGCGTGCATGAGCTAACGGCACTAGCGCGATTAAGCGAGAGCAAGCATGGCCTGGCACTGCTGGCAGACCTGGGCGCGTTCAAGGTCGAGCAGCGAATTGGGCGGCGCGGCGGCCTCGAGGTGGCTGCCAGAGGTCCGGCGGCAGGTGGCAGGAGGCAGGGGTGGGTGGGCCAAACCCCTGCCGGCGAGCTTAGGCTTGAAAAGTACTTAAATATGGGTAGACATATTAATGGACGAGCTCGCCCACTTTGCGAAAGGAAGTCATCAGACAGGACCTGCAGCTTGTTTCCGCCGACGCGTTCGACCGTCCTCCGAACCACACCCGGCAACGGCCACGGCCACGGCCACATACAACCACGCACACAAGGCTCCAGCCCAGCCCAGCCCAGCCCAGCAAGGGCCCCCCCGAGCTTGGCCAGCCAGTTGCGACAAACGCGACTTTCCACCATCCCCAGGCCTGCCACATCCAGTACTGCCCATTTGGTCAGGATTGGGGACTGCGCACGCTCCACACCCGCAGTTTAACGCAGTACCACTTTGTGAAGCGCCGCGGCAACCATATCGCGTGCATCAAGCACTACGTGCATTTATCGCCAACTCGTTTTCAAGGCTGCATATCTCCCACGATTCCATTCCTGCCCACCAACGCAGAGTCACTGCTTCCATCGCCAACCCCGGGCCTCCCCCCTTGCAATACTTGGGACCTACCTGTCGCTTTCAAAGCATCTTCTGGCGTTGGCGGTTTTGTTGCGCGTCGCCGAGTCGACAAATCGATTCCCAACCTTTGATAGGTTGCACCAACTTCACCACATCGCATATCGGGTAAGTGCGACTACCACTCACCTTTCCGCCCACCCCTGCAACATCGCACCCCCACAGGCCCCATCCCACTTCCACTTCCACCTTGTCGCGATGCCAAATACGGCCTCCTTGATACTCCTTCAGTTCTGCTGCATTGCTCTCCATGTTGCACAGCCTCAACTGCAGCTACTCGGGGGCTCCTTGTGATTTCACCGCTAGCGCCACGTCAGTGTCGCTTTCAAAGGTGTTCCCTCTTGCGCCCAGGCCTCACTGCACGTAACTCTACACACGATGCTTGGCATGTAGCTATACTCGCTTGCAGCTAGGAGCCAAGCCCACCCTATGCAAGCCGTAGAGTACTCAGCCGTATAGTAGACTCTGCCAGCGTATTGCATCACTGTCACTTGCCGCAGCATCTTGCACAGTCGCTGCCTACTGTAACTGACAGTATCGCGTCATGCTGTCCATCTATAGGCTGCTAGGCATCCAAGCTTCCTCACACTGCACCCACTTCTAGTGAAGCGTTGTCCAGCTACATGGATATGAAATATCCAATATTCTCTTATATCATCTGATCCACAAGCGTTGCTGAAGCAGAAGCTGACTGTCTCAAGAAAATATCGCCATCGAGATGAACCTTTAGCGAGTGTAGGCCCCACAGCCTGCCATCGTGAACACCGAAGATGGCGTCAAGGTAAGCCGAGATAGACTCACCTGAAGGAACATCTGCTGACTGCCTAACAGATTGGATCGTCTCGTAACGTAAGTGCCAGTGGCCTTTATTCCTTCCCATCGCCATATATGCTTGAGACGAGCTTTCACCTGGATCCGACTCAGTCCGAACGACATGGTGCAGCTCAAAGTTCACTCGATTACACAATACGGCGAGGCATGCATCGAAGCTAATACCTAAGCAGGATCCTCGAGACGGGAAGCACAAAGCTGATCAAAGATACTGCCGTGAATCAGCTAGCCGACTGGCAGAAACAGCATCCGGAAGAGCTTTTCAACCTCCTCTCCAGGGTGGTACCGTATCTGCGGCACAAAGACTGGGACACGAGGGCAACTTCTGCCAAGGCGATAGGCAAGATCATCGAGAATGCACCTCACTATGATCCCAATGAGGATGAAGACTCCTCCGTAGAAAAGAAGGAGGAGCCTGCAGGCGAAAATGGCCACGTCAAAAAAGAGGAAGAATTGGAGGTGTCACTCGAGGCTGATGAGTCTTTCAGCCTAGACACCTTGGACATGTCGAGGATTCTGACTTATGGACGAGACTTGCTCAGAACAGGCAATGTGGACCTTGCCCTGGTGAGCCTGGATCCCCAAGCGCGGCTCGCTCACCAAAAAAAGACACTCATTGGGCGTCTCGGCCTGCTTGGCCGTAATTTCGAAGATGATGAAATACCCATCTCCGTCGAGAAATCCGCTAGCCCAATGACCCCTGCAGATGTGCCGGCCAGCAACGGTCTTGCGCGACAGGACAGTTTAGCGAGCTCGGGGCCAAGTCAGCCGGCAGAGGAATCAGGACTGAGCGCCCGGCAGCTTAACGTTCTCAAGCGGAAACGGAAGCGAGACGCACAGAAAGCGGCCCAAGGCAAAGGCGGTTTCGGCGATCTTTCAATACGCCGCTCGTTTACTGACAAGTCCGACTTCGATGATACGCCGATGCCGGATGCAGAAACCAAGAAGAACGGCAAAACAGACTACTTCTCACTCGACCGACCCGAGAACATTGATGAGGACTCCAAGGTCGTTTCCGAGTTCAAGGGTCCTGTCATCCCCATCAAGTCCGAAATAGAGACTGAGGATGAGCTTCAAGGAGCTGAGTGGCCATATGAGCGATTATGTGAGTTCCTCAAGATCGACATTTTTGATCCACAATGGGAAACACGGCACGGTGCTGCGCTTGGACTGCGCGAGATCTTGAGAGTCCACGGTGCTGGTGCTGGCCGATTAAGGGGGAAATCAAGGGCCGAGAACAACAAGCTCAATAAGAAATGGCTTGACGACATGGCTTGTCGCCTCTGCTGTGTTCTCATGCTTGACAGATTTACGGACTATGCCTCGGATACATCTGTTGCGCCAATCCGAGAGACCGTCGGCCAAACCTTGGGCTCGTTCTTGAAGCACGTCCCGCCCGAGTCTGTTTACAGTGTCTATCGACTGCTCTACAGAATGGTCATGCAAGAGGATCTCGGTTTGGAGAGGCAGGTATGGTCTGTCTGTCACGGAGGAATGGTGGGCCTGCGTTATGTTGTTGCTGTGCGGAAAGACCTTCTGCTGCAGCATAACGACATGATTGACGGCATCGTACGCGCTGTTATGAAAGGCTTGGGCGATCTCGACGACGATGTACGGTCGGTCAGTGCAGCTACAATCATCCCCATGGCAGAGGAATTTGTCACTCTGCGCCCTGCTGCGTTAGACGAGCTCATCAACATAGTATGGGAGAGCTTGTCCAGCCTTGGCGATGACCTTAGCGCCAGCACGGGTAAGATCATGGATCTCCTGGCTACTCTATGTGGCTTCCCTCAAGTCCTCGAAGCCATGAAAGCCTCGGCCGAACAAGACGAGGAACGATCCTTCAAGCTCCTGGTGCCCCGCCTATATCCATTCTTGCGCCACACCATTACATCTGTTCGCCTGGCAGTTCTGAAAGCTCTTACCACATTTGTTAACCTAGGCGAGGAATCCCTTGGCTGGTTAGATGGCAGAACTTTACGTCTCATCTTCCAGAACCTGCTTGTTGAGCGGGATAGCACCACCTTGAACACATCTATGGAACTTTGGACGGCTCTGGTCAAATGCTTGGCGAAGAAACCGGATCACCTCGCGCAAGAGTTCCTGCCCCACGTTGATGCTCTGATGCAACTGACACTGCATCCTGTCGGCGTGTCGCGCAACCCAATTCCAATGAACGCGTCTTTATTCCAGAAGCCATCTGGTGGCACCTATACCATTCCAGGCTTCATGTCCCAGGCTACGCGGAAGGGATCCGAACCGGAAGGCGAGCGGTCAGCAAAGAGAAGACGCAAGTCGGGCAAGGCTGATGACGTTCCGACAACGACGCACTCCCACGACCTCGATGGACATATGATGCAAGGAGACGTAGACCTCGTTGGCATGGAAACACTCGTCCGGTCCCGTGCCTATGCTTCTAGAGCAATGGGTTTAATCATGTCTCGAATTCCGGCGTCTGGGTTAGAAGCATACGATGCGACATTGCTACCCGGTTTTACCTCATCATACTCGTCAACTCAACTGACGTCTTGCATTATCATTGATGAGTTCGCAAAGAACAGCCCCAACGGCAGCGCCGAGACGAGATATGTCGACGAACTACAGAAGATCATCGAGTCCGGAAGACCTTCCCATTACCGCGACCTGGTTAGTTACGTGCAGCGGGTGCGTTCGCAGTGTTCGCAACTCATGAACTTGTTCCGAGATCATGGCAAAGTCTCTCAGAGCAAGTTGCCAACTCTGCCCGTGGTTGTCCAAGGTGAGGCAGAGGCTGGGCCCAATGCTTTCTCTGTTTCATTAGCCGAGAAATATGTTGGTGACGACTACGAGCGCCTTCGGAAAGCCATGGCACCCGCCCAACGTTTGATAGTTACCAATGATCTGGCCGAGGCCAGGAAATCAACGGTCACAGCAATCGACGAGGCCAAAGCCGTCAAGGAAAGCCGTGATGTGCGCATCAAGGCCGCCGCAGCTTGTGCGCTGATTGCCATGAAGGTCTTGCCAAAGAAACCGAGTCCTCTCATTAAAGGCATCATGGACAGCATTAAGCTGGAGGAGAGCCACCTACTGCAGTGTCGTTCCTCGGAAACTATCTCACGCCTTGTGCAACTCTTTACTGAGAAAGGTCGCCGTGGACCAGCAGACAAAGTTGTTGCTAACCTCGTCAAGTTTTCTTGTGTGGAGGTTGCCGAAACGCCTGAGTTCCCTGTACACGCCGCAAAGACAGACTGCATCTTGTCAATGCAGAAGGAAGAGGATCGCGTGGATCATGAAGATCCTGAGAAGTTCGCACGCGAAGCCAAGGCAGCTCGTATCACGCGACGCGGAGCCAAGGAGGCCTTGGAGATCCTGGCGAAGACGTTTGGCGCCGAAATCTTCAACGCGGTCCCAAGTCTGAAGAAGTACATGGAGGAGCCCTTGATAACAGCCTTCTCAGGCGATCTGCCCGCCGAGGCGCGAAACCCAGAGCTCACACTAGGCCAAGAAATCGTTGACGCCATGTCAGTGATTAGAACCATGGCGCCTACCCTCAATCCGGCTCTGCACCCCTTTATCATCGAGCAACTACCGCTTATCATCAAGGCTCTGCATTCCGAACTTTCTGTCTACCGTTATATGGCTGCTAAGTGCATGGCAACGATTTGCAGCGTCTTACCAGTCCAGGGTATGACGTCGCTCGTCGAGAAAGTGTTGCCATCTATCAGCAACCCGTTAGATCTCCAGTTCCGTCAAGGTGCTACCGAGGCAATATATCACCTGATTGCCGTGATGGGAGATGGCATTCTGCCATATGTGATCTTCCTGATTGTCCCAGTTTTGGGACGCATGAGCGACTCCGACAACGATATTCGTCTCATCGCAACGACCTCGTTCGCAACCCTGGTCAAACTTGTGCCACTTGAGGCCGGTATACCGGATCCACCTGGTCTGTCTGAGGAACTGCTCCGCGGCAGAGACCGTGAGCGGACATTCATGGGTCAGCTTCTCGACCCGAAGAAGGTTGAAAACTTCACCATTCCAGTGGCGATCAATGCTGAACTCCGTTCCTACCAACAAGATGGCGTGAACTGGCTCAACTTCCTCAACAAGTATCACTTGCACGGCATCTTGTGTGATGATATGGGTCTTGGCAAGACGCTCCAGACAATTTGCATGGTTGCTAGCGATCACTACAACAGAGCCGAAGAGTTCAAGAAGACAGGGGCATCGGATGTCCGCAGACTTCCCACACTTATTGTTTGCCCTCCCACACTCTCTGGCCACTGGCAGCAGGAATTGAAGACCTACGCCCCCTTCCTAAGTGTCACTGCTTTCGTTGGCCCACCCGCAGAGAGGCGATCTAAAGCATCCCAATTCTCCACCTCGGATGTAGTCATCACTTCATACGAAGTCTGTCGCAACGATACTGAATACCTTGAGAAACAGAGCTGGAACTACATTGTGCTCGACGAGGGCCACTTAATCAAGAACCCGAAGGCCAAGATCAGTGTTGCAGTCAAGAAGCTCCCAAGCAACCACCGATTGATCCTTACCGGTACGCCAATCCAGAACAACGTGCTTGAGCTATGGTCGCTGTTCGATTTCCTTATGCCCGGATTCCTTGGAACCGAAAAAGTCTTCCTTGATCGGTTCGCAAAGCCAATTGCGGCCAGTCGTTTCAGCAAGGCATCATCCAAGGAGCAAGAAGCTGGCGCCCTGGCCATTGAGGCCCTGCACAAGCAGGTGCTCCCATTCTTGTTGCGTCGTCTGAAAGAGGAAGTGCTTGACGATCTTCCTCCAAAGATTCTGCAGAACTACTACTGCGATTTGAGTGACTTGCAACGCAAGCTCTTTGATGATTTCAACAAGAGACAGGGGAAGAAGATCAGCGAGACAGCAGGCAGGGAAGACAAGGAGGCCAAACAACATATTTTCCAGGCGTTGCAGTACATGCGTAAGCTCTGCAATTCTCCCGCTCTTGTCATGACGCCAGCGAACAAGATGTACGACGACACCCAGCGATTGCTTGCCAAGCAGGGGACCAGTATCGATGATCCCGTGCATGCCCCTAAGCTCAGCGCACTCAAGGACCTCCTGGTTGATTGCGGCATTGGCGTTGAGGGCACTGACTCCAACGACCCGCTCTACCAACCCATCAAGCCACACCGTGCCCTTGTCTTCTGTCAGATGAAGGAGATGCTTGACATGGTCCAGAACACGGTCTTGAAGCGCATGCTTCCATCAGTATCGTATTTGCGACTCGACGGATCCGTCGAGGCCAACAAACGCCAGGATATTGTCAATAAGTTCAACAGCGACCCATCTTATGATGTTCTCCTCCTGACCACAAGTGTTGGTGGTTTGGGTCTGAACTTGACAGGCGCTGACACCGTCATCTTTGTCGAGCACGACTGGAATCCCCAGCGTGATCTACAGGCCATGGATCGTGCACATCGTATCGGTCAGAAGAAGGTCGTCAACGTCTACCGGCTTATCACGAGGGGTACCTTGGAGGAGAAGATCTTGAGGTAAGTCAAATCATTTCCCTCTGTTTACATCTGACCAAAATTTTGACTAATTCCTCGTTTAGTCTCCAAGCATTCAAGATTGATGTCGCCTCCACCGTCGTGAATCAACAGAACGCCGGGCTTGGCACCATGGACACGGACCAAATATTAGACCTCTTCAGTCTGGGTGATACGGGACCCAACCTCATAACTGATAAACCCAAGGACGGGATCGAAGGGCGCGAAGAGGATATGGTGGACGTTGAGACCGGTGATGTACGGGCTCCTGGCAAAAAGGCCTGGATTGACGACCTCGGCGAGCTATGGGACAACCGCCAGTACGAAGAGAGCTTTGATCTCGATGGCTTTATGAAGACGATGCAGTAAGGGGCGGGCTTTCTGAAGGCCGACCCCGGACTCAGATCAACAACGGACAAGGCTCGTGACTCTCGCGACTTACGGTAATGAAGGGACGGAGGGATGTACTGGTATAATGTAGCATATCTTATCTCGCCGGCAAGCGAGCAACGCGACTGTCTTCGCGTGAACCAAATGCGATTTGTTTTTTCTGTTCTGCGGCCGATGGGGCTGACAGAATTGTTATGTTCTACAATACGCTACTTTTCCGCATCGCAATGTTGTGACATGACTCTGACCTCCTTTTGTGCTGGGCGAAAACCAGCTCGAGTTGTGACATAGAAAATCTGGCAGTGCTGGTCTCGGCGGCGAACCAACTGGGAGAATGCTACACTGGGGATCGATTTCGGTATTTCTTCTTGATACTGCTGCCCTCAATAACCGCCAGCAGGCGGTTTCATCGGCGACCATTCTTTGGGCCTGGCACTACTCTGTCTGGCTAACGCTGTTCATGGGCCGGCCTCGGCTGTGCTGCCGGGCATCCATGAGTATGAAACGTGAATTTTTTCTTTTAACCTAGTTTGACCAACGAATAGCAATGATTGGTGGGTGGGTGAGTAGTAAGTATGGGTTGCACGAAGCTAGGACAAGCGGCGCCGATGCATCTTTTAGCGCCCATGGAGTAGCGATACTGCCGCTTGATGCTCTGGACGTGTCTGAGTTGATATAGCCTCGCCCAAGAAATTTCGCAGGATGTTATTTCATCAGCAGCTACATAGTATACCATAGACTGCATGTTTCGATACCACATTGGGTATCACGTTGAAGAAATGGGCGAAATCTACCGACCTCACAACATGCCCATGAATCTCTTCATCTTTCTAAAGCCAATAACGGCAGCGCTCTATCGTAGCTGTATATAATTTATTGCTCAACGCTCAATATTGAAACATATCTTAAAGTAATGTACAACAAGCTCACGAGGATCCAGCTGTACTTTCAACAGAATCAGACTCAATCGTATCAGAGCAAGTCGATCATCCAGTCATACCTCTACAATCAAAGATCCTCGAACAGTGCTTCCTGGTAGCGCAGCTTCTACAAAATCATGGCAAATCTTTCGAATAGGAGATGGTCGCTGTTCGTGTTTGCATGATGGCTTCCTCGCTGCCCGTTGCCGAGACGTGACCGGTGCCTTCTGACTTCCGACTTTCAACGCCGACGTGGTAATGATCAGGACTGAACTGATCTCCATATTCGATCTCGGCAATGGTGTCGAACTGACGGCTCCTTGGTGCGCCAAAGGTTCGCAATGGGAAGCTGTCCTTAGTGCCTTTGCCGGATGAGCTGCCCGCACTCCCTTTCTCGGTTCGGTTCGTTTTGGAGACGACGTGGTTGAGCCACACCCGGAAAGTGGGAAGAGAGCCGCAGAGAATGATCAAGTTGGACTCAACCACACTATGAAAAGTCAGCAGGGCAGAACATTACTGTCTTGAGCTTTTGAGGATCACTTACAGCCAGAGCATAGCATCAGCCATAGTCCATGGTGTGTCAGCGCTGTTAATCATGGACAGTAGACTGATCAAACGCATCACAGCTGCCGCCAATGTGATGGTACCGATGCCGAACCAAGCTATCAAGCCTGCCTTGCGCTTTGCAGACAGTTGTAATCCTATCACGGTTGGGATCGGCTGTATCATCAGGAGTAGATCAGTCACACCCCCAGTAATGGCTTGCAACATGTACCACGGCGGGCGCGCGATGCAGTTGGTACCGGTGTAGAGCCTGAGGTTCCACGCCGCAGCCACGGGCCGGCATGCGAACAGGACGGCGAACCATACTGAGCCAAAGCAAGCGATGCAGAGGAAGCCGGTAAACATGATGCCGTATCTATACCACCGAGCCGGCGACAGTCGATAGTAGAAGAAGCAAAGCGATAGTTTGGCCAAAACCGTGCCACTGTTGTCAATGTCTTGTCAGAGATGACCATGAGAAGGCAAGGGGTCGTTCAAGGGATACTTACGTGATGGCGGTCAAGGTTAGAGCAGTGATGACCTGTGGTTACTCCTGTTAGGTTTCATCTCTCTGATATAATCACAAGTTGCTGACAAACTGACCTCTGTCATATATATGCTCTTATCCAAGGACTGTTCCCAACCGTGGAGCCCGACCAGCCCTAGCCGCCACAAGTGAAGCATCATTACCTGTGTAGCTAGCAGAAAGCCCTACGCGAATGTGGTTAATATACATCAAGGTTGAGAACCGGTAGATCTTACTTACCCAGGCGATAACGAGCAGGTCTGGAACAAAACATGGGTTAGAGCATTCGTAATGGACACATTAGATTCTCGTTGCTTACAATCATCGATACGGAATTTTCGTAACAGATACGCCGATGTATAGACGCGCTGTATCAAAAACAAGGTTGCGATCGGGAACTCCACACCAAAAGCCCACATGACATGTTCTCTCGTTTGTTCGTCACGGTACGGGTGGGTGAAGTTGACGACCCAGCCCTCAGGCGGAGGCAACATCACTTCCGTGCCGTTGATAATGGGAAACGCCATGACTAGTTTTCCGGCAGCTAGATTGATGATGGCTATGCTGAAGGAGACAATCAACGGGAAAGGGAGCACAGGCTTATAATGACTGAGGGCGAAGCCGAGCGACAGTGATCACTCCCTTTTCGATCGACTGGCCTCGCGGTAGTTGTTGCATTTTGCTGCGCGGCAGCGACCGCATCAAAAGAAAGAGCTCCCTGTCCGTATTGGGATTGAGACCCCTGTTTACTGGTGTGATCACATCTTCCGGGAATTACAATATGACATCCGACGGAACCATGGCCTTAGGAAGCAATACTCAGAAGTGTGCCCAATAATCGACGACTGGCAAGCACTCTCTGAAACCAGGTATCTCATTAGTGAGTGTTTCTGCGGCGGCACAGATAAATCGCTGCGACCTCTCACAAGGCCAGCGGTTCAATATAGGGGGATATCAAGGGTTTCTTGATTATCATCATCGGCAGTGTGGTCACTACATGGGTATTGGTTACTAGTGCCATGGTACTGATTGGCATAGCATAGGTACGGCAGAGTCGATGCCACAGCCATGCATCGGCTTCGGCGTGTTCATCATAGGTTGCCGAGAAACGACCCCCACAGCCAAGTATAACCCCAGACTGTCTGTTTTTCCCCGACTGAGTGCCTGATTTGATCATCGCCTAGGCTAACGATGGTCAGATTTCATTACGAAAGATTGGCATGTGCATGCCGTTTATAGAGACAGCCATCTCGGAACGGTTTTGGAGACTCAAGAAAAAGCAATACTTGTGGAGACGGCTGGCCAAAGTAACCCTGCTGAAGCCGCATGCAAGGCTAGCAACGGTGCGTTACTGGAGGGAGCCCGCGACTTGATCAGAATCCTGGTTATAGCCCCCCACCTATCAGGATGCCGATCACTGGCATGCCCCCGTACAAAGCTGTAGTAATTACGACCAACGTCGTATCAAAGGAATCTAGCCCCTCGCCGTCTCTGAGGGGGATTTATGGGTCTATAAGTGCAAGGGAGGTGGGAATAAGACCCGGGTGCGGTTCCGCGGATGCGGGAGGCCCCACCCACGGGCAGCATCCTACAACGGGCATTCAAGCGAACCGACTAGGGCAATCTCAACGGTCTACAGAATACGACTGAGGTTAGGAGAATAATACCCTGGATCCAAGTCCTTTTGATGTTGATCCTCTCCTCTCCCGGGCTCTCCTATGCTTGCCCCCCGCATTCCAAGGGTTCCGAAGGAATATGACCAAGGCTCGCTACCAATCCAGATGCTGGCATATGTATGCGCGCCCTTGATAACGGCCATGTGCCCATTGTTGCAATTTGTGTCAGGTCCTGCAGGTCTTGTGTTCCCACCGCACGCGTTTGTGACATTTTCGTGGGTGCCGTGTTGAATGTGAAACTCTACGTCCAACTGGTGTATACCACGTCTTGATCATGCAGTCCCTCGTCGGTTCCCTATTTGCTTTTACCTCATTGATCGTACCAGCCGTTGCTTCTCTCTCTCGCCGCTGCAACATGCCAACCCCAGCTCCCGGAATCCCGAGCATTGACACGACAGTAAGTGAAGCTGGAGCACCAACTCGTCCGTGCTTCTTACTCTTCTTGGAATCTGACCTGTTGCTTCTCACTCAGTGCCAACTCTTGGAAGTCGCCGGTGTTAATGTATACCGCCCCAACAGCACTCAATATGATGATCGTGAAGCTGCTTATTACTCGGCATCGGCTCGGATGGATCCGGCCTGCATTGTGCAGCCTACGACACCCGAGCAGGTCTCTCAAATAGTCAAGACGTTGAATGCCACTGCCGCGACCAATTGGGCCGTTCGCTGTGGCGGTCATATGGCCTGGGGGCCTGCTGCCGACAGTGTGTCCTCTAGTGAAACATGGTTTATTGCATGAACTGATGCCGAAGCTGTCTAGTCCACGATGGGATCACGATCGATCTTGGTAAGTCAGACTTGAACCTTTAGTGAGGATTGCTCGCATGACAACATGACTGATGATCTACTTAGGACTCATGAATAAGACCGAGTACGATTCTGAGACCAAGATAGCCAAGATACAGGGGGGTTCGCTGTGGAGTGATGTCTACTCAACTCTCGAGCAATTCGGCGCTACTGCTCCCGGTGGTCGTACCTCGACCGTGGGAGTTGGAGGCTTCACGCTCGGTGGAGGTAACAACTTTTACAGCGGCAAAGTTGGGTTTGCGTGTGACAATGTTGTGAACTACGAGATCGTCCTTGCCAATGGGTGAGTATTATTTGACGTAATCAATCGACGTGCTCTTTCAGACACTGGTCAACTAACACAATCTCACCCTGACAGAGATATTGTTCAAGCCAACAGCACCGACAATGCCGACCTGTGGAAGGCTCTCAAGGGTGGCTCATCTAACTTCGGCATCGTCACGCGGTTCGACGTCCAGGCTTTCGATGCCGGAGACTTGTACGGAGGCCTCGTGATCCACCCGCTCAATACTACCGGTCAAGTTGTCACTGCCTTCTCCAACTTCGTGGACAATATTGTCAATTACCAAGCCGGCTCCGCTTTTAGCTTCTGGTCGTGGGTCAAGGGAGCCTCTGAGTCGGTCATTATCTCTGCTCTTCACGACACCACCGGCACCGAGAACGCGCCCGCGTATGCAGAGTACGCAGCCATCGAGCCTACGGTGTCGTCAACCCTCAGGCAGGACAGCCATCTGAATTTCGCAAAAGAGCTCGAATTTGCGAAGGGGAACCAGTAAGTCGCCCAGATCAGCGAGAAAACTAAACACCGTCTGACAAGCCTTCCAGGAATGTCTGGTTCGCCATCACAGTCAAGAACGACCCGGAGATCCTGCAGTTCATAGTGGACCAGCACAACGCATTCATCCCAGCCTGGCAAGAGGCGACGGGCGATGACTCGTTCAGCCTGTACACGGTGTTCCAGCCGCTACCGAAGATCCTCTTCGACCACGGGGTGGAGAAGGGCGGCAACGTGCTCGGCATGGACCGGCAAACGGGCAACTGCGTGCTCTTCCAGGTCTTCATGGTCTTCACAGGCGCGGCGCTGGAGCCCCTCGCCCGCAAACAGCTGGTGGCGTACCGCGAGGCCGTTAGGGAGCAGAGCGTCAAGACGGGCACCGATGTCGACTTTGCCTATCTGAACTACGCCGACAAGACCCAGGACCCGATCACCACCTACGGCGAGGAGAACGTCGCTTTCCTGCGCGAAGTCTCGGCCAAGTACGACCCGGACCAGATTCTTCAGACACGTCTCCCGGGTGGATTCAAGATACCCAAAGCGAAAGCCGGCACGGTGACGAGATAATGCGTTAATGTGTAGTTGTTGAGTTTTCGTGTGTAATAAAATACATAGTCGTGGCCTATTTATAGTCAGCTTTATAATGATATATACTTCTGCCAGTCTCGCACTGGCTCCACCTTCAAAACATTGCAATGCTTCTCTGCGCACATCATATGCACAGGACCAGAAGGAGGACGTAGGAAACGGCCATAATAGGAAAAGAAAATAGAGTAGAAATAAAAGAGATGGCCAAAGAACAAAATCAACGGTCGAGCAACGTCGATTAGGCCTACCTAGCTCGCAATCTCGTACTAATCTGCGTCCCCGAACGCTTTCGCTCTACCGCCCAGGCCTGTGCATGGGACTTTACTTGCCGTCGCTTGATCCAGTCGAAGGCATTGCTGCCGCAGGGATTCAAACACTGGCCATCTCCTTGTGGGAGCTTTGGGCACCAGAGAAGTGTTTTGCAGCACTACGTACCGATGGAGTTACGAACGACTAACCATGAGTGCGCTGCTGAACGGAAGAGCTTCAATTACCCACGTACTTTGATACACGAAGCCCTAGGATTCTATTCACCCTGCTCCCGACTACTAGTTATGTACCTCCGTTACCAAGATCCCTAGAGAGATAATATCATCGTATATAATCACCGGAACGTACGCTTACTACACCAGGGCCGATGTGGGCAAGACTCGGAATAGGACTTGATTTGATCTCCTATTTTTCGCCCTTCGCAAGTAAGTCCTCGACTCTCTTGACCTTGTCCTGCGCCGTCTGCTTTTTGTCCGTCCTAGAAGAAGTCAGAAATCCACATTGTCCTTATTGACTCGTCTAAGGGCATCACAACTTACCTCGTCCCGACTCTCATCGAGGTCTGCACCCTCAGGACCCCTTTCTGATGCACTACAGAATGCGCCTGTCCAATGACCCGCATGACCTCGTCCCAGGAGCCCTCTACATGTGGCTGATTAGCCTCTCGCTGTACGGGAAAGCAAACCGACAGACAGAACTCACCAACGGTAGTGCCGGCCGAGTGCATTGTGTAGGCGAGCCCGCTGTCCTTCAGCAGCTTCTGGACCTCGGCCACCTCTTCGGCTACCGAGACGTTCGCCGTGCCGACCTAGTGGGCTTGCGTATCAGTCATGGTCGCACTTCGTAAATCCTCATGGTCCATGACAAGTGCGTCGGACGGGGAATCCACCATCACTTCCGCCTCTCCCGCCGGATAAAAGAGGGGGGCAGCTCCATGCCCGAATTATTTCTGCAACAGCATCCCGTCGGGTTGATTAAGAGACGAAGGGAAGTCTCCGGAGAAAAGAGCACCGCCAACTCACAGGCACGAGACAGAAGTCGGCATAGCACCGCTCGGGCGTCGGGACGGTACTGTAGCCCATCCTCACGGCGCCTCGGCACGGGATAGCAGTTTCAAGGGCCGGGTAGCGCCAGTGCAGAGCAGCGGCGGTGGTGAGTCTCGCGGGCCGTACGACGGCGGAACGGAGCATGGGAACTTTCTGGCAATCTCCGGAAGGCCGCACTACCGAGACAAACTCAGCCCCTTTCGTATGGTTGATGGGGATAGATGCCGTGTATGCGCGATGCGTTGTAGCTTTTGGCTGTGAGCCCCCCGTGACGTCCGTCTAACTTAGTCCGCTCGGGGGGTTCTGCGGCGGCAAGACCCGGCACTAGGCCAACTCGGCTCTGAACTGGCGCCCCCGGCTTGACGTTACGTACCAAGATTGCGCAGCTCTGGGGCGTCTCAATCTCGACTAACGTTAGTGAAATAACACAGGTGAGCGAGATGAGGCGACCACGGCGCGCAGAGCCGAAGCAGGATTACCAAGGCAGGTCTCTTCGAGAGAGGATTTGGTTTGGGATCATTTGTTTAGATTGAGAATCTATCTATGTAGAATAATAGCCTGGAAATTTCCCTACTATGCTGCTATATGTCCCGTCTCGCAATTTTTTGGTTTTGAGACTGATGCTGATTTGAGATGTATGTACGGCCCCTTTTAGACCGAGAGGTTAACTCTCATGTGCTCAGGGCACCTCTGTCTCCTGATGTGCGCCCCCGTGAACCAATCTATGCCATCCGGCTGATGCGTGGGTAGTCCCCAAAATACAAGAGAACGCCATCGCTATGCATATAAGAAATGAAACAAAATGGAAAATGTGAGATCTTTGCATCGCCGTCTAGATGAGTAATACGGCACCGGCCAACGCCGCAACAAGGGCGCCAGATGCAAGACCCAGGTTGCGGGTCTGGACGCTGCCGCTCGTGCTCGTGCTTGTGCTCGAGCTGGTAGAGCCGCTGTCTGAGCGGCCGGTGGCAGTGATGCCATTCAGATTGTCGGCGGTGTCGATGGCTGGGCCCTTGTTGAAGAAGTCGACGAGCACAAACGTGGGGCTCTGGCCCCAGTCGCTGTTGCAAGTTTTGGCGTGCAGGCCCAGATTGCCCGCGGTAGTGGTGTCCGGGCTGTTGGTGGTATCGATGTTGGTAACATCGGGAATCTCGTAGCTCAGGACGACCGAGTAAGCAAAGTGGTTCATCAGGGGTAGCATGCCTGCCGAGATGGCGGCCGCGGACGAGGCGTAGCCCGAGGGCCGGTCGAGGGTGCAGTTGAAGCCCGAAAGCGAGGTCACCTCGTACGCAGTCTCAAAGACGTATGAGAACTCTGGCAGCAGGTACGGGTAGCTCGAGTCGGCGTCGATCGAGGCAATGAACGTGACCAGACGGGTGTTGGCCGAAATCATGTCGGACAAGGTAGGCCAGGTCGTGCTGTTGCCGGCGCTGCCACTGGGCGTGTAGCCATACGTGTCGATGCCCGAGGCCTTGAAGACGGTGCCAAAATCCGACGCCTTGAAGTCATCCGAGTTGACAATCAGTAGTGTCACCACCTCGTTGGGGTTGTTGTCCATCCATTCCTTGATAATCGAAAGCCAGGACTGCAGGGTTCCTGCATCGAGCAGCTCGCAGGTGGTGTGACACATCTCGATGGCGCCGTTCAGGTCATGGACTTGCACCTGAAGCAGGCGGAGACCACTGTTCAACGCATATGTAGCATTCAGGAACTGTGTCCCTGCTATCGAGTCATCCGTGCTGGAGTCTCGGAGAAAGGAGGAGTCATGAGCTCCCATGTGTGTGACGTTGTCGTAGGTGCGGCTGCACAGGTCGGGTGAGTTGTTGCATGCTGTACCCGACGACACGGCCTTCGCTGCGGATGATGCCGTAGAAAAGCCGGTGGCCGAGCTGCTGCTCGCCGAAGCATAATTTAATGCTGCTGATGTTGTAGTCGGTGTCGTCGAGACCGAGTTGCTTCCGCTGCCCTGGCCACCCTGGCCGCCCTGCCAACTACCTGATGAGTCGCTCCATCCTTGAGGAACTGCATAAGCTGTCGTCGACAGAGCGGCAGCAGCGGTCAAGAATTTGGATATCGAAGGAAACATCCTGACCGGGTCTGTATTAGAAAGGAGGGAAGAATGGACAGGAGAAGATTGTATGTATAACCCCCGTCTTCCTAGTAGCTTATTCACGAGCGATAGAGAATACGGCAGGACGAAGAAGTAAGAGACGTATAATAGATAAATAGAGAAGGAGTAGAAACCTTCCTACCTCGAGGCGTTTTCCGGAGGCCAGCCAAACCCATATATCATCTTACCTGGAGAAGGGGACCCATGGATAAACCCATCTGACGCATGATCCCCAACCATGCCAAGCACTGCGGGAAACAAGCAAGAGGCAAGGGGTCGGTGGCTAAGGTAGAGAGCCGCACGTTCCCGGGCTCAGCTCATGCGCTGGGAGAGAAACGCTGATCCCTTGATCCCCTGGGCCCCACGGGTCTGGCGGGTGCCGTGGGGCGGTTAGCCCTCTGGGCCTGGGCCAAAGGCGGGACCAGAGGCGGGACCAAAGGGGAACTGGGGAGGCGCAGTGCCCTGGTAGCGACGTCAGCTCTGGGCAACTGGGCCTCGTTTGGTTTCGAAACCAGGCCAGACGCGCGGTGCCCGTATTTTCATCTGAAGGGGCGACGGCCTGAGGCTTTAGTCCGGACTTGGGTAGAATGCTCTGCGCCGCCGAGGTTGACGAGCCTGCTCATAAATCGCATTAGATGTGTCAAGCGTAACTAACATACGTCGCTCGGCCGCGTCAGTGAGACCCGTCCACCCGGTCGGAGCTCTATTTTAAACTCTCTAAACTCTCTAGATCCTGTCCGCCCTGGCGCCTTGCACCAGCGGCCGTGAGCTGCCAAACGTTATACACAGTAAGCCAAGCAAAGTAGGAAGCCAGGAATAGCAAGCTTTTCAAGATCTCATTGCCACTAGGACTTGACCTGCGTATGTACTACCACAGCGTCAGACCGGCCAGTGCTACATACGTGACTGTCAAGGAGGTCGATTGGTCGACTGGGGGCGTCGCTTTGCTGGGCCATTAGACGAGATTCCCAAATGAACGAAAGAGAATAGTGACCCAGTGAACGAAACGCGCAAGAGCCAGTCTCTGGCGAGTGCAACCTGCACCGCCACGGTTGAGCATCTCGTGAAATTGGGAGAGGGCGAGAAAAGTAAGGGGGTCGAGGCGGTTGTTCGGCCGCTAACCGACAGCACCGCCGCCCATCCACCACCCTCCATCGTGTGCTGTTTCGCTGTTCTCTGCCTCCGTTGGCACGTTGCAGGTTTGTTAGTGGCCAGCGTGGGTGTCCCAGCCAACGTCTTTTTCTGCCGGGACCCACGTCCCCTGCCAACCTGCCGGCAGTGGTCGCCCCGTATGCAGCCTGGGTGGCAGGGGGCCGTCGATCTTTCAGGGTCCAAGGTTGCAGATTCGCCTTTCAAGATCATCGCCGATGGTTGGGATGGGTTGATCGAGGCAGTGGGACTGCGTCTTTTTCTTGAATTCTCTACATTTTACGATCGCATCGTTGTTTTGACATCATGAGGAAGTAGCATTCTATTTGTCGACTACTTTATGCATGTGTTTCCTGTTGTTCCTTGCCGATCATGACAAGTTTTCTCTCTCCAACCTCGACCTTTCTGTTGTGTGAATACGAGGTTCCACCGAGAGCTACTATACCTCGTCATTGAGATAGAGATGAGCATGGTCCCTGGGGAACCAAGCTGTTGGGTATTGGCACTGGAAACAACGTGAGACCAGCAACTATTGCCTTTGGCCCAACCATCGGTCCGGCCCCGTGATGTTTCTACTCCGGGTCATCGGTGTACGACTCCATTGCCGCCTGCTCCTCCATATCCTGGAGGTGCTTCTTGCCCTCTTCGGTGGTCGCATCGATGATCTGCTCCTCGAGACTGAGGATGTTGGCCTACAGTTGCATGTTAGTCATCAACTGACAAATTGCGCCCGTGGTTTTGACGTTGGGGGAAAACTCACCTCACTTAACAAGCCAACGAGCTCCTCGGCCTCGTCGACCTTCATCTTGCCCAGCACCTCGTTGACCTTGTCCAGGCTGCCCGTCTCGAGCGCCTTGCGCATGTCGGGCTTGAAGCCCTCGAAGATCTGGCGGCCGTGCTTCTCCGCCTCGTCCTCGCTGTTGGCCGGCGGGATCTTGATGTTGATGACCGTGCCCGGCTCCACGGCGTGGAGCTGGATCTGCTCGACGCCCTGGCCCCCGTTTGCCGCGTCGGCAGCCCGCTCCGCATTGATCTCCTTGCAGCGGCCCTTGATGCGTGCGTAGGTGTCCTGGACGTCCTTGTAGAACACACCCTGGGCGTTGTGGCCCTTGGTCGTGATGCGCTTGAAGAACAGGGCCACGCCGTCCTTGCCGAGGGCGCGGCAGTACTGTAGTAGTAGAGCCTGGTGAACGCAGTTCCGTGCGAGGTCTTCCTTGCCTTCGAGCTGTGCGTCGAACGCCATCATAAGAATTCCATCCTGTTCCTTCTCGGATATGATGTTGGGGTGCGACGAGATGAAGTTATTACTGTCTCTGTATTCTGTCGACTTGATCTTGGCGAACTTCTGCGCATCCGGAGATGCCTGGACCTCGGAATCGTCATCTGGGTCCGTTTGTCTGAGTGACTCCGGGTTGTTGACATCGAAGCTAGGGTTCAGCAGCTCGACCTTGCTCTCCTCCTTCTTTGTCCCTGCCTCTGCCGGTGTCGACTTTGCGACATGTGAACTGTCAAAGCCCGTCTTGTAGCTGTCGCTCGTGATCTTGCCCTTGTCGGCGTTCTCCAGCTCGTCCAGCTTCTTGTGAAGCTCCTTCTGGAGGTCCTCGACCTTCTTCAGGTGGCCGGCGATCTCCTCCAGCATGCCCTGGTACCGGCTGGCGGGCTTCTTCTCGTCCAGCGCCTTGTTGACCTGGTCCAGCAGCGTGGCCATCATCTTGGTGTAGGTGGGCGGGTTCTCGACCTCGGAGTGCACGCCCTCAGGCCGGGCCGGCGGCTTATCCTCCTCGGGGCTGCTGGGTGCGGACTCCATGACAGCCTGGAAGGCGACCTCGGCCGGGTTCCGCGACTCGGCCTCGTCGGCGTGGGCCTTGAGGGCGGTCAGGAGGGAGGATATCCGCTTGATGAGCCCATCGTTGATCTGGCGCTCGTACTTGAGGGTCTCGATATGCTGCTTACGCTGGGCGCGCTCGGCGTGGATCTGGTTCTGCTTGGCGCGGATGAAGGAGCGTTTGTCGACGTTGGGGTGGACTTCGACGTCCGAGTCGTCGCTGAGCTCGAGGGCATCCTGTAGGGCGGGGGTTGGCGTTAGACCATGATTATAACGACATGAGAGATTCCACGTGGACAGGAGGCCCGACGATGACTTACCCACTTGCTGTAGTCGACAGGCATCTTGGCGAAAGTCTGTGGTGTACTGAGTGTGTGGAATCACAAAAGCTGGCGGAGCTCAAGTGTAGGCTACGATCTGCCTAGAGCCTGATGTTGACCAGGTTGTAGAGAAGCTTCTGGACACCGATGTGTGGGGTTGCAAGGCGGCTTGCTTTCTGGGGCTCAGACTTCGTATCTTACAGGACTGGTGAGTTGAAAGAAAGACTCACATACCGAGGCACTGAGAGTTCTATACTTGTTCATGTAATAGTGGTCCAGACAGAGATTGTGTCTGGTAATCACAGTTGCTACACGGCGTGGAAGCGGGGTGACGAAATGCCCCGCGTTTTGGAAGCGCGCGTGAGGCCTCAAACTAAGGGCCATTGACTGTGCTATAGCACATGCAGATTACAATTGGAACCCTTTTAACACAGCCGAAGAGTATATGGTAATGAACTGTCTCATATGAAATATGGTATGCTATCCTTCCGTTATCACGACTTTCCCATGGTCCAGATACTTTTCATAGGGGTATTGGCGACGTCGTTTTATGAGTTCATTATAGGGCTGGGAGTATAACATGCCTCAACTGTGCAGTCTCAATATAAAAACCGTACTCACATCCGTAGGGAGTACTTTCACACACACACACACACACCAACGTAATTCCACAGGTAATTCTCCATCAAGCACTGGATCCAGACTCATGGTCTTGTTTCGTACATGCGCTCCTATCTAACAATGCACTTTTGTGTAACCTTTTGGGTATAAATCCAGTACACTTCCCTTGTTCTTCATTCCATCAGTCCAGCTACAGTACGGCTCCCAGTGACACTGCCATTGTCACCGCCTCGTCCCGCTCCCAGGATTCCCAACCCGTGTAGTTCTCAAGCCAGCTCCCTCCCGGCCGGATGCAAACAGTGCTCTACCCTCGGACGGTCTGTTTCTTGCTGGCCTTGCGCATCTGCTTCTCCTTCTCCTTGTCGAGGAACTTCTTCTGGGCCTTGGCGTCCAGGGCATTCAGCTCAGCATCGCGCTTGGCCTTGCGTGCCTTGTCTCGCTCCAGCGCACGCTCCTCGGCCTTCTCGTCATCGGCAGCCTTCTGGATCTGCTTGATCGTCTCGGCACGGATCGTGTTGACCTTGCGCATCACCTCGGCCCGGAAATGACCCGTGGCAACCAGATGGTCAGGGAGGCGCAGGAAAGCGGTGAACAAGGGGACCAAGTCGTCGTAGTTGTTGTTCGAGGGCAAGCGGTAGCGCAGGAAAAGTCGCTTGCGGGGAGTAGTCTCCTCAATACTGCAACGCAGTTAGCCAGATGAATTCGCTGCGAGGGCCAAGTTCCGGGAGCTAAAACTTACGTCGTAGGCCGCTCAAGGGGCTGGTCGGTGACGATGAGAGCCTCGAACAGATCGCCGGCCTTCTCCACAGCGGCAGCCAAGTCCTTGGTGAGGAGCGCATCGGTAATCTCGGCGCTCTCGCTCATGACAGTCAACCAGGCAGGCAGCTTTGCGTTGTCCTTGGTGAAGGTGATGGACAGATCGTAGCGATCATCACGGAGCTTCTTCATGTGGTCCTTGTTGACCACGGCCCAGACAAATCCGTCATAGGTGCTCTTAGCGTCCTTGCCGCGAAGCTCAGAAGCGCCGGGGAGGTTGGGGGCGATCGAAGCCTCCTTGCCATCGAAAGGATAGATGGTGGCCTCGACATAGTCAGCCGGGGCGCCGAAGCTGTCCATGAAGAAGCCGAGGATTGTCTCGGCCGTAGTCATGAGGGGGTTGAAGCGCTTCTTCAGCGTCAGGATGACATCCACGAAGGCGATGTTCTGACGGCCAGTCGCGTAGGTCGAGTACTCGAACAAGCTCTTCTGCTTGAGGAGCTTCTCAGGCTGCTTCTCGGCGCCGGGAACGCCATCGAAGCCCGTGAGCGCAAACTCGCTGGTCAGGGTGGGCGCATGGGCCTTGATCCATGCCTTGGCCTTGGACTTGTTGAGCCTGGAGCCGATGAAGTGCAGGGTGAAGATGACGGCGATGACGGCCAGAATGACGCCCTCAGCTTTGAACTCGGAGAGGCTGTGGCGCTCGTGGATGTTGTACCACTTGGTGTAGGGACGGTCCGTCACAGCAGGTCCACTGCTGGACAGCGTAGCGCCACCAGGCGGCTTCTCGAAGGGGACGGGCGAGGGGGAAGGTGCCTCGGCAAAGTCGGCGAAGTCTGTTGATCGCTTGTCAGTCCGTCGTCGTCTTCTCTTCCTACAGTCGGACGATACGAGGAGGACGTTCTCATGGAGACGTTGCCAGAGGGTGCGGGCGGCCAGTCGCGGACCGCTGTGCCTCGAGCCTCCGAGGCCGCTTGCGAGCGCGACTTGCTGCTGCACGGCCTGAGAGGGCAAGGAAACAAGATCAATTGGACTTACCCGAGTCGGCCGACGGGGCTGGCTCGCCAGACTTGCCCCCTCCGATGATATTCTTGAGAAAGTCCGCCATGGTAGCTGTCTCGGATGGCAGGCGGTTGAGACACGACGAAGGGGGAAAGGGAGCTGTTGCAGGTGGAAGCTCCCCGAATTGAAAAGGGTTCAGAAATTGGCCCATGCTGCGCGGCGCTGCGCCGCTCCACTCAAACCACTCGTTCTTCTTCTTCGCTCTTCCCCCCATCCCGTCCCCATGCAACAACCATGGACCTGGGTCTTGGCGGATGCGGAGGAAGCCGGCCTTTAGATCCAACTTAGAACGTCAGTCCGCCTGGACCGGTCTGGCCATCCTTTTTGGCCTCTCCTTTTCCAATCTAGGTCCACCTGCACACCAGCAAGACGACAATCAACATGAACAGAGAACACTTAGTTTTCTGGTCATGCGAGCGTCTTGGTCCGGTCCGTTGAGCATACCCCGAAATGGCAACGAAACCATGGTTCAGAGCGAAACGCAACCCTCACAGTACATCTCACGATGATCCTGGGCATATAAGTCGCCATCAAAGAGTCTCCAAAAATCGTTCGCTTCGGATGCGAGGCGCGCTTTCTTCTTGACTTGGTAAGAGCGTGTACAACACTATGCCATTAGAACTACGTCGTCAGTATTCCAAAAACCCAAATTGAAATATAAAGGAGGTCCACCTCGATACACGGTCTCTGTGACGAAGAGTCGCGTTGAAGAAGCCCAGATTGCCCCAATCTTCATCAGCAGCATTCTAAGAGCGCTAGCATGTGTCCAACATAAATGGCCATATCAGAACCATTAGCTGTCTTCCATCAAATCATACATGCCCGAAAGCATCAGGTATGACATGCAACTCCCGAGAACCTCTGGCTATGTCGTCCAAATCCCGATTACTTTTATTGGAGATCAATTCATACCTGTCTTGAGTAGATCGTACGGCCTCAGTGGATACCGGTACCAGGTGATTGTTAGCCCTGCTGGCTTGAGAGGATACGTCTTCTATCCGCCCTGCTCATCTTCTCTCAAGCAGATGGGTATGAACCTGGTCCACGATCAACTTTGGATCTGCTAACCTAGGAAGCTAGTGATTTGTTAATTGAATGAACTGACAGTGGAGTTTCGCAGCGCGAAAGATGAGATGAGGTCAGCTACATCCAGCGTATTCAATTTTGGGCAGTTCCAGACAGAGACCAGTTCTTGTTCTACAATGTGTGGTAATTAGCTTGCTCACTCGTACATGTACTGATGCCCTCGGAAATTATCCCAATGACGGATAAGGAAGTATTGCTTCTACTGGAGCGATGATGATTGATAGTTGAGACCTTGTGGTTCATCTTTTGCAACGGCCACAGCATGCCTGGTTCTATGTAAAATGACTGCTACCAACGCAATATCTTTTTAATCCCAACCTACTCTGGATGCATTAACAGAGGCGGTGGATACTGCTTATAACGGCATATGACTAAGGGTGAACAATACATCGACGACAATAATAATGACACGCCACCTTGTATTCACTACTCTTATCTCTTCATTCACTTCCATGTTATACTATCGCCGATATACCCATTCATCTGGTGTTGTCGCCGATATAGTCTCACGCACATACACCAGACGACATCCCACATTCACATCTGTGCCCTCGCCGACATAGCCTCAGACAGCCACATCGCCGATATACCCCTCGTCGTCGATGAGGTCTCTCCAGACATTCGATATTCACCTTGCGTTCAATGATGTCGTCCTTGAAGTCTTTGATCCACCATGAGGACTGATTGTCAACTTCAAAAGCTAACTCGCCCCCATCTGTTCCTCTTCTTCTCATCTCCTCTTTCACCAACGCACATCATCTTCGACAAATCTGCATTGGTACTACTATGGCGGATTCACGATATGTAAGCATATGCTTTCCAGCACTATCTCCTACCATGTTTGCTGACCGTTCCATACAGGCTTGGAACATGGCGTCGGCTGACAGCACTGATACTGCCGGTTTGGTGAGTGCCGATGCTGTCTCCGGTCCGTCTGATTCCGCTGCGGTTGCTTCTACCAGAGGCAATCTCAGTTTTGACCAGTCTGGTGCTGCCGTGCTGCTCGATCCCGGTGTCCATCTTGGCCATTACGGTGGCGACACTCGGTTCGCTACTGGTACTATCCTCGGCCAGCACGGTGGTGGCCTTCCATTCGCTACTGGCACTGTCCCTGGTCAGCATGGTGGTGGCCTTCCGTTCGCTTATGGTACTGGTCCCGGCCAGGCCATTGTCTATCCCGATGGCCAGCTCAGCACTGGTACTGCTACCGCCTCGTTCGCTGCGGGCATCCATCACAACCAGAACATTACCCTCGCTCCGTTCAAGGCCGGTTTCTATCATGGCCAGCATGGTACTATCCCTGGGGAGTTGAACGGTGGCATTGTCCCTGATCCCTTCGGCACTGGTGCCTATCTCGGTTCGTTCAACGCTGCCACTACCGGCCCGTATACTGGTCAGATCGATCCCACTGCGTTTTCTGCTCCGTTCGGTGCTGCTGATGCCCATTTCGATCCGTTAGACGTTGCCACTGCCGGCCCCTATACCGGTGAGCTTGGTGCTACCAATACCGGCTTCTATCCCGGTCAGCTCGATGCCACCACGTCTTCTATTCCGTTCGGTGCTGCTAATGCCCATTTCGGTCCGTTCGACGTTGCCACTGCCGGCCCCTATACCGGTCAGTTCAGCGCTACCGCTACCGGCTTCTATCCCGAGCCGTTCGATGCCGCCGCTGCTTCTGTTCCGTTCGGTGCCGGTCGTCCCAACAATCCCTGTCCGACCCCTCCCAAGCGAGCCAAGAAACGCAGATGTCAGGTAAAGAAACCATGAGTTTCATGAAGAATCGTCGCAAGCAGCTAATACCTATCGAATAGAATCCTCGCGCACCTGGTCTGGTTTCAACCCCGAACGATCGTCATGCGGCCTTGATGGATGCTACCTTCCATCCTTACCACGACGGCTTGAAGACTGCTATTAGCGACAAAGGTGCGTACGGCAAAATTGTGACCGTCGGCGACCAGGAACGCTTCATTTGTCACCGCGCCAGCGAGAAGGATCCGAACAAACTCTGTGGCGCGAACATCAAGCCCGAGGGCAAGAACCTCTGGAACCACGATCACAAGATACACGTGAAGACGTCGGCGTATGCGAGGAACGCAGCCGTCCGGGACACAGGCTTGCTTGTGTGTCCCCAATGCTCCGAACAGTTGGACAATGACCACAACTACGTGGCCCACATGCGCAGGGTGCATGACCTGAGAAACAAGCGCGGCCAGCCCAAGAAGTACTAGTCTCTTGCAACAGTTCTCCAAGACAGAGGGACGCTGGTAGAATGCACGCGGTGAATCTCTGACGACGATGGCGAAGCCTACAACTCGAGTAGGCTCGTGGAACGCGGCGTCGAATGTGCAGCTTTTGAAGAATAGTATACTCTTCAATAAAACCGTACATCTATCTGCTTCTTAGTGCCAGTGACATGAAATACAACTATGACTTGTGTGTCAATTTCTAAAAGTTAAGTTGAGTCGCAGTCACCATCGCCATCGCGAGTGACACTCATGGCAGTGGGCAGTCACATGCCAAGCGCCGTTGTCGTGCCAACACTCTAGACCCACATCAACACGACCACCTCGCTTAATGGAGTCTTCGTAGAACCTTGAGACAGAGGGTGATTAGTAAAAGCCAACTGAGAAGCAATCGATCATGAAAAGATGTCGAGACAAGCTACGGTGCGGAAATATGGCAAGCAGCAGAAGAAATCACGCTGTGACCGGCTTTTCGCAGAGCTGCCGCAGAGTCCTGTCCGGCCGGCGCTCGTAAGTGCGAATGCCGTCCAGCAGGTTGACGATGCAATCGGCAAACTAGCGGAGAGAGTCACTGCCATTAACATCCAAGACGAGAACGAAGAGCCGCATAGGTCTACGCCGTCTGCAAAACGGGCGCCTACCAGGCGTAAACAGAAGCCAGCATCACCAGAGCCAGCCCAGGAGCCGACGCCTGAGCCGGTCTTGGAAACCACGCCTGAACCAGTCCAAGAGCCCACTCCAGAACCGGATGAGCCTTCATATGGCGATTCAGAGGCTGTTGAATCCGATGCACCGGAAGAAGAGTTGAGAGTTCTATGCTGGTCTGAGGTATGTCCCCCAGGGGACAGGATCATGAAGATCGCGGAGGCGTCCTATGCGGAGGTTTACCGGGTCACGAACGAGCGAGGAACCAGCATCATCAAGGTCATCCGGATGGAGTCGCCCATAAAAGCGCAGACCAAACCCCAGCAAAAGTCAGGCCTGGTTGATGAAGAACCCCACTCTGAGGCAGATCTTCTGGGCGAGCTGCAGATATCCGAGTGGCTCGCCGACATCCCGGGATTCGTCGTGTACAAGGAGCGCTATATCGTCCAGGGGAAGGCGTGCAGGGAGCTTCTCGAAACGCACCAGGCTTATCACAAGAGGGCGAAGCGGCAGGATCCCGGGAGACTGCAGTTCTATCCTTCGCCGAGCCGCTACCTGGATGATACTAGGTTCCTCGTCATAGAGCTCGGCGATGCCGGGACTGCCCTTGAAGACTTCCAACTGCTATCATCGGACCAGTTGTGGGACATCTTCTTTCACGTAGCCATCGCTCTTGCTCGCGCTGAGGCCGAGGTCGAGTTCGAGGTAAGCCACCATCATCTCCAAAGAATTTGCATTCGGGAGCTGACACAGGCAGCATCGCGATCTCCATGAGGGAAACCTTTGCATACGGCAAGTTGGGGAGCCAGTGGCCGAGGAAGACAGAGATACAGCCGCATACTTTGGGCATTCTGGGTTCGAGATCACCATACTGGACTACGGTTTGTCCCGCGCAAGGGGAGATCTGGACGACGAGACCATCGAGCTCGTGGCCTACGATCTTGAAAGGGACTTGAGTCTATTTGCAAGCGAACATGCACCACAGTGCAGGGTTTACAGGCAGATGCGATCGTTCCTCTTGCGTGGCGACCGAGTATGTCTGCCTCCCAAAAGCCACAAGATCGCCTACGCTGAAGGTGTCGACGGCCCCATCAGCTGGGCGCTGCACGAGCCGTACACGAATGTTTTATGGCTTGCTTACCTCTACGACTACCTCGTCAGCAGCTTCCTTGGGCCGAAGAAGGAACTAAATGCTTTCAAGCGGATCACCAGGGACTTCTGGACGCATCTGAACCCTGAGGCGGATGACAGCATCCCTGGGTTCGCGAGTGCTAGCGATATAGTCATGTTCGCCGTCGAATCTGGCTGGATAGATGAGGACCAGCTGATGGGCGGCCGAAGCATAATCGAGAAGTCGATATTGTCCATCTTATCCACCGACGAGTTCGCCCGAGACTGTGACGACTTCGAAATGTCCTCACCATCAGCGCGGAGATCACCGAGACGGCATCAGCAACGGCACGTCATTGTATAAAAACTGTGGACGATAGATGGGACCTGGTGCATTGAAATAAGATATGGTGTTTATTGGGTTACGGTACTGACTTGGTCATTTGAGCGTCGCAGTTGCTATTCAAGATGGGGATCATGGTGGTGGTCGTCAGTTCTAGATACTGAGGATATATATAATGTGCTCTTACATATTAACGAGTCGATGCCTGGGCTGCTGCTGGACTATGAACTATGCAATACAAGCTTTGGCATTTATCTAATAGGGACACGTTGATCCAGACGATGGAATGCATGCATGAATTCCCGACACAGGATGGGCTTCAGAATCGCCTATGTCTCCTCTCACTTCCACAAGTACTAGCGTACGTCTGACACTCTCAGGACTCAGATGGTAGTGGGTTAGTCGTTATCTCGCTCCATTTCGTGCACGGAACACATCAATCCTGCCTGGTTCAAGTGCCTTGCCCGCATTTAGTTGGGATTGAATTATCTACCCCTCGTAAGAACCGACAAGCTGGTTCTGTATAAATGTAAGGGGACTCAATTGCGAGAATAATACATTATCCAAAAGGACCATTCTGTGGCATTGATTTACGCATTGTTATTAATCCAGAGGCAGAACCTTATGAGCTTGGCTACTTTAGCTAAGTCGGGCCTGTTTCCAACTGGGGCTCAGATTGCGGGGAATAGCTAAGTCGCTGGGCCTTGGCCTTGGCATTAGTTACAGAAATGTCCCGTACTCACTTGTCTACCTGTCTTCTGTAGCAACTAACTCGTGAGCTACAAGCGCAATAGGTAGTAGTACTTGCGTAGTAGGACAGGAAGCGGGTAGCCTGACCGGGCTGGCTGAGAACTACACAGCATACTCGACGTCTATCTGGGTAGCATAGTCACTGGCAGGCTTGCTAGAGAGAGCCGAAAGCCAGCTCGGCGTCATGGAAACAACGAAGACCGCCGCAAACCAGCCAAGGAAAGTTACAAAGCGATCGTCTAACGCGTGAGTTGCTTCCGGGTCCGCTACAGAGAAAACGTCTCATTGAACCATTCCTACAGGTGCACACGCTGTCGCAGACAAAAGATTAAATGCTCCGGGCTGCAGCCGTGCGAGGGTTGTAGGAAGCGGAAGACGACATGTGATTTTGATGATAAAGATGACAAGGTGGTGGTTACGAGGGCGTAAGTGGGCAATACTCGGATATCCTGATGGGTTAAGGCGGTTATTGATAGACATCTCCCAGGTTTCTCTTGGACCTGCAACGAAGGGTAGAGCGCGCCAACCGACAGCCTTCGAATGCAGGTGAGACTTCACAACCACTGCCTCACAACCAGTCGGCGGCCGACAGCGACGCATCGGCACCGCCTCTGTCCGGCATTGAGCATGAAACCAATCAAGAGCAATGTCAGTGACGCCGCTGGTACACGTTCAAACGCTTCTCACCACTAACTTGCTGCAACAGATGGGAGCCCAGATAATGACGACCTTACATCAATAGAGGGACAGAGAGCAAGCCAACCTCCATTCACAAATCCTCTCGCTGAGTCGCCATCCACCTTCATAGCAGCGTCAAACGGAAAACGGTGTTCGTACCTATCTTATCAACTTCTTCCCTTGGCCAGAGGCTGACAATTTTTCACAAAAGTCTATTTGGGCACCTCCTCCAATTGGTCGTTCTCGAGAAAAGTCCTCCAGTTGGCCCATCAAAATGTCCATCAGGCGCCACTGGCATCGGATGCTCTGCTTTTCGATGGGCTGGCCTACGATTTGGGCTGGCTTGGTTCTGATGGATCGGTCGCACCGGACATGCTAGCCATACCGACCCCCGATCATGCTATATATCTCATCAACGCCGTCAAATTCCATTGCGGCCATATGTTCCATTTATTTGAGAATGACGAGTTTCACATGCGGCTTCATCAGTTCTACGCAGATCCCGAGTCTACAACGACCACAACAGATCTATGGTACATCCACTTCCTCCTCATCTTGGCCTTTGGGAAGATCTTTATTATGCAAAAGTCCGTGGGCAAATGGCCAGCTGGTGCAGAATTCTTCCGGAGGGCTTTGCAGCTCCTCCCTCCAGCACATATACTTTGCCAAGATGCTGTGGTCGGCACCGAAATCCTGTGCTGCATAGCGTTGTACCTTCAATGTATTGACCATCGTAACGCAGCACATCTATATGTAAGGCTGCGGATCTTGCCCTTGCTTCTATCCGGGTTTCGACTGACAAGAGCAATAGATCGGCGACGCCATGCGCACTGCGCTTTGCTACGGGATGCATACGGACATGCCCGTCGCGCAACTCGGCGAGGAGCATGTGCAGCGATGCCGCAAGATCTGGTGGACAGTGTACGTCCTCGACCGGCAGATGACTTCACTAATGGGGCTTCCTCAGTCTGTCCGAGACCAAGATATCTCGTGTCAGGTGCCTATATTCCAGGAATCCAATCAGCGAACGACCACCCTTGGAATGCATATCCAGCTGGCCCGCGTTGTTACAGAAATCAATAATAGTTTGTCTCTAAATCCGTACTAGCAGCTTCAATGTCACTAATGCAGCGTTGCACGTTAGATGTATATGGTAATAATGGCAGACTGAACCGAAAGTTTCTAAGCAGTACCAAAGAGTGCTTGGAGGTCCTCGCGCGCCTGGCGCCTGACCTGAGTCAGACATTGCCATTGAAATTGGCTCAAGCCGGCCATGGCGTATCGAGAATCTCGGCCTCGATGCACCTGCTTTACCATCAGGTAAGAGTGCTATTCAACGTGCCGGTGAAAGACAATTGGCAGGGCTGACTTCTTGACTGTAGTGTATCGTGTTAGCTACGCGTCCATCAATATTTTGCTTCCTAAAGATGAAACTTGAGGTGTCATCATCCCGGACCAGCCCTGCACAACACAGTTTCGGCAATATCAAGAACGCGTGTCTAGAATCCTCTCAGCAAATTCTCAATATTTTAGAGAGCTTGGAGTCTCAGGGGCTTCTTGGTGAGCAGTGTCCCTCCAGAGTTCAGATTTGGTCATGCCCCCTAACAATGTATCCAGAAACATTCCTTTCCTTGGACTTTGACTCTTTGTATGTGTCAGCAGTCATATTGGTCATTGCCCCAGTCATTGACGAGAGCCATACGGGTAATCACATCTCCTGGGTGCAGAGATGTATGGCTTTGTTTGACAGATTGATTGCAGCCGGCAATCTGATAGCTGCTTGGCGCAAGTCAGAATTGCAACTGCTATATGAGATGGTAATACAAATACTGCGCTCACACACGACATTCGTGGACCCGCCATCCCAGGCTACCCGCGCAGCGGCATTACAAGTCACGGACCCTACAATTTCTCTACCAGCAGACTCGATCATTCAGCCGTTCGCCATGAATAGCCTCGGTAATGGTGACGATATAATAGCGGAGCAGATCATGGCGATTGCCAGTTCCATTCAAGATGAAGATATTGAATGGATGGATGATGCAATAGTCGAAAACAGTATCTGGTAAAGCATATAGGCCTTAACGAATGGGGCTGTGTCCAAGACCCTGTATCTTGTAAGGAAGCGATAAATTAAAAGTCAGCGCAATTGAGATACGCGAGGGACATCATCTTCCTGGTTTCGAAAATATACTGCTTTGAGTTGTACACACAAGTCAGTAGGAAATCAAGTAGATGCATGTTCTGGGCATTTTGTGAGCACTCCACTTAGTCACAACGGCAATATTTGATTGGCAGATTACAGAAGTGGGAATTAATACCAAATTTGCCGACGTTTTCACATAGTACACCTGTGCGGAACGTACGGCTCCTGTTGAGCGCTACAACCACACCGGCACCAAGCACTTTCTATAAGTATTCAACGAACGAAGTACTGAGCTCGGGTGGTGTGGCTTGTCCGGTGGCGTAGTATGGCTTTGCGTTCTATTTCCTATATAGTTGTCTTTGTTGCGTATGGATTCCAAAAAGACAACGCTCCTTTCACCCACATAATTGGACCCTGCGTTCTGGCGACCGACAACCTTTATTGTGCACGTTACGGAAGGAATTATCACTCTGATAAGTCAGGTCCCATTAGACAAAGTACGTTAGATTCGTCGGCAGTGACGTTGAAGACTACTTTAACTGCTGTGGACGTTCTGGGACGGCGCTGTCCTGGCGCACCACTCCAGTTCAGTACAACGATCAATGCGAAGAGTTTCTGGAGAAGGTAGAAATATAAGGATAAATGAACAAATTTACATCGCATGTGCATTGTGGCCTTGATGCTGTATTCTGATTTTTCAACAGAACCAGAAGAAGAAGCAGAAGAAACTGATTATGGTGCAAATTCCGATATCACGGCTATAGCTTTGACTCTACCTTAAACCTCCTAATATCTTTGTACTCTGTAGTGGTGCCAACACGCCAGCTCACAACATCACCCCAGCCACTGCCCGCCTTAACTTTCGAGGACTTCCATTTCCATTGCTCATTGCTCTGGGTTTTTTGTGGCCCAAGGAGGGCTAAAACCCATGAGCCTACAATGGGAAACATCTTGAAACCGTGCCCTGAGTCGCCAGAGAGGATGATCACCGACTTGGAGGAATTCGGCACGTAGTCGATGATGAAATGAGAGCCAACTGTGTCGGCAAACCAGCAGAGCGATTTCTTCACAAATGGCCGGTCCGCCAGCGCTGGCAGAGTATGGCGAAGGAGTTCCCTCAGCTTAGCCTCATCCTCCTTGGGGGGGAAGCCGACACTAGCATTTATCGGTTCTGGGGGGAGGGATATACCCGTTTCCTTGTTGGTGTTGATATAACCGCCACCCATGGGGCAGAGCTTGAGAAGGTTGGTCTTAGGGTCTGGCTCAAAATAGAAGCCTAAATCTCTGGCGTAGACAATGGGGATGCCACGCAGGGCCGACGTCTCTTCGTCCGTAAGCTGGATGTGAGCGACGGACCAGGACTTGGCTTCGACGGTTGTGCCGACCTCGGGGACCAGACTCGCAGCTTTTGCGCCGGTGGCGATAATGACTAATTCGGCTGCGTGTATCTTGCCATCCTTGGTCGTGACACCCTTAGTCCTCTTGCCATTTGGGCTTTGCTCGTACACGATGGAGTTGACAGTGCCAACGGACTCCCCAAGGAAAAATCTGACGCCACAGCCCTGGAGGACTCTGTATATTCCCCTCAGCGCGTCGGCGGAGTGAGTGTACCCATCGAATCGATTGAAGTAACCATGCCAGCCAGGGAGGTCGCCATCCAATTGCCAAGCCTGCTCCTGGATGTCGCTTCTTGAACTAAGTGGCACGACAAACTTGCTCAAAATAGGGTGGCTTTCTGCGGCCTTTCGAAATCTTTGCAAAGTGTCCTTGGCTCTTTGTTCAGCCTTGCCGGAGACACAATGCAGGAAACCTGTTCTATGGAAATACGGTGCAAATAGGGGCGTTTTCCAGGCTGCCATGGCTTCCTGGTTCAAGGATTAGCAATAGCTGGATTTGCGCTCCCGCCCCACTCTTCACTCACGATAGCTAGATTTGTATAGAAAGGATCTTCATACTCGGGTCGCATAATCTTGTTAAGGTCATTTGCTGCTGAGTATGGTGAGGGCACCTCATCACCCCGATCAAACACGGTGATGTTGGTGTACCCATCCTGTATGAGATGCAAGGCAGTGGAGAGGCCGAAGGCCCCGGCCCCCACGATGACAATTGGGCATTGTCTTGAGCCCGCCATGCTGATACTCTCGAGCACTTACCAGTGAAGATTGGTAAAGCGATAACGGCCGAAGAGCAGGTTGCCGGAAACAGAAGATACCCTCTGAGTTCAGATACACTATTGACTCTAGCATTGAGATTAGATATATGTATGAGTTGTGGTAACCCTGTAGGCTAGGCCGTAGCCATGTATTGTCATCATCATCACCATCTCAGTTGAGTGAGTTTGCGAACGAGCATGCGGATCTTGTTCCCGAGCCCCCATTACTCGGGCTCGGTGGTCGTCCGGCTTCGGACACGCATGAGATAGAGTAAGCCCCGCATACTCACTCCACTCGGAAATCAGGCCGATTGGCAGACTGGGGGCTATCTCCAAGAGGCTACTAACTAATTGCACGAGTGCGGATTGGGATCAAGGCGTATCACGAGTATGTTATTAACAGCTAGTGGATACTGTGCGGGGTATTTATCGCAGTCGTTGCCGACGCTAAAACATTGATAGCGTCAAACCCCGGGAGGAGTATACACAACGGCTCAAAGGCCGCGGTGATAAGGGAGATCTTTGCTAACCGCAAGCTGACACTTGACGGCAAAGACATACTTCGGTAACCAATGTTACTGCATATCTTGATTTGAACTACCCTATCGATTTGTTTCTTCTTCAATATTTTCTCTCCATTGGCTCTCGCGTTATCTTGCCACAAACGATCCGCAACGCCGAATGATGTGCACGGCATAATGTCATGCATAATCTTAGTAACCACGGACAATAGGAATTATATATAGTGATGTAGTGATATGAAACACGGATGTTACCAAGGACATTAGACAAATCCTTTAAGATAATTGCGGCCGGGTTGTCGAAGATCATGCAAATCTTATCTCGTTTATACACTAATGTCATATCGGCTGTCCCGCATTGTTCAAGCCTCCTCATGGTCAGGTGCTTGATAAGTTGCATATATGCAGTATTGCTTGCCTAGAGGTATGCTGGACCTTCCTGGACTGCAAGCAAAAGCGTAAATTACAAACCTGCTTGTAGTTACTCAATACAAAATTTCTTACGGCAGGGGAAGAACACAGCATGACTGAGACACATAACGCCACTCCCGTGGAATATTACACACAGGCTTCACTGCAACGTCAGCTGCCAGCAGACGGAGCGGCTGCAGTTGTTGCGGCCGCTAGTATATCATCTATCATCACAGTAACCGACAGGTAAGTGCCTCTCCATAGCTCTTGGATTCACCTGCTCAAGAGTTTCTACAGGTCGGTTGTTGAAAATGTCTCTACACGGAGCCCGCTCCTTAAGATAATGGCGAAGAATTTTGCGGGCATATTCACGAGACCCCGAAGCTTCTTCTCGACCAGGGCTCTCTACATAGTGTGTACCATGTACACACTCACTTATTTCACCGCAAATTCCAGTGAAACGTTGATCGATAACTTCACAGACACAAATAGAGCTCTTACAGGCACATGTGTCTCATCCGCAGTGTTCGTTGTCAACACACCGCTCGGTGTCTGGAAAGACGTCCGTTTTGCTCAAGTCTTCGGTGCGCGCCCGGAAACCGTGCAGGGAACTGGCTCAAAAGTCGTGGCTTCTTGTGTCAAGGCCCCCCGAAAGATGCCTATGTCGGTGACCTCTGTGTTTCTAGCGCGAGATTTCATCACCGTCTTTGGCTCGTTCTTTCTCGCCCCCTATGTTTCGAAAGCCGTACCCGATAGTTTGGTCCAGTCGGCCCATGCCAAGGCCTCAGTGGCTCAGCTGATTGTGCCTGGCTTGACCCAACTGCCGTCAACGCCAATGCATCTGTTAGCATTAGACCTGTACAGTCGTCCCAAGTCTGATGGTGTCTTGGACCGCCTGAATGCCACGCGGCGGAACTATTTCTCAATAACCCTCATGCGCGCTGCTCGATTAGTGCCAGCTTTTGGGGTTGGAATAATACTGAATAGCGATTTACGGCGAGCGTGGCGAGGCACTCCGCCCAAATACCAGCAGGGTGACACAGAGGATATCAAATCCAGGTAGATGAATAGACCTCTTCCCATTTTATAATCACGGCTGGATGGCAAGACTGCGGAGTGCGTCGGGAACCGTCATAGGTCGCTGTCGAGGATGCTAGAGAAGTTAGCAAGTCTTGATCAGCAACAATCACTATACTTTGGATATCCCGGGTTGGTATTGAGAATACTTGTGCGATGGGCAGGGAAACTGAGATCAGTTAAGAAGGTATACAATGGGTTCTCCCCGAAAGAAGTAGAATTTAGCACATGAAAATTCGACGCTAATTATACATCAGCGATATAACGTGAAGACGTGGGACACTCAATTTCGTACGAGGCTTGAGGACAACTTTTGAGACATTCAAGTTCTTATTCACGATTTTCGACTTATAAAGATGCTGCTTTAAACCTCTCAGCCCAGCTAATTGCTCATAAACATTTCGCCCACTGGCTAAATACGAAAGATTAAGAAAGAAAACTCTTTTTTAGGTTGCGAAAGTGTAAACTCCCATATTTCCAGACATATTCTTGAGAACTTTCAAGTAGGGAAATATAATTATGTGTTTTTACAATTATGGAATTTTCACCCAGAACAACTGCATTGCTTACCAAATGAAATGCTCAGATTTTAAAATCGATCGAAGCCCTACGTCTTGCGCCTTCAATCATTTGAATTATTTTACTGCTTAAACATTGCTAGGGTACTGGAATTCATGCTGCTCAAAGAATTCCTCTTTGATCAGCCGAGGACTTGTGAAACGTAACAGGACGTTAGAACTGCCGGCCTTGTCATTGGTGCCGCTCGCTCGGCTACCGCCGAACGACTGCTGGCCAATGAGAGCTGCAGTAGTCTTGCAGTCTATGAAAGTCAAAGGATTAGCATTGATCAATGAAGAGAATTCGCGGATATAATCACTTACTCAAGTACAGGTTGCCTGCGGAATATCGCAGGGCGTCCTCCGCCTCTCTGAGCGCAGCACGACTGTTAGAAAAGATAGAACCGGTCAAGGCAAAGCCGCCTCCGCTCTTGTCAACCTGCTCCAAGACAGATGACCATTTGTGGTCGGGGTACACGTAAATAACCAAAACAGGTCCAAAAATCTCTTCATCAAACAGCCTGTGTGTCGGCGAGTCTGATAGATAAACTGTCGGCTCGACGTAGAAGCCCTTGCAGTCGTCGTACTTGCCGCCTGCCAGCAGCTTGAGCGATGGGTCGTTGTTGCTGGCATCGATAATGGATTTGATCTTGTCAAAGGATCGTTGGTGAATAACAGGACCCATGAAAGCTGCAAGGTCTTTGTCAGGGTTACCGATGGTGATTTCCTTGACCTTCGACTGGAAGCTGTCAAGGAATTCCTTGGATCTAGATTCTGGAAGGTAGAGACGTGAAGTGGCTGAGCACTTTTGACCCTGGTACTCGAAGGAGGCACGAATAACGTGGTTCACAGCGCTGGGGACGGTGGCTGAAGGGTGGAGCAGGGTGAAGTTCTTGCCACTAGTCTCGCCCACGACTCGGGGGAAATCCCGGTAGACGTTTTTGCCAATGCCATCGCCAATCCTCGCGTATAAAGAGCGGAATACGTCTGAGGAACCAACGAAGTTCAACCCTGCGAACTCTCGGTGGTCAAGGACAGTAGATGTTACCTCCTCGGCATCACCGGGGACGAACTGTATAACATCGGCAGGGAGACCAGCCTCCAGAAGGATCTTATAGACGATTTGGCTGGCGTAGATGTTGGACGCGGATGGTTTCCACAAAACTACGTTGCCCATCAACGCAGGCCCTGAAACCAGGTTACCACCGATGGCAGTGAAATTGAATGGAGATACTGCATAGACGAAACCCTCTAGAGGCCGCCAGTCCAAGCGGCTCCACATTCCATCACTGCCACGGTCCGGTTGCCTTTCAAGGAGCTCTGCAGCATAATTGCAGTTAAGGCGGAAAATGTCGGCGAGTTCGGCAGCAGCGTCAACCTCGCCTTGCCAGATATTCTTGCCCTGGCCGAGCATGGTAGCCGCGATAATCTCATAGCGGTACTTGGTAGTTACAAGCTCGGCAGCCTTCAAGAAGATTGCCGCTCGGTCGACGAATGGTGTCTGTTCCCAGGACTTCTTGACCTTCAGGGCTGATTCAATAGCGTTGCTCACTTGCTCCTTACTCGCCAATGGACAGCTGGTGAAAGTAGTGGCATGCTCGCCAGGAAGTGGCTGATCTATTGCCTTCGAATGTGCTTGCGCTTGGCCATTCACGATAATCTTACTCTTTAGGGGAAGCTGTGATCGGAGCTTGGTCAAAGCCTCCTCGAGCTTCTGGCGCTCAACAGAGCCTTTTTTGTATTCAGGCTACGTTCATATTTGTTAGTGGTCATTTCCAAAGGGATAATTCGGAACACTCACATTGGGCTCATTACGAGGAGCTGGTAGTTTGAAAGGGACGGTGGCCCTGCCCCTCTTCGCCGTCACGCCTTGCAGGCTGGTGCGAAGCTGCCTCACACATGGCCTCAACACGAAAGTTCTCTGCATGTTGGAAGTTCCTGATAATCTAGCCTCTTGTCCTTTGTGCTGGCTGGGCTTAACTAAGGACAGAAGGTTCAAGGAAGAAATGAAATGGATTGTGATGGTGATAATATACTTGGAGGTCGCCTGAAGAGACTTTTGTAAACGAGTTCAAATATCCTTCAAGTCAAGGACCGAGATAGTATTGGTCACATCCCTTGACTCGCTATCGAAAGCAGCGTCACTAATGATGTTTCATTGGCTATACTCCTCGGACTCTCAAGCCGATGTCTCCACCAAGCATATCTTAGCACCCCGCGCTGAGACTGGGTCCATCTTCTCCACAACAGATTATAGGGCAGCTGGGTAAACGATACCACGAAACTTTAGTCAAACTGGATGCGGATGGCCTGCCGACGCATCTGGTCCAACTCCGCATCGGAGCAAGTCTGCGGCCACTGTCGGACGGATTGGGCCTGATAGCCCACTGCTGTAGCAGCTGCATACAGAGCGATCTGTTAGACGCTATGCAAACAGCTGAAGCCGCATAAGATATTGGAGACAACCTCCTGCGCCATCTTGGATGAAAGGATACCATTTCTTATTGAACACATTCATATATGATCCTTTAATATATTCTGTCAAGCTCTATTGCACCCCTGAAAAGTTTTATACGACAATGACCCAGAACATACCAGCCAGTGGGGTGTGGGCCCCAGCCCCGACATTCCTCAACCCTGAGACGGATAACTTGGACCTGGAAGCACAAGCTGCTTTCTATTCGTACCTGTCTCGAACAGGTCTGGCCGGGCTGGTCATCCTGGGAACCAATGCTGAGGCGTTTCTGATGACGCGCGAGGAACGCAAAGTCCTCGTTTCTACCGCCAGGACTGCAGTTGGCCCCGGTTTCCCTCTCATGGTCGGTGTTGGTTCGCATTCTACCAAGCAGGTGCTCGAGCTTATCGCTGATGCCACTGAGGCCGGTGCCACCTTTGTGCTTGTTCTTCCTCCGGCCTATTTCGGCAAGGCCACCACTCCTGAAGTAATCGAGAGGTTCTTCGATGAAGTTGCCAAGAATAGCACACTCCCAATTGTGGTTTATAACTTCCCGGGAGTGTGTAGTTTGGCTTTCCTCAGCGGTCATTGCCAAACTCGCGACTAAGCACAAGAAAATTGTTGGGTGTAAGCTTACCTGCGGTTCGGTGGCAAAAATCGCACGTCTGTCTGGTGCTTTGTCCAATTTCGCGACTTTCGGTGGTCAATCCGACTTCATCATAGGAGGTTTGAGCTCTGGGTCGGCGGGCTGCGTCGCAGCCTTCGCGAACATCTTCCCAAAGACTATTTTGAGGATATATGATCTCTACCGTCAAGGGAAATACGACGAGGCGTTCAAGTTGCACCGCATTGCTGCCCTGGCTGAACAATACATCAAAGAGGGCGTCAGTGCAACCAAGTATGCGGTGGCAATCCGAAGTGCGGCAGCTGCCGGAATCGTCGATGCAGTCACCAAGCTGCAACCAAGGCACCCGTATGTTGCGCCCAGTGACACTGCGAAGACAGCTATACGTGAAGGTACCAAAGAAATAGCAAAGATCGAAGACAGTTTGCCTCTTTCGGCATGATTCACAAGGCACAAGGCATGAGACACAATTAATAGAGAGAACATCAGAAAGTTAAGACTCATACCTTACTAGAGTTCGAAAAAAAAGTATCAGGGAAGTGATCGCGTTAATTACTTAGCTAGAGAATTCAGGCTTTGAAAGGGGCCCAGGGATTATATGGATCGTGAGGGGAGTCAATACCAGCCATCGTATTTCAACGTAAGAGGCAATCAATTGTATTCTAGAAGACATCGTTGTACATCGAAATTCTTAGATAATCTCACATTGCAACAATCAGATGAATATAGTAGCGGTAAAGACAACACATGCGCATGTGGAAAGCACTCGAAGGGCTGGACTGTTATGGAGCATACTCTTCGGTTCCTCATGTCTTCAATTCGTGTGAATGCCCTTGCCGATCGATCCAAAGACGCTTTCATAAAACCCGTTTGATTATGCCGCAACTTTGCTCGTAGTGATCTGATGCAATGGACAAGCATAGAGACATTCAATCTTCATTGAATACCAGAGAATTGATAGGGACCACTCTCATCAAGACTATTTACGACCGTGTGTCGTTGAGGTTTTCTCGCCCTGATCCCATCAATCTCGCGACCGTCACAGCCTCACGAAGACCACGACTTAGACCGCCGCGGACCCCTGTCTCTTCGAGAACCATGAGACCAGCAATCGTGCATCCGCCAGGGGAGGTACCCTGGTCCCGAAGGTCGGCGGGTCGTAGTCCGTTCTGTAGGAGGATCGCAGAACCCAGCATGGATTGCGCAATGATCGCATTCGCATCGCCCCTTGGCACACCTGTAGCAACAGCAGCATCAACCAAGGCGTCGGCAATCACCGCAAAAAAGGCGGGAGTGGATCCGCCGACTGCCGTGAAAGCATCAATACGGCTGGGGTCCAAGTGTATTGTCTTGCCGATGCAGCTGAAAACCTCGTCCGTGACTTCCAAATACTTGCTTGGGAGCCCTGGGCTTGGTGTTTCGATTGCGGTGATAGATTGAGCAACTGTAGCAGCAATATTGGGCAGAGTGCGAACAACCCAAAACTTAGAGGAGCTATCGCTAGAATGCGCAGTAAGGGCAGTCTCAATTTTGTCTCTCGTCCATCCAGCAATCACACTGATTAACAGCTTGCCTGCAAGAGCATCGGCCAGACCTGGCTGCCTAATGGTGTTTTCGACATCCGCAGGGTCAACCGCCAGCACGACATAGTCCGAGGACTTCACGGCTGCGACATTGCTGCCGCCGCTCAGAATTTCTAATGGGCCCTTGTAGGTACCAAATCGCTCGGACAACCGCAGCCGGGACCTTTCACTGCGTACACAGGCAGTGAATCTGTTGATTGAGGTCGAAGGAGCATCTGCCTTGGCTGCCTTAAGTAAACATTCCAGGATGGCAGCCCCGAGGTTGCCTGATAATTGTATTAGGTTCGCGAATCCCCGACATCCAGGGAAGTATCATACCACAGCCTAATATACATAGGGAAGTCATGATTTCTTTCCTTTATTGAGGAGAAAATGACATGGATTGGTTGAATAGCATAAAGTCTGTATCTGTGAGAAGATTATATATGACAGCTTGAGCGGTGGTGATGTGCAGTTGGTATGTCTTTTGCACATGGTAAGACAACTACCCTGGGATGACTGAACTGCCCATCTGACATCAAGCCCAAGTGTGCCAAGTCGCCTGAGCCTTACGGGTGAAGCGCAAGATCCCAGCTCCATCGCAGTCCCCCCTCCTTCGGATGGCGCACTACGGGTTCAACTACCGATCAGTCGGCTGCGGAGGCCGGCTCCAAGTGGGTCCACTTTCCATGAGTTGCATGGGCAACCGTGTTCGTCAAAGATTCACCCAATTCGATAAGAGATAATGCAGGTTTCTGTTCTCTACGTCATGTTGATGTTAGAACCAGACCCAACTCAATGAGTATGCGTTTTACTAGTGTAGCCAAAGGACACACCAGGTCAAGTTGTTGATAGTCAAAGTGCGATTCCAACTTGAGCAATCCTCGAAAGGAGTTTCAATTTGTAAAAACAACGACACCTAACGGACAAAACGAGCTCCCGACTTGATTCTCCTCCATAATTCAGACTTTAGCGCTGTAAACTCGTCGGTCGTGCGCAATACTGCATCGCGGTTCTCAACCGCCCTCCTGAGCATGTATGCCAAACACTCCGCCATGCTGCCCCAAGTGGAGCATTTAAATACTTCAGGGGTACGCCACATTCATCTTTCTCGGACAAGAGTTGGAAGCTCACTTGATCCGACATTCCGTGTAACTGAGCGAATCCTACAGGGACTGTAGGGAGACCTTGTCTGATCCGTTCTTGATGTAACCTGTGGGCCCCTATGACACTTTGCTTGTTGTGACTAGCAAGGAAGAGGTTGACAGATGGGAAAGGTTTACTGCCACTCTGTCCAAACTCGCCGATCTGCTGCTTCAAAGCTCCTGTTGTGATGTGGTTGTACGCATCGTCCGTCTCTTGTTTCGTGTCGTGAATCAAAGATCGATCATCCGAGAGCATGTAGGCGCCGCGGACTAGTTTTAGACCAAGCGTAAAGCCCTCTTGACTTGCAACTTCGAGATGTTCCGCAATAACCTTGGGGGTATGCTTCAAGTAGGCCTGATATGTGTTGAATATGATAGCCGAGCCGTCACGGTTGAAGCGGTTCATTAGTTGTAGAGTCGTAGCAGCAATACCTTTCTGAAAATGTTGAGATTCCCCATCGACAATGATACGTATCGATCGGGCTTTGCAAGCAGCGCAGATCTCGTCGAGCGCGTCTAGGAACTGTTGTGGCACCGTCTGTTCAGCGACAAAGGCAGCCGTAACCTTTGAACCAGCGCCAGTCATCCTAAAATAGCCTTCCGTTAGACAATGTAAAAATTCAAGCAAAGAATGGTCGACCTACTTCAAAGCAAGCATATCCCCTTCCGCAATCAGTTCGATGGTTTTGAGAGTGCCTACCCTCCACTCCTCAATACTTGGGCAAAAAGAGGCTTTGGAGGAGGTAGCCTCCTTGTCTTCGACCTCCTCAACTCCTTGCATATTCCCCGACTTGGAATCGTTATCGAAGACAGTCTCGCGTGCATATGTAAGAATCACACCCTTGAATCCGAGGTCTTTCAGAGCTTTCACACATTGTTTCGCCTGTGCTCGGGTCTCGCCGGCACAGAATTGGTTGTAAAAAGTCTTTTTGAGCAGTACATGGATGAATGGGTTCTTCTCGGGGTGCAACATGAATCCCCTGTCTGGTTTTGAGAAGAAGGATAGCAGTTTAAGAGAAGGTAAAAGCAATAGTCGTTTCGATGATATCGCCGCGATGAGGGCAGACCTGATCAACACGCCATTGGGCAATATGGCAAGGGGTGCATGTCTCGCAGCTTGAGAGGGCAATAGCGTGGTCCTTGATACGACTCCCAACATTCTAGAAAGCGGCATATTCTGTTCTTTAGATTCAAGTTCAGTAAGAAGCGAGGTCGCCATGGAAATACCTCGTTTGCGATATTGTAGCTCGTTTTATCTCTGAATATGCGTACGAAAGTATGTGAGTATGTAAGTCTCTCTTCACGACGCCGGCTTTGGATGCCGGAGGGGTTAATTGTCACTATCCAATACAGCAATCGAGACTATAGCATCCATCAGCAGCTCCACTGTTACCCCTCACGAGCGATAGTAGCTTTGGCGAGAAGGTGCAATTGGAATTGAAGCTGATGTCAGTCTGGGACACTCGAACTAATGATGGGACAAGCAAGACGACGTAGGAGGTCACATGTGACATCGGCCTTCCGGCCCTCCATCAGAACGTGTAGCGTCCTCATTGATCTAAGCCTCCAAGTCTAGCTCTGTCTACAGGAGTGACCAGGCGAAAGCGGGATTCCCTCCGACGCATACCGTTTTCTGAGGCAATAGATATCTACCGTGGTTGTGCTACGATAGATAAGTCATCTGCACTGGCTAACTACCGATCGCATGGACTCGACGCGTCGAATTGTGGCTTGTAAGTATGTGGTGGTTAGCTCGGGTGTTGTTCCGTTAGCGTATCAACCTACACAGTACCTCTATGGTCTGCGACTCATGATAAGCTGTGGGGCAGCAAAGCAACAGCCCCTGGGTCTCCCCAGAAATCTATTCGTTAGCTAAGGAAAGGAATACGGGGAGTAGCCAGGGAATTTGCCGTAGCTATTCCAACAGACCGTTACCACCCTGCAATAGTTAACCCGGCCATCTTGATAAACACCCAGGAGTTACTCTGCCTTCATAGTTGCCTACTTCCCCAAGCTTTCCTGGTGCGACGGGTTCTCCGCTGTTCCTCCATTCAATTGTGGTGTCACCACTTTGACATATTAGATATAGAACGTGAATAACTCTTTGCAACTCCGACTGTCTTTCATTATTCCCCCTTGCCGTTGCTCGTCACTTCAAAGCAGCCGCTGCTATATCTTGAAATCATGGGCATTCTCGACGATAAAACAGGTCTGGACGACAATATCCTTTCCAGAAACGAGACTCGCGGAGAGAGTGTCCACGTGGGCACAGTCGACGAAGCCGAGGATCAGTTGAAGCGACACCTTGGAAATCGACAGATTCAACTGATTGCCATCGGTGGCTCCATAGGAACGTCTGTCTTCGTCAGCATCTCCAATGGACTCATCGCTGGTGGACCAGGAAGCCTGTTTCTTGCTTTCATCCTTTACGCCGGTGTCATGGGTCTAGTAAACAATTGCATGGCCGAGATGGCCGTCTTTCAGCCCGTGACTGGTTCCTTCATCCGAATGGCCGGCAAATGGGTCGACTCCTCCCTGGGCTTCATGGCCGGTTGGAACTTCTTCCTCTATGAGGCCTTGCTGATCCCTTTTGAACTTACGGCCTTGTCGCTTGTCCTCTCGTTTTGGCGTGATAATATCCCGGTGGCTGCTGTTATCTCCATATGCCTCGTTCTATACTTGTAAGTCGTGCGGCACCCGTGTCTTTCCTTGTTTCAGACAGCTTACTCTTCTGCAGTTGTATCAACGCATTTGCAGTCAAGTATTACGGCGAAGTCGAGTTCTGGCTGTCCTCCGGAAAGATCCTCCTCCTCGTTATCGTCTTCTGCTTTACATTCGTCACCATGTGCGGCGGCAATCCTCACCACGATGCATACGGATTCCGATACTGGAGGGAGCCTGGGGCGTTTGCCGAATATATTACCACGGGCTCATTAGGCCGCTTTGAGGGTTTTCTTGGTATGGTCACCCACCAATTTTGGCAGTTTCTCTTGGACGAATCATCTAACGCGTTTCAGGTTCCCTCTGGTCTGCAGCATTTGTCATCGTTGGACCTGAATACGTGGCCATGGTCGCTGGTGAAACAAAGCTGCCTAGGCGATACCTGAAGGCTGCTTTCAAGACGGCGTATTGGCGATTTGCCATATTTTTCGTCGGAAGCGCGCTATTTGTCGGTATCGTTATTCCCTACAATGACAAGGACTTGATCGCAGTTCTCAGTGGCTCGTCCGGCGGGGCTGGAACTGCTGCAGCGTCACCATATGTGATTGCCATGAACAACTTTGGCATTAGTGTGTTGCCAGACATCACCAATGCCTTACTGGTAACAAGCATTTTCTCTGCTGGAAACGCGTATACTTATTGCAGTACGAGAAGTCTTTACGGACTTGCTTTTGATGGACGTGCTCCCAAATTCTTGCGCCGCTGCACCAAGCACGGAGTCCCCATTTACGCGCTTCTTTGCGTTATGGCCTTCTCTACTTTGGCCTTCCTCAACTTGTCTAGCAGCACTGCCTCGGTTTTAAGCTGGTTCGTCAATTTAATTACGGCCGCGCAAATTATCGACTACATCATTATTTGTATGACATACATTTTCTTTTACGCCGCATGCCGCGCCCAAGGTTTGGACCGCCAAAGCCTGCCGTACGTCGGATGGTTTCAGCCCTACTCTGCGTGGATCGGGTTGGTTTTCATGAGTATTATAGTCTGCACCTACGGCTACAGCATTTTCCTTCCCGGAAAGTGGGATATTAAGTCATTCTTTACTTATTACGCCATGGTTCTAGTTGCCCCCGTCCTCTTTTTTGGATGGAAAATCCTACACCGTACTAAGTTCGTCAAGCCGTATGAGGCCGATCTTGTATGGGTAGCGCCATTTATTGATGCTTACGAAGCAGCCTATGAAGAGGATGTCGTTGGTTTCAGGAGGGAAATCTTGAGAATTTTTGGCATTGGGAAGAGGGGCAAGGCAGATAATACAAACAGTGCTTCGTGAAGATAGCTATTGTCTAGTGGTGATGAGGCGAGAGCTTCGTAATAAAAAGCCGATGCAAAGATTTTAGAACGTTGGTAACTCTTGACCAAACCAAATGTAGGTCATAGGCAAATTCATGAGGCTAGTTGCTTATTAGGTACCTTACGTCTTCCATGCTACCGAATGTCACCCGAAGTACTATCTGTCGAAACGAAGTCGTAAATTTTGGACGGGTCTTGTTGTTCAGTCTTGGAGGCCTCGTCCATATTCTAGTACTGTGCTAGCATATGTATTAATGTCCCACCATTTTATTATCCATGTTTAAGAGTGCAGCTCCTAGCCTGCCGGACCCATGCTCACCTCACAAGGCCGATCTTGGCGTTGGGACTTATTGGAATGAGTAGGTTTCTTACCACGAGATGGAGACCATCACAAGAATGAGCCGGCTTGGGTTCATTGCGTGACATTACTCGCCCTGCTGGTCTCGAAACATTATTTTCTGTCTTGTTGGGCTGAGCGCGGCTCACTGCAACTACTACGACACCAAACACGGCGCAAATGTAGCAGGTATGCTGGGGACAGTGAATAAAGCCCCGCGGAGGAGTGTTTTCGTTTTTTAGAGTTGGTTGCAAAGTCCTACTGGTGCAGATATAGTAGCAAAGCTGTGGGAGCAACTGCCCACTGCGTGCTAGCTGCGTGAGGTGTTCCTTTCTTTGACATTAGGTGCCAGGGCCCCGAAACCGGGCTTCACGACATTGCCTACGGCATCCCATATTTCGCGGGTCTAAGCCTCGAGATAGTCGTGGCCCAGCAATTCGCCAACAGTTCTGGCTATACGGCGAACGTGCAGGCATGCTCCATATTGTGGGCAAAAGCTGGCAGAATGCTGACGACATCCACGATCAATTGCGCTCTCCTATTCGTTGGGAGTTCTCCTCGTCTCAAAAACGCATGATCTTGGGTGATACAGCTCTAACCTCTGACCGGGATATGGTGAGTCGTACCGATAGTGATGCACCAACTAGCAAGACGTGGCTATCAGTGGCGCAGAGTACTTATCGATTATGGATCAGTACAACCACGCAAGGGTTCTACTCGTCATTGTACCCAACCTTATCAAAAAGAAATATACAGTATCGCAAGTGGCTGTGTATCTTTCGTCGAGCGTGTCCATCGTATAAGTCCGTCGGAGCTAGCCGTCTCAATCTTTGACTTCATGTGCCCCAACTCAGTATTGTGCCTCTGATTTATCCTATAGTACGGTTCAATATGATCTAAAACTCCCCCCTCACATGTAGTGTGAAGTTTGATTTCCTAGCAACCCAACAAGAACCCAGTCCCTCTGAAAGATTGAGGCATGCCGTATGAGTATAGTACATCCGTTTTCTCTTGCGCTTGTGGCTATGACTTCAACTTGAACCTACCTAGTTATCCATGGTTGCGTCCTCCCCGCGCGCCGGCCCGCCGGTTTGTGGTGCATCCCCGTAATGCTGCAACTTAGGCAATGCTCAGCTGGTCTCGCTGATGCTACTTGCTCATGCCTGCCGACGTCAGGTGTAGATTATCGAGCCAGTTGTCGGGACCTATCCCGTGCCCGTGGCTGTCCCGGTAAGTTCGGCACACCCTAGGCAGCATCGGAACCCTTTCCGTCTCCGCAGAAACTCGGGACAGGACCCGATCCCCACCACCTGACAGCAACTTTCAAAATCTTGATTGGAAATTTGGCAGGCTTTTGAGGATAGGCTCAGCTTAGTCGGCATTACAGAGCCAGTCGCTTGTCGAACCCTATCGCGGAGCCGTAGATAGCTATTGCAATCGCCGGTAACGGAGGCCGGGCATTCGGCCGCCATTCTAGAAGTAATCGATGGAGTACCGTTATCGTTCACTAGTCTGCAATATGGACGGTTGTCTGTGATAGACTATTTTGAATGTCTCATTATCAGGCTACGAAGAGGACAGCAAGAGAATGATAGAAAAAAAGAAAATGAACCTTGCCGTCCGCATCTGCGTATGATTTTAGCTTTTTTGGCATGAATGTAGCGACCGGGCCTCTTGCGTTTTGTATATCCAATCCCAAAAGTCATAGATTTACTTGTTCTTCGTCAAACTATTTCTCTGCAGCTGCAATGGCACCAATTCAAGTGGGATGGATAGGACTAGGTTCCATGGGTATTGGCATGTCCAAAAATCTGCAGAAGCATCTGTCGTCGCCTGGCGCGCCTCCTCTGGTTTACACTAATCGAACACTATCCCGCGGTGATGCCTTGAAAGCACTGGGGGCAACTTCTGTCACAACCGTTGCGGAAGTTGTGTCCATGACGAACATCATATTCTCATGTGCAAGTCTACTGTGCACCTTTTCTCCGACGGTGTGTTCATGCTAATCAATCTTGCCGTCCAGGTTAGCAATGATGCGGTGCTGGAGAGCACAGTTGATGAAGCTATTGCATCGGGGAACCTTGCGGGCAAGATATACGTGGATTGCTCTACAGTACATCCCAATACGTCCATAGCGGTGTGCAGAAAAATCACTGAAGCAGGAGCTAAGTTTGTGGCTGGTGAGAAACTACGCCGTACATGGATAATTTGTTATATGTGTAACTGACGCGACTCATTAGCCCCTGTCTTCGGTGCATCGCCTGTAGCTGAGGCCGGTAGGCTGATCTTTGTATCTGCCGGCCCCGAGTCTGCTCGAATGGCCATCGACCCCTATTTGAAGGGTGTTATGGGACGCTCGGTTATTGATATGGGCGAGGATGTCTCCAAATCGAGCCTTTTAAAGATTGCCGGAAATATTTGCGTTATCTCTTTCATGGAGGCGATTGTGGAGGCCCACGTCTTCGCTGAGAAGACTGGCCTAGGGCCAGCTATCCTTGAGCAGATGCTGGGAGACAATTTCGGACCAGTTATCGAAAGCTACTCCAAGAGACTCACAACAGGTGCATACGCCCCTGCTGTCGACGCAAAGGCTGGATTCGACGTGGCGCTAGCTATCAAGGACGCCAAACATGCAATCAACTGTGCTACCGAAGCAGGCACTGATCTCGAGGTCAGCCGTGTGGCACTGAAGAACATGGAACTTGCATGCGAACTTCAAAAAGGCAAACCCTTGGATAGCAGTTCCATGTATGGCACAATCAGGGAGGATGCGGGGCTAGACTTCTACACAGATCTGTGCAAGAAACGCGACGGTGTTGCGTAAGCACGAGAGTACCATCAATCCTAGCGATATTATTTATATAGGAGAACAGACGGAAATGCCTCGTTTAGTGGGCATAACGAGACTGCCTGAGCTATCGTGCTACTTTGCCAGTCCAGAAACATGCATTATAACAGTTTTGGCCCAGTCCACGTTAGATAGTATGACCTGCTATTATAATATTCTCACTTAGCTTAGAGCCTACGAGTCCTTATGATATCCATATTCGAAGAAAGCAGGCACCTAAAACCGCCGATCGGGGCTAGGTGCTGAAGTTGAAGAGATAAGATAAGCCATGCACATACAGTACATTCCAAGTCTACTATGTATGGTTTTCATGCCCCGCAGCGAGACTCTTGCAATCCATCCGTCTTCCATACCCCTTTGAAACCCCTACCCTTGCGTACTTGTGTTTGGCCTTGTGAAAAGCAATGGTGCTGCAGAGTATATTGTAATTGAACAGATGCAGACTCTATTATCCATTTCTTCCATGATCAATGCTGTAATGTAGTCCCTTAATCAACCCACTGCCGCTGTTCTCGGCCGCTGTACTTCGGACCTCGGAGTCCGGAAGGCGACCAGGCCCGGGCCGGCAGATGGGCATGGCATTGACTCCAGTGATTAGCATTGGCACCTGCCGGGTTCGTCTGCCAACGTGAGTATTTGAAATCAACTGGCTCCATCACGGTCGGCACCTCGCCTGGGAGGCCTTGTTGGTCATGAGTGAAATAGGGTTTAACTTACTCTGTTTGCGCCCATGTCGCTCAACCTTAAATCATCCCAGCCCAACGTTCGACGTAGGCAGTCATAAGACCCCTGAGTTTGGACCATGTCAACACAAGGAGCTGCGACAATGCAAGCTGTGCCTATGCTGCGCTGCACGGAGCAGACTGCTTTGCTTGATTGTTCCTGCGTCGTGCATCCTGCCTTACTGCATTCCGTCCTCACTCCCGAGTTGATGGCACTGAGACCCGGAGATTATAGCCCGGGAATGCCCCGTCCCACGCTGATCCAGGAACGGGGGCAAGGGGCGGGCGGCATGGCCAGCATATGGTTGCAGCCGCAAGCGGGCGGCAGATTGGTTCGTTTCAGCGCCTCGCCTCACCCGCACGCTAATCTGGATAAAACCTAGGTACTGTACCTGGGGAAGCGGTAGCGGGCGACACGACGTCTAGCTTGCAATCGTGAGATTTACCTCATCAACGTGATGTGACAGTCTACCTCGCTTGGTGGCTACGACATCATATTGGGTCCCTCGTGTTATTGTCGTCTTTTGTTCCGCGGGCTGTTCGTTGGGGCACTTTCTTCCATTCTATCCGCGGGATCCGTATGTCCAGCCTGGCGCGTTTTCCCCGACTCCACAACTCGGCATGGCCCCCTGGCCTTGTCTGTCTTCTGCTGTCTACAGCATGGCCGCCTTGCTAAAGTACCATTCGACCATGATGACGACATTATCTTTGCAGTTATAGGTTCGACGCGACGGTTACCTGAGGGCCTGCTGTAATAGCAATCCTACAATTCGTCAGCCGAAGAGCGGCCCACAAGGCGTCTTGCAGCAAGGTTCCGTGATACTACACAGTACGCGGTAACTTACGGGTCGAGAATGTCCCTCGTTCAGATCGAGCTCGGGCAAGATCATCACCAGCCCGCGTTTTCACAGTTCTCTTATGTTGTTTCGACCGTGGTGCAGTCGTATGACGGGCCCCGCGCCAGCGGCCAGACTCGAAATTTCATCCCAACCCACCTCTGAAAAGCAATGCGGTCCGGGTGACTCTCCGCTCTTGTCCGCATCCTCACGGGATTCTCTACCAGAAACATCACCCCACGATGACTACCGGATCGGTGGGGGCTTCGCTGGCCTCGGCAGCCTGCGGGTGGCATCCTATTCGATCCAAGTGCCGTGCAAGGCGCTCAGGCGCTCAGGCCGCTGCGAAGCGCCAGCCTATAGACAGGGGGGTGCAGTTTGTACAGAAGGCCAAGACAAAGCCAAGCCTGTGTGATCCGAGAAACAACCCGGCATGCGTACATCCTTTCCAAAAGCCCAATTGAAGAACTGTGCTTGCCATGACCTCGTGGCATTGGCCACTAATTGGGATTTGTCCAGTACTTTCCTTGCCAACCCTCGCCGTCGTCTTCCAACTACAGTTGTGCGCGTGAGGAGGCAATCCAAATCCAATAAGCCCCGGAGCTTGAGTCCACTGTAGGTATTGAAGATTCCACATCGTTAACCTATTCCGGCTCTCGATCGTGCTCGATCCCAACGTTTCCCGCACCGGGATCCACAATTGTACAGAAACCCGATCGGGATGGCCTAAGAATGAACGAGTGGGTGTAACGTCATGCAAGGTCCCCAAGAGACTGGGCGCATTCTATCTGTACCTGGCCGTCGAAGTTTGCCAGGGATTGGTCCCAGTTCCCATAATACAATTTCTGGGCAACCTGGGCATGCAGAAGTCTGGCGTGATCACAACTTTCTGGAGCTTACACCGTACTTCCATGAACTAGTGAGTCGAGTTTGCTTTATTTTTGGTAGCGCCTTTCACTCTTGACCGATTACATTGCTCTATTGACATCACGGGACGACCCCCTTTCTTTCTCCAAGGTTCTTCTGTTCCATTTCGAGACTCGACCCGGGCAAGGTGTCTTCCAACAGCTCACTGTCCTGTTCAACTCATATGCCGGGTGCCGGAAAGTTTACCACCGCCGTCAATATCGAATATCCCTAACCAGGTTGACTTGCGCCAGCATATAACTACGGCCTGGGTGACCCTTTCACTTGGCTAAACCCGATTGTAACTTACAAGGGCTGCAAGAAACCATGCAGCCTTGTTGGTGCTTGGCGACAGAATGTGTGACTCCCCTGGGTGTACATTTGTGCTATCAAGTGACACTCCATGCAAGATGTTCTGCACTCATCACATGTAGTCCAAGAATAGCACAAGTCTTGAGATGGGTTCAACACTGCAAATGAGCGTACGGCGCAATGCCCACCTTGCATATGTTTCACGTTTCCTGCGCATATCTCGCTTGCATCCATGGCAGAGAATTAACGTTCGGCCTGATGAGGTTAGATATACAACCCTCTAATCTCCATAATCAGATCAGTGGAACGATGTCCAATTCGACCTACCCAGTATGTCTCTGGATGTAGGATAATCATCAACCTCATTCGTCAGTGCACGGATGGATCCCCTGTGGGTACCTTGCTCATGACTCCATGCCCACTTGGCCCGTCTATGTAAGTTGAGATTAGCTCGCCATCAACAGGGTCGATTGCCAGTCAGGAAGTCGAACCACATCCATGCAAGCACGAATAACGACCTTGCTGTCCCGCACGCGGATTAGAGCCCGCAGCTATTGTAGACTTGCGCCAGAGCCGCAGCTATTGAATCGGATGCTGTACTTTTCACCACGATCCGCAGCACGGCAGAGTTCGGCGCTAGTCTCAGAAGCAGGTATATATGTAAACAACCCGATCTGCCTCCCACCGGCTTCCAGGCTCCTGCTTCCACTCCTTTGGCACCATCCTCCTTCCAGTACTTCCAACCGATCTACACATCGGGAACACAGGAAAGGTTCAAAGTCAGCATCATGAGTCGCCAACTCCTCACATCAACTGCCCTCTTCGGGTTCCTGGGACTCACTACTGCCATCGGTTGCCCCTACGCCAACCCTGGCGCGCTTGCAGCCCGTGCCGATGGCGCTTCCGACGACTATCTTGCCCAGTTCACTGTGGACGATAGCGCTGGTTACATGACCGACGATGTTGGTGGTCAGATCTCAGACCAGGACAGTCTCAAGGCCGGCGCACGTGGAGCAACCCTTCTCGAGGATTTCATCTTCCGCCAAAAGTATGCATCCCGTTCGTCTGCTTCTGCGTGTTTAATGCTAACCATCGCATAGGATTACACACTTCGATCATGAACGTGTAAGTTGTGCCCTTTCCTGATCTCGTCACGGTTCAATATTTGAGTCCCAGCGGGGGCGTGAAGCATCAATCCTCGCCCCAACTATCTGGGGGACCACACAATCATGAGACTCTTCCTTGAGAATCCCCACTGACATGTTGTCACTAGGTTCCCGAAAGAGCAGTGCACGCAAGAGGTACTGGTGCTCACGGCAAATTCACGAGCTATGGCGACTGGAGTAATTTGACTGCCGCATCCTTCCTTGCTCAGGCTGGCAAGGAGACACCTGTCTTCGTCCGATTCTCCACAGTCGCAGGCTCTCGAGGAAGCGCTGATACTGCGCGTGATGTCCACGGATTTGCGACCAGATTGTAAGTAGTTCCCGCATTGAACCCAACTCAAAAGATGCTCTTTCTCTGACTCATTGCTCTAGCTACACCGATGAGGGTAACTTTGGTATGGGATAATCTACACAGCGCAAATTGTTATGACATACTAATGCCATGTCAGACATCGTTGGAAACAACATTCCTGTTTTCTTCATTCAAGATGCGATCCGTTTCCCCGATCTCATCCACTCTGTCAAGCCTTCGCCCGACAGCGAGATTCCCCAAGCAGCAACTGCTCACGACTCAGCATGGGACTTCTTCAGCTCGCAGCCGAGTACTCTGCACACCTTGTTCTGGGCCATGGCAGGCTACGGTATTCCCCGAAGTCTTCGCCACATGGTGAGTTCCTTCCATGGACAAGTAACATCCGCAAGACCCCTGTACTGATGTAATCCAGGATGGGTTCGGTATCCACACCTTCCGTCTCGTCACCGACGAAGGCAACTCCAAGTTGATCAAGTGGCACTGGAAGAGCAAGCAAGGCAAGGCCTCTTTGGTATGGGAGGAGGCCCAGATCGTCGCCGGAAAGAACGCAGACTTCCACCGACAGGATCTTTGGGAGGCTATTGCATCTGGCAACGGCCCTGAGTGGGAGCTCGCAGTCCAGGTTGTGGATGAGGAACAGGCCCTCGCCTTTGGTTTCGACCTCCTCGACCCTACCAAGATCATTCCCGAGGAATATGCACCTCTCCAGACTCTTGGTGTCATGAAGTTGGACACGAACCCTACCAACTACTTCGCCGAGACTGAGCAGGTCATGTTCCAGCCCGGACACATTGTTCGTGGTATTGACTTCACTGAGGACCCTCTGCTACAGGGACGTATTTTCTCGTACCTTGACACCCAGCTTAACCGCCACGGTGGTCCCAACTTTGAGCAGCTCCCTATCAACCGTCCTCGTGCTGCTATCCACAACAACAACCGAGATGGTGCTGGCCAGAACTTGATCCACAAGAACAAGAACGCCTGTAAGTCAAACTGCCTCATATTTAGTTCTCGAAAACGGTAATCTGATCTGCTTTTAAGACTCTCCCAACACCCTAAACGGCGGTTACCCGCAGCAGGCCGACCAGAAGAACGGTCGCGGCTTCTTCACCGCCCCAAGCCGTACCATCTCTGGCAATCTTGTTCGCGCTCTGTCATCCACCTTCGACGACCACTGGAGCCAGCCTCGCCTGTTCTACAACTCCCTGACCCCCGTCGAGCAGCAGTTCTTGATCAACGCAATCCGCTTCGAGACGAGCAAGTTGACGTCTGCCACCGTGCAGCAGAACGTGCTCACCCAGCTCAACAAGGTCAGCAATGACATTGCTACCCGCGTCGCTGCAGCCCTGGGCATGGAGGCCCCCGCTCCCGATGAGACGTACTACCACAACAACGTCACCGCCGGCATCTCGATTACCAACAACACCCTCCCCACCGTCGCTACTCTCCAAGTCGGTATCCTGACTACTACCAAGTCCCTGGACCAGGCTACCGCCCTGAAGGAGCGTCTTGAGGCTGATGGCCTCGTCGTTACTATCGTTGCCGAGACCCTGTCTGCCGGTGTTGGCAGAACCTACTCGGCCGCCGACGCCACCGACTTTGACGCCGTTGTCATTGATTCCGCCGCAGACCAGGCTGGCGTCTTCAACACCCCTTCTTCTTCGTCGTTCTACCCTCCGGGCCGCCCGACCCAGATTGCCCAGAACGCCTTCCTCTTTGGCAAGCCCGTCGGCTACTTCGGCAGCACTGCCAACGGCACGCAGAGTGCCTCCATTACCGGTGCCGGCTTCGTTGAGGGCGAGGACGGTGTGTACTATGGCTCTGATGTCGAAGGATTCGCCACCGGTCTGAAGGAGGGTCTGACTACATTCAAGTTCCTGAGCCGTTTTGCGGTCGACGCATAAATTTCATTTCTATGTATATATTCTACACGTTTCCATCTTGAAACCCCCACGGGCAGATGAAGCACAATTCAGAGAAGTTTAATTATCAAACATGAGCCCCATTGTGTGCTCTTGGTCATGAAGGCGTATAGATGGCTGTATTCATTCGTCAGATGCTCTTCCCATGTTAAAATTACGATCTTGCCTTCACACCCTACAGTCTGTTTGAGCCAGGGAGCCAATCTCCCATTTTGGTTAGCTTCGTAGGGTATACTGCCTAGCATTAAGCATACTATGCTGGGGGAAAATTCCGTGCCAAGCGTCCATTGCAAACTCACGCCTACTTCAGCCCTTCTCCGCCTGCATGGCGTATGCATAGCCGAGTACTAGTCCCGGCATTCACATGACTCAAGATCCACGTGCCTAGCAAAGAAAACAGTTGCATCAACTATGCACGACATACTTCGTCGCAGAAGACCGTGATCACGTGGAGAAGTACCCAGCCACGGGCGCCAGGCTGCATATAGGGTCGCAGTAGCAGCTCGCTTAGGAGACTCTACGGAACTTAAAGTTTCCCGTCCGTCTTGGCTAGGCTAGCCTGTTAGGACGCTGTTGAACGGGGGAAGCCAATGCGAGATATCGATTATACCAACATATGTCCTGCAGTCCAAGGAGAAGCGATACGTGAGTTGGTTATAGAACGGGCGCGGGAAATGCTGCGAGGCTGGCGGTTATGACACGATAACCCATAGCCTTGGGAGTTGGAGCACGTCTGATTAGAACTTGGAATGTTTGCTGGACCCCGGTTCCACGGTATGCAACATAATGCGACGCAGGTCTTCTGGGTGGTAGTCGGCGGTTTGTCACCAAGCTAGCTGATGACTAAAATCCTGACCAATCTCGTTGACCAGCGTGTCTTCCCCAAAGGGACAATCGGGCTGTGCATAGCATGGGATGCTGAGCGAATATTGGGCAAGTCAGCACATGTATCTTCGTATGCAAGCTTCTCCTACCATGCGCTTGCTCCAATCAAGTAGATGTGTGTAGTAAACGAGATACCTCTAGTATAACCAACACTGTTAATCTCTTTCGACCGTTCCTCAAGGCCACTAGACGCTCTTTTAAAGGATAAGCTAGCTTGCTGCTTATATAAAAGCCTTTAATGGTATATACATTTGATATACCAGAGAAACCCTGCTATATTAAATAACAAGTAAATCGCAAGTTGCGGGCTAAGCGCGCTCACTTGCTCTGCCTGGCCCCCAATGGCCATCATAAAAAGAGGCCACCAGTAACCGACTCGCATCTTAATTACCTAAGCCATGCAGCACAGCCTCTTCTCATGAGTGGGGAAAGGCTGCTGCGTCTCTTGTAGCCAGCTGAATGCGCTCACTACGTAGCAGCACAGATTCTCATTCTTCCCACTTCTGACAACTTTTCTACAGCGCAGTAATGTCATCGGACAGAAAGGTCCGTTTTGGCGAAGACACCAGCCATGGTGGGGTTAAGAGCCGTGATTCCGGCGTCGGATCGTCGAACCAAAGCCGTAACGCCGGAACAGACCGTAGCACAGAATTTGAGGGGCAGCATCTCAACATCCACGCTTTGCAAGAAGCGCTGATGGTTGCAAACGCAAACGTATGGAGCCAGAAAGCGAAGAATGTAGAGCTTGATCGGGCACTGTCCAATGCCCATAAAGCTGCGCGTGAGCGCGAGGCAGAGCTGCGGGGTCTGTATGATGAAATCGCTGCCCTCAAAGCGCAACTTGAAGATTGCAAGCATACAATTGACGAGTTAAGAACTGCTCCCAAGCGGTCTAACCAATCCAAAGACTCGGATGGTGTGATGAGCGGTAGAGCCGGCCCCCTTCCTTCTAGGCCTAGCAGGTCCAAGAGCAGCCGTGAGGAACCTATGAAGGAACGTCTGAAAGAACGCTTCAACAAAGACCACGAAGAGATATTGTCACAACAAAATAATGAGCCCGCCTTTCGCTATGTTATTGTCGGAGGAAGTAGCAAAAAGCAGTATCCGGAAACGAAGACTCATTCAGTGCCTCACCGCGCAGACCACACTGTTTTTATAGATGGCAATCCACAGCCTCCAAGTCTAAACCCCGCCTCGCAAATTAGTCTCCCTGTTGAGATCGTTCAGCGGCGGGCTTCTGATAGAGGTCTAAGAACTGAACAGAAAAGGACTTTATCTTCCGCTGTGCCGCCCAGCATAACGACCTCTACTCCTCGAGACCTTACACAAACCATTGACTCCGACATGAGCCAGGCCAATTCGGCTATTGGCACATTGGTTCTCATTATCGACCGCGCCGAAAACCTACTCATCAGAAAGACGAATGTGAAGCGGTATCCGTACGTGGCCCTGGAAGTAGGCAACGAAGTCAGAAATGCCTTCACAGAAATGCGAGGTGGCCGGACAATCAAGTGGTAGGTCTACATATGCAACTTGCACTTGTCCACTCTACCAAGGCTTTAACTATTTACCGTGAACGGTGTGTCAAGCTTTGAATTAGCTAACCGTTTGGCCTGATTTAGGGACCAAGAACTTAGATTCACAATCTACGATCTGCCCAATTATTACCAGCTGAAGCTAACTATTTTCAATGACGACGTGACAAATGAGGTGATTGGAGAAACACGGATTAACTTACGAGATATAATAGTACCTGGGGGTGGTCAAAACGATAGCTGGCGTGCTCTCGGTCGCTATGGAAGCTACGCAGGCGAGATCAAGCTCGAAATTACCTACTATGACACCAGGCCAAAGCTCAAGAAAGCTGTGGCAATTCAACCCAGTCCAGTTCGCACGAGTCCTTCAAGTTCAACTGTTCTCAGTGCCGCTTCCAAGGAATTTTCACGATTTCTCCTAACAAGGGAACTTCCTGAAGAATTGCGCATGGCGATGAAGCCTGAGAGAGGGACATCAGTGGATTGCTGGACATTGAATTCGTCCCCTGAGCTAGCGGGCTTCATCACACCCTTACGTGTTGATAGCTGCCCGGTCATCATCCCTGTGTCTTTTCGATACCCCTTGCACAATGCCCTGGGACCACCGCCAGATCCGCACCCACAACCGATATCACCTTCGAAAGTCATTACAGACGAGGTGGTTGCGGATTTATTCAATACTTACGACATGATTCTGGGATTTTATATTCTCCTCAATGGATGGATTCAGATTATTGTACCCGAGGATTTCGATTACAGTTACGCCCTTTCCCACCGACCGAGTCGTTTCGGCGGCTTATACGTCAGTTACATCCCAAGCATAAGAACTCCAACGGCGGAGCGATCTCAGGGAAACCCGGCTCTCCCGGCAGTCACGTCACCTCAGCCATCAGTCTCCTCAGCGAGGACGACAGATCAACAAACAGCGTTTACTAGTTCTAGCCCTGCAAGGCGGCCCGGTTTTTCACAGCGTGGCAAGACCAATGTCAAAATAGGATCTACTGTACGTTTGACGATAGGAGACCTGCGCCAACGTGAGAGGATAGAAGGAAAGATTGGCGTCAAAACTAGAATGGCGAATGGACAGCACTACTTGACCATTCCGACTCATATGATTACTGAGGCTATTAAGCTGTCAAAGGGCCCCAACTTCAAATCTGTGATCGATCGAGAAATGGCCAAGGTAATGTTTGGAGAGCAGGAGGTGAGCAGTTCTTGACATGGTACTGAAGTGTTTGCTCATAATTTCCCAGCTGGGTGCTGTTGTCCAGACGTTTGACTCGGATGCTGAATCCTTCCCGAATGGCTTCATGCATGATGTGAGCCTAGTGAACGTGAGCAACAATTCACCTTTGGTATCTGAAGTCAGTACACACGGGCAATTAAGCTGGATCTCCGAGGAAGAGTGGCATAAGATTCGCTTCGATACGAGCAAGGTATTTGTCCTCAATGACGCTGATATTGAGGCTAAGACTATTAGTATCAAGGACGAAAGCCATAATATTGTTGGTACTTTCGCTCTAGATTACAACAAGCAAACGCTGATAATTTCTTACAGATCGTTGGGCAAGGCATATTCAGGAATCAACCAAAAACAACCTGGAAGGATAAATTAAAAGGAAAGCCTAATGTAACACATCCGCACGAAACGTGGACGTCCATGGTCTCGCGATCGCTGCTCTATCGAGTAAGAATGAACAGCCCCATGGACCACAATGCAATCCCCATGAGCGGGTCAGTTATCTGCATCACTGATGAGGTAAACGGGCTCTCTGAACCAAAATTGGCTGGATTTCAATCTTTCGTTCAACCAGCCGGATTTGCGCCAAACTACGAGATGGAAGGCGAGCGTTTGTGGAGAAGGCTTCAGGATGGTGATGTCAGCTTCTGCGGTGCTTTTCAGCTTCCAAGGGAGCTAACGAAGAATCATGTTATAGTCTAGAGGTGACCATGAAAAGAGCGAAATACGTAGGTCTTGGTGTACATGAGCTAGATTAACTGGACGGCTGCCGCCTTAGATTATACCTCTATAAGCCCACAAGTCTTGGGAGAGTTTAAGTAGGAGAACAGGGATCGCTTCCATATATGGAGTCAAAGTTAATCAGTGTGCTGTGCATTTTGAATGCACGATATTAGTCTCCTTTGAAAGACCCTACAACTTGTGCAATACTCAGAAATACCTGGAGTATGGTGAGTATCAAAATCAGCGTTCCGAAGCTGAGAGTCAGTCAGAGTCAGTTAACTACCACGGAGTGCCTGGTATTAACACGGGAACTCACAGGAACGTCCAGTACTGCAAAGTGTCTCGGTTATCTCGAAAAAGGACCCAGAAGTTCCATGGCCGCGACCGGTTCATATGCTCGTGGAGAGATAATAGCCGGGGCCACAAGTTTGGGAACTCCGTGGGATCCCATGGCACAGCCTTCGCCTCTGCCAAAATGCTTAACAACGGGTCATAAGGTGGTGTGCTGGCGCGGTTGCGCGGACTCGATGAATCAATGTGATTGGCTTGCAGCTTGCGAAATTCGCGCGTCTTCAGTCTCCGAGACGAGCAACTGAGACACCAACACCAATAACCCATCGCTAGAATGGGCTTCATGATGCGGTGTATTCGAGATAATCGGACGGGGTTGAATAGGTTGGCATAGGAGGCTTTGATATCTTGCACAAGCTCGGCAGGTATTCCGCCCTTCTCAAGAACGTACTCCGCGCCGCCATGGATCGCACAAGGGATTGCGAATATCTCTAGATAAGTTAAGCCGCCTTGGTTAACGAGAAGAAGATGCCTGCAGATGTCATCGGTCCACTTGATGCGAACGCCACCGAGAGCAACTAGCTTGTATAAGTTGAGGTCACGAGCATCAATAGATAAAGACTCGATTTCATCCATCCGGTGTAGTTCAAACTCTTGGACCTCGTGTGAGGCGGGAGCAATAAAAGGCCTAACAAGAGGGCCACTCTCTGAAGGGTTGGGAAGCAAACAGCTCTCCTCCATCAGACGCGGTAAAGGTAGTTTAAATGCAATGCTCTCATCATAATTGATGTTTCTCGACTTGCAATAAGCTGACACGATATGGCGGTGTTGATCCCCGCGCGGCAAAGGCGTAAAGTACCGTGGCATGAGCGTCCAGGATCCTAGAACTATCAGAATGCTGCTAGTGACCGTTCTCGTCCGCACTTGGCCAGCCGGAAGGCCATCCTTGAAATACTCGTGGTCGGAATCAATGAAATGGTCGATACACTCCTGAACTGACACTGTGTTCCCGCCTCCAACCCCCGACGTCCCTGATCTGTATTAGCGATCGGTTTCCTACGGCCTGGCCTGACGCACCACTGAATAGCTTGATAACTTGAACGAGCAAATCGACGTAGGCCATCCGAGGTTCCCTGCCGGGCCAATGAGACAGGATACTGGCAATATACGGACTTGCAAGTTCTCTGTCGCGGCTGAAATCGTACCCGAGAGCCTCTACCAGGTCTTGCAGAGCCCTGTCGCTTCCATTAATGGTAAATGTGCGCCCGGTTGAGGGGCTACCCGTTGTCTCTGTATTAGCCGTTTTCTTCGCTAGCGCCTGCGTTACCGGTCTGAACCCTCCGCCCCATACCAAGCCTGACTTAGCTTAGCCGTAGTGAAGGACTTGACTGGGTGGGTTCTGTCTTTTTGTCCTCTGTGGGCCATTCATTCTAATAAGAGACGGTGGTGGAACCATGTCAGGGCCCCGCGTGCCAGTAAAACGCTGCATGTTTCGCGGAATCTGGACCGCTGCTCACGTGTCCGGAGCCGCGAGCTTCGGGACAGACACGAGATAGACCACGTGGTATAGAGGGTCGTCCAGGGTTAGCACGATACTAGAGGGTGTCCACCGTGTAATGGTTGGTCCGGAAAGCAACCGGCCAGAATGCGGTGCAGACAATATGCTTTGCCCAACGAACAGCTGGTTTCCAATAGTAGAGCTTTACGACAGTGTCGCAGGGGGGCCACCTGACTCGTAAGAGATGTGTCAGCTACAATAGTACATGAAGCCCTCCCGCATGTATGCCGTCGCGCGAGGGCCGACACTAGTGACCAGGCTATCCTGTAATTCGTTGTCGGGGACCAAAGCCTTACTCCAGATATGTGGCTGGTGGCATCATTCACGGAAATGATCATCAACAGTTCCCGCTGAGGGACGAATCGATATCTGAACATCCAACACTCCGCCTGTGGGCTGTTGCTTTTGTTGCTGGACTAGCTCACTGGGCTGAGACAATATGTGGCTTGCCAACTTGCACTCTGTCAAGGAGCAGCTGGGAGCCATTAGCAATCCCCACACGCGCTACAGAACCGCACTGGATTATGTGGGTAGGCGCTAGCACCGGGGACGCCGTATGCTGAGTTTTGATCACCATTTGTAACTCCCCATTTTGCAGCACTTGCTGCATCATGTCATAGCCCAATGGATCGATATCTTGATAACGGGGAGGCCTCGTGTTAGGCGCACCCTGACATATTTTCATCTTGATGTCGCCATTCAAATCCGGAAGAGTGGTGTTGGTGTTTCGTCCGGACTCTGTTACTGTAAGGCGTTGACGCATCTGGGCCATGTCAACCGAGCATATAGCGCAGTAAATGATAAGGATGTCGTCAAGAGCACCCAAATGGCGTGGTTCTTCCGATATGGAAGAGGGAAATTCTATCACAAGAACAGTACGTTTCACTAGCGAGAGGAGTGGTAGACAGCTTGCTGACTCAATGTACAGAAACCTCGGCCACGCGGGAGACCACCACGAGCATTGAACCGCCAAGACGCGGCTGCTGTACATTCACTGAGGACAAAGATGCAGAAACTCGAGGACAAGGTACACACAGTAAATCAGATGATTCAGGAAGAGTTGCAGGCGAAACGATCAATCAAGCAAAGCCCTGGTAGCTTGGAGGAAACACCGTCAATGGGCGTGGCCAGTAAGTACTTGGCGATGGCGGAGCAGTATTCCGAAGACGGCAACGACAATATAGGTCAGATTCATGCACATGTTACTTTCCAGCTGTCGATTTTCGTCTGAACTAGTACTTACGTCTTACAACATTAGATCCACCTGATGGACGACCTCTAGTTACTGTCGACTTATCTCTACAAGAAACAACCGTTTCAATCCACGATGCTCTCATTGGCCGATTTGTGGACTCGTATGGCTCGCCAGGAACTACGACATCTCAGCCAAAATACTGGATTCACGACGGGCGACCGTGGTGCCTATGGCGTTCTGGTGCTGAGATATGCGCCTTCTCTCCACTTCTCCACACTGCTTATCTTACAATTGCCACAGCTTATTCCGGCCTTTCGCTCAATGACAATCGCCTTACTCAAGCTGGGGCCCGGAGCTACCCTGTTGTTCTCAGGCAATTGCAGAAAGCCTTGGATGATCCAGAGAGAAGCAAATCTGACGCTGTTCTGATAACCATTGGACTGTGCATGACTTATGAGGTATGACAGAGCGTTATCAAACTTCACATGCGCTGAACATCAGCTAGGGTCGACTATCTCGGGAGGCGAAAGCTGGTTACTCAGTCCATATTTCTGGGCTGATGCGGCTGTTGAAATACAGGGGGGCATATGCTCACACATCTGGCATCTCGCATTTTTTCTTCGTTGACGCCCGGCTATATATTGTACGTTATTCGTCAGGGAAAGTGGTTTTCGCTAACAGGACATAGACTTGGGGCGCCATAGTGTCGAGGAAACCATCGTTCCTCGCAACTCCAGAATGGAAAACCATGCCCTGGTCTTGTGGGACTACCGACAAAGACCTAGCCCAATGTTTATACGATAAAATGCTGGAGATCCCAAGACTAATCTGGCTCTTTGATCAAGTCACCGCATGCTGCAACCTTCAAGAAAAAGGAAAACTACGAAAGGAAACTTCTGCATTAGCTAAAGACATAGCTCTGTCACTACACCAGTGGAAGGCTGATTGGCTGGACTGCGTGCCCCAGCGACGGCCCTACGAGAAACCACTTATTCATGAAGACCCAACGATACCCATTTTCCGATATCAAGATTCGAGTAATACCGACACTTTAATTGAGCCGCAAGCATTGTATTATCCAAACTGCGCAATCTTCGCTGCCGTTTGCAACTATTACGCGGCAATCTTAGTTGTCCTCGATACTGTCCGGCTCCTGAATGGGCAAGTACGGAACCAGACTCAGATGACCGTGGCATATGAGATATGTCGGTCCATGAACTACTTCTTAACACAGCTGCCGCCTAGTATGCTAGGGAGAGTGGCAATACCGATCTCGGCAGCGTACGATACTTTGCCGCCGGGGGGTGTTGAACGGAAGTATCTCGAGGATGTTTACCGTTCCTGTGTCGGTGGCACATGGCGCTCTTTCAAGGACTTTGTACAAGAGTTCTCAGTTTTAGAGGCGTCCTAGCATACACTTTAAACAAGCTCTATAATTAGTTAGTCGTACAGATGACCAGTCATTGTGATCGCACCGCCAAGGGCTGCATGACAATTTTTGTTTTTCCCCAAGCTGTTACCCTGCGCATTTCTACAGCCTTGCTATTTGTCCAGGTTCTCCCCATTGGGTAGTGACTTGTTGGGTAATGGATTCTGAGCGGCATAGGCTACTGGTAGAAAGATGTAGGAAGATTCCGCACGCCTGTCCCATAATTTCTCTTTTCCGAGGTGTCCCAAGTCGTCTACGCTCGGTGACGGAGACGATAGCCGACACTAAAGCCGAGCTACGAACCTGAGAGTTGCGACGTGACAGTCTCGGTCATAGCGCCGCACTAGGCTGAAGATCTCCTTATACCTATCTTTGAAAGGTAGACTCGTAATTCCGAGGTCACCAAATAAGCCAGGTCGTCGTGCGCAATACCTTTTATTTAATTTCAGGGCTTTTATGCTCACCCACGTATCTTCACTGCCATGGATCAATATTTATACTGGTTTTTGCTTCATTATATAACCTAGGAGGAACGAAAAAACACAAAGAACAGGTTTGTACGGACATTCAAGTATAAAAACACGATGGACCTGGTGCAATCTCAACTTCTCTCCTGAGCAAGAAACGGGGCTACGCACTTCTCAGCTGCTTGAACTCGTCCATCTCGGACCCTCACTTCAGATAATAAGCCCCGGATTTTCGGTAATTGCTGGCGTCTCATGGCCTTACGGCACGTGGCATCAGTATTCATCCCAAGGACTTTTGGTTGATTGGGCCTGACCAAAGGAGTGGGGTCAGAAAGCTTAAGAGCTGTCCGCCAATTCTCAGCTAGCGACCCCGCTTGATCGGGCTAAAGAGCCCCGGCACGACAACAAGACGCTTCGCCTATGTTACCATGAGCCAGCATCAACCTCATCTGGGTCAACTTTGCATCTGCTAAAGCCAAAATATTCCCAAAGGTCCCAGGGAGCGATTTAGAGCATGGTGGTACGTCCACCATTTTCCGCACTTCCACTGGATCCGAATGGCCCACCAGGAAATGCTTGGGGGCTATATGGTGACTTGGACCAGCTTGGGGCACTCAATCTTTTGACACCCGAAGTCGTGGCCAAAGCTGCATCCGAGATCCGTACAGGCCAGCGCGTATCCCTTGACTGGTCTTTGAACAAACCATCATATCCAAGCTTTGACAGAGATCCGTTTGAGTGGCAACTGAAGAACAGGGGTGGCCGCACTGTCAACGACGATCATCTGAATTTCAATACACAATGTAGCAGTCAATGGGACGGTTTCCGTCACTATGGTGAGTGGCCACTGCCCAATGTTCACATATGTGGGGCCAAGGGAAAGTTTTCTAAGAGTATTCCAGGTTACCAAAAGGCTAAAAGGTACTACAATAATACAAGTCAACAGGACCTCCAAGATCCTAATAACATTGGCATTGACGGTGAGACTCAACATCTGTAAGCCAATAAATCTTTTGAATGATGCTACTGACAGGTCATATAGCCTGGGTTGACAAGGGGGGCATCGTAGGTCGAGGTGTGCTACTGGACTATCAGTCCTATTGTGAAGAGAGAGGCATCCAGCTCTTCGCTATGTCCAGCTCCGCCATACCCTTGATCCACCTTAAGGATATTATTAAGGAACGCCAAATCACCCTCAATGAAGGGGATATTTTGTTGGTGCGCTCCGGCTTCACGAAGGCCTATGAGAAGCTGTCCATCAATGAGCAGAAGGAACTGGCGGCACGCCCGTCGCCGGACTTTATCGGACTGGATGCGACCAAAGAGGTTTTGCAGTGGATATGGGAGTCTGGTTTTTCTGCTGTGGCATCTGATGCTCCAAGCTTTGAGCGAGCCCCAATTGCCGGGCCTCATACTGCTAAAGGGCTACAGTGGGCTGGGGAGGAATGGGAAGACGAAATCATTGGTGGCGGGCTCTTACACCAGTGGCTGCTTGGAGGTTGGGGTCTGCCCATTGGCGAGATGTTTGATTTGGAAGCACTGAGTGACAAGTGCAAGGAAATGGACAGGTGGACGTTTTTCGTCAGCAGCGTCCCTCTAAAGGTACACGAAAGCTTTACTTCTGCAAAAGCATGAGTGCTTGGCTCGCCAGGTAACTGACATCTTCTAGGTTCCAGGCGGTGTTGCTAGCCCCCCTAATGCGGTAGCCATTTTTTGATGGTGTATGACCGTGGTCAAGGTTAATTATATGCTATTAGTATGAACCTGACTAATGCTTGTGGCACTTGACATTTCATGTGAATGTTGCCTTATGTGCCTTTGTATTGTCATAACTGCACATGCCAGCACCGTGCGCTAGTTTTTCGCATAGCGAAATTGTTCACCCAGTTGCACTATATCTAGAGAAGTTGATTGGCAGGCTTGCTCTGGGTCTTTGGGGCTCCCATGTTATACTGATGTGCAGACCCTCTCCTTATAAAGTTCTCCCCTGAAATTGTGATCTGGAAAGGTCAACGGTGTCGGGCATGTATACAACGAGGCAGTGTGGTGACAAGGGAGTAAGAAACCCAGAAACACAAGGCGATAAGTTACGCCTGAAGCCTTTGACTAGCTTATGATTGCTGAGGCACCAAGCCATGGCTCCAAAATAGCTGCCCATGACAATGTGGACTGACTCCCCCACTAATTCGTTTCCTGCCTCTGACCGCGAAACATACGCGTTGTGCTCAAGATATCAACCCGCGAACACAACTCACTTCGCCAATCCTACACCAACCGCCGCGATAGCAGCACAGAAACAAACGAACACGTTCAAGGCATCAAAGCCTGTAGAATATTCAGTGTACGCCGCACCCATTATCTATCGATTCCTCATACCCAGTACACATCATGGTTCTCCATGTGTATTTACGTGACTTTCTCGAGTGGAAGTAGCTTCCGAAGCCGTTTGTCTCGTTGATTTGTCTATTCAGTATATTGGATCGCGCATTGTGTCTCCTTACCTTGAACCGTCACACTACTTGTACTGCCACGATACCCCGTTGCGGCGTTGGGCTAACCTACTTGGCGTATGCAGGATCGGCTATCAAACAACATACTTATAAGCATCATTCAACGTGAGGATGAATTCCATTCAGGCCAAATTCGATCGATCCGATGAAGCCTGCGCAGCTTGCTCCATTTCGCATGAGGATGTAAAGTCTCCGGTCGGTAGGCCTTTGGTCGACTTCAATTTCAACCGCGGGATCTTTGACAACGCCGACTACTTCACCCACGATTGCAAGCCGGATTCGAAGAAGGACCAAAACCATGAGAAGCAAAACGCTCAATATTCGGAAGTCCATCGCGGAGTCCCTGCTCTGGTTGTACCCTCACCGATGCACACCAACTCCCGGCCACAGCGCGTTCCCCTTGGTCAACTCGACGCCTCGTCCTCCAACGCGAGGGTTTCCCTGGCGCAACTGCCACAAGCCCACGTCTTACCAAAGGCCCAGCCGGCCTCTGGTATTCAAGGCACAACGCACGTCTCAACGCCACTTCCTCGGTGTGCTAATTACCATGATGATGGAACGACGGACTGTCATTTGTCGATGATGCCGCGAGCACCAGACCATGCTGTCAATCGTTTCATTAGCAGATCTCATGCATCCGGATATGATAACACCAAGAAACGAACCCAGGCTATCTGCATAGATGTGCCAACCAAGACATCATATACGCAAGCCGCTTGGGATCGTCGGGATGACGACCGCTCACCATGCCTGACGATTACCGACCACGAACACATGACTGTTTTGTGCAACGATTCGTCAACCAATTTCCAATCGACAAGGCAGAACAACTCTGATGGAACCTTACAAAGCCTGGACGATTCCAGTGCCGATCATCAGAATGTCTCTGGCTCGGTAACTGCAGCTTGGGACTATATGCGAAAAGATGACGCAAGTCCTCATGGTCGCTATCCCGAGCCTCGTATTGCGTACACCCCATTTCATCCCCGTCATGCCAGTGCTATCAGCAATGAGCCACTTGATCGTCCTGCACGTGTCATTGGTGTCAACCAGAGCGGTAACCTGGACATGAGAAGTGCCGAAGCTTATTGTGAAACCCGCGAAGGATGTGGCGGGAATCACCAACCCACTGCAACCTACAGTCAATCAAGCGACATGACCATGGGGTTTCCAGAAACAGCGATGTCGATGTATTCCCCTACATCCTATCGCAACACGGTGTGCCCAGCCAGAGTAGGCCCTTCAAGCGATTCGACTGCTGGACAGATGCTCGCACAGCAGCTATGGGTACCCCTCGGGATGTCAGTCAATTACAAGGGGAACATTGGACTGAGAGCCAACCAATCTGCTGACATCCCCGACTACCTGTCATGTTCTCTGTGGATTACCAATCTCAACCTGTCTGCTGCGAACGGCGAGCATGACCTTCTCTCGCAGATCAAAGGCTGCGGCAAGGTGTATGCATGCGTTATCAACCCTCCGGACACAGTGCTCGGCCATACCACCAGCGCCGCCAAGCTGGTTTTCTTCCGTACAGAGGGCGCGGGTGAACTTATACGCCGATCGCAGATGGGCGACTTTGTCGTCAACGGTTACGTGCCCAAGGTGGTTTACAACCGCATCCGCACAGCCCCCCAGCAGCCCGGGCCCGAGTCGCGGGTCATCCACATTGATGGTCCCAAAGCCATCGTCGATGTAGACTTCCTCACGTTGTGGTTCAGTCAGCGATTCGTATTTCAGACAGACGAGGTTCTCGCACTGAGTGAGGAGGCTGGTCCCAACGGACGACGTCGTCTGGAGTGGCGATTTGGGTCGTATCGCTGCCAGGCCAGCGCGGCCATGTCCTTCATTGATAAGGAGCGCCGACGAGGCTACTGGAACATTGGACAGCACCACAACCTCTGGCGTCAAGTCCATACATATTTTGCGGTTGATCCGTGCGCCTAAGATGCCTCGAGACTCAGAGGAGGGATGAGAATGGCATGGCAATGCAATTGTGGGTTGGTTGGGACCACGAGTTACAGCAGGTTGCTGGCGGACCGGCCCACGACATCTAGTCTGGAGTCAATGATGCATGCAACCACTGTGCTGCACGATTTTGGCTATAACACACAAGCGATATGATACTCCATGGGGACGGCCGAAAGGGATTGACGCCGCAACGAAATGAGAGCGATGGGGTAGCTGGTCACATCAAGAAAGGTCATGATGGAACGCATGGATACCGGCTGGAGATTGGATAGTGTGTCGCACACAAAGAGCGACCAAAATCCCACGCATTCATGTACATATTGATGAATTGAGACTTCGTACCAAAACCGGCACCCTTGTGACTTGAGAGTGCACGAACGATACTTGGCAGGCAGGTTTGACGCAAAGCACCAGTGCGAGGTACACACACCAATTCACCAGCTGATAGCTTCCCTACGGATGCGGCATTTGTATGGACAAGGGCCGGGGCCAGCGCCACCCAACGCGAGACCCATCACCTATACCTACACATATCGAATATGCTATCGACAACACGGGTCGCCGAGATGGGTCGTCCAGACACTGACTAAGCAGGGCTTTGGGCTTTGGGCTTATCAGCATGTGATGTGCCGCCTTAGGGCGTATCCGTGGGGCGGTACAGTAAGTAGCTAAGGCACTTAAAGTACCTAAGATGCAAGGTCCACAGGGCACTCCGTACGCCGCGGCGCTTTGGCCAGCGGGCCCCCGGGGCCTCAGCAAACAGGCAGCCTGAGCTGCGTCGCCTTGCACTGCGTGCAGCACCTAACCTACCATAACTGGTGAAGGCAACCAACCTAGCGCGGCCCGGGATCGCAGCAGCTCAACTTAACCTACACCCAACTCGTACAAAGTACTGCAGCCCGTACCTCTGGAGCTTGACATCAACATCAGAATCAACCGCTTACCTCCCCCTACCCCCATCTCACCAACCGCCGTCAACTGTCCCCATTCTGCTTCTGATTCTGGCTCTGGTCCTGAGCATCCCTTCGCATCTGCGCGCCGACGTCCAGCCCGCCCCGCCATTCCTGCCGCTCTCTGGTGTCCGGATCATTCACCATGGCGGACGCAGCGTTCAAGCCCGAGAAGGACTTCACCAAGGAGGTTGACAAACAGATTCCCGAGGCCGAGAAGCTGGCCAAGGTATGCCCCTGCCCTCGCTCCGCCATTTGCTCCCAGACGTCTTCCTGACTGACAATCGCCCCCCGGCAGAACGATGTCACGGCCGCCGTCGACAAGCTCACAGTGCTCGAGAAGCAGACTCGTCAGGTCAGATTCACGCCCAACGACAACCCTCCGGCCCTCCCCTCCGGACCTCACCACGCTTGCTGAACTGACCCCAACCTAGGCATCCGACCTTGCATCCACGTCACGGGTGCTCATTGCCATCTGCAAGATCTGCAAGGACGCCGGCAACTGGAGCCTGCTGAACGACCAGGTCCTGGTCCTGTCCAAGAAGCATGGTCAGCTCAAGCAGGCCATCACCAAGATGGTCCAGACCGTCATGACCTTCCTCGACGACACCCCTAACCTCGATACCAAGCTCTCCGTCATCGAGACCCTGCGAACCGTCACCGAGGGCAAGATCTTCGTCGAGGTGGAGCGCGCCCGCGTGACCAAGATTCTGTCCGACATCAAGAAGCAGCAGGGCGATCTGAAGGCCGCCGCCGACATCCTGTGCGAACTCCAGGTCGAGACCTTTGGGTCCATGGAGAGGCGTGAGAAGACAGAGTTCATCCTGGCCCAAGTGGCGCTGTGCATCGAGAACGACGACTGGACGCAGGCCGGCATCCTCAGCCGCAAGATCTCGACGAGATACCTCGCGAGGAAACCGAAGAAGACCCCGGAGCAGCTGGAGAAGGAGAAGAAGGCTCGGGAAGACAAGCTGAAGCGCGGCGAGGAGGTGCCCGACGTGAAGGAGGACGACACCACCGACCTCAAGCTCCGCTACTACGAGCAGCAGATCATCCTGGCCAAGCACGACGGCAAGTATCTCGACGCCTGCAAACACTATAGGCAGGTTTTGGACACGGAGGCAGTAGAGGAGGACCCTAAGAAGCTCCTTCCTGTGAGTTGCCCCCGACGCCCCTCGCTTCGTGGCTCCCCGGCCGCGACAAGAGAGACTAACCGCACCTCCCCGCTTCCAGACCCTCCAGCGTATCATCTACTTTGTCATTCTCGCCCCCCACGACAACGAGCAGCACGATCTCTTACAGCGCATCTTCCGCGATGCGCGGAATTCGCAGATCGAGGAAGACGCTAGACTACTCAAGCTCTTCACCCTCCACGAGCTCATGCGATGGCCCGAAGTGGCCAAGATCTTTGGCCCACGCCTGTGCTCCACAGATATATTCGACAGCAAGTCAGACGTCTCGGGCGATGACAAGGCCTACCAGCGCTGGGAGGATCTCCGCAAGCGTGTCATCGAACACAACGTCCGCGTGGTCGCCAAATACTACACCCGCATTGGCATGAAGCGTCTCACACAGCTTCTCGACCTGACGCCCGAGGAGACGGAGAAGTACATCTCGGAGCTGGTCTGTTCCAAGACCGTCTTCGCCCGCATCGACCGACCGGCCCAGGTCGTGAATTTTGCCAAGCCGCGCGACGTTGACGATATCCTCAACGAGTGGAGCCACAACATGAAGGACCTGCTCGGCCTACTGGAGCGTGTTGATCACCTGATCACCAAGGAGGAGATGATGGCGCGCATCCAACCCGGCGCTCAAGGCAAGGGTGGCAAGGAGAAGAAGGGCAAGAAGGCCAAGGCGTAATCGGGGACGGGTTCAAGTACAGCAGCCGTACCTAATTCATGACTAGGCACGAGACGGTTGTGCTGAAGGGGAGATACAGGTCTGCATCAGGCTTGCGGAATGTACATTACCGGTAGATCAGAGGCATATCGCCATAGAACTGGGTTGCATCTGGCTTATTCTGTCTGTCTATCGGGGAGTGGCCTGAGGTGATTGTAAACGACTTCGGCCTTTGACACCCTTCCGTGTGGCCCCCAGCAGCACGCGCCTTGTAGTTCACCGACTGGCACAAATGATTTCATAGGGGTAGCGTTGGGTGTTATGGCCAATCCGAAAACCATGATTTTTCCGCATGTCGTCGAATGCAACTGTTTTGTGCTGCAAGTCGGGTTCGTATCCTCCCTCAGCAAGAGTCATGCCGGCCTCGGGTGTGGAGTCACCATCGCGAGCAACAAAAAACCCGGCTCACCGAACGCCTCCTCACCGGCGCCCTTCCGTTGGCGTGGATCGGCGAGGAGCGACCGACCACATAATCGGAACCTTTTCTCATTAACTGAATGCTGCGCACTTCTCGCAACCTATTCGCAGTCCTCAACCTTGCGAATCCACGCTCGTTCGACAGGCGATTCTGCATCGTTCCGATGTCCACCGCCGCGGCGCCAGGCTCGGGCAAACCAGCCATGAATGCGAAAGGAGGCGCAAAAGCAGACGCAAAGAGGGACCTGAAGATTCTCATGCTCCATGGTACGTATGATACTATACTTTACACTCCGTCCTGTGAGGGCTGGTTTGCCAGCGCAGTGCACTGGTCGGCCGAAGGAAGCAACCCGTCTTGCGCTCGCCCATGAGACTCTCATGCGGGATGCCGCCTCGCATCTCAGCTTCTTCCGCTAACTCTAGAACAAGGCTATACACAGTCCGGAACCCTCTTCCGCGCCAAAACAGGCGCCCTTTCCAAACTGCTTGTCAAGGCACTCTCCCCAGCGCCATACTCCATGACTCCCCAGCTCATCTACCCGACGGGCCCGCACCGGCTGCGTCCCTCGGACATCCCGGGGTTCACGCCGCCCGAGGGTAAGTCATTGGAAGATGTCGAGGGCGAGGCAACGGACAACTGGGCCTGGTTCCGGCGCGATGAGGCCACGGGAGCGTACCGCGGCTTCGAGGAGGGCATGGCGCGCATCGCGGCCACGATCGCCGAGAACGGGGGCGTGGACGGTGTCATCGGGTTCAGTCAGGGCGGGGCGACAGCTGCGCTCGTAGCCGCAGCGCTGGAGCCGACGCGACCCTTGCCCGAGACCCCGGACAAGGAGCCGGACTCGTGGGCGGGCAAGCTGCGGGCTGCCAACGGGGGCAAGGGGCTCCGCTTTGCGGTCGTGTACTCTGGGTTCTACGCCCGCGACGACCGCCTGGCGTGGCTATACGGCGGCGGGGGTGTCCAAACCCCGACGCTGCATTTCATCGGAGGGCTGGACACAGTGGTCGAGGAGGCGCGGAGCCGGGGCTTGGTCGAGCGTTGTGCCGAGGGGACGAGCCGGGTGGTAGTGCACCCGGGGGGTCATTATGTGCCGGTCAGTAAAGAATGGACGGCAGCCTTGGTCATGTGGTTGAGAGAGGTGTTGGGAGGGAAGACGAACGGGGAGGCAGAGGGCGAGAAATTGTAGATGGCTGGGTGTTTGAGATACAAGTGCGAGACACAAGTTGCAATATAGAGCCAGCTAGACCAAAGCGGGAACCGAGCAGAGTATAGTATAGGTATTCAGATAGATCTACAATAGCCCTGATAGTGGACAGAGGCTCATGGGCTACATATACACTCAGTAGTACACAGCATCAGCGTTCCCTGGGCCAGCAAAGAGAGTTTCCCAAAAGCAGACGCTGTGCTGCATAGTTGAGGAATGGCATCGGTGTGCAGCTAAAGAGCTTTTCATTTTCTTATCTCTTGCCGAGGGTCATCAGCTGATGCGCATGGTTGCTCAGGTGACTTCAGTTGCTATTCTTCAGGATGCGGAAAGAGCAGGCTTTCCGAGAATCGACCTGGAACAGGCAGGAGGTCAATGGCCGTGCAGGAGTTTCATCACCACCTGGCCTCGGGATTGGGCATCTCGTGGTCCAGGGTGAACCCGTGTTCATCTTGGTTCCAGTTCCTTTCGACGAGCGTGGAAGTTGGTGGCCAGCGACAGCGGGGAGCTCACACACACATGGCATGGCGGTCGAAGGGGTGATGTCAATGCAACCTTCGATTCGGGAAGTTGAAGTTGCTGTCTATGATACAGATCCGCTCCTCTTGTCTATGATGCATCTGGGCATGCCATTCCAGCTTCGTCCGGCCAACAGTGCCCTCCTCCCATCGTCAGGGCCCCGCGGTCCTTAGTGTCCACCAGACTTGGCATTGGGGTTTCTAGGGTCGTTCTTCCACTCATCGGCTAGGAATTGAGGTTATCAACATGGCCGAGCAGGCATGCCCACCGGGGCGGATTGGGGAGACATACTTTGCATCATGGCGTTCTGTGCCGAGTTGACACCGTAGGCAATGATGGCTCCTGGGCGGACGGTCAGTAACGGGGCCGGGGGCAGGTGTCCGGCAGGACAAGGGAACGGCATGGAAGCATCGCGTCGTACCGGCAATGAAGAAAGGAGCATAAGGCCGCACTAAATGTACAGACAGTCAGTAGCTGTAACCGCAGGGGGCGAAGGAGCATTGAACCGGGGGACGTACGGACGGGGGCCGGGAACTTCTTGAGAGGGGTGATTCCGAACCAAGACATGTTGACGGTGGTGCGTGAGGGGAAGGGTCTTGACGGTGTTGTCGGACGTGTGTTCGATGGCGATGTTGAGAAGAGGTCGTGCGATGCCGGGGATGCGTGCCAGAAAAGCCGCGATGCTTTGCTTCAAAGGTCTTGCTTAGCGTGCCGGGCTGGGAAGTTCTGGATGCCTGACATGTGAGGCGACGGTGTTACTGGGAGAACGCCGGGACTGGACGGGACAGCCGGGCGCCCGGGCTTCTCTGATCGGTGAAAGGTATTGCCGGCGGCCGACACAGAGCGACCTCGACTTCCCGCCGCTCAAAGCGCGGGCCCAGGCCGTGGCTAGTGCCGGCCCGCCCTAGCCTAGGTATGACCTGGAGCCTGCCTGGGGCCTGCCTGGGGACTGGGAAGCTTGGGGCCGCACCAGCTGCCCAGTGGGCAATGAGCCATGACATCACCTACCACTCCGCACGTCCACATGCGGAGTACGTGACTGGGCACTTGACTTGGTGACTCTCGGTTGTACTGTAGGTACCGGTATCATACAAGCCACATCAACTATAGGTGAGGTCGCCCAGCTGGAGCACTCGCTGCTGGCTGGGTGCCGGGTGCCTCCAACTGAGCTGTTAGCGGCCCCGCGTCGCGCTGACCCCCAACCAACCGCATGGAAAGGATCAACCGCCATTGTCCGGCCATCCATGCAATTGCGGAGGAGATACTGCGGACCGCGGGAGCTGGGGAGCTGGGGAGCTGGGAGCTATATGACAATATCCATAGGCTACACCCGACAGCTCGTAGTTGCTCGCGGCCTACCATCGAGAGTGCGGGGAGAGTCGACCATCCATCACCTCACTCCATCAGCCTCGACGGTTTCATAATACACCCAGCTTTACACACTTGGCACACCGCCCTCTTTTCTCTTGTTGCATTGAGTGCCTGGCACAGTTACGGTCTACGGCCAGCCCACGGCTTCGCTCCATCTCCATCTCCATTCCCATCGGCGCCACACGCCCCTGCACCTCGCAACATCACCGCACCTCAGCTCATCTCACGCACATTGAGTCTCGACGCAACACTGGACGTGCGTTTGGCGGGTCGTGTCGCAGAACCTCGCAATCATCATACGTTTCCTCCCGGTCTTACGCCCTTCCCGTCTTCTCAGCTTCGCACCGCTCGGTTTGTACACCTCGCCGCGACCCCCTTCCCTCTTGGACCTGGTGGCTGAACTAAACCCAGCTCCCCTTCCCTTTGTCTGGGCGCGTCAACGCTCCTCGCCTCGACTCGTCCCCCTCTCCCCGTCACATCCACCCCATTCCCACACCCGTCGCCGGCATCGAATACCGCCACGATGCTGACCCGACGACTGGCTCGAGTGGTGGCAACTGCGCCGCGCTCGCTGCGAGCTTTCAGCGCCACGACTGCACCCAAGAAGACGCCATCCATGTCCGATATCACGCCCGACCAGGTCGGCTCTTTTAACGCGAAGCAGAAGGCTTTCCGTGAGCATCTGGTCCAGGTGCAGAAGGAGCGAGAAGAGAGTACGTTCTAGAGCGTCATATTGTACTAACTGCCCTTCCCCTCCTATTCTCTACACCATGTACCGTAATCTCAGCCCGCCTCTCCTGCCTCCTGTCTTGTGCCTCGTACCTCGCAGCTTGAACCCAGCTTACCAGCCGTCCTCCCCACAGGACAGAAAGCCGAAGCTCGTGAGAAGGCGGCCAAGAACGAGCCCGAACGGCCCGAGGGCCTGCTCACCAACCTCATCTACGGCACCAAGGAGGGCCGCGAGCTGGACGCCCAGCTCGAGGCCTCCTTCTCGGCCGTCCTGGCACGCGGCAAGTACGTGCACTCGATCGTCTTCCACGAGGTCCGCCCCGACAAGGTCGACGAGTACGTCGAGCTGGTCGGCTCGTGGTACCCGCGCATGGCGTCCATCGAGGAGAATAAGGTCCATCTCGTGGGCAGCTGGCGCACCGACGTCGGCGACTGCGACACCTTTGTCCACATCTGGGAGTACCAGCGCTACCAGGGCTACCACCAGAGCCTGCACTCCATCAGCCGCCACCCGGATTTCCCCGCCTTCGACCGCAAGCTCAAGTCGCTGATCAAGAGCAAGCACACGTCCATCATGCAGGAGTTCTCCTTCTGGCCTACCACACCCCCGCGCCAGCTCGGCGGCGTCTTCGAGCTGCGCTCCTACACCCTGCATCCCGGCAACCTGCTTGAGTGGGAGACGCACTGGCGGCGCGGCCTGAAGGCCCGCAGGGAGGTCATGGAGGGCGTCGGCGCCTGGTTCGTCCAGATCGGCGACCTCAACACGGTCCACCACCTGTGGCAGTTTGCCAACCTCGAGGAGCGCAAGACACGGCGGGAGCAGAGCTGGAGAGTCGAGGGCTGGGCCGACACGGTCCACAAGACGGTACCCCTGATCCAGACCATGAAGTCGCGCATTCTGACCCCGATGCCCTGGTCACCCGTGGGCTAGGTGGGACCCGCACCTCTAGGACTGTGGCAGGTTCCATGTCTCGCTGGGAACTCGGGTAAATCAGGACTCGGGCTTGCAGCAGCAGATATGGCAGCGACACGGCAGCGATACGGCAATGATATGGCACCGCATGGATATTGGCCTGTACGAACGATTCTCTAGCCTGGGAAATGCAACAGGCGATCTTTGTACTTTGCAATCAGATTTGGCTAGCTTCTAGTCGCCAAAAAATAATAAACAAGGATCCGAATTACGTCAGTGTTCATATGCGATCTCCGGCTTGCCTCTTCGTATTCCCTCGTTCCCATCAACGTTAACAGATAGAGCCATTCTTTCTACATACTCAGTCTATAGGTCTTTACCAGGTGTCGGGATCCCTTCTCCAGGAGCCTAGTTAGGGTGAGAACTTGTCCACCCACCCAAGTAGTCAACTGCATGACTTGGGTGTAGAGTAGATAGCTATAAACTATCCAAGCGGTAGTACCACTACTGCACATGACTTGTGCCCAATACAAGCGTCAGTTCTTTCCCATTTTGCTTCAGCAGCGTCACTCGGCTGTGTACTTCTTCATGGCCACAGGACTGCCCACCGAGCACGTTCTCCACGCCGTCCCAAAATGTATCGCCCACGGAGCCTTGAAGGCCTCCTGAGATACTGCCTCATGTTGGCATCGTGGAGCCGCTTGTCTCCACTCTTGAGTAAAATCCATCCCTGGATCGCGGCACCGCCACGGGAGTAATAAGCATCCACGGCCAGGCCTCCGGTTCCCATCAGGTTCATATTTCTACTCCGCTACCTTGAGCTCGTCCTCGTCGTCGCCCATGACAACGCCCAGGTTCTGTCTTGCAAGGAGCAGCGTATGTCCCAGAGCGCCGAGCTTGGCGCTTACGCTCAACAGACTCGGGTCGGCGCTCTCGACACGAACCTTCTCACGGACGTATACCTGTGTCTCGGTACCACGTCCCTTGCCCATGCCGCCGCCCCTCCCGCCGGGTATCGAGCGGGTCCTCTCCAGCTTTGGTGGCACGTTGACGGAGCCGGACGCCGTGATGGGTGACTGGGCATCCGCGCCTTCGGGGCAGAAGCCAAACACGCGGTCTGCCTCGTCGTGCTCCAGGCGCCGGGCCGTCCCGATGGCCAGCGCCAGCTTGGTGCCAAAGTTGACGGGGGCGTCGGCGGGCTCGAGCACGCGGAGGTACAGCACCAGCGAAGCATCCTGCAGCGTGAAGTAGAAGGATAGGTTGGCCGGTAGGGGCGGGGCGAAGCACGACGGCGGCACCGAGGACGAGGTCCAGGCTGTATCGGGGACGGCGGCCTGGTCGGTCAGCTGGGGGCCCTTGATCAGGGCCAGGGATTCGGCGAGGTATTCAGACAGCAGGCGCAGCTGCGTAGAGAGGAACTTGGGATCGATGGACGCGCCGCCGCCGCCGCCTTTCCTGCTGTTGGTGGATTCTGACACGATGAAGCTGAGGATGTCGACCGACTGCGTCAGCAGCGTGTTCAGCGTCGTCAGCTCGGGGATGTGGATGGGGTTCGCGGGATCCAGCGCGAGGGTCTGGGCCGGCAGGGTCTTCAGGCGTAACTGGATGCTCCCCTTGACCAGACGGGTGCCGACGCGGGTCACATGCCCCTTGACGGCTTCGTGGCGGGGGGTGGAGACGACGAGGGTGCTGCCAGGGTCGGTCGGCGCGAGAAGGGCGTAGGTCTCCTCGAGTGACGCCTTTAGGGTCTTGAGGGTGGACTGAAGTTCGTCGAGGAGCCAGTTGAGCTCGCGCGCCTGGAAGGAGGAGGTCAGCGGGCTGGAATACGGGGGAACAAGAAGCCAGCCCTCGTCTGGCTCGTCTAGGCAGGGAAGAGAGGGCCAGGAAGATGAGAGGCAAGGAGGCGGCGGGACGAGTTGAGCCATGTTGGCGCACCACAGAGGGGGAAGGCAGGGTATGGGCAAGGGCAAGGTGACGACTCACAAGAGCGGCGTCCTCGTCGATTTTAAGCTGGGCCGGCGCAACAGGAGGCCAGATGTCTACAGACATGGTGTCTGGTCTGGTATCTATGATATTGCTGGCTGTTCCAACTTGCCGGGTGGCCCACCAGCTAGGCACCCACCTCTAGCACATATCGGGCTCTGGGACAGGGGTACCTGAAGCTCGAGAGGAAGCTGTGTTGCGATATAGCCAGATATCTAACAAGTCGGGGGGAGTCGTGATGGAAGCTTGCCGTGGGTGGTGATTGAGCAATGGAGCCGGTGCCCAGAGTGGAGAGCTTGAAGCTTGAAGCTTGACCATAACGACCAGGCAGCTGGGCTTTCAAGGCAGTCCGCTAGACCGCCCCTGGCATAAACCCGCTCCAGCGCTGTGGAGCCCCTGAACTCTCCCCCAATGCCCCCCCAGCGCCCAGTTGCCCAGCCCTGCCAGCACCCACCTGCAGGGTTTCCGAAGGCAGTTGGTACTCCTCGATTGTAGGCACACACAGTAGTCGACTTTACCTCAGGTTACTTTCACAGGGGGGCCTGGGCAGCAAGTAGACCTGATACGTAGCTAGTTTATGGAGTTGCATCCAATCGTTTGCACAACCTACTCAAGTACCCAGGTATGTATGTGTAGGTGTAGGTGTAGGTGTTGGTACCTTGGGTACAGTACCGCCAAACCACACCCCTCCCCCACCTTGAGCCGGAGGAGGACCAAAAGTTGGTGCTAGAGCCCGGGTACGAGCATTTTCCATTTCCAGCTGATCGAGCCCATTGCCATTATTTCCCTTCTCTGCCACACCTCGACACTCTGGCACGCGACCGACCTCCTGTTTGCCTTGCCCAGCGTCGACCGCAAAGCACATGGCGACCCAGTCACAGCCTCCCATGCTACCATAGGCTGAGACGGGGACGAGGACCAGTACGCAGCCGTTGTCTTTGACGCCCACGCCCAAAACAGGCTCCTCCGGCCCTGAGCGCCATCAAACCCGTCCCGGGGAACAGTCTGCCACCATGGCCCCGTCTACTGCGTCAGGCCAGCACTCGCCACGGAAGCTGCCACGAGTCCCGAAAGGCAAGCTCCCTCCGCTTTCTTGCCCTCATGCCCTCGCCGTGGCCCCCGTTCTAACACCGCTGCCCAGGGTCTATCGTCCACCGTGCGACTCTGTCCCCCCGCGTTCCTTCATCTCATGCCGCCTTCCGCCTCCATGTGAATCCGCGATCCCCTTTCCGCGCCGTCACCACCCGTGTGCGGAAGCAGCTGGACAAGAGTCTTCGAACCGCCTCCTCCACTCACCCCCAGGTTCCCACCGCCCGTCTGTCCGGAAAGGCCCTGCCTCTCTCCGCCAGGGTGCAGGCGTTGCAGCATGCCCAGGGGAGCGGCATCGGGCTGGAGCATGCCAGCAGCGTTGTGGTTGTGGGCACTGGCAGCGCTATTGAGAAGGTGGTCAACGTGGCCGCATTCTTCCAGCAGCAGGGCGATGTCGAGGTCCAGCTGCGGACTACCACCTTGGCCGCCGTCGATCAGCTCGCGCATGGAGCAGACGGAGATGGAGACCAAATAGGGGCCGTCGGTGATGGCGAGATCAGGGAGAGGATGGTCAGCTGCTTGGAAGCTTCCATCAGGTTGAAGTGACTTCCTGTGGGGTGGGGAAGCGGCAGGTTGAGAGGCTGCTCGAGTTCACCCTTACAACTTAAGCCATCCCGCGGTAAACTTGCAACGCGTATTTCTCAGGATGCGTGGCCACGCTTTGTCCGACGAGTTGCCCTCGAGCGGCTTTGGGCATTGCCAAGACATACTGACAAGACGTATCATCTTGTGCTTTATGTCAAGAGCTGAACCTTTCGGCCTGCCGCATCTGTTGAGGCTGTGTTGTGATCCAAGCTAGAGGCACATGTGACTTCTCATCCATAACGTCAATTGAGACCAGCCATGAACTATGTCCCATTCCTTCACGTGCAATATGACACTAACGTTACCGCAAGCAATGAGATAGCCCAGGAAAACGCATAGAAGGGATGTGAACGGGGAATGATAATGGAGGAGCATCGCTGGATGGTAAAGAGATCTCATTGCAGCTACTGAGAATACAGTCATGACGAAGCTACAGGCATTGATCTGAAGGTACAGTAAGTAGTACAGTGGTTGATCGTTTATACTCTACAGAGGAGCTTCGCCAGATGACGTATCTTGATTGTCGTGCATAGAACACTTGACCAAGCTGCAAACAGGACTGCCCGATACATTTGATGCTCGCGCTCTGATCAGTCCCAGGCTCCGCCAGCGATTATGGGCTGCATGTGTCCGCTGGTCATCACAGAGGCACTCTTCGGAACCCTGCAGATGCATAGATATGACTCGTAGGTTTGAAGAGCCAGTAGTACTCCGCCCAACCCGTATAGTAAAAGTTCCCGTTCTGGTAAAGGGAAGAAAGCTCACCGCGACCTAATATCACTTGACAATTAAGCTATATCTGGCTTCAGAGGATTTTATCTTCGACTCCAGCCTGAATACCATCCTAGGGACGTTTGACGTTATGATGGGCAACGTGCAACTTTAATGGGCTTGATAACCAACATGGTCAATACAGATTAGTCGAAAAGAAATCAAAAATTGAAAATAAAGGCTATTATATCATACGAATTTACACAAACTTCTTGCTTAGGGTATATAGCTTTGCTGCATAGCTCATCAATGACTAACCAGCCCCCAGTTCTCAGACCAACGCCTAGATTTAGTCGTGTCTTACGGGAGGGGTTGTTCGCATATGCATTCCTGTGCAACACCTGTCTCTTAAGGTGGCTTCTAAAAATCATTTGTGCTCCAAATTGTTAGATCGAGCAACGCCGTGGGACCTGCCTACTTACAGAGTCGCGCATGAGTTCTCGGGCTTTCATGCCGTCACTCCTAATCTTGTCTTGGCCCAGACTTCCTGATTTTGGGCTGTCATGTGTAAGAAACGATCAAGCTCATCCTGCAATTCTCTCTTCCTATCCTCCGGCAAGCGGTCATCGAGTTGAGTGGTTAGTTTCGAAAGATACTGATGTGCGAAGTCCTCGCGCTGCGGCTTTGCGGGACGTGAGTTGCACCCTCCCATTTCAGCTGCCAAGCGTGGACCGATGTTGACTTCGACTTGCTCCGGCGCACACAACACGTAGTCACTCAACAACGCCAGTGCTAGTGATGATGGATTGGAGAAGTCAGACATTGTCATGACCGTAGTGATCATGCACCTCAGCCGTCATGAAACTGCTCGTCAGCGCTGCGCCTCCCGCATTAGTCTGACTGGGATCAGCGCCGCCAACTGCCCAACTGTCAGCCCCTCTTCGTGCAATATCCCTCTGGCCCCCAAAACTGGCAACAAAAGTGTCAACTACACGTGACATGAGGTCCGACTACCCAGTTTCGTAGGCCGTCTGTAATCCACGCCAAATTTTTGTTGACCGTGCTAAACCAGTCGCCCTGTGGTGATATCATCCCGAGGTTGGCCTAAGTATCCATTGATATCTATTAGTGACATCTCCTCCGATACATTGGCATGGACACGGATATAGGCATTCAGTGATTCCGAGGGTGAACATGTGGTTGGCTTCTCGTCGATGGCAGCTGCTTGCGCAGTATATATAGAAATCTCATGTAATGGAATGAGGCTCAGATGTCTCAGTAGACTGAGAAACAACTCCTCAGTAGCCCTTCTAATCCGTCCACCTTTATACTGCAGAAACAATTATCTCGCTTGTTTGGGAATAGCCATCGACACTTTTAAGGGGTATTCTCTATATGATACACCTTTCATGGCGTCGATGGCAGCTTGAGCCTGTTCAGGTGTGGCGAAATCCACGAAACAGAAGTTGCGTCGCCCATCTCCCGCCTCGCGGGGGCTCACCCTCTTACTTACGCCGTCACTGGTTGTACGTCAGTCTGGAGAGTTGCACCGTGTGCTGGCAGTGCAACTTACATCTCGAAATCCTTGAAAATAGACCGCATCTCAACTTCATTCTCGGCCTGGTCAAGCATCCTGGGCAACCCTCCCACATACAACTGCCGCCCTTCTTCTTGCGCTTTCGATACCTGGAAATGCTTTAGTGCATCATTAGGGCCGCCCTTCCCTGGAAGACGAGCACCCGCCCGATCTTCACCTGGCTTTGAGGCATTCCAGTCACCCCAACGATTGGATGCAGTGCTGGCTCGATCCTCGTGTGGCCAGCGACTAGCTTGACGCACATCGCCTTTGGGCTGACACGGGCGGCATCTGACCGCTCTCTCGCCCATCAGTTTGCCATCCAGTGTCGCAATCGCTTTCTCTGCAGTGTCCGAATCCGGAAATTGTACAAAGCAATAACCAGGGTTCCGTCCTGTGAACGGGTCGACCGAGATGTGAACATTCTCAAACGCACTGAAACCATTCGCATTGAGGAACTCTTCGACACCGTCGGGCGTCGTGTTGTATAGCAGGTTGCCCAGGTAAACACGTCTTCCCTCTTCGATAGCTTTCCCAGCCTCAGCTCCATCTCGCTGTCGGGCTGGCCTGTGGACTCTTAGGTCTTCGGGGCGACTTCTCTCAGCTAAAGCCACAATTGGCTGCCGCTTGTGAGAGTCGCTCTCGCCAGAGGGGCGGTCTCTATTCCATGAAGCGGTGTTTCGCTCGGTTTTCGGTTTCTGAGGCTTGGGAGTAGATGAAGGGCTCCGCCAGTCTGAAGCGTCACGCCAAGTTCCCGACTCTGCCATTTTGTGCTGTCTCTGCTGCCGGTCGCACGTGTGGATGCTGTTGCTGTGAGTGAAGTTGAATTTAGCCATGGCGAAATTTGCTGCCAGAAGTAAGACTCGTCAGTAGCGGGCCGCTACGCTGGAAGCGGACAAGCTTACCGCGCAATCGGGTTGGTCGTCTGTCCACGCTGTTGTATTTGTTGATTCATCTGTCTCAGAGATTTTAGTTGTCGACAAATCGAAGACTAGCTATCCTTTCTGAGGACATGGCTGATAATTTATAGGTGAGTCTCGTTTTGAACATGTCGGAGCGCTTGGTAGGAACACAAAGCCAAAGCTGAAGAATGTATGTGTCTCGCAGCTGTAGAGTCAGGCACCAATCTTGGTGTTGGATACTTATATTACTGCGCCAGCAGTGGAACAGCTAACCTTAAAGTTCCCTGGAAGGTCTTTTTCTGTGGGGTTTCTCTGGGCTTTATGTGCGGTTTATAGAACAATTCGTGGCCGATTTGATTGAGGGGCCGTTTCCAACTTGGTTTCGTTTTTAGACTGCATAATCTTGAACACTGACATCTGCCCTTCGGATATTGTGCTGTGGGTGGAGGCCCAACTGCAAGATAATTCTTCTCACACCAAGTAGAAGTATTCACGTACAAAGCAGGCATATAAAGTTAAGACTACGAACCGTAGTCACATCGAACGTGGCCAAATCACCTGATATTGCTTTGTGCTCTGTCAGAATCGTCGTGGTGACCAACTCATGAGCCGATGACATTCATGTTCTCTCCCGGGAGGGAAGACTAATACAACAAACACCATCTCTAGACCACATCAGTTTTTGTGAAGGAATTCAGTGCGTAGTTCTTTTACTCCGGTGAGGTGCTATTTTAAGGTGGTGTGTTATTGGAAACCGCACTTTTAATAAGAAACCTTGAACATGATCGAGTAGGAACGGGCACGGGACCCGGTGTGTGTTCAGCCCATGGGCTACACAATTCATTAGACTATCGAACGAGCTCGTTGAAGCCCATGGTGATTTGAATTCTAGAGTCGATGGTATATTCCTTACCTGTCACAGATACACGGCTCAATGACTGAGCTACCTTAATTTAGCCTCTATCAAGGCCAACCATTATGAAGGTCATATCAGTGATCAATTCAGTTGCTGATTAAGCTAGTGTGCTAGTATCTAATAGTGTCCAATACAATCCGGGCAGTTTATGCTCGTGTGAAAGATACCGATATCTTGTGTCCAGGTTTATGATAAGTTATGTCCTAGTCGTGGCCTCGGAAATGTCACATAAGGAACCGAGTAAAGCTGAAATAAACGAATCAATTTGGCAAAGAAGCTGTATACCAACCAATAAACAAACCCAAGGCATTTGTGAATAGACAGTCCCTATATATTTATCCATCCACGAGCCGGCTGTCTCCGTACACAACTCTACCGCGGTTGAATCCCACCCAAAGAGAGTAATTAGTAGGAGTATTTGGATACTCTTCAGGCTATGCTTGCAAGCATAGATGAGTCTTCCTTGTTCCATGGGAACTACTCAATACCGGATCTCAGCTTTACAGCATTGGACTGTTGCTTGTATCATCGACACTAAGATTTCCCTCGTTGACAGTTTGTGTCAGGCTTTGCCTTTAGGAAAGCCGTTGTGCTGCCACCTGCCGTGACAAACCGCCCTGTAAGCAAGTTGAGACCGGCTTTGACCGCCCATATCGGGTTCCTGGCGACCTTCCCTGTCGTACTTCCGCATGAAACCATTTGGCTTAGCAGAATCCGGACTGTTGGGGTGATAAACTGCCGTCGTTCAGCTTCCAAGTCTGGATTGAGAGTGACTAATAGGCCAAATAAGGCGAGGAAGATGGCGGATAATAAGACGATCATGAGAGCTTGGGTCCATGCTAATATTGGCGCTGTGCGATTGATAGACTGCGATGCTTCAAAGGTCGCATTCATAAGTGGCTTCAGCTCCTTAAAGAGCGAAGCCATGGTGCCTGTAGTTGTCTCGGGGTAGGTTGGCTTGCTGTCCAGTAGAGCGACCGCGGCCGAATGTGCCTTGGTGCTTTGGTTGGTGTTCCAGAGGATCGGGTAGGTTGACGTGATTGTGAGATGTCGTGTCTCAAGCGCGTCACGGCTCAACTCAAATGCGGGGATGCGTATCCGTACAGAGCACAACACATTAAGGCAAGCCACTAAGTTAGGCGATCAGGAACTAACTTGGAGAGCGCTTGGGCTAGTGCCCCCCAACTCTCACCCAGGATTTATGTACTGCTGTTGAACAATATAGTAAGGCTGAACCCGCATACCTAGCTTGCTGGGTACTTTATGTCTTTACCGCGCATACCATCTCTTGAGTCGTAACTGAGAAGGTTCTCAAGTATATGTGCACTGCAACACGTAATAGTCCTGGCCCCCTATGCCTTAACAATGTTGACATTTGAGTCCATAACCGCGCAACTCAAAGTAATGACTCTCGAAAACAACCGACTCTAGCAACCAGTGTCAATATATTGTCCATGATTTGTTCGCCTGGCCTTCTCAAAAAGCGTTGTTGAAGCAGCTTTTCTGCCACGTGCCCGCGCCACACAGCTCTTTCTCCTGTGTGGCGATTTGACAGACTCACAATATTTAGTAACGTTGAAGATCTGCGCTCAAGTGCCGTTTACACACGACAACTTATCACATGTCCCCATCTATAAGACATTAATAGACAAGCACCTCGGCCGAAAGTAAGGAGAGGAGCCGTGCTTCGGCCATTGTGGCGAATTGTCCGCGTACTTCGAAAGCCTGGATCTGAAAAGACCATTTCGATATGTAGGCCCAGTGGCATAGATGCTTCGCGTCAGCAGCGGTGGATCCCAATTCGGAGAAGACGCTAGGCTACCGCCCCTCAAAAAGGAAAAATCTCTAGGATGGACAGGATGGAGCACCCCTAGGAAGTCGTGGAAATGCTGCTATGCGAGGCGCTTTTTTCATATTCTTTTTTTTTTTTTTTTTTTTTTTCATGACGCTATCCCCCCCGGCCCCCCGCTCCCCAAACCCTCCCAAACCCCCACCCTTCAAAACCAACAGCCGTTCTTTTAATAGCTGGCTTTGCATAAAAGAAGAAGCTAATGTACGGTGTTCTTAAGAAGGCCAATCAATTAGAAGCTATAAAATTGACAGTAGAGCACTTGAGTCGTGAGCTACTTGACGTCTCACACATAGGAGCCGTGAGTACTCGGCTGCATTGCACATGATTGCTGAAGTGGAAGATGTACATTCCAGGGGCAAGCTTTCATGGCTATTGGCTTTCTCGGGAGGATCCTTTTAGGGCTAGCCAAGACCTTCCGTCATGAGCTACTGTACCAATCTGTGATGGATGACTACGGAGATGGCGAATAAAGATTTAGCACTGCTACCATAGACTCTAAACGGAACGGTTCCCGCCCGTACGATTACCGCTTGAAAAGGGGGCTTGGAAGAATTATTTCCGGCCGTTGTCTCAATAGAGTTGCGGCTCTCGAGTTAATTCCGTAACTCTTCAGAGACTCTGGCGGCACCAACAGACGATAATTGTGGACCACTTGCAAATCCAGTGCGTTTTTGCGTTCCCGTCCACGCAATGTTTGCCAGGGCGTTAACCAATCGACGAGACTCCACTTGCGCCTCAAAACTCGACCGACTGGCACACGCTAAACATTGACACTGCTTTAATGAATGACGTGGTGGAAGGGTTCTAAGGCAAGCAGGACATTGGGCGGCAGTCATGAATTATGTAGGCTGAAGTCCCTGAACCTCGGGGGCTAAATCGCCAAATTCTCAGACAAGTAAGTACCTGCCTAACTTGCCTAAAGGAGGTATTTTTGGAGCACCTCAAGCCTAAAGGGCCCTGCAAATATGGCTGGGTCTTGTCCAAAGGTCGAGAAGGTCAGTCTTCTTCGGGCAGTGGGGCTGCTATGTCGCGCGTTGAAGGGTAGGGGGTTTTTCCATCCATGGATAGTACTGTGGGGGTGTGGTAACCCTGCCCTCTGTAGCCTGTCGCCTTGTAGCCCACCTGCGCAGTGATTAACTGGCTGGCGCAGATGACGGCCCGGAGGTTATCTGGCGAAATAGGGCAGCAGCGGTACCCTGAAGTGCGTTCTACTGCAACATAAGTTACATGATCCAAGCAACCAACACTGGCTGATCCCACGGAGGCGTTCCGGACGTCCCTGCAAGTGATCGGCGGCAAAGGTTGTGGCGCACGCCTGAACACTGCAAGACAACGGACGGGCAATCTTTAGATGCTCATGAGCACCTGGCAGAAATCGGGTTCTTGTTACCGGCTGTGGATGCGGAACATGGGAGGGGTAGACTCGTGCTCTTGACAGTCGCCTTTGAAGGGGGCCGGGTGTCTGGATGGGGTCGGGGCGACGTCTGTCCCGCACCGCACCGCACCAGCTTACATACGGGCAGCTTAGGAGTCAGGACTTGTCTGGCGATGGTGATACCAGGCCATGGGCTTATAAATCGCTGGTGACACAGGTGAAAACCCTGGGCACCTATGCCTAGGCTCGGTAGCAAAGCCGCACACAAAGCATTGTCGCGTCGCCTGGCTGGGGGCCACTAACGTGGTAAGCGCAGCGACTTGGCCCGGCAGCCAATCAGTGCTCAAGAGGAGCAATTGCTCCGGCGCAACTTACAATACTTTTGTGAGCGAGTGCGCTCAACGACTAGACATTATCTGCGGCGGCTGTCGAAGCCATGGCTCGCTCTGTATTCTGTAATTATTCTTGTATACACGTCGCCATCATCCGCTGGCCACCGCAGGCTTTCCAAGGGCTTCTCTGGCGACCTACGAGACGTAAGTGGCAAACACACGACCCCATACGGCCACGTCTTTGGTGAGCCACGGAGTGAGAGCCAGGCCTGAACTCTATAACGGCCACGCCTCCGACCTACTGCTGGCATGCAACGTGAGAGTTTGATGTCGAAAACAGCCCTGCTAGGGGATCTTCTGAAGCTAGGTCAGGTCCGCGCCTCACTGGCCATATCGAGTGAACGACTTTCATGTGTGCGGAGCACACAGCCGAGTGCCCAGTCTGCGGGAAACAATATCTTCTATACGTCAAGTTCTGTCAGGCCTACCATCCTCCACTGACTCGGTGTGCGAACGGCGTGTCCGAGGTTAAGGATGACATGGAAGAAGGGCAATGTCCAAGTCCTGTGTGTCCATATAGCCGGACTGGGGGATGTCAGGTTATATGATCAAGGGGCACTGCATGTGTGGCATTACTTTTGGACAAGTCCTACTACCACCCCGCGACTTAGAGCTTCTGTCCTGTCGGGCCGGTCTCCACGATTTGGTCCAGGCCTTGGTACGCCGGCATCTCGAAGTCGTACTTCTTAGCAATCGAGGGGGTAACGAACCTAGTTTTGAAAGTCATTGGTATGTCAACATTCACCAGACCCAGGGGCTACGAAGGGGATTCTCCCGCTTTGGACTTACCGGCCACCAATGAAATGCCTGCCGTTGAAATGCTCCACCAAGGGCTTAGGAGCAGTCAGGCTAATGAGATACTCAGGCATGAAGGAACTGCCCAGCCCCGACTTTGGTGGTCCTTCCTCAATGTTCCAGGATGACGGTGCATCGACCGATGTGACAGGAACCTTCGTCTCCTCGAGTGCCTTGATGACGGAGGGAAATGGTTCGCGGACCTCGCCCGAGAAGCTGAAGCCTGTGACCCAGTCAGCGCTGTTCGGCGATCCGCGATGCTGAAGCCTACCGAAGATGGCATCGACGATATGATCCGTAGACTTGATGGCCGAGCCAAAGTCGTCTACAAAAGGGACCTCGAGGTCTTCGAGCTGCTTAGCCAGCCGCTAAGTACATTCATGGACTTGGTCAGCGAATTGGGCACGGCGGTAGTAATGCAGATGCTGTCAGGGACGGAGACGTTGGAGAACCAGGAAGAGTCAAAAGTTTAGTCTTGCCGGGCCTAGGCCGGATGACGAGGCCAAGGAGCACGCGGGAATCCAGTGGAGACAAAAGTATGTCCAGAAACCACATAGTCACGAGAAAGACAAGTTTCTTTTCCAATGGAAGATGGTGTGCTCTGAAACTTCATGGGATGGGATGGGGCCAAAGTGAGGGCGATGAAGGGTGATAAGGACCATCAATTGTCTCGGTCAAGTCACTGGGCGGGGACACGCAGGCCCAGGTGATATATCAATGGTCGCAGACCTACCTGATACAGCTCATTCTTGCTCCGCTTTGGGTAGTAGATGGTAGGCAGGTAGCCGTAGTGTCTCAGATGACGGGCGGCGACGAGTCCGTCTCCTCCGTTGTTCCCGGGGCCACAGGCGACTAGGACGCGGGGGCCTCGAGCTGGTGGATGAACTCGGTAGACTGAAGCATTTGGTGAGCTGGCGAACATGTAAGCCGGTAGTTAGGGGGCCCTGTTACGCACCGGCTTGAGAGACCGACAGGCCAGCCAGCTCCATGAGCTGGTCGATAGAAAAAGCGCCGGTGCTCATGAGCTCCTTATCCAATGCGGCAGCGGCCTTGGCGGACAGCGTCTGGGCTGCGTGTAAGTGAAAAGGAAGCTCCACCGTGCGTGACGGACGGGCGGTTGGGCACTGCCTACCTTGAGGGCCATGGTTGTTTGCTCTGTGCTTAATCACGGGGTTTAAGTCGGCGACGACCGGAGTATCGCGTGGAGAGTGGTGCTCGGGGCAAGCTGAGGTTGGAGGCCAGAGAAAAGGGAAGCGGATGATATGGTCTTCGGACGAAACGCTCTTGGAGGACTGACATCACTTCTTTCCACACTGCAGGGCCCCAATTGACCATTTCAGTACCTAGCTACCACCTACAGCGACCAGCCGGCCGGGCTACAGAGGGACAGGGATGTCTCGGCGGCCACTGAGGACGATTGGCCACCAGCCCTGGAGGAGCCAGGAACTCCTAGTCCGGGCCACCCCGGGCCGTGACTTGCACGACGGACCTGGCGGAAGATTATAGCCCCGCCTCCGACAAATTTCATGAGAGCTCTCCCAGAGCAGCCATTCCCAGGCAGCGTCCCTCGCATCGTCGGAACAGGCGAGCAAGCAAGGCAGCAACGGGGTGACGCGCTACTTAGACACGCACCGGAGATGACGGTCAAGATCCGTCTCGCGCGCTTCGGCCGCAGGAACGCACCTTTCTACAACATTGTCGTCGCACATGCCAGGTGCGTCCCTCGCCTCCCCTTGCCTTCGCGCCGGCAATCGCCAGCTTGTGGGTGGCCCGACTGACTCTCTGCGCAGGACGGCACGGAACAGCAAACCTCTCGAGGTCATCGGGACCTACGACCCCATCCCCAAGGCCGACCCCTACGATGACTCCGGCAGACTGCACAAGGACATCAAGCTCGACACCCTGAGGGCCAAGTACTGGATCGGCGTGGGTGCTCAGCCGACAGACACCACGTGGCGCTTATTGTCCATGGTGAGCAGGAGCCTCGTCTGACCTGGTCCAGTCAGGTTGCTTCAATCGTATTCCAACAGCTGACATGTGCCATAGGTTGGAATCCTGGAGCCGAAGCACCGAAACCAACAGCCACGGACTGCGCCGGAACTGCCCGCCGACATTCGACAAGGAAGCTGAGCGGGTGGCGCCAAAGACGCAGCTTGAGGCAGTACCAAGGACGCGGTGAGGTGTATGATACTATGTGTGCATAGGGCATATTTGGCGTTGGGGGTTGCAATTGCGGAACAAAGACCACGACGGTACTATGCGACGAGGCAGCGGACACGGGCGCGCTACAACGGTCGAATGCCGCCTTCCGACTTGGCTCGAGATTGCAGCAATCCCGCGAGCATTCAGACATTGGGCGCCGGGGTTTAGAAGCGCGACCCGGCCGGTAGACTACGGGCATTCTAGCGTCTTGCCAACCACGTGTACCACCAATGGACGTTGTTCAAGACCATTCCACTATGGGAATTGTCTAATGCTTCAGGACGAGCCTCACGTATGACGATGACTGAGGGGCCGATGAGCTGGTGAAGCTGAGCCTCTTGTCTTGACTAGTTGTAGCGAGCTATTGCCAAAACTCCTGCGGTAATGCTCTTGCCCATGAAAATGCCCTCGGGCCCCAGTAGACAAGGCTCATGGAATTGAGTGGAATGCGTCACCGACCCGTGGCTTTGGCTATCATCTGGAAGCATTGTGACAGCCAACACAACCGAATGCTGGAGCTGTAATACTCTCGCACCCAGTCCTCCCGGACACCATACAATACACGTAACACAACCTTCCCCTGTCCATACTCATTGCTGTATGTCATTCGTGGATAACTATATAGTTAGTGCTCTAGCTTTACTACCGCAGCAGTCTTCACGCCCACATCACGATCGAGTGTCCCTCCGAGCCTACAGCAGTCGACCAGCTTACAACACCATTTCCGAGGACCAGTGACCAAAAAGGAAACATTGATCGCGGCAACCAAAAGACATACAACACCGGGGGTTCGCTGGTCGTCACCGACCCAGCTACTAATCCGGCGCTTTCTAGTTTATCTTTGGGAGAGCGGACGGGATCCCGAGTTCTCTGGAAGCTATGGTCGTATGTGCTGGTCATGGCACCAGAGACAAGTAATATAGCCAGCTGGGTAGACCCGCCGACGACGACGACGCATCAGACTGCGAGTATAAGTAACACCAGCCCCATTACAGAGTAGCCAACCAGGCCGGTCCAACCCAGCAAAGGCGTGAATACCGGTGGCGATATTCCGCGCAGTCGCTATATTCCATTGACATTTGCCGAGGTGCCGGCATTTGCGAGCACGTAGTCCGTGACGCCGCCCTTCCAGTCACTTGTCCTTATGTCTTTGATGTTGACCAGGATCACTCGGACTTCCTCGCCGGCAACGAAGCAATTCCGGCCACCATCTTCCTGCGGGCTCTGTGCTTGGTGCACGAACAGATCGCCGCCCTCGGAGTCGAAGGTGTTGTTCTCGAGGTGTTGGTCCCTGTAGAACTTCTCCTCGTCCGAGCCACGGGTCACCAGGGAAGCTGTCCCATTGATGGTGGCGCTGATGCTGCTGATGGCGCTCGTGTTCAGGTTGAGCAGCATGGAGGCGAGGCTCGACCTGTGTTCCGGGCCGGGCGACCCGCCCGAGGGTCGACGCCCCTGGGTCGGCGGGCGGTGCGATACCCAGTCGTGCACCAGCAGCGAGACGTTGGGGTTCTCGACGAGGTTGTTCATCTTCTTGGAGGAGGGGTTGGTGGTCATGACGATGACGGGGGCGGCCGAGTGCGGCGAGGACGGCAGGTAGGTGTAGTTCATCAGCGACACGTGCGGCTGGTTGTCGGTACAGGTCGCCAGGTGAAGCTATTCCAGGCGGGCGGGAGCACGGGGTCAGCTACCGCTACCGGGACGAGGGGCATGCCACAGCGCATCTAAGCTAGGGGCCAGGACTCACGAAGCGGGCATTCTCCAGACACTGCACCACCTCGGGCGGCAGGCAAGTGACAACCTGCTTGTGGCTGTCGCCGGCCGAGGCCTCGTAGTTGAGGGGGATCTGGTCCATGGCGGACTGGGTAGCTGTGTGCCGTACCGCGGACTCCTCGAGATGCTTAACTTGGGGTGGTCGTTCAGTCGAGGCGCGTTCCGTCCATTGGGATCCGGCGTCTGGGGGTCGTCGGTGTTGCACGATCTTCGGTCGGGATGGAGGGGCCCAAAAGTTGGCGAAGTGGCAAAGGGGGGCCCAAGGAGGGAGCTATGACCCTCCAGCGCTCCCCGGCTCCAGCACTCCAGCACTCCAGCACTCCAGCCAGCCGTCTTCCATAGGCTGGGCTGCTTAGGGCCCTGTCCGTGCAACACAGCGGATGACCTCACTGTAGCAGCGGGGTCAAGGTATCTAGCGTACCACAGTAGTCTGGTCTACCGGGGGTCCCAGGAGGCAGTCATCCACAGCACCTGAGCTGGGCAGTGGAGGACGTCTGAACCTGACTACTATGGTGAAGTACAGTTATTACCTCCAGCTTGTGCCCAACTGCTTGCCTGCTGCGGACTGAATCACCTCACAAAAGTGACCATGCACTGTAGGTAGCGTGCCAAGACCACTTAAGCCCACGGTAGACCCCGGCCCCCACCGTTCCCAGCGGCATCCAATCCGCCTGGGGACAGCCCCCGGCCCTGGCTGGCACCTTGGAGCTTGGAGGAGGAGGACCTCGGGACTGGGCGGCATGGAACGGCTCAGCGAACTCAGCGCATACCATCGGCCTTTAGCCCAGTCCTGGAAGGCAGGACGACGACGGGGGAGCAATGCACTTCAATGTCTTGCCTTGCCCTGCCGCGCCGACGATGGCCTCGAATTCCCCTTGACTTTCTGCGTCTCCGTGGCCATTGGCAATGTAGACCTGCCCGTTTCCCTTGACCCCCGACCAATCGCCCCATACCAAAGTCCGCCCTCACCTATATCAGTCAAGATGCGCTCCATCAGGCCGCGCCATGTCCCCCACGGCCGCCGTCTCTTGAGCTCAACCACGGCCACATCTCCTGTGCCCGTGACGCCCATCACGTCCCTCCTGATCGCCAACCGCGGCGAGATCGCGCTCCGTATCAACCGGACGGCCAAGCGTCTCGGCATCCAGACCACCACCCTGTACACGGACCCCGATGCCTCCTCGCAGCACGCCGCGTGCTCGCCCAACGCCATCGGCCTGGGTGCCGCAAATGCCTACCTCGACGGCGAGCGCATCGTGACCCTGGCCAAGCTACATGGCATCCAGGCCCTGCACCCGGGCTACGGCTTTTTGAGTGAGAATGCCGCCTTTGCCGAGAGGTGCGAGAAGGAAGGCATCGTCTTTGTCGGGCCGCCCGCCAAGGCCATGGCTGATATGGGCGACAAGGCCCGAAGCAAGGAGATCATGACCAAGGCCGGTGTGCCATGCGTCCCTGGATACCATGGTGGCGACCAGGGCGAGGCCGAGCTTCTGGGGCACGCCAGGGAGATCGAGTTTCCCGTCCTGCTGAAGAGCGTCAAAGGTGGCGGCGGCAAGGGGATGCGCATCGTCATGGAAGAGGGCGAGTTTTTGCAGCAGTTGAAGAGCGCCAGAGCCGAAGCCCGCGCTTCGTTCGGCGAGGGCGGCGAGATCATGTTGGTCGAAAAGTACATTGTCCGCCCGAGGCACGTCGAAGTCCAAGTCTTTGCCGACAAGTGGGGAAACTGCGTTGCCCTTGGCGAGCGAGACTGTAGCATACAGAGAAGGCACCAGAAGATCCTGGAGGAGTCTCCGGCACCCAACCTGGATGACGCGACAAGGCTTGATTTGTGGGAGAAGGCCCGAACGGCGGCCCTGGCTGTCGGTTACGTTGGCGCCGGCACGGTCGAGTTCATTCTCGACAAGGACAACGGGAACTTCTATTTCATGGAGATGAATACGCGGCTGCAGGTGGAGCATCCTGTCAGCGAGATGGTCACCGGAACTGACCTGGTAGAATGGCAGTTTAGAGTGGCGGCCGGCGAGAAGCTCCCGTTGACTCAGGACGAGATCATGCAGAGGATCCAGGAACGTGGCGCCGCTATCGAGGCACGGATATACGCAGAAAGCCCCGAAAAGGGGTTTCTGCCCGACTCTGGACGACTGCTCCACTTGGCCACGCCGAAGACAGATGAAGACATCAGGATAGACGCTGGGTTTGTCGAGGGCGATACAGTCTCGGAAGCCTACGATGGCATGATTGCCAAGCTCATCGTGAGGGGCGACGACCGAGAAACCGCGATCCGGAGGATGGAGCGGGCGCTTCGCGAATACGAGGTGGTGGGCCTGAGCACCAACATCGAGTTCCTGAAGCGGCTGTGTATATCGCCGGCATTCATCGAGGGCGATGTTGAGACTGGGTTCATCCAGAAATGGGAATCCGAGCTGTTCCAGCCGCTTGTTGCAAAGCCCGAGGTCTTCGTGCAAGCAGCTTTGGGACTTTTTGCCTCTTCGGCACAGGCAGAGACTGGGCCTCACGGACAATCAGTAGGTTTTGGCCAGTGCGCCTCACAGCGTACGTACGCCTTCAAGTCCTTGGATCCGCTTGTCACGGGAGAAGGGGAGATTATCAACGTCAGCGTCACCCAAAAAGGACATCAGCTCTTTGACGCAACGGTCAGTCAGAAAGATCAGAACGCTGCAGAGTACCAGGGTCTTGTCTCTACGCCTGTACCAAGCTCGCAGAAGACCAGTCTCACGACCTTTTTCCCGGAAGCGAGAATAGAGGCTACCGTCGTGCAGGATCCCAACAATGACAACAAAATCTCTGTCTTCCAGCACGGATTGAAAACAGAGCTATCACTGGTGTCATCGGTATGGTATGAGAAGGCTTTGGGAATCAAGGAAGCCACCGCCTCAGTCGTTGCGCCCATGCCCTGCAAAGTTCTAAAGAATGAGGTTCAGGAGGGAGACGCCGTTGCGAAGGGAGCCCCGCTTGTTGTGTAAGTCGGTTTTCACATCAAAGGCATTTGTGAAACGCTGACTAGTGGAATAGGATCGAATCAATGAAAATGGAAACCGTGATCCGCTCTCCCCAGGACGGAGTTATTAAGAAACTTGCACACAAAGAAGGGGTAAGTCGCCACATATATCGAGCAAATGGAGGCGCTAACACTCCTGCCAGGACAAGTGCAAAGCTGGAACGGTGCTGGTGGTGTTTGAAGAGGAGGATGTTTCAACTACGTAAGCCGGGACAGATTCTAGTGCCTATCCACAGGGTAAAATCGACATTGCCATGAATATGTAGTCTAAAGCTAAACAAGATCTTATTGAGTCAGTCGCTCACACTGCTAATATAGATGTGAAACCTCAAACACGGACATCATAGATTGTTCACCGACCTTTTATAGATTTGGCAGGTCGAGTAGTGCTCGGCAGTAGCGAGAGAGGGAACACGATGATCAGATGTGTCTGATGTTCTAGTAAACGGATGTTCATATACTAGTATTATGCATAGCAGAGAAACGAATGTGCTTTTTTTTAGAGTTTAATAGCGTCGACCCCCCGAGGAGTCGAGCTCCTGTCATCCAAGTAAAACCCTTATTCGCGGGGGCTTGCTCAAGCCTCTCAATAGTATATCAAATTCCTCACGGATGTTTGGCTAAACTTTCGTGAGAGAAAAGCTACATCCGTAGTACCATCAGTGACGTGTTTCCCATCGAAAGAAAGTGCCCTGTAAGCTGCCATGCTCAAAAGAAATGCGTGCTGTCTATATTCGTCGACTTTACACATGGTAAAATGTCTTGACCTTTATCCTTCCTAACATCGTATTTCGAATCAATAGACAAATATATTATATAAACACAAAGTTTCAATTCTGACTGATCATGCCGATTTCCACCTAAATGAAGAATTGTATATAAATGTGCTGGCAGTGATTTGAAATAGTGTTAAATCTTGTTTATTTGTTCTTTTCTATCAAGATTGCTATAGTATCAGAATTACTTAGCCCATTTCTCCGTCGAAGTCTTGGCAATCCCAAAACTCATGCAAGCTCCACGGGAATACTTTCAGCTGGAGCTTGTTTCCATATCCAGCTGTGGATTTTCTCTCACGAGGTTCTCCACGGGCAAGAACAGCTCCTGACTGCCGCTTTCTCTATTAGCCATAGATTTGATTTCTTGCCAGCTCTTCCAGGACCATCCCTCGCATTTGTTTGGCTCCAGCCTCTACAAAGGGACAATAAGATTAGCTTTTCAAACTTAGCAGGCGAGAAATGGCATGCCCATTGCTGACCTGTGGCTCTTGATTTGCGTCCTTTCGCACACATCTTGTGAACACGGTGACGTAGTGTTTATTCAACTCTGGAAACTTATCGTTGGTCAGTCCAATGACCTTGGTTGCCCGAATCTGGAGGCCCGTCTCTTCTAACGTCTCTCGCTCCACACAGTCGAAGAAGTCCTCGCCCTGCTCGAGATGTCCACCTGGGAAGCCCCAATGCCCTGAGGTCGCGGACAACGTACGAGTAAGCGCTTGGCCAATACGATAGGCTATTGGGGGAGCGTGATTTACCTTTGCCTAATGGGCTAAGTCGGCGCCCAATGAGTATGCGGCCTTCTTCGTCGCTGATGATAGCAAAAATACCCACACGCGGGTGCAGTCCGTTGCAAGCCATGTCTCCTAGGAACTAGACAGATGATTGGCCTAACTATGAATCTGGTTGCACTCCTTTCCTGCTATGTTTAAATGGAATGAGAGACTGAGACTGGATAGAATCCGAGAAATCGAAGAGGACTCGTTACCTCGAACCACAGTGGGGCAGCTAGGATCGCTGCATTGTAACCAAAACACGCTCTTGAAGGTGGTTGGTTACTTGGTTACTTGGCTATGCAGCACATTGTGTGATCCACGCTACTATCTGCGGGGAAGTTCGTATGGCCTATCTTCATAGGCCACTTCTGAGTGATACATTCGCGATAGACACTGCGCCGTAATCATGCAGGATGATTGCGTGTTATATGGAGTAAACTGCCCCACTAAAGGTAAGGAAGTAATTAACGCTTTATCCTAAGGGAACATCGGGGGAACTGCCGGCCCCTATATGGAATCTGCGAGGGGAACCTGTCAGGTTATGGTGCCAGGCTGGTGATAAAATGTCGCAAATATTGCGAATATGAACAGAATCAATTGACCATGCTGCTGAACATCCTTTAGAGCATGAGAAAATACATCAAAAAGAGGGGGAGTTCAACTTTTCGTCTTTCACAATGGGATCTTTCTATAGCATTCAGAGGGCAGCCCAGGGCCCGGCGAAGCTGTCTGGGCCATCCAAGCCCGGTCGCGACACCGACTTAGACCTCGCCCAGTAGGTTTTTCCATAAAACTTTGTTGCTGAATTATCCTGACTGAAACTGTTAAAAGGAGCCATTACATTCCGGGCAAAAAGGTGCGTCCTCGGAATGAGGCAGATATAGAGAACCATACTATGGGCACCTCTCTGCCACGATATCTTGAGATCAAGGTCCACCAAGCGATTTTGAAACAAGCCTACAGTGAGATCGTGGTCCGAGGTCTTTATTCGCGCTACTCGTCGGATTCCATTGCGTTTGACGGGGAGAAAAGAGATAAACCGTTCAACTGGGAGCGTCCAACAGCCCGTGCTGAAGGCGGAATACTCTACATTGAGTGCTTTCCGGGGTACGATCACGTCGAGCACTACGCCGAAATCATAGCCAGCTACCTCAAGATTAGGGAAGCGGAGGGTTGTGTCAACCTGACTCCGTCTTCCCGAGTTTCGTTTGTGCCGGCCTCATGCTCAGATACGCAGATGGCCCTCCAAGCCACCAATTTGGGTGATTTCCCAGGGGATGGAGTGGATACGGTTGTCCTTGGACTTGTGTGGCATCTACCACGACTGACAGGCTCCGCACAGTGGTGCGGCAGCGGTCCGTGGCAGTGGATTTTGAAATCGTTTGGGAACCGGCGGGTCGCATTTCTGGGATTTCGCCCTGCGTTCTGGGGCGACATCTCGGGGGAGGTGGTGTACAAGCTTGGATCACGCTTTAACATCAAGGAGGTCATCTACCTCGGCAAGCTTGGAGTTCTCAAACCAGACGTTGCGCCTAACAAGTGGCTGGCTACTGGGGGTACGTCGCTGGTCAACGGTCGGGTGATTGAGTGGGAGAATGCACTGGGACCGTCTGTCGAAAGTCGTGGTCAGAATTCAGTAATTGTTGGCACCCACGTCACTCTCGGCAGTGTCCTGCACGAAACTAAGAGCTGGCACGCTGAGCTAGTCCACGAGGTCGATTTTGTAGATCCGGAGATCGGGATGATGGCGCAGGCCGCCGTGAGGAGCGGAATACGCTATGGCTACCTCCACATGATTACAGACAATCTGGGTCACAAGTACGACGAAGACTTGTCGAATGAGAGGAAGGAAAATGTCCTCAGGCATCGTGAAAGACTTCATCAGGTGGTTCAAGACGTGATGGACGAGCACCTCACAAGATTCAGTACTGAGCAGGGTGGCAAGTAAGGAACAGAGCTCTACTATTTTCATGATACAACACAGCGCGCAACGTGAAATGTATGATATGTACTTGTAGTATGTCTTTTTGCAATCTGGGCTTTGTACCTGGCTACGACAACGAAAAGCCGACGCTTGGGATAAGTGGACATTTCGAACAGTCGTTGCATTGATAAAAGTAATAGAGAAATACTGAAAGGTGGCATGTTCATTCAAGTCTGGTCATCATGCTATATGGAATCGGAGAACGTCGATTTAGACACCTTGTAACGTTTTGCGATGCATGCGTTGACCCACCAATGTTCTTTCTGTGTTTTTAGGTCTGCACGAACTGAATATTAGCAAAATTCTATGCTAATTGGCTATTTATAAGTCTGCGAGATACTCCCCATGGTAATTGGTATAGGCGAATTCAAGATATGGTAACGACGCCACGATAGCATCAACCATCCACAATCATGGGAGTATGCACCGCAAGTCTTCAGCATAATGGCTGACCACATAAGGTTCTGAATTGTCCATCGCTAACTCAAAACCAAACACCACTGCATTAGAACCCTTTTTTCTGGCCCTTTGTTTCTAGGAGCTACCACTCGAGGTTATGGGGGAATCAAGGGACTAGTCTGGGGCTCCCTGTGAGTCTAACTTTTAAGGGCGGGCAGGTATCAATTACCGGTTAGAATTTTAGGCATTTTAACTATTCACATTGTGTAGATGCACTGGAAGGAGCGTTTAAGAAATGTACCCTCGAAAATATAGCAAGCATGGCTAGTGTAAAAGCATCTATACTACAGAGTTGAGGATTGATCACTTAAGCTGGTTGAGAAGCCTGGAGCGACACTGCGTGGGGATGCTGTCCCCCTTGCAGTTTCAGAAAGATTGATCATTGACAAAATGGTGGCTCTCAGCTTAACTGCGAAGGTGGTAACCATGTGGTGGACGATATGTGATTGTGTACCCCTGTGCCTAAACACTTATCCGTCCCTCACCTCAAACATGGGCCTGCTACAATACTTCTATTGCAATTTTTTTATGCTTCAGCCATTCCGCCGAATTCGGATCATTCAACCGGGCTTATTCGAAGGGTTTCACACTGAATGAAGCAGAAAAGCCACGCATAATGAAACTTTCTTCGAGGTTAAAATACTGTCGTTAGGAAACAAACGAACGGCGAAAATATACTACACAATTAAGCAAATCACCTGGAAGGCACACTAGGTGTGGCGTACTGCATATGAATCATGTAAAGTGGAAGGCTATGGCAGTCTATGCATTGCCATTTGAAAATTCACAGCCATGCTTACATATAGTACGTACTGAATGGTATGCGAGAACTTTGTAACCACTCAGGTCTCCGTTCAGTCACCATCCAGTGTTGAAGACTACGACAGGTGATCAATATGGGTATAACAAGCAGAAGTTGCACGTAACCCATTCTTATAGATGTTGGCCCTAGGAGTAACATATCTAATGGAACTTATCCATGAGCCTGGGTGGATGGGGAACACTGCCAGACTACACTAGAGTTCATACTCAAGTCACCACGAGGTCCAACCGCCTCCTGAGAGAAGTCTCAAATGTCGCTGAGCGTCGGCCTCCAGGGATATAAATCATTGTCTAAACTAAAACATTAAGCATTATTGCATCTAAGTATGGATTTGCCAATTGTATCGTCCCTAAGTAGATGAGATTAGATTCCCTAAAGCCCACGACTGAGCAAAGGAGGTGTCATATCTAGCATGGAGCCAGGGAAGGTCTTGCCATAAGACTCGTGTAAGCCCATCTCGCCAAAGCAGTACCGCCTTGCCCCACTTAGCTATTTACATGCAGGCTTTCATATAACTCGTGTGCTCATGAGTATGACAGACAAATCCATTCTAACCAAGACAACCGGATATTTGATTAACCCCGGACCACGGCATGGCCAGGGAATTCGGGGCATTGCCTGTGCCTTGACTAGTCTGCGTATAGTGTAGGGCGATACGTCAGTTGCGGCAGCGAACTTTGAAGGCTGCAAATGGAGGAATGGTTGGAGCACACTGAGGATCTTGTATTCACCTTCATTGCGGTGTCGGGAATATTTAACAACACTCGTCGTGGTAGGCTCAAAGCCAACAATGTGGACCCCGAGATCGAATGGGGTAGACGGCATCCAAAACCCGATAACCAGGCGCCCGTTGACACCCCTACGGCCCCACAACCATTACGAACCGACGTAGGCACCGAGGGAAAGTACCTAGTGGTATTGGACAGGGGGGGCCAGAAGGGGGGAATGGCTGGGTTTATGAGATTCTCTGCGGCTCTATGACAATGCCTGGTACTTTGTAGTGTTTTCCACTGTGATGTGACGATTTGATTGCGTCCGCTGGGTAGCCTAGCTAGCGCTTGTTTCGAGGACAGGATTGTGGGGGTTGCAATACGGGGTTACATCGTAGCACCCGTTACCTACATCGTAGAGCCTCAAGGTGGTATGCTTAATCGATGGCGCGATCTGTCATGGATAGGTCATCCAAATCGTTTAAATCGCAGACCTCGTCTCATGTTTTGGGAACTCCCTGCCCTGGAGCCCTTCTAGATCAGTCAGATAACCCACTAGAGATGTTGGGATGAAACAACTTTAATTGAGTAGCTGGTCAAGTTGAGACGCTTGGCAGAAGACTAGTGCACTTTGTCTGTCGACACGCAGGTCCTGCCAAGCAAACAATATTCACTGCCCCTGGACGCCTTGCTGATACATCCTTGTGAGCTTCGAGATTACGCTAATAGTAGGTATGTGCCAAACATCGTGGGGATTCTTTAAGCCTTGTATAAAGGCGAGGCATGAGAACGCGGATGCGGTGTCTAGATAGTCGCCATCTCAGATCTCAGTTCGCTTCTCGCACTTTCTTTACGCCCATTGACGTTCATTGACTGAGCCGTCTTCACATTCATTAGACTTGACGTCCTTACTCTTTTCCTGGGCTACTACCACACTCATTTACAATTCCCACAATGAAGTATAGCTACACTCTCTCCGTCGGGCTCGTGGGCCTAGCCCAGTTGGCTTCGGCTCACTACTTCTTCGATGTCCTAGTTGTGGATGGCGTCGCGTCCAAGAGCTACGAATATGTGCGCGCGAACTCGAGAGACAAGAAATACATGCCCACTAAGTACATCAACACCTTCGACAACCTTACTCCGGATGATACCGATTTCCGCTGCAACCTGGGTGCCACCAGCAACGGTAACACCGTTGGAACTGCCGAGGTGGCCGCTGGGTCTGAACTGGCCATGGTGCTGGGGGTTGGCGCTACGATGCAACATCCTGGCCCTGCTCAGGTTTATCTGTCCAAGGCCCCTGGATCCGTCGCCGACTATGACGGGTCGGGTGATTGGTTCAAGATTCACCAAGAGACAACTTGCACCGACGGTGACTTGACCTCAACAGCATGGTGTACTTGGGATAAGGATCGCGTCACCTTTACCATCCCTGCGGATACTCCCGATGGAGAATATTTGGTTCGCTCTGAGCACATAGGCCTGCACGGTGCTCACAATGGCGAAGCCGAGTTTTTCTACAGGTAAGCTTGATTATAATCGGATCCGAGATTCATGTTCTCATTGCTCATCGTTTTTGTAGCTGTGCACAAATCAAGGTTACTGGCGGTGGATCAGGAACCCCAGGTCCAGTAGTGTCGATCCCTGGAGTCTACAAACAGGACGATGCAGCAATCAACTTCAGCATCTACGGTACAAAAGATTACACCTTGACCCCCGGTCCAGCAGTCTGGGGTGGCGGTTCCAACTCTTCCAGCTCCTCGGGGTCCACTGGAGGTTCTCAATCGTCGAGCTCCTCTGCCAGCGCTTCCCCAACTACATCGGCCACACCCAAGGTCTCGGCTGTCCCCACCAGCACTGCGTCAGTCGCTCCTACTAAACCAACTGGTTTCCCTGGTGCTGGCAAAGGATCGAAGGCTTCCTGCAAGAGCGCTAAGTTCCGAAAGATGTAAGGCGGAGACGTTGAATAATGGCGCTTGAATCAGGGTTTGTGTGGGTGCTCGGTGTTTTTATTCGTCTACTTGCGTTGGTCACCCTTTCGCAAGCAACTTTTATCCTGACCTCTCCTTTGAGTCTGGGTCTGTACATTTAGTTGAGCTCTATTGTGAGACTTCGAAAATATGATATTGGAGTTTCTGATATGTACTGGGCAATTTGGGTGCGTATAACCTTGCGGCTGGCTTATGGATTTCGTCGCAATGGGAAAAAGTTGTTGCACGCATAAGTAATCATTTAGAGAGAAACACTATATTGAAGCGCAGCTGTATTTCATTGATTGGAGACTTGCACTATTGACCTGGGACTCTATCGCGTGCCAACATACCTCACTATTTTTTTGACAACGTATTTAGAGACACTCTGCGTTCATCATAATATCTCGGGAGGCTAGTCCGAATGCCTCATGTATCTTTGGGCGAGGATATCCTAATCCAGTCAGATCTTGTTCCATCGTAATTAGTTGAATGAATCGCTAGCTAGTCACTGGCGAGACAGGTTTCAATGTCAATTTCATGCCAAACTACCAGCTTGCCACGAGCACAGATATGGGGTAACAAGCTTTGACGATCCATAAGCTAAGCAGTGTCTGGGAGACTATCGATTGTAATGGTGACGGGAGTCACAGTTTGACCGCAGACCAAAGTTGGGCCACCACCGGCGCGGCAGTAAGTCGGAACTTCCCCAGCACCATAATAGCCAACACTAAGTGCATGATTCCAGTTAGTTATCATTTCTATTCATACCGAGCTGATTGCTCCTCGTTATACACATGGTCAAAGACTTACGCGAGACCAAGTTCGTGATACAGACGTAGCGTGAACCCGCTGGAACTGCTTTCGCCCGGATACAAGGCAAACCTGTACTTGGAGTCTCCACAGGTAAAAACTTCAGAAGGAATGCCAGTCTGTGCGGAGCATTCGAGGTTCGTAGCATTCTCGCCACTGAGCAAGAATGAGACGCCATCCACAGTCGCTTCCGTGGTACCGTTGATCAGGGCCTCATGCACATAAAAATCGGTCACCGAGATCTCTTCAGAAAAGTCCCTGGCGACAGGGGAGGCTATGGCGAGAGTGCCACAGGCGGCGGCGACACTGGTGAAAAAACGCATGTTGATTAATATGTGGTATGTGAAGTAGGTGTAGTTCGTGACTGGGGGTTTTCGGTCATAGTTGAGGGCAAGCAGCCAGTTTATGAATGGAGTGGGCGCTTTCTGTGCTTCTAGCAGCACTTTTTCCTTCTGGACGTCATTGTGGCTAGCTTCCCCTACAATGATACCCTGGCAATGGCGATTGGGCCGCTAGATGCAACTGACCAACAGGTGGGGGCGCGAGGTGCTGCCTTGGCCCACCACCAGTGTTACGGCACTGGGAAGATTGCCTGGCGAGTGGTTGAATACGAGGTTTTCCCCTGGCTCCTAACCATTCGTCTGCAGCATCAATTTGCTTCGATACGGAGTTTCGGCAAGCAGACCTCTTGTGCAACTATGGAGACATTCGGGACCAAGCTGGATGATCGTACACAGTACTAGTCAAGAAGAATGTCTAAGGCTTGTCCTGATTGAGACCCTGCCATGATCTAATTCCGTATGATCTCTCGCGGTGAACTATCGGCACGCGACAACAAACAATCTTGGTTGAGTGCCGGGGTCCAGCTTGCTTTGCCCGACGTAACGGCCCGTAATACAGCAAACGTAGATCCCTCAGTGGCGAAGATATCCGATTAGCCATTTTCGACACGCTAAGCAAAACACACAACTGCTTGCAATGGTCCTTCCTATTATAGTTGTTACAATGTACTAGACGTACCACGCGAGCAACAATTAATTAATTAGGTAGTTAATAATAATCCACTATTAAGTTTTGCGCACAATATTTATATATGAATTCAAAGTGACTTGAAAGCTTAAAGGGAATAGTATTTTTTATGAAGTATAACGTATTGAATTTGTTAGTAATGGTCTTGACGAGGGACCCGGGGCGGCGATGATGGGAAAAAGAAAAGAAAAAGGGTAATAGTCGCTACGGAGTACTCGTAGCGGAATTTACAATGCGATGTAAGCGATGGCTGAATACGGAAACTAGTATACGGTTGTAGATGTTGAAAGTTCCAATCGGAAATCCTGCTCCTCAGCATTGAGGCAGGTACCGTATTCCACGACCGATCATATCCCCCAGGTGGTGAAAATATAAGTACACAAAGCAGAAAAGAAACGTGCGTTAAAACTTGTACCCGCCGACCCACATCACTCGTAGGTGCTTTGCAACAGGTACGACAAGTTAACGTTAACTTCTTCCCGAAGCCTTGCGGGCGGCGCCGCCACTTGATGCACATCCCTGTTGTAACTCCGCCGGTCGCCAATTAGAGTGGGATCATTAGGCGTGTGTTTGCTCACTTAGGCACGACACGCGCACTCAAATACGCCGGGTGCTGATCTCACTTTCAGTTGGGCAGGCTAACTTAAAGGTTAAGGAGCAATCAGTTATACCTGTCGGGCGATGCATCTCAAAGAGGCAGATGCCCCATACCATGATGTGATTATATCCACTTAGCTTGCGTAAGCTTGCACGGTCTCTCTAGCGCTGTTCATGCCGACACGACGGCAGGCCCCCAGGTTTATTTCGCTGGATAATTTATTGACTGTTCCACAGCTTGTGATGCCGGATGTATCAAGGCAAGCAAGCACCCATAAATCTTGAGCAGCTGTGTGTCTAAATGGCTTTTCAGAAAGGGCCACGCGTCACTCCTCCCACAACCCGAGTGACCATGATGGAATGACATGGGCTTCGTCAAATTTGACGCAGTCAATTGTACGAGAGGCTGCGCCTGGATGATGTTTAAAAGACGGTAAAAGTACCTGGAAGTGAAATTGGTTTCTCGCCAGCTGGAAATTCGAGCCTTGTTTCTTTATCGAGCAACTTCTTGAGAACACCATCACGATGCAACTTAGAAAAGTCCTTCTCATGGCTCTAGCAGGAGAGAGGGTGATCGGGCACCCTGGCGCTGACCACTCTACCGAGGCGCTCCAACGCAAAGAGGCTCTTGCACGAACGCGCACTCTTGCATCATGCAGCACTGCGCTTGAGGCTCGTGGCATCCCCCAAGCCGCGGCTCGACGTCGGAATGTTCTGCTTTCAAGGATGCAAAAACGCACAATCCATGAACGCGATCTCGACAAGGCGCTTAACTCTACCCACCACTCCAACCTCACTGGAATCACAACAGAAACAGACCCGTCCATACTCTTCTCTGGAAACGGGTCCTGCGCTCTTGTTCCCGAGACTACTCAAGGTCCCTATTATGTCACTGGGGAGCTGATTCGCTCCGACCTGACTGAGGATCAAATCGGCGTACCGCTGTATCTGGACGTACAATTCATCGACACGACCACCTGCGAGCCCGTGGAAGGAGTTGCCGTGGACTACTGGCACGCCAATGCCACAGGTTCTTACTCAGGCATTGCTAGCCAGGCTGGACTGAATACTACCTGGCTGCGCGGCATTCAGATTACTGATAAGGATGGCGTGGTGGGCTTCCGAAGTATCATACCTGGGCACTACACTGGGCGGACCCACCACATACATCTCCTTGCACATAGCCCTGGTAACTGGTCCCAATTGGAGAACGGCACTATCACTGGCGGCAACAATACGCCGCACATTGGTCAGGTCTTCTTCGACCAGGATCTTCTTGATGAGGTTGAGACGCTTGAGCCATACACCCTCAATACTCAGACTTGGACCAAGAACGACCAGGACAACATTGTAGTACAAGAGGCTGAGGCCACTGGCGTTGACCCAATGGCCAACTATGTGCTGCTTGGCGATTCTGTCTCTGATGGCGTCCTGGCCTGGATCTCAGTTGGCATGGACCCTTCAGCCGTCTACAAAGTCGATTCCGCTGTTCAGCATACCGCGGACGGGGGTATCGAGGATCCATGCTTCTTGATGATCAATTTGACTCCAGACGATCCAGCACTTCCTCCTCTCCCAGCTTCCTGCACCGCTGTCAGCTCAACAGCTGCGAGTGTTACCGCCAGGTCTTGAATAAGACACTGTTGTCGGCAAGATGAAAGATGTATAATCCATCATAAAGGGAAAATTATCGAAACTGATGATGCGGGCGTGCTTGGGGGCTTGGTGGATAGGTACCACTGCTACTCTGATACAATTTTTCGGGGACAGACTGTACAGATCCATGGATAAAAAGCCGGGCCTGATAGAAGCTCTAGCCACGGCAGGGATGCCTTCATTGCTTTGCGGATGTTAGGCATATCAAGTGCCTGCATTAGCGATGATGTCGGTCTTTCTCATCTCGAGTATAGCCCGAGTTGTTTATTGCAAACATGATCAACTATGTAGCTCCAGGCAGGTAGACATCATCTCCGAAGTGATACGTTCGAGCATGATCCAGTCAGGAATACACAATGCCAAATGGTAAGTGCCAGATGGGCACAAAACCAATCTTCGTCAGTAGGCCTATTTATTTTCAGTGGCAACCTAAGAGCGCTTCGGGTCTGGTCCCATCAATCTTTATGTAATTACATGTTGACGCGTGACGTCGCTAGTGTTGAGTTGCGTGGTAGAAAGGCGATCTTGTGGGGCGGCAGAGTTGCAAGCTTGACGTGGAAATCTTTGAGGTCATTGGCTCCTCGATTGATGCAGGCCGTTGCTTCTCTCACACTTGAATGAATCCCGCGATTGGTGCGCTAAGATGTGCACCAGTAGGTGTTACTACTTGAAAACCGCAAGGGCCCCAAGATCCGCAATGTAGATCGTTCTCCCGTGTACACAGTGGTACCAGGACAAGACTCACCAGGTTAACGTTAAACGCGCCAATGGACATTTCTTGTTGCTAAATTTGATCTTACGAGGACTGACGAATCTGCCTAGGATGCAAGTTGTGAGCCAGTCACCGATTGAGGGCACCATCAGCATCCTTGCGCCCCGCGCCTGAAAAATCATAGGTACATCCTGATCGTCAACCCCACAGAGTAGCAAACGAGACTAACTACAGTAGTGACGCCCAGGGAAGTACAGGGCATTGTCGCATCTTGACAGAAGAGCCGACTTATGACAAGTCAGAAAGTTTTCGGGATATGCCAGATCTGCTTAAATGCTGGCATTGCCTCTGTGAGTTGTGGCCATGGCAACCTACTATCTGTTGATTCGAGCTCTCGTCTATGAACCCAACCCGTTCGGTCTTATAATGTTGTCGTCACTCTACTTGCTGTTAGCAACACCTGTTGTCTGGGCCGGGCCGACCGATCGGACTGGGGTCAAGGCGTTGAGCGCCAGGGCGTCTCTGCCGAGTACTTTCACTTGGAGCTCAACTGACGCCTTGATTGGGCCCAAAGAGGACTCGCGCAACCTTGACGCAATCAAAGATCCATCTATCGTGCAGTACGACGGAGCTTATCATGTCTTTGCCAGCACCGTCTCAGAGGCAGCTGGATACAATCTTGTCTATTTCACTTTTACAGACTTCTCGTCGGCAAATAATGCAACATTCCATTACCTCGACGAGACGGCAATTGGATCAGGCTATCGGGCTGCCCCGCAGGTTTTCTATATGCACTCTCAATCGCTATGGTATCTGATTTTCCAAAATGGCAATGCGGCATACTCCACCAATCTTGATATCAGCAATCCGGACGGGTGGAGTGAGGTGGAAACATTCTATGAAAGTATCCCTAGTTCGGTTACTGAGAATATCGGAAATGGTTCTTGGTTGGTTAGTAACCTTTAATTCCCTCTGGCATGCGGCTTGCTAACCAGTGCAGGATTTCTGGACGATCTGCGACAGTTCGGATTGCTATCTTTTCTCGTCAGACGATAACGGCCATCTCTACCGGTCTTCAACATCAGTCACCAGTTTTCCAAGCGGCTTTGGCGAGCCAACAATTGCATTGGAGGACGAGTCCAACATTTACGCCTTGTACGAGGCATCTAATGTCTACAACGTGGGCGGTGAGTACCTGCTCCTGGTAGAGGCTATTGGAAGCGACGGTTATCGATACTTCCGTTCTTGGACAACTTCGAATCTGGATGGCACGTGGACACCGCTTGCTGACTCTGAGAGCAACCCGTTTGCTCGCTCCACAAACGTCAACTTCACCGGAACAGAATGGACCAAAAGCATCAGTCATGGAGAGGTTGTGCGAAGCAATGTTGATCAGACGATGACCATTGACACTTGTGGTATGCGTTACTTGTACCAAGGTCTTAATCCAAGTGCGACAGGCAATTATAACGCGCTGCCATGGGAGCTTGGCCTTATTACATTAACCAATCCATCGTGTTAGACTCCAGCTGAGCATCCTTTCAAATAAGAAACTAAACTGAATTTAATAAGGACTGGTGTAAATCTTTCATTTGTGAAAGAAGATGCTGTGCATTACTAATAATAGTATACCCCATTCAAATGATGAGATCAAGAGCAGAATCGGTAAGGAGAGATGTACGCCTTGCCTCAACATCAGCCTGTACTATGTACACGTTCAGACGATGTCGTGATATTGCTTGGAAGTTGGAACTCACACCTTGAAATTTGTCATACGCATGTTATCTGCATGCTGCATCCATATCCATGAATGCATCCGCGCAGTCAGAATACCTAGAGATGCGCTGAACGTGGATATGACAGGCCGCCCCTGCTTGCCTGCTAGCTGATTTGACGCTGAAAGAAGCCCCGTAATTGCGTTTACATCCGACACCACCCCCCTCGCTATCACAAGCATTCTGGAGTAATTAGACCGCGCCCTGGCGCCCTGGGTGCGTTCTGTGCAGGGCACAACCTGCATTGTGTTGATCACACTACATACTTCTCGTATTGGTAGATCTCCCCTCCCGCCAAGGGGGGACCAAATCCTCAAGGCAAACTACCACTGGACGATCGGCAAACGGTACAGGAGAATGGCCATTTCATAGAAAAATGTCGGGATTGAGAAACAGTTTCCATCGATCGCAGTTTTACTCAACTATCACTTTAGTGCAAGAATGGGGTCTAGCACCATACCTACTGTGGTGGTGTCATGGCGAAACGCACCTAAGTGGCCAGGCTCGCTCAATGCGTTCGCGTGGAGAACGACACTAAATGGAAAGGATGACATCCGAATGATCCTGCTTGTTGTGGTACGTGAGGACGTATCACCTGCAGTGATTGGGTCGCCTATGGGTCTCGGTACTTACTAGGGGAAACAAGTGGTAAATAGAAAAGTCCAAGCACAAATGTCAGGATAACTTCCGTCCACTATCAAGCACCGTTAAGTTGAATGACCTGTTTCATGCGGCTGAGGGTCCCAGGGTACACGAGCACTAGCGTCGGCAAATTTATTAGGTACGTACACCGTGTACACTGGGTCAAGCCCACCAGGGCGTGTTTTACATGGGATGATTAAAGTGGGCGACCCGAAATGTAGTTAGCATCCTTTCTAACTTGTCTTTGGTTGTCGGAAACCTCGAGGCATTGGAGGAGTGTGATCGTGCGGTGGCCGCTGAGAGATCTTTATAAATTAGCTCGAGCCTTCTGCAATGCAAGCCACACCACCTGCGACACTAACTCTCTTCAACTCATATCCGATTTGTGTCTGCATTTCCATCTCGCTCCAAGATGAAGAGCCACGTTTTCGCGCTTTTGATTGCCCCACTCGGCGTCATTGCCTCACCATGTTCCTCTCGGTCTACCAACAGTACCCTGGGTAGCACTCAAGGTGCGACTGAGACATCTGATACTGCCGCTGTTGCCAGCGATAGCATCAACGACCTGTTCGTCGCCAAGGGCAAGATTTACCTCGGTACTGCCGCCGACAAAGGTACTCTTTCAAAATCACAGGTCTCAGATATTGTCAAAGCCGATTTTGGCCAAGTCACACCAGAGAACAGCATGAAGTGGGATGCTACTGAGCCGTCGAAAGGAAGCTTCTCTCTCGATACCGCTGATTATCTGGTCGATTTCGCAACAGATAATGGACTGAGCATCAGAGGACACACCCTTGTTTGGCACTCTCAACTGCCTTCTTGGGTCAAAGCCATCACAGATGCGAACGAGCTCACTTCGGTGATCGAAAACCACATCAGCACTATCGTGGGCCGATACGCTGGAAAAATTAGAGCTTGGGTATGTGATCGCGTTCTCGCCGTGAATTGTGAAGTGGGTGTCTAATGGGTCAATAGGACGTTGTAAATGAGATCTTCAACGAAGACGGCTCGCTCCGCAGTTCAGTCTTCTCTGACGTTCTTGGCGAGGATTTCGTCTCAATCGCCTTCAACGCAGCTCACAAGGCCGATCCTAATGCTAAGCTCTACATCAATGACTACAACCTTGACACCGCCTCGTATGCTAAGGTAACCAAGGGCATGGTAGCCCATGTTGAGAAGTGGCTAGCTGCCGGCGTGCCCATACATGGTATCGGTAAGCTTTCACACCTGATGTGATCTAGCCTGTAGCTAATTTATCATGCGCAAAAGGTTCACAAACCCATTTATCAGAAGGCGGCTCGAGTGGCGTATCAGGTGCTCTTACCGCTCTTGCCGGTACTGGTGTCGAGGAGGTTGCCATCACTGAACTCGATATCGCAGGTGCCTCCGCCAGTGACTATACTACAGTTGTCGATTCTTGTCTGAATCTGGCTAGCTGCGTTGGAATTACTGTTTGGGGGGTTAGTGATGCAGACTCATGGCGATCCGACAAATCACCATTGCTATTTGACTCCAGCTACGCGCCCAAGGACGCGTACAATGCGATTGTTAAACAGTTGAGCTAAACCTCACATCGGCGTCACTTTGTCTCATTTACGTTCAAGTTCAGATATGTATATATATTACGCTTTCCATTCAACGGCCAGGGTTTGGCTGCTCCACATGCACATATACGTGTAACCCTAACCGAAAACTCCAGCAAAATGTACATGTTCGTTCGGATGACAATTATCGGCAGTGAAACCTTGTATGCCGTACATAACTTCTGATAGAGGTCGCTTGGTGAGCTCATACAGAAAGGTTCCTGAAGTATTCTTGTGTGAAAGGCGAGTATTCACATCATTCCACCAGTGCCTGGCCGTCGGTTGGATACTATCTCACTATGAGATTAAGCTCATCCAGGTGCTAGAGACTCCTTATCGACTTGAGGTTAACAGTAGATACCAGTCGGTTACACCAATTCTCCAAGTGTCACACATGCAGCTACTTTGCGCAAGACTATTTATTAAGCAAAGTATATACCTCAAGCCATTCAGAGGAAACCAAGCACCGATTATAAAGGCCATTCAACTTAGATAATTACAGATATCTAAACTCAGAAGTGTTGTATTCGTGATAATTGCAAGGCTAATCATTGGAAGACTAAGCCTAGCATACCGGCTCTCACTTGACAGAAAATGGTCTGCCACAGCGAGGTCCAAGTTCCAGCTCTAAACGTACTCAACGCATATAACGTCGCCACCAACATCCATAACATCAGCAACAGTAACATTTGGAAGCATCTCGTACATAGACAAGACATGAGTAAGCGTGGTAACGTTGCCGGGGTCGCCGCTGTAATCGGTGAAGTTTGCACCAGGAGCATCCCAGTTGTTGGCAGAGTTGAACTCGTCAGTGGGAACATTTTGACCTCCCATATCGATGAGACGAGCTGTGAGATTGACGGACTGCCATTCCCACCAAAGTCGGTCGAGATTAGTGTGATGCAGAAAGAATACAGGATCACCAGGAGACAGCACCGGATCTTGCATCTACACGGCGTTTTAGCGATTACACGAAGAAGTAGCGGGCTTTCGTCAACTTACGGTCCCGCCGGTACCAGCGTGGCCGGCCGAGTGTGGGCCCTGTCCGTAGCATTGCCATGCCTCCTCGTACGAACCGAGCGCAAAACACTCGTCCACGGCCGACTGACTAGCTGATTGGAAGGTCATGGAACTTATGGAACGGTTTAAATGGTAGGTTGCGGTCTTTGGTATCACGGTGTTGAATGACCAGGCGCCAACATGGAGTTCCATATACGCAAATGGTCCGTCGGTGACGATTTGGCTGTCGGACGAGTTGCCATCACCTCCAATACCATACACCGAATCCCAAACAGAAGACAAGGTAATGTTGTCAGCATCGACCTGCTCATCCCAGTAAGGCATTCCGCCGGTGTAGTTACAATAGGTCTGCAATAGTTTCTCGTGCAAAGTCATGTAATATCGGTGCCAGGGTAAAAACTGGCCCTGAGAAGAATTAGTGTCTGGGAATTCTAGACGCAAAGCTGAAAAGCGCCTAATGCGATAAACTCACAACACCATGTATATAGTTGGACATGGTCAAGTGCAAGTACTGCTGCTCATCCCACAGTGTGGTTGCACCGTCGTAAAGTCCAAAAACAGCGTCATGAGTTGTCAAGCAGACTTCAGCGTCCAACCAAGCCAGCTTCTCTTCGTTGCTGAGGGAGGTGAAATTTTTTCGCTGTACCGGCGACTCGCAGGTATCTGCTACAGCAAGAGCCACGCAGGCCAACAAGACCAAGACAGACTCCATAGCCATAGCCAACGGTCGGTAAAGAGGGGGAGGCGACTGTCACCGTCAAAGGGTGAGGTAACTGACGGGTGAGATATCAGAGCAGTTGAACAAGTTAGGCTAGAAATTATTGTCTGACTCGTAGTCTCTCAAAGTTTAGAGCGGACGACGAAGGTTTTAATCTTGGTTGATATAGCTAAATAATCCCTATTGATTATTAGTCATAAGGAGGATACTGTTTGGATTTCTAGCCCGTCCAGATCCACCGTAGATGGGTCCGTTTGCGAATCGACTTCGTCAGCTGCATCTCGGCTTCGGACGGTCCTTGATCAGGCTCTTTGCAAACCCAGGCTCACACAGTCACCCTCAATGACATACGAGGTGCAATGAAGCCCCTGTTAGACCCACTTCATACTGAACTACCTTGGGAATAATTTGAAAGTCGATCGAGTAGTCAGGAGTAGCACAAGAATAGTATCCGAACACGTCAACCATTGGCGCAGATGGACCAGGCCCTCCACTGTGCAGTCGTCATTAAACTCATGGCCTAACCTTTTCAGAGGAAACTACCGTGTACGAAGGTAGCTTGTGTGGGCGCGACTGACAAGCGGGCGATTAAAGTGACGGCCCAAAGGTGCTAGAGTGCATACGAAGTAACTATGTCCTGCGTCGCATTACATACCGGGTGAACTGGGTGGCCTCCCAACGCGTGTAGCGGAGCCACAGAGCCTCAACATTACGTATGTCTTCCGGCTTGGCATATATGATGGGGCAACCCGCTCTGGCCCGTGCGTAAGACGTCAAAGGCCTGCACGTAACTTAAGTAGTCATGAAGTACGCAGTTGTGTGCTGATGGCGACTGCGCCTCAGCGCTTCTGCTGCCAAACGATAACTAGTGAATGTCCCGTGGGCATCAAACTGCAGCCAGTACTTATTGACCAGTCGGATAGCTCGAGCGTTCGACTCAGCTACAATAATGGGATCATGTTCAGCATTGGCGGGCAGTATTTTGAAGACCATGATTATGGTGCGAAGCAGATCCTCAAGTCTGTTGCTAGACGAGTACACAAATCCATTTCAGATATCTAAGTGGGCCCCCTGAGTGGACACCTTATTGCTAAAACGAGGCATTCCTGCCAAGAGACCAAGATATATCCCCAAGTATATATATATATGTAGGCAACCAGTTCAAGTGGCAATTCACGGCTCATGGTAGATGCCTCAATTGTTCTCTTCAGTTGAACCATACGACATTAGCGGGTTGGCCATCAAGATCCAGATGGGCAACTGGTGATGCAGAAGCCCCGTCGATGCGCCAGACTTCGATGAAATCATCACCGGAATCTGTTATAGCAAAGTAGTCCTCGTTATACGTGGCAACAGAAACGGAATTGGCATTTCCACCCGAGCCAGTCGTCTCGGTGATGAAAAGCTGCTCGACAATAGCGCCAGTCTCAGGGTCCAAAGAGAATGCTGTGACATAGCCCTTCTTGGTTTCGTCGTGAGAGCGAGTAGCAGCAATCAGATACCGAGGGGTCACAGTTGTATCCAGTATCGTCACCTCATCAGCCCAATAACTGCTCGTGTTGGTAAAACTTGCCGGGATGAGAGGATAAGTGATGTTGGTATCAAGCAGTGTGCCGGTCAGTTCGTCGCGGCGGAAAACCGCAAGCTGGCACGCCTCTTCATAAACCACGAAGACAAAGGCGCTATTGGGATGCACCGCTAGGTGTCGGGGATTACTGCTGGACGGCGCAGCAATGTACTGCAACTCCGTAACTGTGTCAGCATGTGCATCTACGCCGTGGGCCCAGACAGCATTGCCAGCATCTGCAGCAGAGTACACAAAGTTACCGTCGGCACTGAGGGCCAATCCATGGATTCCACAATCAGCATTGTATGTCAGATTTCCGAAGATCCCTGAGATGGAACCCGAGTCGTCAACATGCATGGCAAGCGCATCACAGCCAGTGGTGTACGGGACGCCATAAACCGGATACGGCTCGACATGTGATGCCGTGATGAAGTTGGAGTTGGAGCAAGATTCATTGGGGTTGCTGATCGCACTCTCCAAGTTGAGACTGAAATCCGTCCGGTTTAGCGAATAGCTGTGGAATCCACCAGTGGTGGTTGCATATATATTCCGCTTTTGCGCCTGACGTTGTGGTGCGTTAGCTTTGCCTAATTAGTTGGTGGAAGCATTATCACAATCTCCTACATCAAGAGCTATCCACTTCGGGTCGGAGGAAGAGACGGTGTTGTTGGCAAGCAGAACCAAGCTGCCAGCCGAATCATCAAATTCAAGGGCATAGATTGACGACTTGCTGAAAAACCCGGTGAACATGATGTGTGACTCTGCTGAGGCCAACCCTGCAGCACATGCCATACCCAGTAGAGCAGAATAACAGCGCAACATCATTGCGGTGGTGGGGTGAATTATAGCGAGGCTTGAAAGCGATTGCCAGGGTAGAGAGTTATATTCAGCGCGTTACGCAAGTCCTGTCTGTCAAAGGTCCTTCTTATACGTTATTCTGGGACTGCACAGGTTGTGGACCCATAAAAAAGTAGTCGTAAGATCCCCATAGCCAAGTGACCTTCTCATTTAAACCATGCCAAGCTCTCGGACAAGCTATGGTGGCCCGCGTTCAGTTTGGGGATGGAAGGAGGGTGTAGAGTGGCTCAGTGGTTTTGATTGGCTACCATGGCTTCGGTCCTACCCGCACCATTACGCGGAGCCGCGCACGATGGACAGAGCTAACTACGGGTTACGGGGCTTATCCCTGCACTTCCTACCAACGGGCCTCAGAGCCTGCCAAGCACGCCTATTGCCTGCTTCACATGGATAGGTTGGGAATCAAATCCAGAGCAACAGGGTTTAATACCTGGGGAAGAAGGAAGAGACAATGATGAGACTGGATGCAGCATCGGGAATATTTGGAGGACAACGTCACAGTCTACAGCACAAGGTTCTCCAGTGAGTCCAAGGAAAGGATCTTTGAGAACATGTCTAAGGGCCAGACCCCCATAGACTAACTCATCATCTGGCATGCTCCCACCCATATTTGTTCTGGGAGGGAAATATGGTGTAGCCAACGCCTTGGCGTGTGATTGACCATACACCCTTCATCGCCCTTTTTCAACCCTCGCTTATTCGCGTCATACTTATAATTAAGTAAAGGCATCTATCTACCTTAAACTTCGGAATCGCCGACGGTGAGGACATACTCCGTCTCTCAACACCTCACTTATATGGACGACTAACTGATCAATACGCCAAGTTCATGAAGGAGTGGCTTTGGGTGAGGAAGGTTGCAGCACTGAGAGGCGTTCATTCATAGGGAAACCTGGACGTCAGTCTCGCACAACCGTTAAAAGAAATCATGACTCCAATCCGTGGCGTAATACAGCAATTGAGCTGCTCCATTCAAGCTACATAATCCTTCGTGTTATTTCCCGCAAAAGCTCCTCTTAATTAGAGAGATTCCGTTTTACAGTAGCGAGCACTGCAAGTATGCTTTATCTACTTGCCTCAGGTAGCTATGCAGCTGTCAGACCCATACTGCCCAGTACCTGACCCAGCACCCAATGCGGGGATTGACCCCCACCCCTTGGCTAATATCTCCCCAATCTGAGAGTACGTGCCGAGCTCCCGTCCCGACGCTGCTCCCTTCGGTATAGACGTTACTTTTCCCTACATTCCCAGCAACACTATACTATTGCTTTCTCCGCTTATCGCCAGCCATATTGTCTTTATATCCGTTGGCAGTCAACGCATGACAAATTATCCTTAACACCGGGCATTGATCTGGGTGACCATAGCTAGCTAACAAGATACCCAAGGGTATCTCCGCAAACATCAGATATGTTGAGTGTAATCGACGAAGTCAACGCCGCACAGGAAGCTCTTCGCCGGCGTCTGGCTGGTGCCATCTCTACGCCACCTCGTGGGGTGTCAGAAGATGCCCTGCCTTCAGTGCCTTTGATCGACCTCAGCAAGTCCTTTTCTCCGGATCTGGCCGATCGTCAAGTTGTCGCTTCTTATCTCCGCGATGCCTGCACAGCATCCGGCTTCTTCCAGATCAGCAACCACGGCATTACCGCCTCCGCTATCGCTGGAGTTCTGGGGCAGGCCGAACAATTCTTCAAGAAGCTTAGTCCTTCGGAGAAGGACGCTTTGCATATCCGCCATAATCAGCTCTTTCGGGGCTACGAGGCCGGGGGCGATACCTACGTCAATCCGGACGACCACGATGGAACGTCCTCGCCAGAAGTTGAGACTAAGGAATGTAAGCTCAGCGAATATATTGCGAGCGCTCTCTAGCACTGCAGAGCTGGGCTGAATTTATGTGTTTCCAGGCTTCAACTGTGGTTATGAGCCGGCCCTGGATCCCGATTCCACATCTACAACGTCATATGTCGAACTCGACGGCTGGCCTCCGTCAGGCCCAGACCGGTGTAACGTCTGGCCAGACCCGTCGCTTCTCCCACACTTCAAGGCCGCTCTGGCTGTATACTATGGTCAAGTGCTATCCCTGGCCCGTCATCTCTTCCGGCTCTTTGCACTCAGCTTGAACCTGGAGGAAACCCATTTCGACAAGCTCACCACCCACCCGGGCGGTATCTTCCGGCTCCTGCACTATCCAGCACAGTCGACGGCCCAGCTGGCTGGGAAAGAGAAAATGCTAGGCCTCGGAGCTCACACGGACTACGAATGCTTTACCTTGCTGCTATCGACACCACACCCTGGGCTCGAGATCCTGTTCCCCCCATCGCCATTGACGGAGAATAAGCCGATCTGGAGACCCTGCCCGGTGCGCCCGGGGACGCTTACGGTCAACGTTGCCGACTTCCTCATGCGCTGGACCAATGGCGTATACAAGTCTACAATTCACAGGGTTGTCAGCCGGCCAGTGAAAGAAGTCGTCGGTGGTCAAGAGCTGCTCAGGGGTAGCGAGGCGCGGTATAGTGTCCCGTTCTTCTTTAGTGTCAACTATGATGCGGACATCGAACCGCTCCCGGAAGAAGCTGTTGGGCCGAGCAAGTTTCGAACCATGAAAGCGGGAGAATATGTGCTTGAACGGCTGAAGGCGACTGCTTGATTGGACACGATGACCCACGCTAGGTCTGAGCATCGACGGACCGGGGACACATGTTATACAGGCAAAGATTTATAGGGGTCTAGATCATAATAACCTCCTATGTTGCGTGTCTAGCTCCGGTCGACTTCATGTTTGTTCCAAAGGTCATTCTCGCGAGCTGCTGCACAGGAGTTTTCAACTAGATGCTAGTAACAACTTGGCCCCACCCGCCTCACCTGCCTGGTGAGTGCTTTTGGGAATACTTCCGCACGGCATCCTGCCTTCATCCTCCATCTCTGGAGTAGATTCTCCCGACGTTTTATTTTTTTTTATTTGTTGTTCCCATCAAATGCCAGAGGTATCCGGTCTCCGCAGACCGACATCACCGGGCCTCCCAGAGGCGGCGCAGTCCCGTCAGTCCAATGAACAATGCCTCGCCTGTGCGAATGGTGCGGCTCCCCTGCCCCGGCAAGATGTTGATCCAGTGGTCGAACAGCTCCTTGGTCTTGCCCCTGATGATGCCCATCTCTTGTAATGCAGGGTCGTTTTCGGCAGCATACTCAAGGCCCCTCGGCCCGCCGAAGACGATTAGGAGGTGATTGAACTTGAGCGGTTCCGGCTTCTTCTTCTCGGGGAAGGCGTTCGGGATCAGGACTCCACGCTCCGAAGTTCCTATGCTGACGTCGTAGCCGCCCTCGTAGGTGCACTCCTCAAAGATAGACGCCAGAGACTTGCAGCGCCGTATCGTGTAGCCCCAGTAGTACCCTCCCTTGGTCCTCGGTTCGGCGGGGTGAACGGCCTCGCCCCGCGATGGGTCATTCTCGTCAATATGCAAGGTCACGCGATGATTGGGCGGGATGTCGTCCTCAATAGTAACTTTCTCCTTGGCGCCCACATCGACGACGGTCCCTTTGCCGCCGCGGGCTCCCTCCGAGGTCGACAGCCCCTCGCGGTACGGTAGCCATTCTGAGGGATGGGGGTGATGGGGCAGATCCAGGCTCTCGAGAAGGCCCGCCCCGTGGAGGTTCTTGTGGAAGGGGATGAGGGTCTTGCGCATGAAGGGGGGCACCTCAACGTAGTTGAGCAGGTGCTCGACGTATCCACAGGGGTCGGTGTCGCCCATGTAGCTCTTAGGGTCCACATTCGACATGCGCTGGTCCATGGGTGAGTCGTCGAAGATGACGACCTCGTCGATGCTGAAGACGGCCAGGGCACGGGCGATCTGGTTGATGACGGCGATGCGCTGGTCGTCGCGACGGCAGGTGGAGACGACGCTGCCGGGAATGGCGACGGAGAGAGTCCAATCGCGGCCCTGCACCGGCTGGAAGAAGGCGCTCGGCCTCGATGTGTCTACATAATCGCCGTCCCTCGACACCTTGCGCTTCTGTGGCACTCATTAGTCTGTCTGGGCTCCATGAGGATAGGGAGCACTCGTCGGGCGCATGTGGGTGCAAACCTTGGACCGGTCTTGGTCGTGATAAGACATTTTGGGGGAAGAAATGATGGATGGTGGCTACGGCAGGTCGTGAGTGGGCTTGTGGCGATGCTGGGTCCTCGATGCGATCCAGTGTCTGCTATCATCGGATCAACCTGCCTCTGTAGCTGCGAGGTCTCTGAATTGGGCCTGGCTGAGTGAGGCAAAGCGAGCTCCCAAATTTTGGCGGCGAGGACAATTCTACCGGCCAAATCCCAAGGTGGGCTGCCCTGACCGCCTGCTGCTTTAGCGAGGGAGGGCCCTTTCTCTAGTGGACTACCCACTATGACAACGCCTAACTTATAGAGGTACCTACTAGGTAGGCAGGTAGGCAGGTAGGCAGGTAGGCAGGTACCTCAGTAATTGATTCTCGGCCCCAGCATCCATGAAAGCTCTCGGCCGCGAGGTTCTGCTGGCTCGACAGGCACGACCACTTTCATATGAACGTACTGAGCCACCGGGACGAGGCCCGGTATCTCTGTTACTTGAATCACGGTTTGTGAATATACTCAAGTCCGGGTGGTTGTTCACCGTTGAGCTGGCCAATTCGGTGGCCTAACCTACCGCCCACCAAGCCTACCAAGCCTACCAAAGTTAGAGTACCTATCAAGGTGGGTAACTAACTAGCTTACCTACGCCCGGGCAGCTTGGGTGGCGGGCTGTGAGGATTATGTAGGTTAGGTAACTTAGTGGACAGCGTTACCGCCAGCCTCCAGCTGTACATCACCTCGACAGTCAGCCGCCCAACCAACTTGGAACACCTTGCCTAGGTAGCTTTGCCTCCACGTCGCCAGGTTGCTACCTCTCTACTGGGCTCCAGATCACATTCGCACATTTCGCAAAGACGAAGAGACCGTCACAGCCGCAACCACAACAATGGCAGTTAGCATTGGTTCCCAGGGCGAGTGGCAGCGCATCCTCGGCTCGTCCACCATTGTCGTCGCAGACTGTAAGCATCGCCCCTCCGTCGCGCGCGCATGCAATGAGCCGACGAATGCGTAAAGGCCAACCGTGCGAGGCATCCGCCACTAACGTGTCTGACGCCTGCAGTCTACGCCGACTGGTGCGGCCCATGCAAGATGATCGCGCCGACGTTCGAGTCGCTGGCCACCAAGTTCTCCAAGCCCGGCAAGATCACCTTCTGCAAGGTCAACACCGACAGCCAGCAGGCCGTCGCCTCGGCCCACGGCGTCCGCGCCATGCCCACCTTCCTGATCTTCAAGAGCGGCTCCGTCATCGACACCATCCAGGGCGCCAACCCGCCCGCCCTCACGGCCGCCGTCGAGAAGGCTGTCAAGCTGGCCGGCACCGCCGCCCCCGGCGCCTCGTTCAAGACGCCCGGCCGAACCCTGGGCGGGCCGGCTGCTGGTGCCGCCGCTGCAGCGCGCAGCTCTGGCGGGCGCTCCCTCAGCCGGCCCTCGAGCCTGAGCATGTTCAACATCTTCAATATGCTGATGACCTTTGTCGGGCTCTACTTTGTGACCCTCTTCTCCGTGAGTTTCCGTCGCAGTCCGTGGGTGGGCGCTTCTACTTGGGTGTGCTGACGCTCGCGCAGTTTGACGCATACAAGGCGGCCGAGAACTCGGACTTCAATGTCCACAAGCCGCGCTCCCAGACGTTCGGAAGGGGGCAGGCCACGGGGCAGGCCACAGGGCAGCCAGGGAACAAAGGTGGACCAGCTCGCCCGTCGACTGGGGTGAGGACGCTCGCAGACTTTGGAAACTAAGCCATGCTGATTTACTTGTTACTTGTGATATCCTCGGTGGTTGGGCGTTCTGGCAGGCAATTTGACATTGAGCATTCTATTCTGGGTCTCCTCTGACTCTGTCCCTGGTTCGCGCGCGTAGACGATACACTGCCACTATGGTCCGGACCTTCTCACATGACCAGGCTTGCCTGTGTGTTTCCTAGTGCCGAGATGCTGTGTTTCCCAGTCCCGAAATGCTACAATACATGCAGTATCACGGGACTGTGGTATAAAAGTGGATCGATATGGTACTACTTAGGGTGATGATGAATAATTCTGGCCTTTTGGTTGGTTCGAATTCCAGCCTTGCTTGCCGTGTACACTCGTTTGTTCCGTTCAACTGCTCAATACCAGCTGCCTACTCATGTAGTTACCTGCCCGTATCCCTTCCACTGGACGGCCCCGCTCGATGGGGCTGCTTGCAGGGGCCTAGATATTTGAACTAAAAAAAAAGTTAGTTACATGTGGTACCTCCCAAATAAGTTTTACCAGAGCTGTAAAAGCTCCCGGCCGGATCTACAGCATGCGACGAGCAAGTCGCCTCCAGTCGTAATTTTTTCGCGTCTTTGCCATACTGCTCCCTCGCGCTTTCAGCTTCAGCGCCAGTGCCAAGTCAGTTTGGCCCATTATGCTGTCCGCGAGCAAGGTCCCAAGGGCTTGTCCCAGCTGCAGAGCCCGGCTGTTGAGTCTCTTCGAAAATGGCTTCACCAACCCGGCGGCGCGACCCCAGCGCACTCTGGTGCCAGGCTTTAGGCACAAACAAAGTCTGGCCCGAGGCACCCCCCGACCCTTCTCCACGGCGTTGCGACGACAGCAGGACGCTGCCGCCGAGCCGTCGCCCGAGTCTGCAAGCCCGAAGCCTCAAGACATCGAGCTGATCGTGCGGCAAGCCAAGCACCAGTTCGGCAACACCCTGCCCAAAGGCTACCTTACCGAAGAGGAGCTCCAGCTCTACACGAGGTACTACGGTGCCCCCCTGCGAGAAACGAGACCCGAGGATGTTGGCATGCCCATCGACAAGGCACTGCTTCAAGAGACACACAAATATGTGCTGCTGAAGAACAAGAACATGCTCCTCCAGGAGAACGAGACTGGCGAGCTCGAGGAGGTTCAGTACTACGTTCCGCAGCTCCCCGAGACGGCCAACGCCGCAGAGACGGACGCCGAGCCCGCTGCCACGGAATTGGTTGCCGACGACTCGGAGCTCCCATCCGATGCGGGCATCGACTACATCAAGGCGATTGCCAAGAACCAGCGAGAGTTCAACGCTCTCATGACACTGCAGAGGGACTTTGAAAAGGCGAGCCTGCGACCCGCGGAAGAAGAACAGGAGGACCTGGACGAGGAGGAGGAGCCTGCCGAGGAGCAAGACGAAGTCGACGAAGACGAGGAACAAGAGGACGAAGGAGAGCCAGATGCCATACTCGCTGGAGAGGTGGCAGAGAGGGACCGCGTTCATCAACTCAGCCAGCTGGGTCAGTGGAGAACCAACCCATCCACCCTCCACCTGCCCAAGGCCGAGTTCGTCGCCCCCATCCACGCCCTGCTCGGCCGAACCGATATCAAACATGTCAAGGAGGCTGCTGAGAACGCATTTGGTGGACGAGGGTTGCCTCACTCTGTGGCAACGCCGCACTCTGGGAGGAGCTCGGGCCAGAAACCCATTCCCATGGAGGCTGGCCATTCCAAGATGAGCGAGATCGAGGCTGATGCCTATATCGCAACCAACCTTCCCGGCATGTACGCTTCGACCATGGGCGTGCTCGTCGAGGTTCGAAAGCGGATGGGGCCCGAATGGATCCAGGGTCTGCTGAGCAGGAACAAAGGCGAAGGGCCCCGGATGCTGGACGTCGGCGCAGGTGGTGCCGCTTGCGCTGCCTGGGAGCGTGTTCTTCAGACCGAGTGGGACCTGCTTCACGGCCCCGAGAGCAGCAAGGCTCTCATGGGACCCCCGGGGAAAAAGACGGTCGTCGTGGGATCCGATCATCTCCGACACCGCATCTCGCGGTTCCTCAATAACACCACCTTCTTACCCAGATTGCCAGACTACCTACACTCGGGCGACCATCCCCAGAAGATGGCAGACTCTCAATTACCCACACCCCGTAAGGTCTTTGATGTGATCATCGCCTCGCACCAAATGATGCCCCTGAAAGAGGGTTACAAGCGCAAAACTTTTATCGACAATCTTTGGGAGATGCTCTCTCCCGACGGCGGCATCCTCATCCTGCTCGAAAAGGGCCATCCGCGTGGTTTCGAGGCTGTCGCCGACGTTCGACAGCGTCTTCTTGACGAATTCATCGAGTGCCCTACGTCGGACCCTCAACCGGAGATCCTTGAACCTGAAAACCGGCGCATTCGAGAACCAGGCATGATTATCGCGCCCTGCACCAATCACAAAAAGTGTCCCATGTATTTGACGCCCGGGCTCGCACATGGCCGCAAGGACTTCTGCCGCTTCAGCCAACGATTCATTCGGCCGCCGTTTCTGCAGAGGGTTCTGGAAGCAGCTCATCGCAACCACGAAGACGTCGACTTCTCGTTTGTGGCAATCCAGCGCGGGGTCACATCCACCTCGCCGACACCCTTGCCCACCGAAAAGGGCCGTGACGCCAGTGACGCGGCCTTTGAGGGCTATGAGCACTCTGCAGAGCCTCCAAACCTCCTATCTCTTCCGAGGACCGTCCTGCCACCCCTCAAGCGCACGGGTCACGTAACCTTGGATATGTGCACGCCAGCCGGCACCATCGAGCGTTGGACCGTCCCCAAGAGCTTCAGTCGTCAGGCGTACCACGATGCTCGAAAGGCACAATGGGGCGACCTGTGGGCTCTTGGTGCAAAGACTCGCGTCGTGCGTCCCGTGCGGCTGGGCAAGGGTGGCGTGGCTCCAAACGATGGCGGTGTCAGAGCACGGAGAGCCGCCGAGGCGGCCAAGTTCAAGGGCTCCAAAGTAGTCAGCCTGGATGCCGATGCCGGCGGTATCTACAAGGCTAACGAGAAGGGAGGCGTTTCGGGTGGTAACCTGCTGAGTGGACGTGGTAGGGTGCCCACCGAGAGAAGGACGAAGGGCGGCAAGAAGGTTCGCCAAAGAAGAGTTCGAGATTTGATGGACGACATGTAAGCTATCCGGCGTTCGACACTATATCATCCTGATTGGAGTGCATACGCGTGTATACTAGTAGAGTTCGGGGGGGAGGCGGGAAGTTGGTTGGCATGTACAGTAAGGTGTTTACGGAAAAGGAAGGCGTAGCAGCCGCCTCGACGAAGATGTACTAGCATAAAGAGTGTGTGTGTAATATATAGGATATATAGGATAGCTTCCAACGTGGATGCGATTGAATTGGCAGTGCTGAGTTCCCTGGTGAGAAAACACACCTCGCTCCAATCATTTGCCGAGCTCTCCAATGTGTCAAAGAATAAGTATGCAACAATATTTAATCAGCGTCTCAATGCTCATTGAGATACCTACATAGGTATGTTGGCATCGCTCTTGTTTCGCCTCTAGACTGGTCGGCCCACCGGTGAACACCTGTTAGCACTGCGGCACGCGAAGACACTGCCCAGCATGTGCCTCGCTCGGACACTGATAACAAAACGACGCCGCATCCGTGACACGACCACACTTGATGGAAGAAATTCGAAATAGACACCACTCTATACTCCGACTTATAGGATGTCGCGAGGCGAGGCGATGCCCAGCAATACACGTGCGCGAGAGCTCGCTAAGTAGTTGCTGGTAAGTAAGCACCATTGGCCGTAACTGGTCCCTCTGACGCACGTGTGCGCTGTGATTGGCCATCATAGTTGCAGGAACCCCAAGCTAATTGGCTCGTGTCATTGGTCCCCGCAGTCCTGCCCGCAATCCTCTATACCCCTGTTGCACGCGTCCTTCGCTTCATCTCGCAAGATACATAAAGAGTGCACATTTCCACAGGCAATGCACGGGTTAGACGTTTGGAAACTAGTCATTGACTTATTTTACCCTCGTTTCGGTGGTCCGCATCTCATTATAATCATGAAACCCTGGGTCCTTTGCGTCAGTGCCATCACTGCACCACTGGTGTTGGCACAATCGGACATCCCTATATCTGGCTCCCTTCAGTCGATCCTGTCTCATGGCGCATCAAACCCATTGTATACCTATCCGACGCAGTTGACGCAGGGGATCATTCCAAAACCGATTCATAGCCACAATGACTACTGGCGTCCCTTGCCCTTCTGGAGTGCCTTGTCTGTCGGGGCCGTGAGTATCGAGGCCGATGTATGGCTGTACAACGAGACACTGCACGTCGGCCACGAGCAGAGTGCCTTGACCAGTGTCCGTACACTAGACTCGCTGTATATTCAGCCCATCCTGGACGTCCTCCACAGACAGAACCCGAACAGCTCGTTTGTGACCAGCCCGCCCACTAAGAACGGAGTCTACGACACTTCCTCGGGCCAGACGTTGTATCTTTTCATTGACGTCAAGACAAATGGACCGAAGACGTGGCCCTATGTCGTCAAAGCTCTGGCTCCACTACGTGACGCGGGCTATCTAACTACCTTCAACGGCACGGCTGTTACCTCTGGTCCGGTGACTGTCATTGGAACCGGCAATACGCCTCTGAACCAAGTCCAGGGCGTATCTCCCCGTGACTATTTCTGGGACGCCCCAATCCCGACGCTGAACACGACTTTCAGCAACATCACAAAGGAAGTGTCACCCATCGCCAGCACAGACTTTGCGGTGCAGTTCGGAGACGTGAGGAACCAGGAGTTCAACAGCACGCAACTCGCGCTGCTGCAGAGCCAGGTCCAGATGGTCCACGCCAAGGGTATTGCGGTGCGGTACTGGGATCAGCCGGGCTGGCCGGTCGGCACACGAAACGCGGTCTGGCGCACCTTGTACGATGCCGGCGCGGATCTCCTCAACGTTGATGATTTGGAGGCTGTGGCTAACTTTTGGGATAATAAAGGCTGATGAATTTCGTAGAGAAACATTGAGGACTTTGAAAAGTCTTACAAACGCGGAGATTAAAATGATGCACAAACATGGCTTTTTACAAATGTCGCTTTGCTAGATAGCTCCAAGCCAGGCAAATAATAATCCTACTTTAATTATCAAGAGGCAACATATTTGCGTCACAAACAGACCATAGTGAGCTAAAGTAGACCTAAGATTAAAACCAATTGTAAACCCAATGATTGAGTAGACTCGAGACTTAAAAGTATGTATATCAACCAGCATTCTTCAGATACGAGGGTAGCGAACAATCATACTTTCATAAAAACTATGCTGTATGCCACTTGACGAGACTAAGGCAGAAGCCTGTCGGACCATGGCCCAACCCGAGCCGGATAAACATGTTTGCTTCTTCATAGTTATAGCTTCTGTCGAAGTAATCGTTCGTCCTTCCTTCGCCGCAACAGTCTCGCCACGGCCCTTCTAGGACTTACTCCGTCAACGTAACCGATGAACGGAGATGCAACTTTGTAGCCTAACATGTCAACAAGGCGGTCTGGAATGATATCTAACTTGTCCCAATCCACAGCGAGTATCTGGTTTTCGAATGGCCGCACCCATGGTTGGCAGTACTGAACAGTGAGGGAACGCCGTTCCTCACTGGACTTATTTTGGCCGCCGCCATGCCACAGAGTCCCTAGGAAGTACACTATGCTACCTCTGGGCATAAGCACTGGAACTGTTTGCTCTTGAGTGGGCATTGGTTCAGCACCCCAGCGGTGAGATCCCGGTACGACGACGGTAGCACCATTGGTCTCTGTGAATGCATCAAGAGCGACCATTATAGCCTGGAAGACTGGAATCAGTGAATTGAAGAGAGGGATATGAATCGACTGTAAAAGTCTCACCGTTCCAAAAGGTCGATGCGGCCGTGGAATGGTAATAAAGCTGTCATCATGATGGAGCGTCTGCGGGTTTTCCCCTGGTTGGATGAAGATGCTATGATAGGCATTGAGCTGATAGCCCGGGTCAAGGAAATAGTCATTGAGAGCAAGAACCCTTGGGTGTATGGCGAATTTGTCAAAAACTCTTGACTTGTTGAGTAATGCGTAGATGCGATGAGTATTGAGCCCCTCGAACTTGTTTCGCCCGCCAGCTGCAGTCGGCCCAGCTTCCTCTCCCGAAGCTATTCGATGCAGTTCGGTGATTGCTTCCTCTACTTCAGCGTCCGAAAAACCGTGTTCTATTACCACGTAGCCCCTCTGAATAACATGGGCGATGGATCTGCGCGTTTCATCATCGAATGGCGTCTGGGTTCGGGCAAATCTCTTGTTCGCTCCCACCTCTTGATTGATAAGGGAGCTGTTTCGGGGCTGCCGATGATCCATAATCAAATATTGTTCGAAATCTCTGGGGCCGTAGATACTGGGTATATCATTACTGCAAGATGGGCATGCGGTATCGATATGTTACTGGATGTCAAGTTTTGTGTGTATCAAGAAGCAGAAGCAGTGGAGCAACCGAGGCTTATATAACACCCGCCATTGCGGGGTTGGGGCTTTGCATAGGCTCACAATTAGATGGATCTCCAACAGGTGGCTTACGGCAGATTTTGGCAATAGTCTTGATAGAAGCACCGTTTGACATCGTTCTTTTAGTGTGTCGGTCAGCTAGAGGGCATGGAATCAGCTCCAGTCTGGGCACCTGTTATTTGCGGAGAGCTGCGAAGTGGCAATGCAGCATAACTATTTCCAGCAATTGTCCAGGGCACCCGAGCGGCAAGAAAAGCCGCGACGATACGAAATGACTACTCCATACGGGCCGCGACGAGTACGCATAAACTTCCGCTCCTTATCCCGAATACGCGCGATGAGGTGCAGGTCAGTCTATTATATTACTTATCCGAGACTGATCCAAGGCTTACCACAATAGAAGCGGCGTGGATAAAGGTTTCAGTCGACTCATTTCAAAACCTAGTACGTCCTTCTACAGACGCTATTTTCATAAGCTACAGGTCATTTGAGTCCAAGAAGCTACCCGGCCATGATCTTGCCCTCTGCCCTGTAGCGTTCGATTCGGTCAAGGATTTCCTCGCAGTCCTTCCATATACGCCGTCTGTTACGCAACCCCAGTATGCTAGTAGAATTCCGTGCCAATTCGCAGCGAAGGCGGTACCAATTCGTCTTGTTGGCGAGCAGAAATGGAGCGGGTACACTTTCTTTTATACTTGCACCCTCTTCTTCCATAGATTCTATCAAACTTTGGACAGTGGATATCGCGGCCTCATTGATGTTTCGTTGATCGTTTCCGTGGTTTCCCTCCTGAATTAGCACCTCAACTGCCGCCTGGAGTTTTTCCAATCGCTGCCGGTGCTGTTTGATTTTGGCTTCAAGCACATCTCCTGTAGTCGATGCCCAAAATGAATAGTCCAGGGTGGACCATGCCTCCCAAAGCCATGGCATTTCCCGTAGCGTCAGCGAGCGGAATATATACTGTGGGATCTGATAAAATGTGCGGGAGGCCAGGCGCAAGTTTGCCACGTCTGGAGAAGTCAGATGGATCAGGATGAGACTTCGTAATTCCGGCGGCAGGACTGAAAAGACATCAGTACACCTCAACCGGGTGTATTCTGACTTAGAAGATGTACTGGTATCAACGATTTCATTGCCTAGCCGTTCCGCCGCTGCCAATACGTTGGGAAGTTGCGTGATAAAACAAGGGTTTGCCGCGAGGAACTCGTCGCCATCTGTGTGATGCCAGTGTTTTCCCTTCTGTACTGCAGAGTGGCGAGGAAAGTCATAGAAACTTTGTTGCGTGGCTTCTAAAAACCACCAGTCTGCGAGCCCCTCGATATCAATCTGCCCATACCGATAAAGGGATGCTCGTTTAAAAACCTCTAAGCAAGCTGGGTGAAAAGGCATGGCGTAATCTTGCCCATCTTCAAGTGTCCCTATGACGTTCTGTCCATTTGGTGAACTGACGTCGTGTCGTCGAGGGAATACTTCAGACTTGAAATCGCAATGTGGCACAGAGTCGCTTAGACCGCTGAGGAAGTAGTGGCCTGACCTCTCGAACTCATCATCATCAGGTGCTGCACACCACTGATCAGGTTTGCGAACCAGGAACTGAGCTGTCTTGCACCACCGCATGTCTTCAAACGAGATATTGTGACCATTGTAGCCTCCACCTTCCAAGCCTAAGCAGTTAATCCGACAGTCAGACCCGCCGGCAATATGTTCAGTTTGGAAATAGGGAACAGTGTCGAGGGGCTCATTGGCGCTGTTCAGGTCGGTGGCAAGGCTCAAGTCAAGATGATGGGGTCTCATCTTGAACCCCTCGGCTGGGTGCTCGAGTAGGTGAAGAAAACGACGGTATGCCTCGTTCGAGGATCTGCGTAGGTTTGACGATACTTCTGGTTCACCACGCTGGAGGCCATCGCTCACAGAACCATTTGCCGAGGAGATTTGCGGAATTTTGTATAATTCAAAAGGCTCATCGTTCTCAGGACAATCTGGAACGTAGTCACCATCGTCTTCGATGTCGTCCATGTCTTCTTGGAAGCCGTGTTTCCCATTCAGATCCTCTGCCGAAGCGAAAGGTATTCTGAAGACAGACATGCATTGGGCGCTCTTCGGGCAACCGCCTCCCGGAAACTGGGCAGGGTATGAGAGGACGTATCCTGTGCTGAAACCGTCCCAAGCTGCCGCAGGTGGCTCGTCTGGCCTGCGGACGCGGCCGATGTTGAAGCTCACTCCACAGATGTGGCAGCGGAGCTGCGAAGACATAGCTAAGGAACTCTTGTTGATTATTGTAAAGACCATGAGACAGGGAAAATCTCAAAAGCTACGTAGAAGAAAATATTTCGGGGGTTCAAGCTGTTTGTTGGTAACTTGGAATGCTACGCGCGCTGTTGGTTCATAGAGCACAGGGGGACGACCAATGAAATTCCCACGACGTCTAATAGATGTGGATCCCTATGGCGTATCCAGGAATGGTTGAGTGAATAATGGCCTTTTTTTTTTTTTTCACCTACCCAATGCACCATCCTTTTTGCAATTATAAAATCACAATAAGGAGGCACACCAAGAAGGGTTGGTTCACTGTAGCATCGGCTGGGAGTCATAGGAGTTTGGTTAGCCATGCCAAGGCTGGGTGGTTTGCCTCGGCGATTGATTGGGCCAACTGAGCTGTACATTTCAAATACCGTATTTATATATGATGTAATTAATGCTTCAAAGAACTAAGTTGGTCTGAACCCGCAGCTCCTATCTGTAGACTACTGCAACACCTATAATGCCAAGTCCCGAGGCAAAAGTCATATTAGCAGAGCATCAACGCGTCCTCGCTGTGTCTCTCCAAGGCCGATGCCAGTTTTCCAGGGTTAGCGCCAAGGTTACACACAATGCTTCGCGACAGCTCCCTCACTGCTGTACTGTACTGCTTTATAGTCATCTCTCCAAGCTGTATATTTGCTACAGTGTCAGCTAAAGCTTTTGAGTTAGTATAGCCAAGGCTATGTGCATATGTTATGTTGCTACAGTCTACGCTGCGAGCCATTCCCTATCCAATTGAGGATGAGCCGATGGCTGAACGTACATGTTGAACGTTAACATAGCTTATGGCTATCTTCATCGGAACTGACACCATTGCGACGATTCAAGAAGAGAGTGCAGGCAACGAAAGAAATGGGTGTCAATTGTGATTGTGCAAGTTGCAACTCTGGGGTCGTCGGGGCGGGGGGCAGTCGGTACCGATCGCTCCGCGGGTGTGGGTATGTGTTTTGTATCCGGATCTTAATGGTGGGTTATTTACTCCAGTAAACCACCCCTTAATTCAGAAAGGTTTGGCATGAATCTGGACTGATGTGACGTCCACAACTATTAAAACAAAGGTATTTCTCTTGTGCGCCGTATCTACGAGTAAAGTTAAGATCCCTTTGTACTATGCTAAGTATGATGATGCAGCATTTAGCGACTGTTTTCGCCGCGTTCGCCGTCGCCTCAGCCCTGGCCACCCCTGCTCCTGTGCCAACGCCAGCACCGAGGCTGGAAGACGCTGTCGCCAGGAGAGCTAACTCGTGCACGTTCAGCGGGTCGGACGGGCATGCATCTGCTAGCTCATCCAAGGCCGTCTGCTCTACTATTGTGCTCTCCGCACTGAATGTTCCCGCCGGTGTGACTCTGGATCTGGATGGCTTGAACGATGACACAACGGTACGTGTGGTAACTCTATGTGGTATGGTAACCCTCACTCATACCTCTCACAGGTCGTCTTCGAAGGCAACACCACGTTCGCCTATAGCGCGTGGGCTGGGCCATTATTCGCCGTTAGTGGAAACAATATAACCGTCCGGGGGGCAGAGGGCTCGACTTTGGATGGACAGGGCGCCTTGTATTGGGACGGCAAAGGTGGCAGTGGAGGCGTCACAAAGCCAAAATTTTTCCGGGTACGTTACTCGGAATATAGGACAGTTCGCGGTATATCGAGCAGATGTTGTGAGATTTGATGCGAAAGGCGACTACAGTATTTCAATGACAAATCTCTCGTGCCAGATAGCGTACGTGGATTTATAACGTTGCTAACTCGCAAATAGGCAAACCACATGAACGACTCGATTCTGGACTCAATAACTATCCACAATGCACCCAGGAACTCGTTCAGCTTGAACTTCGTCAATAATCTGCTGGTGAAGGACGTGACCATAGATGATTCAGCCGGCGATGCTTTGGGCAAGAACACGGACGGGTTTAACATTAACAACGCCGATGGCGTGACCATCACCGGTGCCAAGGTGTGGAACCAGGACGACTGCGTCGCCATAAACTCGGGCAAGAACATTCTTTTCACGAACGGCTTCTGCTCCGGCGGGCACGGCCTGTCGATCGGCTCTGTCGGGGGCCAGGACAACGACAACGTTGTCCGCAACGTGACTTTCAGCGACAGCGTTATGGAGAAGTCACAGCAGTCGGTGAGAATAAAGACCATTTCCGGCGCCAACGGTACGGTGGATGGCATTACATATCGCAACATTGCCATGAGCGGCGGTACCGATTACGGTATCATTGTCATGCAGTCGTACAACGGCGTGGACGGCCAGCCGACGAATGGGGTCAGCGTCACTAACTTCGTACTGCAGAACGTCACGGGTACGGTGGAGAGTGACGCTGTGAACACCTACATCGAATGTGGCGAGGGAAGCTGTAGAGACTGGACGTGGACGGACGTTTCCGTCAACGGCGGCAGGACCAGCGCAGATTGTATGAATGTGCCCAGTGGAATCTCATGCTGAATGATGACTTGTTCCGGTGGAGCTACACCCTGGGCGAGCTTTTAGGTGTTCAGTGGGAAATCCATTGCGCTGCTGAGTCGACAGCAGCAAGTTGCAGTTTGGTGTATGAATGGGCTTGAAGGTGCCGATCCACTCATTGGGGTCAAATCATCAACATGTGCAAATCTAAAAAGTCACACAAACACGAGAGCAGGTATGGAGGAAAGAATTTTTTTTGGGCAAATCATCAGCATTTTTCGTATGAACCGTATTTCAACATGGGAGCCATGCGTGTGCCACGCCTGCTGCATGTTGATCGGCTTTAAAACATCGCAAGAAAAGATGTGCTTCAACCCAGAAGCTAACTCTGAAGCCATTTCGCGGACATCCCCTTCCACCCGAGTGATTTCACCCTGACGCCGAACCGTCAAAAGCCGAGTCTCGGAAGATGCCATGCAGAAAGGTAGCCTAGATACAAGAAGCGAAGAAATCAAAAACAGGGGCCGAGACTCGACGATGAAGAAGCATTTCCTCTCCTCAGATGCCGGCGCAGTAGTTCAAAGAATCCACAGGTACAATGCCCAAGAAACCAGGAAACCAAGGCAACCGCAGACAAGGGCGGTGGAATGTATCGCGACGAAAGCCTGGCAATGAAGTGTAGAAAGATGCTGAAGTTTCTGGATTGCCCCCTTCCCCCCCTACGCCCATATATTTGGTCATTGACTGCATTGAGTCGTCATCGTGATATCGATGCGGGCCGTTCCGCCATGCACAAGTCTGATGCGGTACTGCGCAGTGAAAATGTTTGTGGTTTGTGAAGTAGACATTGTGTTTGTTCAGTTTACACACTACAAGAAGGGTAAGTGCTCTTTTGATTCGCTCCAGGCTCATCACAGCCTCCTTGCATGGCAAGGCACATTTGCGACCGAGGTCGTGTCGGGTCCAGATGAGGTGACATCTAGTTGGTGACTGTGGCCTCACCCAGAGAAGTGAGAACGTTCTTGCCGTAGGATCCACCAACGTTGCCAGCAGGCCTGTAGTTGCAGACCATGTACCACGCATCCATATCGTCGTACATGGTTCCCTTGGCGCAGAGCTTGGCGTAGCAGCCGAGCTGGGTCGAGTCCTTCCAGACGAGCTGGGAGAAGTGACCCCAAGCCTCGAAGTCGGACATGTCGGGGGTGTCCTTGCCGTAGTACGAGGGCAGGTACAGGCCGACCTCGCCGTTGTACCACATGTCGTGGCTGGCCATGCCAATGGCGCCGGCGGCACCAAGAGCAGCGGCGTTGTCGGACGAGGCCCACATGGCGATGTTCTGACCGTAGTTTCCGCTACCTTGGGTCCTGTTCTGCTGTCAGTCCTGGGCGGAGGAGAAAAGGTGGGCAAATGATGAGAACTCACATATCGTGCGCAAACTTGCAGCTGTTGGCGGTGTTCTCGGCGTAGCCGGCGATCTCATCGAGCCAGCTCATCTCGGGAGCCGAGTGGTTGGCACGGTGGATGTTGTGGGCGTAGAGAGCGGTGCTGGCCATGTCCGAGGGCGCAGCAGCAGCCTGGCTGGTAGCCGAGCTGGCAGGGACCTGGACGTAGGTGGAGGCGGCAGCAGTGGTGGGAGCAGCCTCGGTGGTGGGCTCGGCAGGCTGCTCGGGGGTGTAGGTCTCGGTGACGTAGACAACATCGGGAGCCGAGGTGGGGGTGGGCTCAACGACGACCGAGGTGCTCCAGCTGGTCCAGCTAGACCAGTAGTGGTTGGGCTTCTTGCGGTTGCCGCCGTTCACGAAGACGCTGGGGGCGGCCTCGGTGGTGGTCGGGGTAGGAGCCGGGGCATCTCCGGTGACGGTGACGGTATAGTACTCGACGACGACGTCGGTCACGATGGCTCGCTCGTCGATCTTGTTGACAGGCGACGCCGATGCCAGCAGGGCGCAGGACGCCGCAAGAACCGTGGAAGACTTCATGTTGACTGATATGATATCGAGTTGCGGTGATCACAAAGGAGTGTCTGGGGTCGGATTAGTTAGAGAGTGTACGCTTTGCCAGGCAAACGGAATCGCAGATGTCGCCGTCCAAGGGTTGCAGGTGGGTGTGATATATGCGCCTTGCACAATCGTCCCGCCTTGTCCGTGACCTTGGAGCCGAGCGGCGTTCCTTTGTTTGGGTCTTGTCTGCCGGCAACAATGGGCGTCCGGGGCCTGGGCCTGGATCCCGTGCTCGACGACGACCTCAACCCAACCAGCGCCGATGTCCACGGACGGGGGAACAAGGAGACGGGGGTCACGACCTGACTTACCTTGGGCGGACGGGGTTCTCTGGCCTGCGAGAGAAGTCGAGGTTATCGAGGTGCGGGGGGAAAAAAGAATGTCCCTGTTTTTATCAAGTCGTCAAGACGGGAGAGACAGTACACGCGCCAAGGCGGACTCTGAAGAATGAGTGGCAGTGAGTGGTTGGTGGGTGCTGAGGTCGGGTGTCTTGGGCTCGCGGGATACAGACGTCCACCAGCGCGAGGAGGGGGGTGTAAAAGCGGGAGCGACGAAGAAGAAGAGAGCGTGGTGAGAATGTAGAGTCAAAGGAATGGACTGGCTGAAAAGTCGGCCGTGCTTGGGTGGAAGCGGGTGAGAGGTGGGAGAGGTGAGAGAGAAGGTGAGAGGGCAGCAGGAACGTGAGGTTTTACACTGGGAAGAAGAAAGGGTGCCAAGGTGCTGCAGGTGGTTACGAGTCGCCGGTACTGGACTGTGGTGGACCACTGTGGTACCTGGTTTGGTCCCCGCTCGCGCTAGCTCCTGCGGGGCCACTACTTAGTATACCGTGGTCCTGCTGTTCTCCTAGCGGAGGGCCCGCTAACTTAGGGGGTGCGCCTAGTCTCGCGCTACCACTGGACGGTACCTGGTGCCTGGGCAAGCCTGGCAACCCAAGTGACATTCCACAGTCAACTCTGTCGCTGGAAGTCCAGGCATCCCAGCTCCCTCTGCTCAGGAAACCCAATCTAGTTGTCTAGACACACCCAGAGACCCTCCATGGCACCAAGGAAATCATTCTCATGCCAATGGCACCGCGCATTGGCTGCGTTCCCATCTCATCCATCCCTCGATGCCGAAATAGAAAAGTGGAGGGGGAAGCAATCTGCAATCCGTACCATGCTACCCGCCTGGAGACTTGCCGCCTTCCGCCTTCCCCCCTTCCCCCCCGGGGGGCGTCAGATTAGATCTCGGCCCCTTCATTTCTGCTTCGTCCGCGTTACCACGTCACGACCCCAGCTGGCGATCATTTGGGGTTCATGTTCCCTCTCGGCCGCCGCGGCCAGTCCGCTTGGCAGCAATCTGGGGGCACTGACTACTCGCCTGTCCGTGACTCGGGCTGCCACCAGATGGTCTGCTCATGCGTCAATGGTGGAACACGCCAGGAATCAGTCGTGTCTCTCTTTGAAGCCCAAAAGCACCACCACCACCACCGCTAACTTACTCACCATACGCCTCGTTTGCTCGCGGCAGCATTGAATCTCACCCTCACCTCACCACATGCATGCGTGCATCTGCGTCAGTGCCGTTCCCCGAAAAAAGAAATAAGCAGCCCACCGTGCCAATAATAGCAAATAGTAGGCGGTTGAATTTTCTTTGCCAATGCGCATCTCACCCATTGGGGCTGCTATCCCGCCAGCAGACGGGCATGACCGACGTCATTGCTGCTTGATGACGGGCTGCGAATCCGCGGTAACTTAAGTTGAAAAGTGATTGCACGATACAAAGGGGTGTGTGTGACTTGCCGCCAACGGGACTATCTGAGCGGTGATCTGCATCCCATTTCCCGCTGGCTGCGCTCCAGCTGTCGAGGCGTTCGAGGCGTTCAAGGCGTTCAGGGCTTCAGCTTAGAGTCTACAGCCTGCCGGGCGGGACCAGCGTTCTCTCTGCTCCCCCGCTGCGAGCTTCTTCCGGTCACAAAACGGCCGATCTGTTTCCTCAAACAAATTCAAGCTTATTCTGTCCTTGTGCTGCTCAATGAAACCTGGCCCTCGCCCGTCACAGTTCGTCCGATCTGCTCGTGTTCTGGTTCGCTGATCTGGCACACGTCCTCCCCCCTTTTCATTCCGCCGTCCGAAGGGACACCCATGCCGCCACCCCTGCTAGAGCGTTTCTGATATGCAGGTACGACAGCCCAGGATCCACACCAAGCAAGCCACGCGCTGACGGGGCGCACAAGGGGGACGCCAGGGGCGGCGGTCGAGCCGGTACGTACCTGAGCGAGGCTCTGATTTGCGGGGGAGCAGCGCAGCATTGCAGCAGCTTCGCTGCATACCTACATATCCGTAGAAGCAGGGCGGCTGTCCGCCCGTTGCAGGAATCCAACGCTACAAGGCCGGCTGAGGAACCATCCTGCTGTTCTACTGTTCTCGCGGTTTCCATCCTGCGTGTTTGGGATCGGCCTCACTAAGACCACGTTGTAAACCGCTGGCGAAAGGTGCCTCTCCTCCCGTCACAGATGTCCTGTATCGTGCAGTGCACACTGGCCAGCGCTTGTTGGTCCCCAATCCACACCAGGCCAGCGGGCCAGAGACCGCATCGGCCTCACCAGCCATCGAACCAATGGCCTACTACACCTGATCACAATGCACACCTGTCCCATATCGGTCCCAAGGTGCAATTTGAAGTTATCAAAAAAATGCCCAGCGGGATGCCCGTAAGCCTTTCGCTTATATGCGAGCCCTCTCAGGATTGTTATATTACATCTTACGTAGGATCATGCAAGTACAGATTAAGTCAATCATCGTTCTCATCAACAGTCACTGGCATTGCTCGCCAACCGGGCTCCTGGGTTCCAACACCCGGGTGTCGCTGGTCGGTCGAGGGCCAGCTGAGGCGCCTGGTCGGTGTTCCTCATGAAACGGGCTAGGCGAGTGGCGTTGCTGGTGTTCGCTGGGGTCCTGGGACTGCATTGGTGGGAACGGCTCCAATTCCTAACGGCACGGTAATATTAGCCGCCGCCTGTCTGGCGCTCGCGATCTAGATTTGCTGGGAATTTGGTCGGATGTTGAGTCAATACCCAAGATAATGGATCCGAGAATGACTTGCAACCAACACGCCCACTCTTTATTCGTCCTTTTTACTTCTGAGAATACTTCCATTAGTCTTGATCTACGTAGTATATGTGCCAAGTACATAACTACCTACGACGCGGACTATCCACAAGCAGGAGACTAGGCTACTAAGTGTATAGTCTAACTGCCCTGTCCAATGACGGTACGTAGGGAAAAAGAACGGGATGGGCATTTACAGGCTCAAGTCAGGATTCGTCGACCAGAAAATCTACATTCTGTGCGACCGCTGGAGGTTTGCCATCAATTATTCCGCCAACTAACGGCATATGGTGCTAGGTTATCCGTCCGCGCAATCCCCGTTCATCTGGGACCTGCCAGTACGTGGCACGCGGCCGGAGTCCCTTTGTCGTGGGACGTCAGCCTTCGCGAATCACGTCCGTGCTGTTGTCGGTTCCAAGTGTGGCAAGTCTGGACATCAGGCCGTAAGAGGTCTTCACAGTGCGGTAGTACATGAATCAGCTTATCCTGACATGACACGGATCGTGAGCAATTTTCTGCTAGTGTTATTGCCCTTTTCCGCCCTTTTCCCTCTGCACTTGAAGCCGTTGACGAGACGCACTTGTGCCTTCCACGGCATGGCCATTCGGTGATTGAGTCCAGACCCGGAAGGCGCCAATTGTCGTTCTGATTAGCTTGTTCGACATGCCAAGCAACGCTTCTATTCGCAAGGTCTGGTCATTAGTGAGACCAGGGACGCTTGACGGTAAGGTGCCTGGCAAGCCCTGGGTAATAAATAATGTGGAGCCCTTACTCCGCAACATGAAACGCTGAGGCGTTTGTCCCCTCCAAAACTTTATTTCTCAGCTGCAAGGCCCGCCAAGCGAGTTAGGGTGATGATGCATCTATATTGCCGTCCCGATCCTAAAGATTTTGGACCAAAACCTACGTGAAGAGCGCGTCGAAAAGTACACAGTCGTTAGCATAATTCGAAGGTCCACCTGCGTCCCTCTAGAAATGTGCTGGGTTTGTCGCGGAAGGTTTATAGCCGGGCATTCACATTATGTCGGCGTCTATCGTTCCACCACTTAACCACTAATGCCTAGTAGTTATACACAGTACACCCTCTCTGACTGTGCATCTCTGGTAAGTTACTTATTACCCTGCACGCGAGAGAGATTGCAGATGTCTGTTCGCGAAGCCGCACCTCCCTGCAGCATCCCCTGCCAGGACAACTTCCGGTACCCGGCAATCATCTCATCCAAGGGAAAACCCACTATATTTCTCCACCTCCCATCGATTGCATTGATGAGATCGTCAAATCGTCCCGTAAACCGAGATTCCTGCCCCAGTCAGTCAATCCCTGCTCGAGGATCGCAGGATTCAAGCTTTCTCGTAGCTAATTACCGCAACGCCTTCGAGTTGGTCGATGGCTGCTTGGTATAATTGATGTTGGCCGTCACAGTGTAGAACCAAAGATGGCGCCACACGCATTCCCTAGATGTTTGCCTTGCCGTTTTCGGGCTATTTGCTGGCTGTAGAACGGCGAGGTCTCTGCCCCGCAAACCTTGTACCTGACCCAAAGGCAATCTGTTGTCCTTAACCCCACAAACCACCTAGAGGACTACAAATTCCATGGATGGCCAAGCTACATTCTAGGGTTCCGCAAGCTATCTCATAGTAGAGTTAATGGGGGCGGGACATGGCACGGAACGTGGCAGCGTCTGAAGCCGCTTGCAGGGCAAAGTTTGGACGAGTAGCTGCCGGCAGCCTTCGGAACGCTACACACTTGTCTGTGCAGTGACCGATAATTGAATTGCCGCGTGGCTGTGACTAGTTGTTACTAGAAACGAGACAACATTAGCATGGGAGCGGTTTTCTTTAATCAATAGTGTAGATAACAGAATAATGTGCACTTCTGGAGCGGATTGCAGTGACTAACATACATAGTAGTCTCCGTGGACAGCAAGTCAGAAAAAGGGTAGGCGAAGTTAGAGGCCATCGCCTCGACGGCCAATCTTCAAGTAATGATTGACACAAACAAGAGTATAACAGATTCGTCTAGTGCTTGTCTCGATTACATCCAATAATTTGAGAGTCAAGCCCTATTTGTAACAGTAAGGACCTCACCAGTATTTCACCAGGCTTCTTGTAGATACGTCTCTATTACGTATAGCCATTCGATGCAGTTCACCATCGTCGTGGCTTGTCATGATTTAATAACAGCTGCCAACGCCTTGTGAGGCAACGCGCGATTAGACCAACCTGGAAATATGTTGGGAGTGTCTCTCACTGCGCGCGAGCCAGCGAGCGTGTCTTATAACGCCGGAACTTACTCGCTAACATTTCACTGCCGCTGTCTCAGTCAGTGTTTGACTACAAAAGCTGGAACTTTCGTCTTTCTTCCATCAACGGCACTGTGCCGTGTCTGTCTGCAACGCGGTTTGGTTTGCTAAAGATATCCACAAATACACAAAACCCTTGTAGGTTGTTGTCTTTATTCCATTTCCACTGTGTAGGACACATCTCAGGGATTGAAGCTAGAAACGCCACCATAAAAATACAAGGCTTCGCGAGGCGCGGCTCCTGAGATCTTTGGGCCGTATAATGAGACATGCTGTGTCTGTTAGCAGCTCCACAGTAAGTCGTCGAGCATATCTCCCGTGCTCTGTCATCTTAAGTCTACTGTGGAGTATCTATGCGCAAGCGCGTCGATTAGCCATACTTGACATGCGGTCTAGAAGCCAGATCGTGTGTTAGTATATTGGAAACACAGGCTTACTTATGCCATGGCTTCAGGTAATGGGCTTCAGATGACCTTCGTGTCTCCGTGCGCGGCCGGGAAGCAGCCGAAGCTACGATATAGAGCTACCCAGTTCCGCCAATAAGCGTGCAGCAGCGGTGCCATCTATAGGTTACTGCTTGTTTATAACGATGACGCTAACCTGTGATGAAGCACCTAGTTGCATCCGATATCTTCCTTGCGGCGTTCCCTCACACGGAGTTGAAGGCCTAGACGCTAGCGGGTCACAAATATAGTACCCATTCGGTGGGGAAGAGACATGATGTGCCTCTGCATACATCGCGCGGATGTACCCGAGCGGTACTGTAGGACGAATCGCAGATCAAGCCTAATTCTCCGGACTAGATCGATGGGATGACACCAGCTTGCATAGTCTCTTCCGAGTTCCTCGGCAGATCCCACTACCGACACGAGTATGTCTTAATCCTCCTTGAATACACTACGCAGGCCTAGCCCGTACCACCATCTCTTGCCACTCCCAAGGTTTGGGCCGGAGCCTGATGATCAAATGGTTCCCATTATCCTGATTCCTCCTTTTATAGTAAACATGACTGCTCTTGTGTCCAAACCAGACCTACCAGATGCGGAATGCCGTCCACATAACTTGAATTTGGATTGTTAGACCCATGAAATAGCTTTCTCGTCTGCGAGAAGCCTGGGTACTTATCACAGGAATCTGTTGTGTTGCGCTGTGGCCGGATATTTGCTGGATAGGTGATGTGAGGCTTTAAGGCATGTGGCATACGACCACACGGAACCGGCACCTATATAGCCTCAGGATGTCGTAATACCAATCCATGTCAAGATTGACTCTGAACCCGCCGCTCGGCTAGGTGCTCATCCGCTGACAGTGTGCCCATGGTAACATAGTCACACTTGCAGGTGACATCCAGTGAGAGGGGGCCTCCATACGCATGCAGTCTTGGCCGACCACGTACATTGTGAACGAGTCATTCTGTCGAGAAGACTGCCACTCTTACTCAACAAGATGCCACGACCTGGCGGCTTCGGGCTGTGATGCACCTTGGGTTGCATGCGTTGATTCCGGGCGCGGAAGCTGCCAAAGATATCAAAGTCACCCTCGCGCCACCATAACGTCTCTCCAGCATCCTAGCCACATTTAGTGGGAGCTCAATGCGAGTTGGCATGTGGGCGCCTGTCTGAACCCAATATCTGCTGTGAGCTCGTGGCTAGACGAATAACGCTATACAAGACTCGGTGATGGTTGATCATGCATTACCTTCGCGCCCTCCCTCGCTGGGCTCATGTGCTATATCAAAGACCCGCCAGAAAGAGCCCGTTCCGTAGGCCCTGATCCTTCTGGGGCACATGGGAGCCTGAATAAGAATCGATCTCTTTCACTCTGTATCACCCTCAGGCTGGCACCGTCATTACTTCCCTTTGCTTTCCCCTCGCCGTCTTATACCACTGTAACAGTCGTGGATTGCCGTCAAACTTACGAAGAGACAATGAGCAACTCTTGGGATTGCAAACCCCCTCGTGTCTGAGGATATTACTTCTTCCAACTGTAGCTCAAGTTACCGGAGTGCTCAGGCCTGTGAGCCAGAGAATTACCGTGCACACTCACAAATATCTGCCAACCGCGTATGAAAATTGCGTGATAGTTGAAGCATTGGGGACTAGCACCGATATAGACAAGTTCGTATACTATTCTCGGATTGGAGCAATGCGAAGCGGGCTAGGTCGTGTACATAGGGGGAAACATCATGGGCCTCGAGAATAGAGCATGTGTCACAGGAAGCGAGCTCCCACAATGAACCAAGTAAGTCACACGTGGCAAGTAACAATTGACTGATCGGTCTTCGGCCTGTTGAAAACCACCACACCTAATATTGCAGCTCTATATACACAGACGGGGCTTCTGCCGCATCTTGAAACGTTAACCCGCGGCCGCTTCCTTGACACACAACGCCCGAAACAGCGTTCACGATGCGGGGGCCGACGGAGGGTCAACGGCCTTGGGGAAAGGCTTCTGGCCAGGATCTCTGAGGATGGGGTAATGGGCGTAGATCTGCTTGGAACGTAGGTGGACGGGGATGCCGACGGCATCCGGGAGCTCCTTCTCCAGTTTCTACAGACGGAGGAGTCAGCGGACCGACGGGGTATGATGTAGGGAGGAGCCGCAGCAGACGTACCAGGTTGTCGAATACGCACTTGTTCAACTTCCACTCGTCCTTGCGGCACTGCCATAGTTGGTGGTTGTTGTTGTCTAGACATTGCCAGTGCTTGCGGAACTCATCGAGGCAGTGCTTGTTGACGTCGTCGATCCTGTGTTGAAGCGAAGACGGTCAGCAAATGATCCCCCCCAGCCGTCGTTGCAGATGCCCGTCGTTCCCTTTGTCTTTCTGCATACACGGCCGGCCCAAACAATCGTGGCGCTGTTCCCGCCACCCAAAAGAGGGAGAGCTAGATCGGGAGCCGGGGCTGTACGTACACACTGGCGGCGCATCTGGTGACCCGTCGGCCCTCCTTCAGGCACTCGGCCTCGCCCTTGCCGGGGTTCTCGTTCTTGCACTGCATGAAGTCATCGTTGTAGGGGCGGCAGCGGGCGCCGATGAAGAAGGAGGCCGAGAGCAGAGGCGCAGAGGTGGCGCCAACCTCGGGGACCTTGGGGATGGAGTCGGGCAGAGGGGTGGTGTCCACCAGGACTTGCTGGTTGAAGCTGTGTTGCAAGGTTAGCGGCGACGAAGGCAATCTCAGGAGGGCGAAGGGGGCCGTGAGGGGGGATGTGAGGAGACGGCGGTGCGGCGGCGGGGTCGGAGCAGGTGTGGGACGTACATTGGCTTCCGGGCGGCCATGGTTGTGGTGCTGACGGCCTCCTCGTTGGTGGTGCGTCGTCGTTTGTCGTTCGTGAAGCTTCGCTTGACGTCCGCAAGTCCCAGCAGCAGCCGGGGCCGAAAGGTTGGAAATGGAGGCCGCTGATTGGATCCAGCCACGCAACACAGGTTGGCCACCGCACTAGCCACATCCTGTGCCCGTGCAGCCCATGCAGCCCATGCTGGGGGCGTAGATGATGAGTCAGCAATCGACGTGTTGTTCAACCTCAACGCGTGTGCTGAGTCTGCCAACCCTCATTCATACTGGCCGGTTGTGAACTGAGACGTATTGCTATTTGCAGCCAGTCACATGCAACGAATGGGCCATCTCACATCTCCCCCCCAATTGCGATAGCACCCACCTGGGCAAGCTGCCTTTGCCGCCAACTTCAGACCCTGCCATACGGTGCCAGCTGGCGGTGGACCGCGGCAGAATCGCAACCTGGAAGCCGCTGGCCCCAGAGCCCCCAGACGCGACAGAGCTCAGGTCCCATCGCAGACCAGACATTTCGCTGGCCCTGGAAGCTTGAGCCTCTGCGAGCTTCAGGCCCGACCACACCACCGCCGCCGCCGCCGCCGCCGCCGCCCACCTTTTCCTCATTGTGCACTCGCCTCAGCTCTGCGGCCTGCCGGTTTGTTTGAGTCTGCCTTGCCGTCCCTGCCCGTCCATAAGCTGCCGGCTATCCCCGTCCTCGTCACCGGCCTTGTTTGCCAGTAAACATTAGTCCTCGCCGCCATGTCGCTATTTGCGCCGGCCCAGACCACGACCACCACAGGCTCCGGCCTCTTCGGCCAGTCCTTGGGTGGACAGCAGAATCAAACGCAGAACCAGCAGCAGCAGCAACAACAACAACAACAACCGTCGACCAGTGCCTTTGGTACCAGCAGTCTGTTTGGCCAGCCACAAGTCCAGCAGCAGCAGCAACAGCAGCAGCAACCACAGCAGCCGAATGCATCCTTCCTGGGCACCTCTCAAGCCCCAATGCAGAGGTTGGGCGCTTCCCTATGGGAACCAGGCCGCGATTCGCCGAGTAAGACTCTCCCCTTACCCTCCAAACGGCTCCAGGGCACGACTAGTCACTGACCCATGCCTGCCTTGCTCAGACCAGAAACCGATCGACAAGCAGATGGAGGATATCAACGCCAAGTGGGATCCGGCCAACCCCAGCACCGTCTTCACGCATTACTTCTACAACAAGGTCGACGAGGCTCGCGTTCCCTTCTACCGTCCCGGGCCCTACGAAGACGAGCAGGAATGGGACCGAGCCAACCGCGAGAAGCCCGGCCCCGCCTTTATTCCGGCATACGCCAAGGGCTTCAGAGCAGTGGGCGAGCGGCTTAAGATGCAGCGCGAAGTTCTGGCTCAGTTCAACGCCCGGCTGCACGAGATCAACAACAGCCTGGACGCCATCCTGTCCAAACACGATCTAGAAACCAGCGTCCGGGCCGTGAATGCGCGGAGGAAACATGTGGTTCTCCGCCAGCGGTGTCTGGCCTTGGCCAGCAAGGTCCAGGTCCTCCGGAACCGCGGCTACGCCTTGGACACGGACGAGGATGAGCTGAAGACGAGGCTGGAGCAGCTGGACAGGGGCATGGCCGACCCGGCTCTGAGCGCGAGGACGGAGGAGCTCTGGAGCCGTCTGATACTGCTGCGCGGGCATGCCGACACGCTTCGCAACGAGATCAATGCGCGAGGGGGCGAGAGCGGCGGAGGCATCCCCGAGGAAGCCGAACAAAAGGCAAAGAAGGTAAGATGGACGTGGCATCCCTGCCCCGCCTTGACAAGATGCTGATTTTCCACAACCGCAGCTCCTCGAGTACTACGACAAGCAGCTGCAGGAGCTAAAGAGCACGGTCGACAAGGTCAAGCAAGATTATGACGAGTGGGAGAAGGAGAGGAACCCGGCACCGTCGTCGTCGTCGTAATCATGGAGCAGGTGCTTTTGGTGGGATTGTACAAGTAATGATACCATATAGATGAGACTTGGTCATCGCAGTCCGTCCATGGCCAAGGGAAGACAGGGTATTGGGAGCGACACAAAAGAAAAAGGGCGGCATATCTGGGTTCCTGCCGGAGGTGTTGATCAAAATCATACTTGGCTATGTTGTGCCAGGGACTCGTCGTAAAACACAACGACAATACAACACACAAAAACAGGACATGCCATGTCAAAATCACTATGAACAGTATACAGTGAGTGCTGTAAGGTGTGGAGATGTGCAAGCCCCGCAGGCATTTTCTTCAGCCAAAGTGTTCATACACATGATGTACAGCCGGGGCACCGTCGCCAGACCAGACCTGACCTCTATCCTGGGCCACCATGATCCATTCCGCCTATGCAGTACAACCGAGCCCAAAGTCGCTATAATACAAACTGGTCCATCGTCGACTCGCGTAGACCACAGCCGCCGCTGCCGTCGTCGTCCGCGTCCGTCAGGTACCCTATCCCTCTAGAAGATGCTGGAGACGGCATCGATGACAAAGGGCGCTGGCAGGAGAAAAAGTCAGTCAGTGCCACGCCACGCAGGGTCCGCCGCCGAGGTCTGGCTCACAGAAGTAGAGGGCTACGACGGTGGCAGCAAAGGACTTGACGGTGAAGTTGGCCTGGCCCTCGAGCTCCCGGATCTCCTCCTGGGAGAGCTGGGGCGGTGCGACTTGTCCTTGCGGTTAGCGGATGCTAGGAGAGAATGTAGGACGCGTGACCGAGGGGAGAGGAGGGAAGGGAAGGGGAGGGAAGGGAAGGGAAGGGGAAGGGGGCCATTGGGATCGAGCTTACATCCTCCGAACATGTTGGGCTAGTGACGAGACGAGGAGTCCTCGGTATCTGGGCTGTCGTGGCTGCGGTGGGCAAGGGGGGAATCGGTCGCGGGTGCGTGTTTGTACGTATCAATTCGCAGCTTGGGTATGGGTATGGTTGACTACAGACAGTCGTGTGTGTGCAGCTGGTGATACCGGTCGCTCAATGACGCTATCGCTCGTCGGGCCAGGAAAAAATTCTGAGAGCTCCAACTTTATCGCTGCTGATCCCCTTGGTTGCTTCCATAGGTTGGGCCCGTGGCTCCCCTGACACGCTACGCAGCCTGCAGCCCGCGAATCACTGTCGAGGCTAGGCCGCTTCAGGCACTGCTTCGCGGTGGCAGCGTCCAGCAGGCCCGCCACGCCGCCAGGCCCCCCGTGATGGGTCCTTATCGGGCGCTAGGGCCACGGCTACGGGGAAGACTGAGAGGACCAGAGGGGGAGAAGGGCAGAGACCACCCTGCGCTGCCACCCCCCGCCAGAGCTCTCTTAGCGGTCCGCGCAAGGCCCGTCGCAAGCCGGGGTGGCTCTTGGTCGGCCAGTTGGAGCCCCTTTGCCCTGTGGTGCGCCCTGCGCCCTGGGCCTTCCATGGGGGACCATCCTTGGGGACTACCTAGGCATCATGGATCCTTGGGGCCGAGATAACCCGCGGTGCCCGCGGCCGGTCGTCCAATGTGTGCCTCCTTGGCTCCTTGCCTCCGGCTGGAGGAGCTGTTCATGTGTCAAGCTTATCGCTGCAGATTTGGTGATTAATGATTAATTGCACGACTGGAAGCCGACCAACGGCGAGTCAAGTCTCATAGGCCCTCTGCCCTCTGCTTCTCTGCTCGGCTCTGGCAATTTTTCTTTTCTTCGCTGCATCAGACAGGACTCATCCTGTCCACCCTCGTTCCCTTTGCTCGTCCCCAACGTCCCAAGTCAATTGCCCGCCGTTGTTTAGGTAGCTAATTGGCAGCCAATCGCTTCGCTTCCGATCTGGTGGGTAGCTCCTGGAAGGCGACCTCGGAACTGCACCCGGCGACTTTTTGTGTTGTTGTATCATCTTCGCCCCCGTCCCTGTCCTTCCTGTAAGTTGACAATCTTCGCACACAAATCTCACGCAGTGGCTGACCGGCACTCGTAGGCTTCCGTTCAAAGAGCCCAGCAAGCCCTCGCGACCATGGCCAGTCCCGTCCGGGCTCTTCCCCGTCGGCTGGGCCAGCTGGCGGCTCAGACCCGGCTCTCAGCTGCCGCCAGAGCGGGCCCATCGTCGAGCTCCTGGGCGTGCCGTCGCGCCCCCGTGGCGGCTCCTTTGCTTTGCAAAAGACATTTTACCGGTACTGCGCCGTCGCCGGCCGATGTCGATGTCAATGCCGTGCCGCATTCCACCGAGGCCAACCAGGAGTATGCCGAGCTGGACACCTTCGCCCGTCGCCACATCGGCCCCGATGATGCCGACACGGCCAAGATGCTCCAGGCCCTCTCGCCTGCGGTTGACTCCCTGGATGCCTTCATCGAGCAGGTTGTCCCTAAAGACATTCTTACCAGGCGCTCTCTGGCCCTCCAAGAGGAAGATGAGGCTAAAAACAAGCCCTGGGCCGAGTCGGCCCTCACGCGCAAAGCGACCCAGGCCGCCAGCTTCAACAAATCTCAAATCACTCTCATTGGGCAGGGCTACTATGGTACCTTGACGCCCGCCGTCATCCAGAGGAACGTGCTGGAGAATCCGGCTTGGTACACTAGCTACACTCCCTACCAGCCCGAGATCAGTCAAGGTCGCCTGGAGTCGCTCGTCAACTTCCAGACCATGGTCTCCGACCTTACAGGACTTCCCATTGCCAACGCCAGTCTTCTCGACGAGGGCACCGCCGCGGCCGAGGCCATGACCTTGTCCATGAATACTTTGCCTGCCTCGCGGGCCGCCAGGGAGGGCAAGACTTTCGTCGTGTCCGATCGGCTCCACCCGCAGACCATTAATGTCATGCGCGCCCGTGCCGACGGCTTCGGCATCCGCATCTTGCCCATGGACGTCGCGGCCGACTCGGCCGCGGCCGAGATCGAGGCCCTCGGGCATGATCTGGTGGGTCTCATGGTACAGTACCCCGACACCTACGGCGGCGTTGACGACTTCCGAGACCTGGCTGCCGTGGTCCACAAGCAGGGAGCGCTTCTCAGCTGCGCAACAGACCTGCTGGCCTTGACGCTTCTCACACCTCCTGGAGAGTGGGGCGCCGACATCGCGTTTGGGAGTGCCCAGAGGTTTGGGGTCCCGATGGGCTTCGGAGGTCCTCACGCTGCCTTCTTTTCTGTCACCGAGAAGCACAAGAGGAAGATCCCCGGTCGCCTGGTTGGCTTGTCGAAAGACCGGCTCGGCGGCAAGGCGTACCGACTCGCGCTGCAGACCCGCGAACAGCACATCAGAAGAGAAAAGGCCACGAGTAATGTCTGCACGTCACAGGCGCTCTTGGCCAATATGAGTGCCCTCTACGCTGTTTATCACGGCCCAGAGGGCTTGAAGGCTATTGCTGAGAGGACCGTCCGCGGCGCTCGTGTCGTGCAGTCCATCGCCGAGCAAGCTGGCTATCAAACGGGTGCCGTGAACACGACTACGGGCAAGCCGGTCCTTTTTGATACTGTTGTCATCCAGTTAGGCTCGCCAGATCAACGAAGAGACTTCCTTGTCGCTGCCAAGGAGCTTAAATACATCCTCCGACCGATCGGAGACAGTGACGTTGGAATCACTGTTGATGAAACAACCACCCTCATGAATTTAGAGGTTCTGGCCCGCATCATCCTGGACTCGAAGCGTGCTGAAGGTCTTGCGCATTCGAAAACAGTGAGCAGCAAGGCGAAGGAGGCAGTCCGCAAAGCGCTTGCCGAGAACGCCACCGCCCTCGACATACCCGACATGTTTCGAAGGAATAGCAGTTTTCTTACCCACCCGGTTTTTAACACTCACCACTCCGAGACTGAACTGCTGCGGTACATCCACCACTTGCAGTCGAAGGACCTGTCCCTGGTGCACTCCATGATCCCTCTTGGCTCGTGTACCATGAAGCTGAACGGGACTACTGAGATGTCACTAATATCACAAAAGCCATTTTCCCAAATTCATCCCTACGCACCCCTAGGACATTCGAGGGCTTACCGACGCATATTTGGGTGGTTCCAGCGGCAGCTGTCAAGCATTACTGGCATGGACTGTACCTCACTCCAGCCTAATTCTGGCGCCCAGGGTGAGTTTGCCGGTCTCCGCGCCATCCGTCAGTACCAGAAGGAGCATGGCAAGGGTGACAAGAAGCGGGATATATGTCTTATCCCTGTCTCAGCACATGGCACGAACCCCGCCTCGGCAGCCATGGCAGGAATGCGCGTCGTCCCGATCAAATGCGACGTCAAGACGGGCAACCTCGATCTTGTGGACCTAGAAGAGAAGTGCAAGAAGCATCAAGACGAGCTCGGCGCCATTATGGTCACGTACCCAAGCACGTACGGTGTGTTTGAGCCTGAGGTCAAGAAGGTCTGCAGCATGGTTCATGAGTACGGCGGTCAGGTCTATATGGATGGCGCCAACATGAATGCGCAGATCGGGTTGTGCTCCCCCGGCGAAATCGGAGCTGATGTCTGCCATCTCAACCTCCATAAGACGTTCTGCATCCCACATGGTGGCGGAGGGCCCGGTGTTGGGCCCATCTGTGTCAAGGAACATCTTGCCCCCTATCTTCCAGGAGATGCCAGGGAAACCAGTGATGGAACGAATCATCCTGTGAGCAGTTCCCAATTCGGAAGTGCAAGCATAAACCTCATCAGCTGGGCTTACAACACCTTGATGGGTAAGTATTCGTGTGTCTACATCTCCCCGCCTCCTTGACCGTCCTCCTTCATGTCAGCGATTAACACAATGTTCCCCAGGTCCCGAAGGTCTCCTTCATGCTACCAAGATAGGGCTCCTCAACGCAAATTACTTGCTATCACGCCTCAAGCCACACTACCAGATTCTCTACACCAATGATCACGGCCGTTGTGCCCATGAGTTCATCCTGGACGTCCGACCTTTCAGCAAGACGGCGGGCGTCGAGGCTATCGACATTGCCAAGCGCTTGCAGGACTACGGCTTCCACGCGCCCACCATGAGCTGGCCCGTTGCGGGAACGCTGATGATCGAGCCCACCGAGTCCGAGTCGCTCGAGGAGCTCGATCGTTTCGTTGACGCGCTGGTGTCGATTCGAAAGGAGATCCGCGAGGTTGAAGAAGGAAAAGTTCCGCGCGAGGCCAACGTCCTCAAGATGTCCCCGCACCCGATACAGGACATCATTGACGGTGACGGTGAGGGCAAGTGGAACCGTAACTACTCCAGAGAGAAGGCAGCGTACCCCCTGCCTTGGTTGAGAGAGAAGAAGTTCTGGCCCAGCGTCGCTAGAATCGACGACGCATATGGCGATATGAACCTGTTCTGCACTTGCCCTCCGGTTGAGGACACGACTGGAGGAAACTAGCGAACAAGCTGCAAGTTTGGCTTGCTTGGTTCTTGTTTGTCATGGAGTTCGCATATTTGTTCACATTAGACAAGGCTAGACCCGGGGAGCGTGGACGGGCCATGACTCCGGGTCAGCTAAGATAACGATTTCAACATTTTGGGAGGCGCAACGCGGAGAACACAGCGATATAAAAGGCCGGTTCAAAGACGCATCGTCGGCCTGTTACATTCTTCAACTATACACAGCGTGGAGTTTTCATCAACTTCCGAAGGGCAGCCAAAGGGGGTTTTGGCTGGGCAGAAAGTGGTTCAACATAAGCATGCATATTAGGATTTTATCTTTTCACGGGGTGACGGTAGATTTGGCCAGTGGTTCGTTGAGGCCATGCAGAATCAGCAAGGGACCCTTTTTATGCGGATCACGGTGCTCCTATATAGTGAAACCCATAACTGGCCGGGTTACACAAATGACATAGAAGACATGTTCGACAAATTCGTGTTTCCTCTTACTTGATCAAATGTGCGATGATCTGAGCGTGCAGCCAAGTAACTGTACCATTATGCTTGGGGCAGATGCAGAAACCCCCCCCCCTTCTTGGCCCCTTCTTGGCCCCTTCTTCGAAACAGTGCGTTAATCTCTTATGTACAGAACCAACCCAAAAACCAGATGGGGTATATGAATGTACGCCGATATCTACCTTTACCGTCTCATGTCTAATCATGCCAGTTGAGGGTATGATCTATAATCCATTGTGTCGTTCACCCCTTTCCCCGTATGAAATGTGCTCGTCATCAGCCCGCCCCATCCCATCCCATTGCAAGTGCTGTCGTCAGAATGGCGCCGTGTCATTGCTGTTCATCAGTGTGTCCTTCCTCCGTGGCATTCCACCGTCCCCCTCCGTCCTCGGCGGTCGAGGCGCCAATCAGCGCCTCCGGGTCACGGCTGCCCTCGCCGAATGCGAAACCATCATTCCGCATTCCGACTTCGTCCTTCCACGGGCTCTCATCGCCGGCGGCGTCTTCCTCCTCGGATCCTTCCTCCGCACCACCCTGGAGATGTAGGTCCTGCGCCGTGGCGTCCCTCGCCCCGGCGCCTTCCACCTCGCCCTCCTCGACCAGCAGCGAGTCAGGGTCCAGGATGACATCCGTCGGGAGCCTGCGTATGGGCTGGGGGCTGAATGGCCTGACGCCCCTGCTCTGGTTGAAGTCGCTGAATATGCTCTCCGTCTCGGCCCGGTCCCGGTGGTCTACGGCGCCGGCCAGGCTCTGGTACCGATCCGTCTCGACCTGCAGGCTGTCTGCCCTCCCGTGGCCCCTCTGCCGGCCCGGATCGCCGGACGCCGAGTCGGCGAGTATGCTCTTGGGCGGCAGTATACTAAACAGCTTGGCGCCCTCGGCCCCGGCGCCGGTGGGCCCCGTCACGCCCGTGCCACCGGCCAGGGCGGCGGCGTCGTCGTCGCTAGCAAAGAGGTCGCGGCCCTTCTCCAGCAGCTCGTCCAGGCCGCCGCCGCTCCAGCCCTTGCGTGCGAGGCTCTCGAAGATGTCGACCTCGGCGCGCACCAGGCTGCAGCTGGCGTCGAGGATCTTCTCGCTGGTCTCCTGGCTCTCGCGCAGCAGGGTGCGGGCGTGCTCGCCGTGCAGGCCGGTCAGGCCGTCGAGGCGGCCGGTCAGCTCGACCAGGTGCTCGCGGAACTTGGCGACGTCGCGGCGGCGCTGCTTGTGCAGCTTGAGCCCGTCCTTCTCGAGGCGGCGGATCTCTTTGGACCGCTGGGCGACCTCGCGCCGGTACGTCTCGTCCTCGTCGTCGATGGCGCCGCGCCACTTGTCCAGCTCGTGCAGCAGCGGCACCTCGAAGCTGCGGTAGACGGTCTCGCTCAGGATCTGCTGGTGGTTGGCCACGAGGTGGTGCACGCCGCTCGCCGCCATGAGCAGGTCGGCGGTGCACGAGCCCTTGGCCGTGAAGCTGTTGCTGAGGCTGGCGCCGCCGAACTGGCCGCCGGGGGGCCCCAGGGCGTCGGCCCGCGACTCCTTGAGCCGGGCGCAGGCCTCGAGGCTGGAGCCAAAGGCCGAGGCCGAGGTCGAGAGCGTCGCCAGGGCGGTGCGGTAGGCCTTGGCGGTGGCGAGCAGGTCGGCGTAGGCCGTCTGGCTGGCCTCGAGGTCGGCCTTGGTGAGCACGGCGTGCGGCGGCGGGGGTGGCGGCGGGATGGGCAGCGTGAACGTGGACATGCGGTTGGCGGCGGTGCTGGCGTAGGTGAAGGTCGGGGAGCCCGGGATGGGCGGGAGTTGCGACGGCGAAGGCGAGGACGGCCGGACATTGCTACTGTCGCCGCCGCCACCCCCGACCGGGACGGCGCCCGCTGTGTTGGATGCCATCGTGGGCTTGAGCCGTGGTCGCCCTCGTCGTTGTCGTCTGAAGCCCGCCGAACGTCAGGGAAGGGGGAAATGGTGGACCCTGAGTGGTCGGCTTTGTTTACTTTATGCAAGCCCGCGGGGCCGGGCTGCGTTGCGCTCTGCCTTTTCGTCTTGGACCGGACTTTTGATGAGATCTTTGGCGCAGGGAACTGGATACACCCGATGCCCCGGGCGGTAAGAAAGGCTGGATGCAGATAGGCAGATCTCGGGTTTGACCAAGAAGTTGCAAATAGCGCATGAAGAAGCAGGATTACAGAGCAGCTGATGGCCGGCGGGTTGCTGGTTGCCTTGTGATCTGGGATACTTGGTCCACATGCCGCCCGCCTCCCCCAACCCCAACCGCCGGTCCGCCCGCTAAAGCAAGCTAGCTCCGTGATAGGGGGCCCTCGTCCGATAACCGTCTGGCATGTTGCGATACACTTCTGGTCTTTGCTATCGGCGCAATGTGCTGTATGGTAATGCTGGTGACAAATGGCATAATTCCATCCTTGAGCATGTATCTGAGCTACTGTGGCCTCTTGCACTACACGGAGGCTCACTGTGGCTCTCACTCGGTCATGGATGCCTGGCCTTCCCAATGGTTGGTAGACTGTAGTTGGGACCGTGCTCTCTTCGATATACGAGCAAGTAGCAACAGCTTAGGACTTCTCATATACACACGGAACATTTTGTTGTCCTACATACGCGGCGCCGCTTCCTGCGCCCTGCCATAAGCCTGGCTACACCAGCGGCTGACCAGCTCTAAGTAACTCTGGGCTATGCTTGCTCAGTCGGGATTCTTGGAGACATGTTTCCGCATGTCGGCGCCCATCCGCATGACGATAGTCCCTGGTGTTGCTGCTCACGATGTAGCTTTCCAGTGCTGGAACGATGGCTTTTGATTTGAGAACAAACAAAGCCCACAACCTGTGGAGTTGAGAGCCCTTCCAAGCAGATTATCATGGGACTACTACAAGTGAGAATGTTCAAGGTTCTACTTTATTTAAAGCCTGCGTTCGATTTTCTCGCACAATGTAGAGAGTCTGTAGGCTTACATTGAGACACTCGGATCTTACTTGGCAAGACACTGGAAGAACTTCACGTTTATATTATTATACTCTCTTTACCTTTGATACTACAAGAAGGCTAGCCTTGATCGAATATTTTATACGGTTATGAGTGCTGTATAGACGACGTGTTAGCTTCAGCAAGTCTTCGTATAAGACTATACTGAGATTCCGTGTTCTTTCTCGCGGCCGTGTCTTCAGCAGTTCTCCCCTTTGGGTCTGAGATCTTTGGCGCAGCCAATTGCTGTACCTGTGCCGTAAATTCTTTGGCAGCAGTGGCGTGTTCCGCAGGCCCGTCAGTTCCCAAAAGGTATGCCTCGTCGTTCGAGAACTGCTCCTTCTCTGCGAGCCAGCTAGCGAGAGTTTGTCTAGCCAAGACCTCTTCAGAAGAAGGCTCTGACCTCTGGCTCACTTTCCTTCGTCGAAGCCTTTCAATAGCAACCGCCAGCTCATTGTGCCAGCTTTCCTTGGACAGAAGGCCACCATCGCACAGCCAACGAAATAACATCAACCGGAATAGAGCGACACATCCGGGTCCTTGACGCGGATCTGAATACGCAACGTCGAGGTGAGCCAGTATAATAGACGCGGCACACAGTCTGATTTGGTGGTAATCCATCTTCCGTAGATTGCAAGACAGCTTGGTCACTGGGTGGCTCGGGCCGAGTTCGATGGCGCACATCTTGGCTACGAAGTTGATGAAAGATAGGGCTACCAGCTCGTCCGCTGTATCGAGCTCGACGATCACGGTGAAGAAGGCCCACACCAAGGTGGCCTCCTGCAGCCGGGCAATTGAGCTAAACTGGGCACAGCAATCATTGAGCATCTGGAACCCACGACCGACGTCCCGCTTGGTTCTCAGCTCGATAGCCGCCTCCCCCAGGTGCGTCCCCCAGACACACGTCGCAGTCATCAGGTCGGCCGTAGTCGAGAAGTCCCACCTCTGCGTCGAGATGCCGAACCGCGTAAATACACAAACCTCATGCAGTGCGGACTCCACCAGCCAGAGGTGCTCAGGGGCCCTGACGTGCATCGGAGCTGGTGTGTTAGGCCGAGTTGCCTCCAGCTCTTCGTGGCGCTGCTCTGCTGACCGCACCAGGGCCTTGAGTCGCCTGGAGCCAAGACGTAGGCCGTGGGAGGTAGGCATAATCACGTGTCCGGTATACAGCTGCCGTTGAACCTCTAGGAATTCTTTTTTGGTCAGGTTTTTGCGAAAGCCCCATTTCTTCAGCCGGCTCTTGTACATTTTTACCGTGGCGCGAAAGTCATGCTTCTCTCCCAGCAACTCTGCTACCACGCGCAGGGGCTTGTGGAGCTTGCAATAGAGATACCAGATGGTATTTCTGTGCAATTCCCAGTCTTCCTCCGTTGCCCATCGACAATCACTTGCCGTTGCTGCCATTCCGGCTTGCGTTGAGCAGGAACCAGGTTAAACAAGGGATAAGGCCGGTGGAATAATAAACCTGTACGTCTTCGAGGTTGATTCAACGATCTATTTTCACGTTGTCAGTGCTTGAAACTTTGGAATGGGCTTTCATGTCATGATTGGGAACCTACGATGCCTGACCGACCCCTAAATACCCAGCCGATCCTGCTACGCGCTGTGATGCGTACCCCTGACCTTCGGCAGGCACACCACGTAAGCATCAGATCATGTTGAACTTTGGCGCGTCTACTAGGCGCGTCGTTCCGAGCGATTGATCGACTGTTAATTGTTACAGGCCTAACCTTTTATAGGTCAGACCCAGTCATTTTAACAGCTGATTGGTCTTGGAAGATTATCTGGACTAGCTACTCGCCTATACAACGCTCCAAGGCATGTTGACACCAGCACCATGTGCATGCGAGAAACTCCGGCGGAGTATCAGATAATGCTGTGGCAAAGCCGTATCGTTCAAAAATAGAGGCACCATGACATTTCCCTATTTGAGAACGTCTTGGTCCCCGAAATTCAAGCAAGAAGACACGTCAGGGTTGGGGCAGTCCACTGCTTAATCGTATCTGTATGGCGATTCTGTGTTCAGGGGGGATATTGCCTCAATGACCCCCGGCCTGAATGGATCCTCCAGCATCACGAACGATCCGCACTCCCAGTGGCGTCTTGAAGAGTTGAGTTCGAGCCAAGAAATGCATCGTAATGTATTAATTGTGTCAAGTCTTTGATTGACCGCGAATACCTGCTGAGTCTACCAGTCGCCGCAAAGGTTACCCCCCGTTTTCGAACCCTGAACTCCTGAAAATGGCTGCCGTCGGCTGTGCCGACCCCGTCAATGTACAGATCCCATTATTCGTCAATTGCCATCCTATGTCCAGTCCACAGCCTTGAATGCGCCCCCTATGGTCACCCTAGTCCTCCTTCTCGGGATGGTCGATCTCATGACCAAACAGCCCAAACCAGTAGTCCAGCCACCACATGAACTGCCAGTATAGACTGGCCCGGTTGAAGTCAAAGTCTCCGCTGTCGGTGCGGGGCACCTCGTTCCCGATCATGCTCCCGCTGAACCAGCCGAGCAGCGGCACACGGCTGGTGATGCGCTGCACCAAGCCCTTTCGCGGAAGCAGAGCCTGCTCCGCGCCCAGGACCTTAGCCCGGCGCGCCGTAGGGATGACTCTGCAGAACTCGCTGTTGGATGGCTCTGCGGGGTGCTCGGGCCTCTGGATGCCGTCGGCGGCCACGCTGCCGTTGAGAGCGGCACCAGTGATGGTGGCAGTGGAGGCGGTGCCGGTGGTTGAGGAGAGGGTCGCCGAGTCGATGGTGTGGGTTGACGTCTGCGACTCAGGGGGCGACCCGTCGTACCATAGGTCGATTGCCGAACCGCGGCCGGTAAAAGGTGTTGTCTGGAATCTCTTGGGCAGAGGCGAGGCCTTGCCTCTTGATTGTCGGCGAAGCGACTGGGCTCGCGACAAGGGTTGTTCGTCCTGCAGCATGCCCACGTCACCCACAATGTCCACAACAGCGGCATCCTCCAGTGGGGGCAGCCCTCGGTAGGGCTCGGCATAGACCAGATAGCCGAGGATCTTCTGGGGCGAGGAGTAGACGGCGGCGCTCGCAGCATCGGCGGACTCGAAGGTGATCTTGATCCAGTGTTCTCCGCCGGCGACTTGGTTGACCTTGGACCTCTCCTGGGGGGTCAGGGGCTGGCGGCGGGTGAAGGCGGGATCGCGCAGTTCCGACTTGTACTTGCGCTGCTCGATGGGAGGGTCGCGCGGGTAGTCTTCGCATATGCGGCCGGCCAGCTGCTCGTAATGGCTGATGGCGGCGTACTGTTGCAGCGAGGACCTGTAGCCCCGCAAGACGACCTCGGTCGGCTCCTGGACGATGCGCGGGGGTTGGGCCGAGGCGGCATCGTCGACGCCATTCGACTGGGCCATGAAGCTCGACTTGCGCTGGGAGCCGGTGGCGGTGGCAGCTTGTTCCTGGTTGGCGAGGTAGTCGGAGAAGACGCGGTCGGCGGACTGCATGGTCGCATCCTCGCGCTTGGGCGGGAGACTGCCCGTCCTGGACCGCGACCTCCGCGTCGACTTGCCGAAGGAGCCCGTCTCTGCTACTGCTCGTCGGCGCGGCGCATCTCGTTGGCGGTCGCTCCTGTAGCAAGCAAGGCGAGTCAGTGAACGAACGGGTGGCAGTGGGTACATGGCGGGTATGCATACTCTGGAAAGATCATGGCATAGGGCCGTTGGATGCCGTCCTCGCCCGTGTAGAGCTCATCGTCCGGGACGTTGTGGAGGATAAGAGGGCGCATCGTATCAGAGGGACCGCCCCAGGGCAAAGCGCGAGGGAGCGGGCTGCCTAAGTACACCGGCACGGGATAGGAGGAGAGGAGGCGGGTTCCTTCGAGCTGAGAACGATGGCGCGGCGGTTTGGTCCAGTCCGGTGGTCGAGCGGTGCGGTTGGAGTCGAAGCTGGAGCTGGAGCTGGAGTTGGAGCTGGAGATGGGTGTAAGTCCTCGATAGCTAGACGCGGCCCTCGATCTTCAACTTTCTCGGTGCGTGCCACGGCAACAGGCGGGTCCCCTGGAAAAATGCACTTACAGGGGGTTTCCGGGATCGCGTCAGTGCCTTAGCTGCTGCTTTTGGGGGTGGCCCGTCCAGGTGCCTTGGCATCCGGGCTAGGCATTTTGGGGCAGCCTGGGGCCAGTTTGGGGCAGGCTCTGGGTGGCTGCTTTGAGGCTGAATGCCATGGATGCCACAGGCACTCCCAGTGCTCTGAGTGTCGGCCGCGCTATTCCCGAACGGTATCCTGGCAGCTAGGTAGGCAGGTAGGCACAACGACATCATAGGCCCGACGTCAAAGCTAAAGCTGGAGCTTCCCTCTCTCGTCTTATGCTCCTCCCTCGCCAGCCTCAACACCAACCCACAACCATCTATCTCGACCAGATACCGTACAAACAGGTTCCAACATGTTCCGCTTTGTAAGCCGTCCCACAAAGAAGTCAGCCGACCTCCCTGTAGACTCCAATGACTGATGCCCGCCGCCTTGCAGCACAAGACCAAGGACATAATCACCGTCTTCCACAAGGCGAGCTCTCCGGCTTCCGTGAGGGTGGCCAACCTCCTCAAGCAGGTCTCGGCCAACGCCTCCGAGCCCGCCACCGAGGACCAGGCCAGTGACCACACCCCGCAGACCGACCCTAAGCGCCAGGAGTTCGACCTCGAGATCACCGAGTCCGCCCCCACCCCCGACCAGCTCAAGTCCATCCTCGAATACGTCGGCACCGGCAAGATCAGCTCCGTCATTTCCGGCGCCAGCTCGGAAAAGGACGCCCTGAGGAAGTTCAAGGAGAGCAACGACAACTTCAAGCGCCCCGTGGTACGTCCCACCAGGGCCTTCCCCCGCCCTCTCGTCTCCTGCCCTCTCCCTTTCCTCTCTGCCGCTGGAGTGCCTCGCTGACCGCCCCTACAGGTTGTCGACTGGAACAATGGCAAAGCCGTTGCCAGCGAGAGCGACTCTGAGATTTTGAAGATGCTCAAGGATCTCAAGAAGGAATAATTGCCACATCGCCCCGTCCACGATTGATTATGTACAACATACCTGCCAGCCTTCGCCTCGTGTATATGTCCCGCCTCTCTCTGTCAATATACTGATACCAAACCCGTGCATACTATTTCTCGATTCGATTGAATGAATGCGCCTGAGATTGATTCCATGTTTCCGGACGACCAACCATGCCTTCATTGAACCTGCTCTGGAGACCACTTCCCC